AGATTGTAAAAGGAATATAAATAATTGAAGTAGATACCTACGTAATAAAAATATTACCAAAACAAAATAATTATAATAAAAATAGTAAAAATAACAAAAAAATTAGAAAAAATAAAAATAATACAAAAATACAATTGAAATATTAAAAATAATAATATTAATAATTCTTTCAAAAGTCAATCGGTTTAAAAAGTTTTTAAAAAACTACTTGCAAGCAAAACGGTACATATACAATGTGACCAATTTTTTTACAACTCACCCCTGTAAAATCATTAATTATTGTGCGATTTTAACCGGATTTGTTTTAAGGTGTAAACTGTATATTTGGAGCAAAAAACGCCATATTTGTACAAAATGCAAGGCCTACTATGTCAGTTTTTAAGAGTAATTTTTTAAGAATTCATATTAGCGATTTTTTTAAACAAAATCTAAGCACGGCACTGGATTCCCCACCCCCTCAAAACGACCCTTTACTAAACTTTATTAAAAAATTTTAAGTAGAAAAATGCACAATAACTACAAAAATTTATTTTATCAAGTTATACATGAAAGAAACATTGAAATAAAATTAAACTTATAATAAGTATACCATGTTATACTATTAGTTTAATTTTATTTATTTCATGTATAACTTGATAAAATAAATTTTTGTAGTTATTATTTCTCTATATTTTTCTATTTACATTTTTAATATAATAGTATAAGGTCATTTTGAGGGGTGGTGAATCCAGTGCCGTGCTTAGATTTTGTTTAAAAAAAAATCGCTAATATGAATTCTTAAAAATTAACTCTTAAAAACTGACATAGTAGGCCTTGTATTTAGTAAAAATATGGCGTTTTTTGCTTCAAAAATACAGTTTATCAAGATTTTACCTTTAAAACAAATCTGGTAAAAATCGCACGAAAAATAAAGATTTTACAGGGGTTATGTAATAAAACATTTTTTTTGCCATTATACCTATCATATACCAATACGTTCTTTTTTAAATCAAATAAATTATTTATTTCAAAGTACTCCATTTTTATTATTTTTAATATTTTGTCTTTTATAACAATAATAATAAGTATTATTATTACTAAATAATGTATGGCACATATAGCACGAAGCAGTGGACAAAATAAATCTGATATATATCCCAGATACTAAAGATACGTTGCGACCTCCGAAAATCCGGCAACGCTGTCGGAGGATACAAGGCTGTTTGTTTCTCCGAAATTATATATATATTCGGAGGTGACTTTGTATCTTGAGTATCTCCAGTTTGCGTAAAAAAATTGACATTTTAAAAAATTAAAAATTGCTTCCCCTCTTGTGGTGGCGTTAATATTTAAGGCTCCCCCCCGCAATATATGCAATCAAAATAAAAATCGTCCATTCCGCAGACCCGGAGGAGAGGTGGCCCTCTCAACTTAACGGAGGTCACAGCTGACCACTTATCTATATATATATATATATATATATATATATATATATAGATATGCAATCCTACATTACCAAGCCCGAAACGTTACATTCTACAGTATAAACGAAGCCCACTTGGTTTTTACGAAGCCCGAAATCGGGCTTCCTAAAATTAGCGTGTATAAATTTGTTTTAGAGTTAAGTGATGCCCCTTTGTTTCAATGGCGAAAAAGTGGTGGGCTTCCTAATGCCATTCAAACCTATCAAAATATACACCCTTAGTTCCAATGCTTTGGCGGTAGGGGGCACACGAGTCAAACGAGATTATATACAGCTTTGTATAAGTATTACGCAGTATACGAAGCCCGTACATCTGGCAACAATGGGGACTACGCTCGATGACTTTTTAATAGGAAGTCGGGGAAAATAATGCGGGATTCTTAAATTTGTATGTACTGATTTTCAAAATAAATGTTATATTCCCAAAATTATGTTGTGTTCACTACATGGCGTGGATTAAAAGGCAATGTTTTGTTAAATACTTTCGTAATTATTACGACGTAATACACTTAATTTTAAAGAATTATTTATTTTTGAAATATTATTTGGACTGCATTTTTCTTTGGGGCGGTTTTACAAGTTGTCCAGATATTTTACACAGTTTTAATTGGGAAAACAAGGGGATTTGTATATATTATTATTATTATTATTATTATTCAAAGTTACATTTAAATAATTTAAATAAAAATAATTTTTAATTTATTTGAAACATTTCCAATTTTAATAAAAATAATTTTTAATTTATTTACAAAATTTCCAATAGCGGTATGAAATAAATTAAAAATTATTTTTATTAAATATCATTATAATGTAACATTGCTGCTTTTTGACATATAGCTTCTCATGGCAATTTGTCAATTAACATTCACAACTGATCAATTTATTTATACATGGCAAACAACGACCAAACGACCAAACAACAATAAGAAATTGGGTTCTTTATTTGGATAGTGCTTATCTAAAAGAAACCAAAAACTTGTTCGGAGCTTAACAAACTTATTTGTATATACCTAACTCATTTTTAATGCTGCTCAAAAACTTAATTATAATTTGAAAGTCCTCTCAATAATTTAAAAGAAGTTGTAAATAATGATAAACTTTTTGAGCATTAGCAAATGAGTTATTTTAGAAAGTCCAAAAATAGTTTTTGGCGCTTGGTTCCTTTTAGATAAGGATTGTCCATTTATACTTACCATTATAATATTATTTTATTAACCGTTTTGGTTAAAGTAATATTTTATCTACGATTTTTATTGGATAAAAGGCAGGTTTAACTTTATAATGTAGCTATAAAACAATATTTGGTTGGTAATACATTTTTCTTGTTTATAGGATGCTAAACTAAATAGCAATTTTCCCCACTTCTTTTTTTTATTTTTTAACTTTTAATTTGGTTTAGTTTTCCTAAATTTTCCCAACATTTATTAAAATGGATATAGCCGGTTTTCCACGGATGCTCCTCATCTATGGTCTAGGTCTTTTAAATCAAATTTGCCTATAATTATAAATTTAGACAATATTTTTAAATAATGACTTATAATTCATTCAATAATATAATAGTTTTTATTAAAATAATTATAAATCACAATATTTTTAAATACACTGCCCTACAAAATTATTGCATAATAAATAAAAAAAATTAACTCTAAAACGCCTTTACCAATCTTTATGAAATTTTGGATAAAAATACTTATATCTCAATTTACGTGTTCAAGGGTTTTTCGCGAAAATATGTTTAAAGCCTTTTTATTTATTCATGAAAATAAGTTCGAAAAATCACTTCTAGGGAATTTTTTTAAATAAATAAAAACATGCTGTTAAAGAGCGTATTTTTTTAGTATACCCTGAGAATTTTGTACAAATCAAGCGAACAGTAACGAAGATACAGCGCTTCAAAGTCGTGAAAAATGACCACTTTTCAGCAAAATAATCAAAAAGGCGTCATTTTTACTGACTTTGAAGCGCTGTATCTTCGTTAATGTTCGTTTGATTTGTACAAAATTTTCAGGGTGTACTAAAAAAATACGCTCTTTAACAGCATATTTTTTATTTATTTAAAAAAATTCCCTAAAAGTTATATTTCGAACTTTTTTTCATTATTAAATAAAAAGGCTTTAAACATATTTTCTCGAAAAACCCTCTAACACGTAAATTGAGATATAAGTTGAAGTGTTTTTATCCAAAATTTCATAAAGATTGGTAAAGGCGTTTTAAAGTTAATTTTTTTATATTTATTATGCGATAATTTTGTCGGACAGTGTATTAAAGTATACGTCATTATTTAGATTTTTTAGAATTTTTGGTGTATTTAAATCTAATAATTTAAAAAAAACTATATGTCTTTATAATTCATAAAAAAAATATTCAGTCAGTTTCACTTGTTTTGATTCCCATTAAAGTTTTACACAAAATTACCTAACCTCAACAATAATTAGAATTAATTCTTATAATAATTATAATTATTGATATATTTGTATATTTTTTATTAACATATGGAAATATATTTTTTAAAGGCTTAACTTTTAAACAAAAACGAACCGCATCTATTTCATTTAAGAAAAAATGTTTATAATTAACCCAGCTATCATCTGACAAAGTTTGCCATAGAGCTTGTGGAGCACCCTGTATAAGATATTTAAACCTTTTCAAAATTATGATGTATAAACAAAATAAATGAAATGTTTATACCTATAGGTACCTAAACTCAACAATACTTTTAAATTATTATAATATAAATAATTATAATTTAACGATAATTATTATTATAATAATTATAATTCAACAATATTATTAAATATTTAAGTATACCTACGTCATTATTTAAGAATATTGTTAAGTTTAAGTATCGTCTAGGTATTTTAAATCAAATTTGCCTATAATTATAAATTTAGACAATATTTTTAAATAATGACTTTAATTTAATAATAATTACTATAATAATTTTTATTATAATAATTATAATTCAACAATATTATTAAATATTTAAGTATACCTACGTCATTATTTAAAAATATAGGTTAAGTTTAGGTATAGTCTAGGTATATTAAATCAAATTTGCCTATAATTATAAATTTAGACATTGGCAACACCGCAGGGCTTCTGATATACAGCGGAGTGTGTCTCTTGTTGTTTATGCACCAACGAACAGTTAACCGCCCCGTCCCGCATTACCGGGCTTCGACTAGCCAGTGTAATGCACCGGGCTTCGTATTGATAGCCGTGCATGTATATATATATATATATATATATATATATAAATATATATTTTAAAGACAGTTAAGTTTTCTATCTTAAAATGACATTTTTAAGAAAGTTATATCTATCTATTTAGTTTGAATTGACATTTTGAAACAGTTAGTTGACATTTTTATCTATCTTAAAATGACACGTTTAAAACAGCTTTTTCTAGCTTAAATTGACACTCTTAAGATGGCTTTATCTATCAAAAATTGACAATCTTAAGAGAGTAGCATTCCATCTTTTGGACCATCAGGGATACCATATTTAAATCCAGCCAGTATTTAATAAAAAACAAAAATATATTACATAACATTTATTTAACAAATTACCTCGAATTGCTCATAAAACACATAAAAATCTGTCAAAATGTGCTAAAATTTTATAAAATACACAACCATGTATGTAGTGAGTGCTTAAAATGACTAGTAGGTACTAAAAAGATGTAAATTATAAAAATTACCGTTTGTAAATGTTCTTGTTAAACATATAAATAAATACATTCATTTCGCGCGGCATTTTATTTCGTCGTCGCCTCCTCGATAAAGTCCGCCTTATTCGCCCTCTTCTCCATCGCGAAAAAGTACAGCGCGGGCAGGTACTTCCTCAGAAAAATCGCCACCTTCGGCAGCATCGTAGAAATCACGAGCTCCTTTTCCTTCCTGGCCACGGCGGTGAAGATGCGCTCTGAAACGAACTCGGGGGAATACCCGGATTCGGTGCTTTTGTCCATCTGCCCGTGCGCGGCGCCGCTGCCCGTCAGCGCGTTCAAGGACAGCCTGGTTTTTATGTAGCCCGGGCTAGCGACCGTCACCGATATGTTTTTAGAGGCCACTTCCGCCCTTAGGCTGTCGCCGAAGGCTTGAAGCGCGTGTTTGGAGGCGGAGTAGGCGGAGCGCTCGGGAAGTGCCACCAGCCCTTGAATGGAACTCACGAAAACCACGTGGCCCTGGTTTTTCTTTATCATACTAGGCAACACAGCTAAAAAATAATATTAATACAGTCAAATTTATTTCAAGTTAACATTCTAAAGATATATCCAGCTTGAGTTTACATTCTTAAGACAGTTATATCTATCTTGAAATGACATTTTTAAGAAAGTTCTAACAAGCCTTAGTTGACATTCTTAGGACAGTTATATCTATCTTAAAATGACATTTTTAAGACAGTTATTTCTAGCTTAAATTGACATTTTTAAGACAGTTATATCTAGTTTTAGTTCACATTTTTAAAAAGTTAACTTTTTTATCTTAAAATAACATTTTTAAGACAAATATTTTTAGCTTAAATTGACATTCTTAAGACAGCTATGTCTAGCCTTAGTTGACATTCTTAAGACAGTTAGATCTATCTTAAAATGACATTTTAAGACATTTATTTCTAGCTTAAATTGACATCTATGTCTAGCCTTAGTTGACATTCTTAGGACAGTTAGATCTATCTTAAAATAACATTTTTAAGGCAGTTATTTGTAGCTTAAATTATTATTATTCTTGATAGTTCCTTAAATTGACATTTTTAAGACAGTTGTATCTAGCTATAATTGACATTCTTATGACAGTTAACTTTTTTTATCTTAAATTGAAATGTTTAAGAAAGTTATATCTAAATTAAATTGACATTCTTAAGACGGTTATATCTAACTTAAATTGACATTCTTAATAGATATATAAGATATTTACCTTAAATTCGAATTTTTAAGACAGTTATATTTGGCCTTGGTTGATATTCTTAAGACGGTTATATCTAGCCTTGGTTAACATTCTTAAAACAGTTATACCTATATTAAATTGACATTCTTAAGACATTTATTTCTAGCTTAAATTGACATTCTTAAGACAGCTATGTCTAGCCTTAGTTGACATTCTTAAGACAGTTATATCTACCTTAAATTAACATTTTTAAGACAGTTGTTAAATACAGTTGACATTCTTATGAGTTAACTTTTTTATCTTAAATTGACATTTTTGGTAATTTTGGTCCCGCCCCTCACAATCAAAAATTGTGAGTAAAAGCCACAATAATATTATTTTTATTGTGCTTATAAGCTTATTACAAACATAATAAACAATATTTTATAATATATTTAATAACATGTAGTTTTTACTTACAATTTTTTATTGTAACGGGCGGTACAAAAATTACCGAGTAACTTGGAATGTCCCATCTATCTTAAATTGACATTCTTAAGACAGCTATATCTAGCCTTAGTTGACATTATTAAGGGAGTTATGTATATCTATATTAAATTGATATTCTTAAGACTATTATTTCTAGCTTCAATTGACAGCTATGTCTAGCCTTAGTTAACATTCTTAAGAACTGTCTTTTTTAAGTTTCATCTAGCTTAAATTGACAATTTTAAGACAGTTAGGTATATCTAGCTTTATTTGACACAAAATTTTTAAGACAGTTATTTCTAGCATAAATTGACGTTTTTAAGACAGTTCTATCTAGCCTTATTTGACATTCTTATGACAGTTAACTTTTATATCTTAAATTGACATTTTTAAGACAGATATCTAGCCTTAGTTGACATTCTTAAGACAGTTATATCTATCTTAAAATGACATTTTTAAAACAGTTATGTCAAGCTTAAATTTACATTCTTAACACAGCTATGTCTAGCCTTAGTTGTCATTTTTAAGACAGTTAACTGTATATAATTATATCTATCTTAAAATGACATTTTTAAGACAGTTATTTCTAGCAAATTGACATTCTTAACACAGCTATTTCTAGCCTTAGTTGACATTCTTAAGACAGTTATATCTACCTTAAATTGAAATTTTTAAGAGAGTTCTATTTAGCCTTAGTTGACATTTTTATGACAGTTAACTTTTCTATTTTAAATTAAAATTTTTAAGAAAGCCATAGCAGGATATAACTGTCTTAAAAATGTCAATTTAAGCTAAATATATATATTTAGCTTAAATTGACATTTTTAAGACAGTTATATCCAGCCATAGTTGACATTCTTAAGACAGTTATATCCATCTTAAATTGACATTTTCAGGACAGTTGTGTTTTTAGAATGTAGGTAGGCAACCAGATTACAAATCAATAATACGGTGGCTTTAAAAGTTACTGAACTCAAAATTAAAAAAAAAAACTATAATAAAAAAATGTATTACCTTTTGTTAGAGCTATTGAACCAAAATAATTCACCAACATAATTTTCATATCAACATCAACATTTGTAGAGACTGCATGTCCTCTATGAGAAACCCCCCCATTGTTAATTAAGATATCAATGTGCCCTGTGATGCTTAATATTTTTGTTACATGTTGAGATAAGTTGTTGTATTCGCTTAAATCCAAAGGTATTATTATAGGCGGAAATGTTTGCACCGTGCAGTGGGTTTGAAGCAATTCTGTGCGTACTCTGTCTAATTCTTGCCTTCGTCTAGCACACAACACCACCTGGCAACCTCTTTTGTAAAAAGCGTGAGCTAAGGCTTCACCTAAACCTGAACTGGCCCCGGTTATTACAACAATCTAAAAACCAAATTCAAAAATTTTTACACAATTATTATGGCACCACATACCTTTCCTATTAAGCTGTTGTGACTCCTCTGCAAATAAATAGCCCTAAAAACCTTAAAAACGATCCAGGGTAGCGTTACAGCCATACAACACGAACCAACAAAATTTAAAGACTGATAATACTTTTTTAACTCGATCATTTTGTTTTCCAAGGTTAAATTTACGACAAACATTTAAAAAACAGTGTTGTTATGTTATATCATGCTTTTTAGACTTTGATTTTCTCCATTTAATCTGTCGATAAGACTTTGACAAGCACTCCTTTGTTGACAGCGGATCCAAAAGCAAAACATCGAAAAATAAATTCGATGTAGCGTTTAGGCGATTTGATTGGTCTAAAAGAGCGCCATTTTTAAAACGTCGTTCAAAATGCATGAATAAAATTAAATAAATACGAATTATTGTTGAATAAATTGCTACAAAACGTTGTTTTGAGGCTTGTTTCGCAATACATTGAGTATTTTTTGCGCAAAGTCAATCAAAGCGTTACGTCTGCGTGCTCGTCATCATTGCGACATATTTCTTGGTGTGGTTCAGCCATTTTGTGCATCGACTTACGTCAGCCGCAGCTTCAAAGACGTTTGTGTGTTCTGAAATTCCCCAAAATGGATATGAGTGCGTATTTAACTGCCCCCCTGCAGCTGGACAAAATTTGCAGGGCTTGTTTATCGGAAAGGGGGGACATGAGGCCCCTTTTCGGGGCCTGTTTGGACGAAATGCTGCATTCTTTCACCTCTCTAAAGGTAATTGTGCTGTACGCGTTGTCTCCGTCTCACTCTAATCGGGTGCAGTAGAAAGAGACGGCGGATTGCGACATGCGTCTTGTATAAGGTAAATAAACAAATTAAATGTCGAATTTTCCGAAAAGGTTTCCGAAGGCGATGGATACCCGCAACTTATGTGCGTGCAATGCGTTTTGCAGTGCAGCAGGGCGTACACTTTCAAGCAGCAGTGCGAAAAATCGGACAACATTCTGCGAAATTATTTGTCCGCAGAATTTCAAGTAAGTGAAACGTCAAAATACATAACCTCATTTATTTTAAACGTCAAACCGCAGTCAATTTTACAGATGTACAAGTTGTACAACTTGCTAAAAATTGTTCAAAATATTAAAAATACGTAAACGCGTAGTTATTTGTTTTTTTTTTATTTTCTTGTCCTTCCAAAATATTTTTTGTTTTTAGTGTATTTATTGTTTTTTTGATGTTTTTAGTGCAACGTATTTTTAATATTGATAAAAAGGAACAAAAACCCCAAAAAAATACAATAAATTTTCAGTTTCTTTTGTTATATTTTTTGTAGAATTACGCATTTTTTTTAATAAAAGTGGGTAATGTTTTTTATTGTGTTTTTTTTGTAGAAAAATCAACAAGTTTTATAATTTTTTTTAGTATTAGTATTTAGTATTTAGTTTTAAAAAATACCTAAAAAACAAAAAAACTAAACATATTGTTTTTTATGCTTTTTGTGGTTTTGTGGGATTTTATAGTTAAAACTGTTCTTTTTAATATTATATCTTTATATATATTATATTAATATTATATCTTTATATATATCTTTAAATGCGTAATGTGATTTTTTTTAATATTTGTTTTTAATATCTTTAATTGCGTAAAACTAAAAAAAGCATACAAAACAATGTTTGTAGTTTAAACTAAAAAGTTGAATAATACAATAATCGTTTTTAGTATTTTTCTGTTTATTTTGTTTTTTTTTTGTTTTTTAGGTGTTTGTTTTTTTTTAATAAAAATAAAAAAAAACAAAAAGCCCAAAAAAACCGATAAACAAAAAAAATTGTTCATTTGTTTATTTTTTATTTTTGTTACCTATTACGTATTAAAAAAAAAGAAAAATAGCAAAAAACGCGAGAGAACGAAAACCTAAAATAAAAACAACAAAAAATAAAGTTTTACAGATTATTTGTGTTTTTTTTGTAGTTTAAACTACAAGAAACCAACAAGTTATTTTCGTTCTTTTTGTTTTTAGGTTTTTTGGTACTTTTTTGGTACTACGTTTTATTTCAATCAAATTAAAAGAACTAAAAACCTCAAAAAAACACGAAAAAAATAAATAAAAAAACCTGTTTCTTTTTGTTCTTTGTAGTTTTATGGTTCTCCTTAAGTTTTTTTATTATTATTATTATTATTTTAAATGATTTTTTAATCTCAAGAACAAAAACATATAAAACTACCCCAAACAAAACAGCAAATATACAGTTTTATGATTTTTTTATTGTTTTTGTAGTTTAAAGTAACAAAATAAGTTTTTTAAAAAATAAAGTTTCACAGTTTCTTTCTTGTTTTGCTTTAGTTTAAACTACAAGAAATTTCGTTTTATATTGTTTTTTAGATTTTTAGTTGTTTTTTATGATTTTTTTGGTACCACGTCTTTTTTTCAAACAAATAAAAAGAACTCTAAACTTAAAGAAACACAAAAAAATAAATAAAAAAATCTGTTGCTCTTTTGTAGTTTTTGGTTCTCCTTGAATTTTTGTTGTTTTTAATGATTGGTATTAGAAATTTCAAAAAAAAAGAACAAAAACTCAAACAAATCAACAAAAATACAGTTTGACGGTTTTTTGGAGTTTTTTGTTATTTTTGTATTTTTTTTTTAATACGTAATTCGCAATACTAATACTAAAAAAATCATAAAAAATAAATAAACAATTTTATGATTTTTATTAAAAAATACCTTAAACCATGAAAACAACAAAGTTTAAAGTACCTAACGAATTAAGTTTTTTTTTTAATAAGTTTTACAGTTTTTTTGTTTTTCTTTAGTTCAAACTACAAGAAATTTCGGTTTTTTTGGATTGTTGCTATTTATGATTTTTTTGGTACCACGTTCTTTTTTTAATTAAAAGAACTATTAACCTCAAAAAAACACGAAAAAAAAATAAATTAAAAAATCTGTTTCTTTTTTCTGGTTTTTTTATTTTTCTTTAATTTTTTGTTGTTTTTAATGATTTTTATAGCATTATAAATTTTCAAAAGAAAAATAACAAAACAACAAAAACAAAGTTCTACGTTCTTTTTGTAGTTGTAAAGTAGGTAACAAAATAAGTTTTTTCAAAAATTAAAAAGTTTAATGAATTTAAATTTAAATTTTTGTTGATTTTAATGATTTTTTTAGTATTACAAATTTACAAAAAAAAGAACAGTTCAAACTACAAGAAATGTATTTTTTATGATTTTTTTGGTATCACTTTTTTTTCAATCAAATTAAGAGACCTAAAAAACCCCAAGAAACAAGAAAAAAATCTGTCTTTTTTGTAGTTTTTTGTTCTCCTTAAATTTGTGTGGTTTTTAATGATTTTTTTAGTACCTATTACAAATTTCCAAAAAAAGAACAAAAACCTAAAATTACAAAAAATGTCAGGTTTTTCTTGTTTTTTATGTTTTTTTTGGTACCATGTCAATCAAATCAAAAGGCACGACAAAAATAAATAAATAAAAAAATCTGTTTCTTATTGTAATTTTTTGGTTTAGTATTACAAGTTTTTTTACTAATTTGTCTTTTTTAGAATAAACTGGCGCAAACCATAGTGGATCAGCAGCTGAAAAACGAATTCGGAGATCAGCTGGAATTTCAGGGCACCATCGCCAACGTAACGGTAATAGACGAAGACAGCATCAACGGATTCGTAACGTACACCACCGAAGAGGACGACGAACTAACGTACGCCATAAAAAACGAGCAAAACGGCCAGCCAGAGAAAGAAGACGACGACGAGGACGCGGAGAAAATCGAGGAGATCCAAGCGGAAGAAATCGAAGCAAAGCTGAAGTACCCGTGCACCAAATGCGAGGAGTCTTTCAGCCTAAAGGTTAGGGATTTTAATATCAATAAAAAAAATGTATCGATACTTATCGATAATTTTTAAATAATTATCGATAATTATCGATAAGTATCATTAAATTCCCCAACCACAAAATATTTTATGTGATTTTAAAAACTATTTTTAATAATCAAAAATTGTTCTTAAAACCAAATAAGTAATTATTATAATTTTAAACAAATATTAAAAATAAATTTTGGCGTACTTTTTAAACCACTTTATTAAATAAATGAATATGAATTTAAGTACGTTTCACTACATATAGGGACTCTAGGATATTCCATAGACAAGATACCACTACACCATGATACAACACTCATGCCACTACACGTATAAAGTCTAATGTTTCGCTTTGTTGATTTGCTTCATAAGGTTTGTTTACAGACATCAGGTTTAAAATCCCTTGGATGTTGAAGAATGTTTTTGCAACCAGTTATACGTCTAGTCGTTTCTTGTCTATGGGATATTGTTACTCTTTTTTATCTATAGTACTATAGCATAGACTATGACTATAGAAAAAATAGAAAAATAAATAGAAATTCGAAGAATTTTTATCGATAACTATCATTAATTTAAAAAATTATCGATAAATATCGTTAGCAATTTTACCGATAATAAGCGATAACTATTGATACATTTAATTTTTCAATAATCTAAATTTAAAAAAAACATAACCCGAAAAAAAGAAACGTCAAAAAATCAATTCTTCTTCTTCCTCTCAACTAAAATTATAGATCAAGTGGTTTTAAAACTAAAATATTCTAACGTGGCGCCATCTATCGTATGAATCTTAAACTAAACACACTGGCAACCGTAGAAAAAGCTGGCAACGTTGTCAATAGCCTAGCGACGTAATTAGGAGATTTTCTTTTGTAAATATCTCGAAAACGGTAAATTCAATTGAAATTCCGATTTCAGGTGGATCTGAAGGTGCACATGCTGCAGCACCCGGCCGAGCTGACCCACGTGTGCGACATCTGCGACAAGGCCTTTGCGGAAGCGAGGATTCTGCGGAGGCACGCCAAGATCCACATGGAGCGCAAGCCGCACCAGTGCGACCAGTGCGACATGTCCTTCGCGGAAAGCTCCAACCTCAGCAAGCACAAGAAGAAGCACACGGGTGAGTTAAGGAACATCCTCGGCAAGCCGCATCTGTGCTCCTTCTGCGGCAGGGCCTTCAAGTGGGCCTCCAGCCTGTCCAAGCACATGAAGTACCACACCGGGCACAAGCTGTTCAGCTGCGAGTATTGCGAGAAACAATACGTCGAGGTAAATGATAATTTTCTATTTTTACACTTCTATGGTTTATTTTCTATGCTTCAAACATCTATGGTTTATTTTTCTATTTTTACACTTCTATGGTTTATTTTTCTATGTTTTATACATCTATGGTTTATTTTTGTTTTATAAGCATGGATATGTTTATTATAGAGGTGGGTATCGATACGATTATCCTATTACGATATCGATATAATTTTCAAAATATCGCTTATATCGATACAATTTCGGTACGATACGGTTAGATAAAAAAAAATGGAAGAAAAAATAAAAACTTTTATCAAATGAATTTAATTATTAGGAAGGTAAATAAATTAAATAACTTAAACGCCAGTTGCAATACCAACCAAACCATAGAAAAAGTACCAAACCAAAGCCAAAACTAGTTTTATGATTTCCACTTGAAAGTCAGCTGCAATACCAACCAAACTTCCAAAATTTTGGTAGAATAGTTTATCAACGGTAATCTACCGTCGGTAGATTATTAAAAATACAGTACGACCGCAAAAGCAAATTTTCATATATGGCATTATAAGGACTCCTCATAATTAGCTAAATAATCGATACAATGTATTCGATACATAAATTTATAACGATTTTAACGATATCCCGATATCGATACGTATCGTATCGAACAGCCCACCTCTAAGTTTATTAGACTGGGCCAAAAAAATCGACTATTTTTTTTAGAAAAGTATATCGAAAATATGGTTTGGGGTGACAAAAAATTATTGTAAAAGTTTGAATCCATAATATTAATATTAAGAGGTCTATCATCGCAATTTTAGATTTTTTTTTCCGGAGCAAGTTTTTGTCTCAGAACTCCCAAATCATTGAGTTTAACAAAATTGACTTAAGAATATTTTTTGAAGAAAATTGATTGTTCTACAAAAAAGGTTTAATTGGAATTTCCCGTCAGATGAACCCTTTTCTTACAATCATGCCTTAAAAATTGGTATAGTTTTACAATTTGATCTTTTAACTTTGGAATTTTGTAATTCAAGTAAAAATCAGTACCCTGAAGAAAAACGATAAATATTCTTATGGGAAATCAAATGCTCTACAAAAAAAGTCATCATTTTTGGCTAAATTCACTCCATCAAAAGTTATTCAAGGTTAAATTTGTCAAAACGAAATTTTAACCTTGAATAACTTTTGATTGAGTGAATTTAAACAAAAATGTTAAGAGGCTTTTTTTGTAAAGCATTTGATTTTCCATAAGAATATTTATCGTTTTTTATGGGTACTGATTTTTATATGAATTACAAAATTCCAATTTAAAAGATCAAAATGTAAAACTATACCAATTTTTAAGGCATGATTGTAAGAAAACTGTTCATCTGACGGGAAATTCCAATTTAACCTTTTTTGTAGAGCATTCAATTTTCTTCAAAAAATATTCTTAAGTTAATTTTGCTAAACTCAATGATTTGGGAGTTCTGAGACAAAAACTCGCTCAGGAAAAAAAAATCTTAAATTGCGATGATAGACCTCTTAATATTAATAATATGGACACAAACTTTCACAATAATTTTTTTTGTCACCCCAAACCATATTTTCGATATACTTTTCAAAAAAAAAAAAAAGTTGATTTTTTTGGCCCAGTCCAATGTTTATAAGTAATAAATAGGTAAGGTGCAAGTTGCTCCTCCTGAATTTAGTCTTGTTGGTTTTTGCATAGGCAAGAAGTCTACGCATCCACGTGAGGTCGCACACGGGAGAGAGGCCGTACAGCTGCGAGGTGTGTCAAAAAAGTTTCACTCAGCTGTGCAACCTGGAAAAACATTTGCGAGTTCATACTGGGGAGAAGCCGTTCAAATGCACCGTGTGCGGAAAAGGGTAACTTTGACGGATAAAATGCCTGCACAAAGTGACACCACATATTCCTGATACCAAAATATTGCGTTGCAACTAAATTTACCTCTATGCAAAAGTTGATAATATCAAGATTGAAATTTCTATATGCAATGTTATTTATAATCTTAAAATGAGTAGTGAAAACAAATTTTTATGTTCTGCGAAACGAATAAAGTCCACTACTAAGAAAAAAATTATCTAAAACAGTATGGGAACCAAATATAAAGCAGTAAAAGTTTCGAGAAGAATCAAACCAAATATCCCTAGATAATCGCGTGTTCGTAATCCAGTGTTGCCGGATCTTCTAGACGAGAATGGCAGATTAATAATTTTGGTTGGACACTGTCGACATTATCGGTTATCATTATAACAATTTAACAATGACAATAAGAAATCTATGATTTTTTTTTCTCGCATGGCCTGTAGAATTGGCATATACATTTTTGCCAACATTCGCAACACAGTTTAGCAATAATAAACGATAACATCTCGTGTAGTCTTGCCAATTTTTACTCGGAAAACATTCTAAAACTTTGTAAATTTAGTTGCATCACATTATTTTTGTCACAGGAATATGTAGAGATGCAGGGATTTTAGAGACACCTTGCCTATTTATTTTGTTTTAGTTTTACTCAGTCTGGGTATGTGGGGATTCACATGCGCATCCATACGGGCGCAAAACCTTACGTGTGCCAAAGTTGCGGAAAAAAATTCGCCGGTTCTAATACTTTGGCGATACACCAGAGGACGCACACTGGGGAGAAGCCCTACACTTGCAAGGTAATTTTTTTGGATTTGTATTTATTTTATTATTTTTACTGTATACATATTAAAAATATTCCCCAACACCAAAACAAAACACAAAGTGCTTAAAGTACTTTTCGCCACAAACTGGAGTTGGGTACGGGTTCGTTACCGCTATTTAAAAATTGGTTTCTATTCTTATAGATGTATAAACTTTCGTAACTACCCTAGTAGCAATGGAATTGGACAATATTCTTTGCCAAGATACTTGGAGAAGCACTTTGTAAAGAATTGGACAATTCTTGACCAAGACTCTTGATCAAAATTCTTTATCCTGACTGGTGGCAGACTTGGACAAGTCTGTGACCAGAATTTGACCAGATTCTTGACGATTACACGTTAAATAGGAACTTTCAATTCAAGATTTTTGGTCAATACAAAATTTTGTTGAACTTCAAAAGTTAAGAATGTTACTAAAAACATTAGTTTTCCACGATTCCATAAATCTGGTAAACAATAGAATTAAAAACAAAACAAATTTTGAAAGAGTTCAAGTTTTTAATTTTCTATGTTAAAAAAAACCAGGTGCCCGTAAAAATAAACATGTATTTTATAATCTTTCATGTTCATAAAGTAAACTCTAGTTATGCGTCAGAGCTTACACACACTTTTTTTTAATTTTTGATTTTTAGAAAAATCAATTTTTTTCTCAGCTAGAAGACGAATCCAATAAGCTCTTATTCGTATTTTCACATAAACAAAAAAACTATACTCATTTCCTACAGAGAACTCACTTCTCGACTAGTATACATTATTGTGAATGATACTACTGTAGAATGAGATCCTCTACTCTATAGGATAGTCCCAAAGTTTAGCAATAGATGGCCTCAGATTTCTGTTCAAATTCTTGTCAAATTCTGGTCACAGTCTGGCTCAAGTCTTGCCCAATAATCTTGGCCAAGAATCTGGAACAATTCTTGTACAATTCTTGAGCAAAAATCTGTCCAAAGTATCTTGACCCATGCTGGGCCAAGACTTTTCCGGAATTGCTACTAGGGGTCCCACCAAATCTAGCATGGACTTGGATGGATCGTTGTTTTTTCAACGTATTTCTTGTCGCAATCTTGACAGTTTAGGAATCTTATCTTTGGGGTTCCCCAAAAGTGTCTACTGCTTGAACTGAACTGAAAGCAATTTTTTAACCTTTCAGCTGTGCGAGAAGTCTTTCAGTCGCCAGGAGACGCTGGTGATTCACACGAGGATGCACACCGGCGACAAGCCGCACGTGTGCAGCGTGTGCAAGAAGGGTTTCACTTCCGCCGGCCACCTGTCGGGCCACATGCGAACCCACACGGGCGTCAAGCCTCACGGGTGCGGGGTCTGCGGCAAAAAGTAAATCGACTGTTTTTTTTTATGCGTTTGGTTATGATAACTGTTGCTCTTAGGTTTGCCGGGTCCAGCAGCCTGAAGGTGCACCTGAGAAGTCACATAGTGGAAAAGCCGTTCGGTTGCAAGTTCTGCGAGCACAGTTTCAACCAGCTCGAGCAGCTCGAGGAGCACATGGCAACGGTGCACCAAGAAATCGAGATGGTGGACGCGGCGGATTTGAAAGTCGAGACCGTTCAGGTGACGGAACTGATGTAAGAATTTCTTCATTTATTTTACTTAAGTATAACACAAATTTCGACATTTAATCAATCAACAAATTTTAACTTTACATTTTTTAAAACGTCTTTAAATATGCCTGTACAAAATATTACCGCAAAATTCACCGAATTTAAAAGTTGGTTTTGAATTTTATAAATAAATTTGAAAAAAAAAATTTGCACAAAATGTTTGGGTTTTTTAGGCCGACAAAATTAAATAGTCCAAGATAACTTACTGCAGATTAGCATTTTTTTAAATTCCTCGTTTTTTTTTTGTAAATTTTTCAACAACTTTAAATACTACGAAATTACTTACCAAAGGTTTATTCAAATTTTGAAAAATTTGGCAACACCGCAAAAACAAGTTCTAGTTGTTTTTTTATAGAAATCCCACTCGCTGGGATTTTTGTAAACTTGGCAACTTTGCAAAAGCGACTGGGTTGTTTGAATTTTTGGTTAATACATTTAAAAATTAAAAAAGTATAAAAACAAAAAAAGTAGATATAAATTTGACATCACCGCTAATGAATGCAGGTTTTAGTAGTTTTTGGAAATTTGGCAACAACTTTAAATATTACAAGATGACTTACTAAAGGTTTTCTCAAAATTGTGAAAAATTCTCAAGTTCTGGGATGTTTTTGAAATTTCGCAACACCGCAAAAAACAACTTCTAGGATTTTTAAATTAATTAACACCGCAAAAAATTTCCACATTCTGGGATTTTTTGGTTTACTTGGCAACATTGCAAAATTGTATGGGTTGAAATTAAAATAAATATAAAAACTAAAATAGTAGATATAAATTTTGCAATACCGCTAAATATTTTTGAAATTTCGCAACACCGCAAAAAACAAGTTTTAGGATTTTTTTTATTTGGCAGCATGGCAAAAAATCCCTCCTGGGATTTTTTGGTTAACTTGGCAACATTGCAAAATTGAATAGGTTGGAATTTTTGGTTAACAAATTTAAAAATAAAATAAATATAAAAACTAAATAAATAGATATAAATTTAGCACCACCGCTAAATAATGCCAGATGACTTGCTAAAAGTTTTCTCGAAATTTTAAAGAAATTCCAAATTCTGTGATATTTTGAAATTTAGCAACATTGTAATAAACAAGTTCTAGAATTTTGTAACATCTCAAAATATTCCACATCCTGGTATTTTTGTAAACTTGTCAACGTTGCAAAAGTTTAAAAATCTAAAAAAAAGTTAATTTGGCAACACCGTTAAATACTGCAAGACGACTTCCCGAAGATATCATGCAGTTTAAAAATTTTCCCATAGGATTTTTTGTAAATTTGGCAACCTCGCAAAAAAATGTATGAAGTCTGCAAATTATTGAAATTTTTTTTAAAAAGATATATTAAAAACTAAGAAGGAAAAAAGTCCGTATAAAAAGCAAAAAAAATGTGTTTTTTTCTGTTTGTAAATTCCCTGCCTAGCAACAGGAATATTGAACTCATTATTCACGTTGTTAGGTATCGGTGATTGGCCGATTTCAATATTTACTGTAATTTGACCAATTGGGTTTTAAATTAATATATTTATATTTTGACAATGTCAGATTTTATTTATTTATTTTTGAAAATTTTGTAATTATCTACTTATTGCATATTGATTTTGATTTTTATTAGCAGGTGTATAATTTTTACAGACACCTTGTATAAAAAACAAAATCTTAAAACATTAAAATGAAACTAGTAAGATGCTGAAATTTTTTTCTTGGCGAAAATGACTATTAATATAAAATTAATAAAATATTTTTTCTTTTAGAACTGCTGATCATCATACCATACAAACCATTGGATCAGATTTAATGGATTAATAAAATTATTTATCTTTATTGTAATTTGAATTGTTGTATATAAAATTTTAATTTTAAATGATTCTTGTTTTTTTTTTTTTGGCCTGATGGATAATACATTTGGAGAGGTAGGTTTCAGTGGAGAAAATAAAAAAAAGTCTGAAGATTGTTGGTATTCTCTTTTATTAATGTCAGTTGCCTGGGTTTTTGTCATAGCATCGTTTTATAATCGTTAACAGTTTTGGCAGAGTTTTTCCTCCGTAAAATTATCGACCTCTTCTTAATTAATGAATGACAGAAATAAAATCAAGGAAAAAAAACCGTTAACCTGCTGCATCATTTCCGAGTGGTTTGCATTTAAAAACCGACCAACCGTTTAAATAATGTTGTCCCTGTCCTGATCATATCTTATATAGCACCACCTGGGAAACCGTTTTTTTCTCTCAGTTTCTTATAGCAGTATAAAAAATGTACAACTCGCGAGTTCCTCAATGTCCCAGATCGGGGAATATCGAACTATACAATACAATTTCTTAATTTTTTCATTTTTTATATAATTAATAAAATATACTAAAAATTATGGGTACAATATAATAATAATAATAATATTTATAACAAGTCGAGATTTGGGACATCAGAAGCCCCGAGCGAAAATCAACTTAACTTTAGTATTTACACGTAATTATTACTCAGTCGGAAGGCGCTGCCACATTCGGCAGCGTCTCTTCAAACTCATCTCTTCATGCATTTTGCGCCAGCCAAATTGAAATTTTAACACAGACGGTACAAAAAAACAACAAACGTTTTATGTACAGAGGGCGGAGCGGTTTCACAAACCGATCATTTAACTAGGTATGTACACAAACAAATTAATATTCTGCTTGGAATATTTACACGTCAACTGTTTCTATACAAAAATACCCTCGATTTTAGTCGATTCAACCGAAAAACAAAATCAAGTCCGTTTATGTTGGCATTCAACACAACAGCCTATTGCGATAACTGCACCGGCCAGCTCAAAAGGTAATTTTGGAAAGCTCGGTCAAAAGTTACCGCCATTTTGCTCTTCAAATTCGTGTATGTAAGTTTTCAATATGGTCCTTGGCATTGTTAAAAATTCATAGTATTGTTAATAAAGTTTACAAGATTTGTAGCGCCATCTTTCTACTTCATTGTGTAACAAAATTATACCAAATATTCCTCAGACCGAAATAATACGATATAACTAAATTTACTTCCATACAAAAGTTGATAATAAGTGTTCAAGTTATTAAATCAACTTTAGTGTAGAAGTAAATTTATATAAACATTTTATTCATTAAATTTTTAATTTGAGTTTGGCTTAGCTCCAAGAAAAATTTTAGTTCTTTTCTTCAAAATTGAGTAAATAAAAATATTAACTATCCTTGATAAATTAATTTTCACTCTGAAACATTTAAATAATTGAAGTTATATATCTGTCATTTTAACAATACAATGCATGAATTTTTTAGGTTATAAATTAAGACCCAAAAAACATAAGACGAAATCAACATTGTAACATAACCTCAATTGGAAAAAACTACGATTGTATTGTTCTTTATGGTGGTTTTTCATTATGATGTAATCGAAAAAATAAACATATCCGTTTTATTATTTTATTACGCGTTTTTACGCAAATAAAAACCCATAATAAAGTGAAAAAATTGATTTGCTGTATACATTGAATATTGATTGTATTACCAGGGTACTGAACTGTCCAAAGGTCGTTTTAGATAGTTTTTTGCGGAAATGACTGAACTGCCAATGTTGACTTTTTTTGTCTATGGTTAATTTGCAATTTTGATTTTTTTTCGATAAAAATCACTTTTGGTCAGTTTTAGTTTTTTCGTAATTTCTGATAAAATGATTATTAATTTTTTTTTTGAAAAAAAATGACAAATGAACGAAAACCGACTAAAAATGATTTTTATCCTAAAATTTCGGAAAAATTTAAATTGAAAATTAACTGTAGGCAATAAAAATGTCACTTTGACAATTTTTATTTGATCTCATTGAAATTTTGGAACAACTTTAAAGATTATAGGAGCTAGATTTGTAATGATTGTTGAAAACGCAGAAATTTCGAGTTTTTGCACAAAACTGTCAATTTCATCAAAATTTCACTTTTGACCGATTTTAAACCCCCAGAATTTGCGACATAATTTTTTTTGTCCATGGTTAATTTGCAATTTTGATTTTTTTGAAATTTTTTTCATTTCTGATAAGTGATCATTCATGTTTTTAAAAGAAAATGACAAATTAACGAAAACTGACCTAAAATGATTTTTATCAACAAATTTCGAAAAAAATCTAAACTGCAAATTTACTGCAGAATTTTTTTGATTTTGTTGAAATTTTGGCACAACAAAGTTTAAAGATGGAGCTAGATTTGTAATAATTGTTGCCTACCGCAAAAAACTTTTTTTGCAATTGTTGAGCAAAATGGCGGTCATTTTTGATGCGGGTTGCTCCAAACGGCCGGTGCTATTAAAAATTCAATAATAATAATAATAATAATAGTAATAAAAAAGAAAATAAATACATATTTTACATTAACCAAAAAATTGATTGATTAATTAATTAATTAAAAAAAAACAACGAGAACCTTTGGTAATGGTTTGATGTGCCATGTTGAACTGCAATTTGACTGGCAAATTAATTGAATCAATTCTGACTAGATACAGTCGCACTTTGCAGTTTCAGTTTCGTTAGAAAACAAAATTAAAAATCTAAAACTGAACTTGGCAGCTGTATATTTAATTATACAGAAAGACAATTAATCGTTATGGAACTTACTGAACTATTATATCGGGTGGGGGCGGGGGCTGCACATTTTCGTTATTTTTTAATCGATCGAAAATAACAAAATTAATTAATTCGCCCGGGCCCAGAAAACCTGCTCCGCTGTTCAAAATCGACCAAGGTGTTTATATTTTCCTCAATAATAATAATGTGTAATAATAATAGTAGTAAAAAGAAAACAACGACGTCACTATAAACAGTAATAAAAGAATATTAAAATATAAATATATAAAGTAAAACCGATTCCACTGGGCCCGGTTGCACTCTGCTCAATTTCGTAATCGATAAAAATCACTTTGAATTTTTTCGGTCTCTACGGTCCAAAGTCCGAGGGGCACTTGTTGAACTTAAAGTCACTGCGCGCGCGCACTCATCGTCAATTTTTTCGCTATTAAACATCTTGTATAATATTTATATATAAACAATTTGTATAAATTTATTATTATTTTTTTTTAACTAATTGTCTCGTGGGGTCGCACTTAAATTCACTTAACTGTCTTTGCTTGTTTGTTTGTTACCAATACTTAGGAGTTAGATATTTGAAAAAATAGTTCTTTTTGTTTTGTTAGGTTGCCGGCGCGGGCGCGGCCGAACGCTATTCGTCCGAGTTCGAGTCCTCCTGGTCGTCCTTCAGTTCGGTTAAAAACTGGTTCAGCTGCTTGAGGGCCACACCTAAATGTGGAATTTTTTTTTTAGAAAAATATTCGTAACATTTCACTTTGAAAAAAATTACCTTTTCCAGCCTGCTCAGCAGGATCGGTGCTGGCTTCCCAAGCCAGGAAACTTTCCAGGGAAATCGCCCACGGCTCGTACAAATTATTTACTATCGATAACAAAAGACCTGAAAAAAATCAGTTTGTCACCATTTGCCAAAATCACGTGTTTTAAAGAAAACGCACAAGTAAAAAAAATTTCCTTAAAGACCTTTTATTTAATAATAAAAAAACTTTCATAGGGAAATTTTTTTAAGTAAATAAAAAATATGCTGTGAAAGACCGTATTTTTGTTAGTATACCCTGAAAACGTTGTACAAATCAAACGAAAAGTAACGAAAATACATCGCTTCAAAGTCGTTAAAAATGACCACTTTTGAGCAAAATAATATAAGATATTTTTACAACAGTTTTTTACAGAGAGCTGTATGATATTTTAAACAGTACTAAGAGAATTTATGACATTTTAGACAGTTTTAGTTAAAATGTCCTAAATTGTCTTGATAGGTACTGCCTAAAATATCATAAAACTAATAACATCCTAAAACTGTATAATATGTCTTAAACTATTTTTAAACAGTCAAAAATGTCCTAAATTCTCTTGGTACTGACTAAAATATCATTAATTAGGATGTTTTTAGAGATGATATATTAGACATTTTTAGAATGTTTTTAGAGAGCTGTATGATATTTTAGACAGTACTAAGAGAATTTAGGACATTTTAGACAGTTTTAGCTAAAATGTCCTAAATTGTCTTGATAGGTACTGTCTAAAATATCATAAAACTAATAACATCCTAAAACTGTATAATATGTCTTGAACTATTTTTAAACAGTCAAAAATGTCCTAAATTCTCTTGGTACTGTCTAAAATATCATTAATTAGGATGTTTTTAGAGATGATATATTAGACAGTTTTAGAATGTTTTTGGAGAGCTGTGTGATATTTTAGACAGAACCAAGAGTATTTAGGACATTTTAGACCGTTTTAGGATGAATTAAGACAGTTTTACAAGAGTTGTTTGCAGTTTTATTTTATATTTTTTATTTACTTAAAAAAATCCCTAAACGTTTTTAATTATTATTAAATAAAAGGGCTTTAACAATATTAACTCGAAAAACTCGTAAACTGAGATATAAGTTGAAGTATTTTTATACAAAATTTCACAAAGATTAGTAAAGGCGTTTTAGAGTAATAGTCTAAGATCCCAAGTAAGGTCGACCTTCACCCATCTGCTTACCAGATGAAAATTATATTTTATCAAATAAAATATGTTTCTGAACATAAACCAATAGGGTTGCCATAAAAAATATGATCAAGGCTAGCTATAATAAATAAAAAATTAAATAAAAATAATTAATTTTTTAAATTTCACCGACTTGCTTGCCAAATGAACGAAATTCCAATGGAAATCATACAACATACAGAATATGTAACAGCTAGGTTGCCTACCTTTTTCTGGTCCCTATTACCTGGTTGCTTTGTACAGGGTGATCCCCTATAATGTCGCCCCCCTTTAACTTTTTTATTTTAAGTGTCCCAAAAAATTTAAAAGTGTGGTTATGTAGGAACTAAAAAATACTTTTTTTCTACGTATAAAGAAAATTGGAAAATTGATAAGTATACAGGGAAAACAAAAAGTTTATTTTTTTCACTGGATCACCCTATATATGAATTTATTTTTCGATTCCTTGTAAAATTCTAAGCATATTTCATATATCATACCATATACCTAAATTCAACCGTTTCTGAAATATTTAAATTATTTTTAAGATAATAAGTTGAAATAGTTTGTTTTTCTCTGTCTGAGTACGCCATTTTTACTTATTTAACAACACTTATTGACATAATGTCACTATAGTAATTTATTTTCAATAAAAATTTTGGTATACTGAGGCTTCTTGATTTCTAACAGTTTAAAAAAACATTTAATGATGACATTTCGAATGCGAATATTTCAGAAACGGTTGAATTTAGGTATATGGTTTGTTATATAAATTATGCTCAGAATTTTACAAGGAATCGAAAAATAAATTTATATATACGGTGATCCATTGAAAAAAAATAAACTTTTTGTTTTTCCCTGTATACTGATCAATTTTCCAATTTTCTTTATACGTAGAAAAAAAGTATTTTTTAGTACCTACATAACCAAACTTTTAAATTTTTTGGGACACTTAAAATAAAAAAGTTAAAGGGGGGCGACATTATAGGGGATCACCCTGTACAAAGCAACCAGGTAATAGGGACCAGAAAAAGGTAGGCAACCTAGCTGTTACATATTCTGTATGTTGTATGCTTTCCATTGGAATTTCGTTCATTTGGAAAGCAAGTCGGTGAAATTTAAAACATTAATTATTTTTTTTTAATTTTTTATTTATTATAGCTAGCCTTGATCATATTTTTTATGGCAACCCTATTGGTTTATGTTCAGAAACATATTTTATTTGATAAAATATAATTTTCATCTGGTAAGCAGATGGGTGAAGGTCGACCTTACTTGGGATCCTCTACTATAAGAATTTTTTTACTTATGCGTTAATTTTGACGCGCAGTGAAGTTAGAAAATTAAAGTTTAGCACTTAAAATAAAAAAAAAATACAACTGAAAAACTGTATACTTAAAAATATTTATTCAAATATTTTATTCTACAAAATATTCGGTTTAAATTTCTCAAGTCATTTAAATGATAATTTTTTATCCAAAAATTACCACTTTAAAATTTAAAACTAACTAAATGTGATAATTTTGGTTTTAAAAATTTATCAACTATCATTTAAATGACTTTTTACAAATTTAATCCAATAATTTTGCAGAATAAAATTTTTAAAATCAATATTTTAGACTTTTAACTATTACTTTTGCATTTTATAGTTAAAATATTTTTCGATTATGACAGATTGATAATTCGCACTTTCTTTCTAAAACTTTGTAAAAAACCCAGAATTTTTTCAACGTTTTTGAAAAATGTCGCAAATTTCGATATAAAATGCATTTGATCAGCAACATTTTATATAGAAAACTGCTTCAATCTCCGCAGTATAAAACGCCACTATAAACCATGGAAATGATATTACATGGAGCTGGGACTGCGGTAAATTTGGGCGCGTCTTTATCTCAAATTGTTTTTTTTCTCACCTTTCGGATGTTCCATCTCGTTGACGAGGCTCTGCACCGCGTAGAGACATTGGAGCTCGGACTCGGAATTGTTGTCGATGTACTTTTGCAGCAGCACCAAATGACGGTGGAAGATTTCCACGCTAAGAGAATCCTTTTTGATGCTGTCCTTCAAAATGGCGGTCACTAAAGCGCGGATGAATTTGTTTTCTTTCACCCTGTCGCCCACGTTTGCCTGTCAGAGAAAGAATGTTTTTGCTTACAAAAAACTACAAGAAGACTTTCAATAAATGTCGCAAAATTTCGCATAAAATGCTTCCAAAAACAACATTTTACATCGGAAACGTTGCTTTAATCTCCACAGTATAAAACGCCACTATAAACCATTGAAATGATGTTATATGGAGCTGGGACTGTGGCATTAAAGTTAAAAAAAAACTTACACCAATCCAACTGCCGATTTCGTCGACATTCTTCTTGTTGATGAAGAATTCCGTGAGTTTGGCCTGAATTTGGTCGTAAGTGAATTCGCCTTCGCCCGCTGGCGTGTTGGCATCATTTAGGAACTCCAATTTCTGCAAAAAAACTAGACTGTAACGAAAACCCCGACATTTTTTGTTATCGACAAAAATGTGGCTGATACATTGTATTGCACTAATCATGAAACGAATTAGCAAACATAGCGAGCACAGCGTCAATCTCCGCAGTATAAAACGCCACCATAAACCATGGGAATGATCTTATGTGGAGCTGGGACTGCGGTGCACAATATTTATAAAAATTTGTACAATTAAAACTTCTTTATTAATCAATTAAACGAAAAATTGCTTCCCTCAACAAAAAATATGCAGTCGTTTATGAGAAAGTCGAATCTAAGTGGTCCCAAGAAGGAACCCTGCGGCAACCCAGCAAAAATGTGTAAATGAGCGTTATAAACCGAAACGGTACTAATTGAAACTCTTGATATTCGATATTCACTTTAAAAAAATCCCGAAAACTTCATCATTGATAAATTAATCAAAACATTGCTTTCCTCAACAAATTAATAAAAAAAATGCTTCCCTAAACAAAAATATGCAGTTTTTGTGAGAAAGTAAAATCTAGGCGGTCCCAAGAAGGAACCTTGCGGCACCCCAGCAAAAATGTGATTGTAAGCGTTATAAACCAAAGTGGTCAAAAACGGAACCTTGTGACACTTTTTTTTGACGAAATTAACTCGTTATATTCGATATTCACTGCAAAAAATCTTAAAATATATTTATCAATAGGTAAATTAATCAAAAATTGCTTTCCTCGACAAAAATATGCAGTCTTTTATGAGAAAGTGAAATTGTAAGTGGTCCCAAGAAGAAACCTTGCGGCAAAAAAATGTTTATAAGCGATATAAATCAAAGTGGAACTAAAAGGGAACCTTGCGGCACTTTTTTAACGAAATTAGCTCTTTAAATTTGATAAACACTGTAAAAGTCAAAGTGGTTCCAGCAAAAATTGGTTTAGGAGCCATTTTATAACAAAAATAACTGATAACTTTGATATTCACTCTTAATTTTTGATATTCACTGTAAAAAAATCTTAACCCAACAAAAAATTGAGTTTATGAGAAAGACAAAATGATTTCAGCAAAAATTTGTTCAGGAGCTCTTTTTAACGAAAATAACTGATAACTTTGATATTCACTCTTTATTTTTCATTTTCACTGTAAAAAAATCTTAAAACCATTTCAACCCAACAAAAATGATTTCCGCAAAAATTTGTTTAGGAGCTCTTTTTGACGAAAATAACTGATAACTTTAAAATTCACTTTTAATTTTTCATATTCACTGCCAAAAAATCTAAAAACCTCTTCAACCTAACAAAAAAATTGAGTTTATGAGAATACCAAAATGTTTTTAGCAAAAATTTGTTATGAGCTCTTTTAACTGATAACTTTGATATTCACTCTTAATTTTTGATATTCACTGTAAAAAAATCTTAAAACCTCTTAAACCAAACAAAACAATTTACTGTATGAGAATACCAAAATGGTTTCAGCAAAAATTGGTTTAGGAGCTCTTTTTGACGAAAATAACTGAAAACTTTGATATTCACTCTTAATTTTTGATGTTCACTGTAAAAAAAAACTAAAAACCCTTTCATTTTAAATAAATTAACCAGAAAAAATTTATCCCCCAACAAAAATATGCAGTCTTTTATGACAAAGTGATCCAAGTGGTCCCAAGAGGGAACCTTGCGGCACTTCGGCAAAAACGATTTTTTGAACGAAAACAACTGAAAAAAAATGTTTCTAATCAAATTTTGTACTTACAAAGTCTCTGACGAAGGATTCCGGCTCCTTGCCGCCAGTGACGTCAGTCAGCCTGAGTTGCGACACCTGCCACAGGCTCTTGAGGAAGCCCTGACCTTTGGCCTCGGCCACGGTCAAAAGCAACGTGCCCACGAACCTGTAATGGTGGTCCTGGCCGAGACCTTCGAGCATCTTGTGCAGCCTGGTCAGCGGCAGCACCTCCATGCAAATCAGAGAGTCTAAAATCCAAAGGGAAAAATACGTTTTTAACCTTCAAGAATTTCGTACCCACAGATCTATGCTGGTAAGTTTTGGTTGAATTTTTATTAATTTTTATAAATATTTCAACGTGGATTAATTTTTTTTTTAATATTATTAAAAAATATATACAAAGGATTAATAATTAATAACCTATTCATAACAAAATATTAGGTATTAATTAATAGATAAACCTTTGCTATGTAGATATTTATAAATTAATTAATAATCCCTTGTTTTGCATCTTTAAAGGTAAAAACTATTAGGTAAAACATTATTCGCTCATTTATAAGGTAATAATCTTGTGATTTTTCAAAATGAGTACTTTCTGCGTTTCTTTTTAGTTTTTAACAGAACTATTTTTAAATAGTGACAAAGACGTGAGTCTATTTTCTGAAAATTTAAAGAGAAGATTTCCAAATTTGGATGAAAATCAATTTACACTTGAAGAAGTATTAATGGAAAAAAATGTTAAAATTCAATGTTTATTTATTTCTTAAAGTGTGTTTAAGATAGTTAAACAAAAACACGTTTCTAAAACGCATTTAAAAAATAAAAACCGTCATGTTTTTTGATTAAAATATAGTTAATTATACGCAATAAGCATTATTTAACAAAGTAAAAAATAAAAAAACTATTATTTTCTTGCAATACAAAAATTATTGGGTTATTTCCGCAATTGACGCTCTATAAACATAAAAAGGCATTTAAAAATTAAAAACCTTTGTTTTTTTTTTTAAATATAGTTAATTATACGTAATAATCCTTATATAATACAGTGAAAAGGAAAAAAATTAAATTTATTTTGAATAAAAAAGTTTGTGAAATATTTTTGCAAAACAGTCCTTAATGATGATCTAAAAACGCATTTAAAAAATAAAAACCTTTAAAATTTTCGATTAAAATATAGTTAATTATACGTAATAACTCCTATTTAACACTTTAAAAAAAGAAAAAATTAATATTTATTTGCAATAAAAAAGTTATTGAATTTTTTGCGCAATATTGTAGCTGATACATTGTATTGCACCAATCATGAAACGAATTAGCAAACATAGCGAGCACAGCGTCAATCTGCGCAGTATAAAACGCCATCATAAACCATGGGAATGATTTTACGTGGAGCTGGGACTGCGGGGTTAAATACAGAGGCGTACTTACGCAAAATTTCGGCCAGGTATTGCCAGAACATCGGAATATCGATGACCATGTCGTCGGCGATGTCGAACGTTTCCTGCAGGCCGGTGGAAAAGCTCTCGAGCGATACGGTGTCGAGTTTGATGAGGTTGGCCAGGAGTTCGCCGGTTTTTACGCGAGCCGGTCTCGTTTTCTCCAGAATGTTGCAGATGCTGAAAAGATCGAGCGTTTTGGTATCGTTCGTCGGCGATTTATCGAAGGTTTTTTATTTAATTTGGTTTAGTGTGGGAGGGCTACTATCAAACTCCACTCATCGGACGAAAATCCTTGTGGTGCTAGCGAATCCGACCCTGAGATTTTATCTGGCACGCACCTAACACTGGTTAAATACGAGGGATCTAAACAGCTGACTTGGTTGTGCAAAATTTTGATTAAATCGTTTGGGAGCCTAATTTATAGGCAGTACAAATCAATGTGGTCCCAAAAGGAAACCTTGTGGAATACAGGAAAAAAATTATGTAATTTGGGGAAATTTAACATTTTTCTAGAAAAACTAACCAGTTGTTGCAAAAATTTTATCAAATTGGAAGACTGCGTGATTTATAAGCAAAATAAATCAAAGTGCTCCCAAAAAGGAACCTTGTGACACACCGGCAAAAATAATGACTTGGTTTTGCAAATTTGTGATTTAATTAGTGGACTTTGCATTTGATTTTCGAGCGGTACAAATTTAAGTGGTGTCAAAAGGAAACATTGTGGAATACCGGCAAAAAATTATGTAGATTGGGGAAATTTAAGATTTTTCTAGAAAAACTGACCAGTTGTTGCAAAAATTTTATCAAATTAGAACACTTTGCGTGATTTATGAGCAAAACAAATCAAAGTGCTCCCATAAGGGAACCTTGCGGCGCCCCGGCAAAAAATTATAAAAAGCTGACTTGGTTGTGAAAAATTGTGATTTGTTTAGTGTCAAAAGGAAACCTTGTGGAATACCGGCTAAAAATTATGTTATTTGGAAAAATTTAAGGTTTTTCTAGAAAAACTGACCAATTGTTGCAAAATTTTATCAAATTGGAAGACTTTGCGTGATTTATGAGCAAAACAAATCAAAGTGCTCTCAAAAGGGAACCTTGCGGCGCCCCGGCAAAAAATTATAAAAAGCTGACTTGGTTGTGAAAAATTGTGATTTGTTTAGTGTCAAAAGGAAACCTTGTGGAATCCCGGCTAAAAATTATGTTATTTGGAAAAATTTAAGGTTTTTCTGGAAAAACTGACCAATTGTTGCAAAATTTCGATCAAATTAGAAGACTGCGTGATTTATGAGAGAAACAAATCAAAGTGCTCTCAAAAGGGAACTTTGCGGCGCCCCGGCAGAAAATTATAAAAAGCTGACTTGGTTGTGAAAAATTGTGATTTGTTTAGTGTCAAAAGGAAACCTTGTGGAATACCTGCTAAAAATTATGTTATTTGGAAAAATTTAATTGTTGCAATATTTCGATCAAATCAGAAGACTGCGTGATTTATGAGAGAAACAAATCAAAGTGGTCCCAAAAGGGAACCTTGCGGCGCCCCGGCAAAAAACGGCGCGATTCGTGAGAAAACTTACCAGTTGTTGATGAGCTTTGGCACGTAGTCGTCGGGCACGCAGGCCCTGATCTCCTGATCGAACTCGTCGACGCCGATGTTGTCGCTGACGTACTCGTCGAGCGCGTTCTTGAACCGCCGCTCGAGCTGCTCCTCGGACAGCTGCTCGCGGGCCTGCGGCGGCTTGACGGCGGCCGGAGGCGGGGCGACGGCCGCCGCCGGAGCCGCCGCGGCGGGCACGGGAGCGGCCGGTTGCTGATGCTGCTGCTGCTGAGGGGGGCCGCGGTGCTGCTGCTGCTGCTGCGGGGGCGGCGCCCGGCCGTCGTAGCCGCCGCGCTGCGACGAGTTCCGCTCGAGGCTGTGGCCTTTCGAGTGGTACGCGTCGCGTCTGTTGCCGCCGCCGGATTTCTTCTCTTGCGTGTACGAATCGCTTGCCTCCTTTTCCAGCGCGGCGTAGATGTTGTTCGATTGCGCCCCCATCGGCGGAGCCACCACATTTTTAATGTTAGAACCTGACAATAACAAATTCTTAATTGTTACGTATTTTCTTTTCGAAAATGGCAGCTACATTATTTTTATAATGTCGATTATAAGCTCTGAACAAAATATTTATTGTTTGATATTTTTTAACGATATATGATAGAAATTTTAATTTAAGTGTGAGGAACTCTGCCAAATTTAGACAATTTTAAAATTGAAGTTATATCGCAAGGACATTTCCAGCAAAAAGCCGCTTGATTTGATAGATATATGGATATAGTGTGGCAAAATTTGATACAAAATGCCTTTGTATAACAACATTTTATATAGGAAACTTTGCTTTAATATCCACAGTATAAAACGCCACCATAAACCATGGGAATGATTTTATGTGGAGCTGGGACTGTGGTTCATTAAAATACTGAATATTTGGTAAAAAATCACGATGGTCAAAAATGGGAACTTTATGTCACCCCAGCAAAACGCCCATATTTAATCAACAGTTATTATACAATTATTATATAGGTTAATATGATATTAAAAAAAATTAATCATGCTTTCTAAAAATCGTCAGAAATGTAAAAAAATAGTGAAAATTTGAACTACTACTTTATTTTTCAGTTAATTTTCCTAAAATTTCTTAAAAAGTTTTTTTTTAATTAAAATCAGAAAATTAAATTAAAAAACTAGAAAAATGTAAAAAAATAGTTAGAATTAAAATTTTTTGTTCATTTTTCTAAAATTATTTTAAAAAATTCTAAAATACCAAAAATTAGGTTTTTAATCACGATGGTCCAAAATAGGAACTTTGTGGCACCCTAGCAAAAAATACTATATTTTATAGGTAAATCATGATACATTTTATTATAAAAACTTACTAAAAATCGCAAACAATTTAAAAAACAGTGTTGATTTAAACTACTTTTATTTTATTGTTAATTTTTCTAACGTTTATAAAAAAATTCTAAAATACCAAAAATTAGGTTTTTAAGCGATAAAAATCACGATGGTCCAAAATTGGAACCTTGTGGCACCCCAGCAAAATTATTATATTTTAATCAATAAAAAAAATGTTTACAAGTAAATTATTATATTTTAAAAAAACTGAGAAAAGTAATTTCTAAAAATCGCAAAATTTGTAAAAAAAAGTAAGAATTTATTTTCTAGTTAATTTCCCAAGATTACTAAAAAAAAAATTTTAAATATCAAAAATAAAGTTTTTAAGCGATAAAAATCAGAATGGTCCAAAATGGCGCAAAATCGCGAGAAATGTAAAAAAGTGAGAATTTATTTTTAGTTAATTTTCCTAAAATTCCTATAAGAGACATATTTTTGTACAGGTAAATTATGATATTTAATAAAAACTGGGAAAATTGATCATGATAAAAATTGAGTAAAATGTAAAAAAAAACATTGAGAATTTAAATTACTTTTATTTTTAGTTAATTTTCCTAAAATTTCTAAAAGAAAAAAGTTCCAAAAATTTAAAGCGATAAAAATAACGATAAAAACTTAAATGTAAAAAAACAATGAGTACTTATTTAAACTACTTTTACTTTTTTGTTCATTTTTCTAAAAAAAAAGTTCTAAAATACCAAAAAATTAAGCCATAAAAATCAAGATGGAAACCTTGTTGCAGTCCAGCAAAACTACTACTACTACTAGTATTTAAAATCGCAAAAAATGTAAAAAAAACAATGAGAAATTATTTTTTAGTTAAAAAATATATTTTTGTACAGGTAAATTATGATATTTAAAAAAAAGTGGGAAAATTAATCAGGCTTTCTAAAAATCGCAAATATGTAAAAAAAACAGTGAAAATTTAAACAAATTTAATTAATTTTTCTGAAATTTCTTAAAAAAAAATTAAATACCAAAAATAAAGAGATAAAAATAATAATGGTTGAAAATAAGAACCCTGTGGCACCATAGCAAAAAATATTTGGTATTTTTATAAAATTGATAAAATCGCAAGTAAAAATTAATAAAAAACAAGCAAAAAAAAAATGTTTCCTCACCTTTTCCCCAGGTGTTGAACAAGTTGGCGCTACCGAGCGACATCTCCTCCATCTGCGGCGGCTTGCTCTTCAGCTTGTCGCTCTGCACGCTGAAGTGCTGCTGCGCGCGGTGGTTCCTCCCCGTCTGTATCCACCCGTCGTCCCCCACGTTGTTCTTGCGCTGCTTCCCTCCGCCGCCTCTATCCCCGGAGTTGGAGTTCTGATTCCCGCCGCCGCCGCGGTCGTCCTTGCGCTGCGCCGGCATCGAGTTCATCGCCGCGATGTTGTTCTGCTCGTCCTGCGCCTCCTTCTGGATCTGGTCGATCGTCTTCGGGTTCACGTCCTGCCGGCGCGGCACCCACTTGGCGCCGCGCAGGTCTATCACGTCCTGCAGCATGAACTTGACGCGCGAGCTCACCTTTATCGAGCGCCGCTCGACGATGTCGCGCATCACCTTGAAGATCGGCTCGAGCGGCACGTTTTTCGTCTCCAACTCTTTGCCGATGGTGGTGAGCAGCTTGCACAGGCACTCGAGGCTCTCCTCGTCCTTGTTGTCGAGCAGGTTGTGCAGGCAGCGCAGCATGATGTTCACGGTGAGCATCTGCTGCTTGAAGAGTTCGCCTGCAATTCGGAACGACGAAAATGTACCTTGTTGTTCTCCGCAGAAAAACATGCAAAAAGGCGCGTTGGGTTTTGTATAATCAGTCTTAAAAGTGTCCTCAAAGAATTCAGTCCACTACTTTCATATTACCATCATGTTAAAATTCATATAGGAGCTAAGAGTCTGTAGGGTTTATTGATTTTTTTTTACTAAAATTTTCAGCAATATTAATAGGCCAGATAGAGATGTAAAAAAAACGTAGAAAAAAACGTTTTTTTAGTTTTTTTTTAAATTCTCTACAATAAAGCATATTCTGTTAATAAATAACATCAATCTTAAGAAATTGAGTATTTTTTCAATATTAAATTTGTATATTAATAATAAAGTGAAATTTAGAATATATGTATTATATTTTCCATTATTGAAAATTATTATTTGGTTATTTCCACATAAGAAACCAATAACAATGTAAAACTTCTTCAAGTATATTATAGGTAAGTACTGGAAACATACAAAATTGGGCAAATAAAACTAATCTTGAAAAAATCTAATATGAAAAAAAACCATTTGAAAAAAAAAGTCACATCTCCAATGTCTTAACAAATCTTTGAAAATGTGGTCATGAATGGAGTGGATATCAGAAAAATTACCAACATAACAAGAATATAGTTCTTAAGTGACAAAAATCAGGATGGTCCAAAATAGGAACCTTGTGGCATCCCAGCAAATCTACCATGTTTTACCAATAGTATAAGGTTTTATAGATAAATTATGATACTTAACAAAAATACAGTAAGAATTTAAGCTACTATATTTTCTTAAAAAAATTACTAAAATAACAAAAATAAAGTTCTTAATAAAGCGAAAAAAATCAGGATGGTATAAAATAGGAACCTTATGGCACCCCAGCAAAAATATCATATTTAAAACAATATAATTTTTTATAGATAAATTATGATACTTCTTATATAAAAACCGAAAAATGTAAAAATCAGTGAAAATTTATACTACTTTTATTTTTTTGTTAATTTTTCTAAAATTTATTTAAAAAAATTTTTAAATACCAAAATAAAGTTTTTAAGAGATAAAAATAACAATGGTCCAAAATGGGAACCTTGTGGCACCCCAGCAAAACTACCTTATTTTAACCAATAGTATAATTTTTATAGAGGTAAATTTTGATACTTAAAAAAGTGAGAAAATTGATCAGCCTTACTAAAAACCTCAAAAATGTAAAAAAACAGTACTTTATATTTTAGTTAATTTTCCTAAATTTAAAAAAAAGTAAAAATATAACAAAATAAAGTTTTTGAGCAATAAAAATCAGGATGGTCCAAAATAGGAACCTTGTGGCACCCCAACAAAAATATCATATTTTAGCCAACAATATAATTTTTTATAGACAAATTATGATACTTTTCATATAAAAACTGAAAAAATTTATCAGGCTTACTAAAAATCGCGAAAATTATTAAAGAAACGTTTATTTTTTAGTTAATTTTTATGAAATGAATTAAAAAATTTTCCAAATACCAAAAATAGAGATAAAAATAACAATGGTCCAATATGAGAACCTTGTGGCACCCCAGCAAAAATACCATCCTTTAACCAATAATATAATTTGTAAGTAGGTAAATTATGATACTTTTTATGTAAATAAAAACTGGGGGAATTGATCAGGCTTACTAAAAATCGCAAAAAATGTAAAAAAAGTAAGAATTTAAACTATTTTATTTTTTAGTTAATTTTCTAAATTTTCTTAAAAAAATTACTAAAATAACAGAAATAAAGTTTTTAAGCAATAAAAATTTTAACCAATAGTATAATTTCATATAGGCAAATTAAAAATAAAAAACTGGGAAAATTTATCAGGCTTACTAAAAATCGCGAAAAATATAAAAGAAAAAGTGAGAATTTAAATTTATTATATATTTTAGTTAATTTTCATGAAATGTATTAATCATTTTCAAAAATACCAAATATAGAGACCTCAGCAAAATACCATCTTTTAACCAATAATATAAATTGTCAATGACAATTTGTCATAGATAAAAACGTACAAGAAAGACACAATAATAAAATCTTTCTAAAACTTTGTAAATGTGTTTTAAGCAGACTCTACTGCAACCTAGAATTTTCTTATAGCGACGAATTAAATAATTAAAGTTAAAAAAAACTCACCGATAAATCTAATATTGCCGACGCTCTTCATCCTCAATTTCCTATCGTGCTCGTCCAACTCAAACTGCAGGTCCTTCTTCTTGTCCGCATCGGCGGTAGCTTCGATTTCCTTCATCTTAACTTCCCTCGTGGACTCGTCCACCGACTGCTTCTCGAACTCCATCTGGCACCGGGTGATCAGCAGCTTCCTGAAGTTGACAAACTCCGGCGCTTCGGGCTTGCTGTTGGCAGTGGGCACCTGGATCAGCGCCAGCTCCCTGCACATCAAGGCGTACGCGACCGAGAAGTTCGGCTCGTCCACAGCCTTCTCGAACACGAGATCTATGACGCCCTGCAGGCGGTCGGCGTTGCCGATTTTCAGCGTGCGCACCTGCGTCACCAGAGTGTCGAACTTCTGCGGCGTGAGCTTGTTGAGCACGCCGCGCACCTTCTTGTACAGCTCGGCGGTCTTCTTGTCCTCGTCGCTGGCCGTTTCCGGCTTCGCGTTCAGCCGAGCCGGTTTCCACGCGTTCTCGGTCAAGTTGAGCTTGACGTCGTCGCGTATCGACAGGGATATCGACAGCTTGCCGGGCATCTTGTTGTTCTTGCCGCTGCCGCCCAGCTTGCCCGATTGGCTGTTGCGTTTCGGTAGCACCTGAAATATCGATCGCCGTAAAAATGCTGCCCGGAAATAAACGCAGTTCGTGGTGCAACCAAAGTAACATCAGATTATTTTTATCCTCAACGTTTAGTCGGATCACTACTTTCATCGAATTAAATTAAAATCATCATGAAAAAAATAAATGCATAACCAATTTCTAAAGTTACTGCTAGAGATTTAAAAAACGGGTTTTTTTGCGCAAAATGTATATTAATAATAAAGTGAAATTTAGGGTGTTATGTAATTAACTTAATATATTAAAATGAGTGGCCCATAAAGAAAATAGCAAAAAATGTAAAAAAACTAAAAATTTAAACAACTTTAAATAAAAATCATCATAAAAAAAATAAATGAGGTATAATGACGTCAGCATAAACAACTTGTAAAGTTACTGCTAGAGATGTAAAAAAACGGTTTTTTTCAGAAAATGAAATTTTAAGCAAAATGTATACTAATAATAAAGTGAAATTTAGAATAGATACAGGGTTATGTAATTAATAATTAATACAGAAAATCGCAACAAAAATTGAAAAATTAAACAATTTTCCCAAATTTTCCTAAAAAAATTACTAAAATAACAAAAATAAAGTTTTTAAGCAGTAAAAATCAGGATGGTCCAAAATAGGAACCTTGTGGCACCCTAGCAAAACTACCATATTTCGACCAATAGTATAATTTTTTAAGGTAAATTATTATACTTTTTAAATAAAAACTGGGGGAATTGATCAGGCTTACTAAAAATCGCAAAAATGTAAAAAAAGAGGAGAAATTTAAACAACTTTATTTTTAAGTTAATTTTCCCAAATTTTCTTTAAAAATTTAACAAAATAACAAAAATAAAGTTTTTAAGCAATAAAAATCGAGATGGTCCAAAATAGGAACCTTGTGGCACCCTAGCAAAACTAACATATTTCGACCAATAGTAAGTATAAGTTTTTTTAAGGTAAATTATTATATTTTTTAAATAAAAATTGGTGGAATTGATCATGCTTACTAAAAATCGCAAAAAATTTAAAAATAAGTGAAAATTTTAACAATTTTATTTTTTTGTTAATTTACCCAAATTTTCTAAAAAAAATGTACAAAAATAACAAAAATAAAGTTTTTAAGCAATAAAAATCGGGATGATCCAAAATAGGAACCTTGTGGCACCCTAGCAAAACTTCCATATTTTAACCAAAATAGTACAATTTTTTTAATGTAAATTATTATACTTTTTAAATAAAAACTGGGGGAATTGACCAGGCTTACTAAAAATCGCAAAAAATGTTAAAAAAAGTTGAAATTTAAACAACTTTATTTTTTAGTTAATTTTCCCAAATTTTCTTAAAAAATTTACCAAAATATAAAAATAAAGTTTTTAAGCAATAAAAATCAGGATAGTCCAAACTAGGAACCTTGTGGCATCATAGCAAAACTACCATGTTTTAACGAATAGTATAATTTTTTTATAGGAAAATTATAATACTTAAAAAAAAGTGACAAAATTGATCAGGCTTACTAAAAATCACAAAAATGTAAAAAAACAGTAAGAATTTAAACTACTTTATTTTTTACTTAAATTTCCTGAAATTTATTAAAAATACCAAAAATAAAGTTTTTAAGCGATAAAAATAAAGATGGTGCAAAATAAAATGTAAAAAACGTTGTTTTTTTTCAAAATTGAAAAGAAATGACAATAAACTTGGTTTATTTTTAAATGCAACTAGCAAATTTAGACTAATCTGGTTGCCTAATTTAATTTATTATGTTATGGTTGGTAACAACCAGTTTCCAGATTCTGTCAAAAAAAGTTGCCAGATTTTGTTTAAATTCAGCTTAATTACAAAAATGATAAAATCAAAAATGCAAATTGTTAATTTGGCGTTTTTATTAATTGTTGATTATGTCATTTTTGTAATGAAGGTAAATTCAAACAAAATATGGCAACTTTTATGACAGAATCTAGTTCACTTCTTTCTAATTTTAGGTTATGTACTCAAAATTGTAGATATCTTAACTAAGGGAAGTGCTTTTGGATTTATTTACACAAATTGAATGTTTAAAGTTTAACCTGTGAACTTGTCCTAATTTCATCTGAGTAAACAGAAGAAAAAAAAACGATAAAAAAATTAATTTTGTGGTTATGGAGTTTTTAAAATAGTTACTAAATTTTCTAATCATTGCTTAAGCTAATAGCTCGATGAGTAAATAAAAACAGAAGAAAATATAAAAAACTTCTAATGCATATTTTTTCTTAATCTTTGGGAATATATTGTTTTAAATATTTTACCGTTACACCTTATGTTAAAAGGTATTCAGTATTTTAATATATTATATTAATTACATAACACCCTGTTTATCATTTAGTGTCTAAATTTTGTCTATGAACTGGACTGGAAACATAAAAAAATAGGCGAATGGAACGCGATTATAGTCTAAAGTAAACTTGTACTCACTCCGCCCTTCTGCGAGTTGGACTTGATGTAAGGCGGGTTGCTGAAATCGGTTCCTCTACCGCTCAAAGACGAAAACCTGCCCTCCTGCTGCCTCCTGTTGTTCTCGTCGAAGGATATGGCGTCGTAAATGTTGTTGGGCTTCAGTTTGCTGGCCGGCGCGTCCTTCAGGCTGAACAAGAACTCCCTGTTGTAGACTTTCTTGCCGTCTTTGTTGAAGGGCGACCATTGACCTGAGATACCCGGAAATTTAGTTTTTGTTTAAACAAAAAATTACGAAAAAAAATGATTTTAAGGGAAATGTAGCTGATACATTGTATTGCACTAATCATGAAATAAATTAGCAAACATAGCGAGCACAGCGTCAATCTCCACAGTATAAAACGCCACCATAAACCATGGGAATGATCTTATGTGGAGCTGGGACTGTGGTACACAATATTCATCAAAATTTGTGCAATTAAAACCTCTTTATTAATCAATTAAACAAAAAATTGCTTCCCCCAAAAAAAATATGCAGTCGTTTATGAGAAAGTCAAATCTAAGTGGTCCCAAGAAGGAACCCTGCGGCAACCCATCGAAAATGTGTAAATGAGCGTTATAAACCGAAACGGTACTAAATGGAACACAATTAACACTTAATATTCAGTATTCACTTTAAAAAAAATCTCTAAAACTTCATCATTGATAAATTAATCAAAAAATTGCTTTCCTCAACAAATTAATAAAAAAAATGCTTTTCTAAACAAAAATATGCAGTTGTTTATGAGAAAGTAAAATCTAGGCGGCCCCAAGAAGGAACCTTGCGGCACCCCAGCAAAAATGTGATTGTAAGCGTTATAAACCAAAGTGGTTAAAAAGGGAACCTTGTGACACTTTTTTTTTAACGAAATTAACTCTTGATATTCGATATTCACTGCAAAAAAATCTTGAAACATCTTCATCAATAGGTAAATTAATCAAAAATTGCTTTCCTCAACAAAAATATGAGAAAATCAAATCCAAGTGGTCCCAAGAAGAAATCTTGCGGCAGAAATGTGTTTATAAGCGATATAACGAAATTAACATTTGATATTTGATATACATTGTAAAAAAATCTTAAAAACTTCTTCATTGATAAATTAATAAAAAAAAAGCTTCTCCCAATAAAAATATGCGGTCTTTTATGAGAAAGTGAAATCCAAGTGGTCCCAAGAAGGAACCCTGCGGCAGCCCAGCAAAAATGTGTTTATGAACGTTGATATTCACTGTAAAAAAACTTTGTCATAATTTGTACTCACCGTCTTCGTATTTGAGGTTGTCGGCGTTGGAGTTGTTGGTCTCTTTGGCGTTGGCCTCGTTTTTGGCCTGGACCAACCGTTCGTTGGAGGAGATCGCAGCTCTGTCGGGTTCGTCCTCGGAAGCGGCGGGTTTCGGTTGGGGGGCGGTCGAAATTTTGGGAGGCGGTTGATCCTTGACTATGCTCAGAACGTCGAACATCGGCTTGGATTGCTTCTCGCTTTTGCTGATTGTCGTCGTCGTCGTAATTGCGATCGGATCTTTGCTCTTGGCTGCGGGGGCGGTGTTTTCGTTTAAATCCGCCGCCGCCGCCGGCGCGGGGGCGGCAGGCTGAACGGAGTTGGCGTTGATCGCGTCCGCGGCGGCGGGTTTAGCGTTCGCGTTCGTCGCGTCCTCGTTGGAGACGGCGACGTCGCTAATCGCGTCCATGTCCGTTCCCTCTTTGCTCGCGCCCTTCTGATTGAGGTCGGTCTTTTTGCTGCCCTTGCTGTTGCTGTTCTTGGGCTGCGACGCCGGCACAGCGGCGACATTGTTACCTTTTTGCCCAGTCTGTTTGCCAACTTGTGATTGTTGCTGCTGCTGGTTGATTATCTTGTTTGCTTGGTTTTTAGATTTCGCTGCAAGAGTAACAATAACAATCAAAACACGTCCACAAACAGCAATTGTAAACAAAATCGTCGTCAAAATTGAAAACTTGTAGCTGATACATTGTATTGCACCAATCATGAAATGAATTAGCAAACATAGCGAGCACAGCGTCAATCTCCACAGTATAAAACGCCACCATAAACCATGGGAATGATCTTATGTGGAGCTGGGACTGTGGTACACAATATTTATCAAAATTTGTACAATTAAAACTTTTTTATTAATCAATTAAACGCCTCAACAATAAAATATGCAGTCGTTTATAACAAAGTCAAATCTAAGTGGTCCCAAGAAGGAACCCTGCGGCAACCCAGCAAAAATGTGTAAATGAGCGTTATAAACCAAAACGGTACTAAATGGAAACCTTGAGTATTTTTTTAACACAATGCACTTTAAAAAAATCTCGAAAACTTCATCATTTATAAATTAATCAAAAAATTGCTTTCCTCAACAAATTAATAAAAATAAATGCTTCCCTAAACAAAAATATGCAGTTGTTTATGAGAAAGTATAATCTAGGCGGTCCCAAGAAGGAACCTTGCGACACCTCAGCAAAAAAGGAACCTGTGTCACTTTTTTTTAACGAAATTAACTCCTGATATTTGATATTCATATATTATATCACGAGAACTATGAATTTAATCGGTTAAACTAGGCTCAGTAGTTTTTTGTTTGGTTTTTCTTGGAAAATGTTGAATGCAAAATAATTTAATAAAATCACAAGACCGCGTAGCGGTCGAGGGGTTTAATTTTTAATTATTTTGCATGAAACTATTTTCCAAAAAGAAAAATCAAATAAAAACTTACTGAGCATAGGTTGACAGATTAAATTTATAGGTTGAGTGATATACGTCTAGATTATTTCTCGAATTAAAGGAAACTATTTGACAATTCATAAAATCTGACGTATGTGTCAAAATTTATAAATATTTTTTTAAAGAATAGTATATTAAAGTACAAGTTGCAGAAGGCCACATATTCTCGCACGAATTCGAAATTTGGCCTCGAGCGACGAAGGAGCGAGTGGACGAACGAATGAGTGCGAGAATAGCCTTCTGCAACGTGTGATTTATACTATTTTCTCGATTTTAACTTTTATTTAGGTTTTTTTTAATGTTTTGTGGTCGTTGTTAGTTGGGGGATTTTTCTCGCAAAATGTCAGTTGGCAACACAAAATGACAGTTGCATGGACAGGTAGATTTATGTTTATTTACTATTTATTAATAATCTGTCTGTATTTGTCAACTGGATAATAAGGTTTTGTGTAAGTATTGTATTATTTTTTAATGTTTTCTGATATTTTTGAACAATTGTGTTTACTTTTAGCAGTGAAAAATGTCACAGGAGGTTTTACAAGCAACACTGAACATTACAATAAAAGTTTATAACAATTGTGCTAATGATTAATTTATAGTAGTTTTGTGTTTTGTGTACTGTGGGTATATAATATTTCCAATAATATATAGTTTGATTGACCTGTTTGGCTCATTAATTAAATAAATTTATTTGTCAATATTTGTTATCCTGCACAAGTACAACTGAACTGCACTTTTTCACAAAAACAATAATATAACAAAACAATAATAAAGGCTTCATTTTCAATAAAAGTTTAGTTCAGGTTGCACTAGTGCAGGATAACAAACAAAGCTATTATAAATATTCCTAAAAGTAATGAATTTGAGGTTATTAAACAGTTTGACATTTTGGGGGTACCAATACTTAAAAACTAAATGTTACCAAAATCGTTTAAGAATGAGCTTCATTCTTCAACGATTTTGCGTGCGAGAATATGACATTCTTACATAAAAATCGAGAAAATTCCATTAATTTAAGGTATGTAATAAGTAATAATTGATATTTCGTAAACTAGATAACTTATTTTGTATTGTTTTTAAAAAAAAATTTGTTAAAACTTGTAAATAATACCATAAAATCGTAAACAAAAATCTAATATGGAGGCTAAAATGTAATCGCTGTTAAATAGTTCTAGTGATTTAATCGCTTATTTAAACGAAATTTATTCGAAAATTCAAGGCTTTTGATTGGTTCATATTATAATGAGGGAAATAATCACTGTACAAAAATCTTAAAACCTCTTCATCAATAGGTAAATTAATCAAAAAATGCTTTCCTCAACAAAAATATGCAGTCATGAGAAAGTGAAATCTAAGTGGTCCCAAGAAGAAACCCTGCGGCAAAAAAATGTTTACAAGCGATATAAACCAAAGTGGTACTAAAAGGGAACCTTGCGGCACTTTTTTAACGAAATTAACTCTTGATATTTGATATGCACTGTAAAAAACTTCTACATTAATAAATTAATAAAAAAATACTTCCCCCAACAAAAATATGCAGTTTATGAGAAAGTTAAATCTAAGTGGTCCCGAAAAGAAACCTTGCGGCACACCCAAATATAATACGTATTTTATGCATCCAGAAGTATATTTGGCAACGTGGCGGTAGATCGTCACATCTTTTGGCGCATTATATTATTAGAGGTAGCCGTTTTGGCACGCCGACAAGAATTTCGCTGCAGCAGACTGGAATAAATCCCGTTTTAGATAAGCGGCGTCTGAAACACGAATGCCATAAATACAAAACTGCCTCCGCTTTCCGCCATTTTGTCATGCATTATTCATCGAATAACATCGATTTAAAAATTTGAATAAAAACAGGTACTTGGTGCTAATTAAAGATAAACATAAGTACCTACACCTACTTCATATATTATTTGAAGATATCGATAATATAAACCAACGTAATAATAGAAAAGTTTTTGGCACGATTCCATCGCAGTATCGTGTAAAAAAATTCTGAAGTAATCATATTGGATTGGAATTAATTGCCGAGCGGAATAAATTATGGGCCGATTGAAAAAAAACTGCATGCTTGGAATTCCTTGGAGTTAATTTCCATCGGCAGGTGAACCTGTTATACTCGGTGTGCCACGTCTAAAACGCCCACTGCTTAATAAAAATGCAATAAAATGGATACTAAGTTGCGAAATTCAAGTGCCAATCTCTAGGATGTATGTAGTTGCATACGACGAATTAAAAGCCATTTTAATTCATAAATATTTGACATTTGACAAATTTAACCTTACTTTTTCGTATTTTATAATAAAGATAACTTTTTTTGGAGATGTGGAATTTCAATGGAAATTTTGCAACTCCGAAAGGTCACTTAATTGATAACTTTATCAAAATATGCAGTGACGACGAAATCTGCATTAATAAAAAATGGGGCGCGCTAAAGCTGGCAACCGCGCTTTCGGTCGCCATGCTTATTTCGGCTTTCGATGGCCTCGACAGTTGCGGTCCTTTGGATAAGAGAACGGACGCTTTTATCAGCAACGACGGAAAACCCAAAGTTCAACGGCGTGCGTCAACATAATAAATTACGATATTCCATTTTTGCGTCCAGGTGGACGAGCGTTGCGCTGTTGCCGCTCGCAGGTCAACAATTTCGAAGTTGATTGGTTAGTTCGTCGGATAGCAGCTGTTTTCGAAACCACGTGGCCGAGTTTCGTTGTTCGCTTGTTTGTTCGGCATTGACCCCGCCGATTGCTTATTGAATATCGTGCAACGATAATGAGGACCCAATGCGACGTTGCCAAGTCGTAATGGTTTCGATATTGAATAACTAGATAAAAAACAAACAATTTTTTACACAGTAGCTTCTGAATTGTCCATATTGAATATTTTTGTGATTCGAGACGTTGCCAAATATCACAAAATAGGCTTGTACTAAAAAATATACGTAAGGACGTCATTTAAACCTTAAAACCGATATAAATGTGTAACCATAACAAAAAAGGCCGGTAAAAGTGACTTTTGGCGAGCGACGTTGCCAAATACAACAAATCGCCGCATTTTACGTGGAAAACTTTGGCAACATCGCTGGAGACGGCCACGCGGGCGTTAAACCTGCAATTTGCAGACGTCTCCCTTTTATAGGTTAACTTTGCCCGTCTGTGGGATTGCGTATGCATGAATGGATGGAATTATAATATCTCGCCGAGCGAAACTGGTATATGGAAGGTCATCTTTCGCAAGAGCGAACAACTTTCTAAAAGCGCGCACGGGAGAGAAAAATTTCGGCGCGTGATGTAAGATGAATGTAACATATGGCGGCGTGCGAAAAATTTACCAACCCTTGCTTACGGTGGTCCAATCGTTGTCCGGGTCCTCCATCGTGTAAATTCTATTCTCGGATGCGACGATGATGCATGTGCGCGCGTGTGGGCAGGCGGCTCCCAAAATCGGTCACGGAAAATTTACTATCACAATTTCACTTATTCTTCTATAGTACGTTGCTATTCTATTACGTAGACTTTGAGCTTATGGTAACAAACCCCGTACCTCGTGTAAAGCAAGGTCAAACTTAACAAAATTAAATATGTATATGTAATATAACTATGAGTAGACGTGCACAACACTTAACAGACTTTCGGTTAACGTATTTAAAAGTAAAACTTGGTTTGAGTATTTTTTTTTAAATTTTTTGATTTTTCAACAGCGCGTACCACGTTGCGTCCGACCCATGCGGTCGACGCTCAATAAGAGATCGGCTGCCATGTTACTTTAAAAATCGTCCGCGATCGCCTTAAACACGAACTTGCACGAAAACCGGCTACACCTTGCCAAACTTACTTATCCCCCCCCAGAAACCATCTTAACGCGGCAACACCGCACCGAATTAATGCTAATTACATTCCAAACCCTACTTTTACCTCACAATAATTAACCGAAAACCCATCGCAGACGGACGTTTTATAATTTTTAATTTAATTGCGATGTAACAGCGGCAACCGCGCTCCGTGCCGTTTAGGCGTGACAAATCGCTTTTACAGACAGACGGGTCCTAATTTTCATATCGAGAAGGCGCTGGTCGGTCACGTGGTGCCGGCGTGCAACAATGCACCCACATTGTCATGCATAATTTTTTTATGTTAAACATTATTATAATTAAAGTTGTTGGAATCCATAACTCGTTTTAAAATCTCAAAACGACCTTCGCAGATAGGATTGTTCGTTTTTTTCTTTCAAGAAACCACGTCACAAATTAAATTATCTGAAGTAGGGCAGTTTTTACATATCTTTTATTCCCACTTAAACTCGCAACATTCTGATGAAAAATGCTATAAAAGTCTTTAATAATGCTGTAGAATATGGATTTTATCTAGTATTTAACTTTAACGTTCATAAAACTAATTACCTATAGGTATATGTATATAGGTACTAAAAATTGACATTTCATAGATACAATTAAAAAAAACAGTTAAAGGGTTATCTCTGTATTAACCAATCGGAGAACGGCATTCTCCATCGCGCCCAGTGTGCTGTGAAAAAAGCCGTAATCTGATTGGTTTATTGCTTTCTATGGAATATACTCGCAAATGTCAAGAAACGTTTGGTTTTTGATAGCTCTTAAAAGTGAGTCATTGTCGCGTATAGAAATTATGTCAAGTTAAAAGAATTCGCAGTATTATTAATAAAGTAAGACACGAATGTTAAATCTTAAATGTCCAATAAAATGTATGCAACATTTGAGTCACCACCACCTATCTCGCTCTTTCTCTTTACACACGAAACTGTCACTAACCTTTTGAAATCTATAAATAATTCAAACTCGAAAACTAAATGCATGCGTGAAAATTTCGACGAAAATAACATTTTCTTTCTAATGTTGGAGATATGCAGATACGTGGACACAAATCCCGAAATATTTTTTTTCCAATTACCATTTCACTTTAAAAATAACCGACCCACTTTGCATTGTGTTATTGACGACCGTTCAATGAATGAATCGTTTATTTTTAGGCAAACAAATTCGTTAAAAACTACGATTTCTACGTGCCCTTGTTACCGCGGACAAAATATAAACGCCAATTTACTGATCTGTTTTGTTTTATGTAATGTTTACAGATTTCCAAGGCAACTGCATTAAAACAAATGAAATTAGACCTTTACGCTTTTCGAGCCATTAAATACAAGTTAAAAATAGTGTTAAATAATGAAATTTATTAGGAATCAATTAGTATCTTTCCCGACTACAAACACAAGGTTGTAAACAAGACGATAACCCAACCATATTAGTTATAGACTTACGTTTTCTTCTGCCCATCGTATTGTGCACTCGGATAAAATAAAAAATTAAAACATGAGTGTCCGTTAATTAAAAACACAATAAAATCGATTAATAATCACGCTTTAAAACGGCCGCAAATGCTGCAAAATTTGTATAGTAGAAACGCACACGTGCCCGTCTAGTCGGCCATCGGTAATTCTTTTTGTTTTTTTGCCCAGCGCGCCGCGAGTTTTTGCGATGTCCGTTTTTTGCGTACTTGGCAACTGCAACGCGCGCGACCAAAAACTATTTAAACCGCAGAAATTGTTTTGACGACCTTAGAAGAGCGATTTGACTGGAATCATTTGAGGCTAATAATGAAAAAAGAAACGAATTTGCTTTGTCGATAATCGCCGGGAGAAAGGGGCCTACATTATCGATTTGGTTTTGTGATGTTTGACATGTGATTTCAAGGCCTCCCGATTTTGTGCGTTTTATTGAAAATTTCGTTAATCACCTACAATATTAATTACAAATTGTTAAACTGCGCAATAAATTATTAAAACCGACTGACGTTTATTGAGATAAGTGACAATTTATTCGCAGGTTAACCTAAAAACGTTTTGTTTTCAAGGGTAATTTGTTTGTGCTAATTTTATTACAAACGTGTATTTTTAAGTACTTTTCTCACACAAATAGACAGTAAACAGAAAAATTCCTGAAATTTAATTTATTTTAGGTACTTGTTTTAAGTCATGAAAAGTACCTAGGTACCTAATAAAGTTAAAGAAGAATAGGTAGTATTAATTATAAACTTTGTTAATATTTTAAAAATATGTTTTTGCTGATAAGTAATTTTTTAATTATAAAGATGACATTTTTTCACGTGTATTATTGACCAAGAAGACTAAATAAAGGACATTTAAATTGGTATAAATGAATGTTTTTTCTGTTGATTGTTAGGTAATAAACATAACTGCACCTTTAAAACATTACAAAAACATGTTTTTTTCTCGACTCTTAACCAATTTTCTATAATTTTGAAAGATAAGTCATGGGAATTAAAGAAAATCGTAAAAAATATAAAAATATACGTATTTATCACATGATTTTCAATTTAAAATGTGCAATGATTATCTTTGCAAGTGATAAACAAATACCCAATATAATATTGGAAATATTTATAATTTTTAAGTTTAAAATATAGCAAAACACTTATTTTAAGATAAAAATACAAGAATGATTGGTCCATGGTTTTAAATTCCTACATTACATAATAATACGTGCATTAATTTTACCAAATCACCAATACGCGCAAAGAGCATATGTTATTGGTCAATCAGTGATAAAAAGGCGTGGCTTTCAAAGATTTTGCGACAATTAACCAATAGCGTGCCGAGGCAGTTAGTAAAATGAACTTGCTATAGTTTTATAAACGTCATTTATCTATTTTGGTTTCATAATGACTTCATTATAACACCGCTTTTGGTTCTTTAATGAGGTACTTTATTCCACCCAAAATTTTGATTTTATAGGTTGGCTACTGGTAAAATACAATTTTGAATACCTATAGGTTATAATATTTTTATGATTTGTTTTCTAGTACTTACGAGACTTTTCGTGCAATAAATTTTGTTTAACACCAAAGAAAATCCTTTTTTCTTCTTTAACAGCCGCTTATTGTAAATACTTATTGTAAATTAACGACGCCATAGCGAAAGAATGTGATAATGTTTGAAAGGTTAATGACCTTTCAAACTTCAAACTGAGATACCAACTATGTAAAGTAAAATTCAACCAAATTAAATATAAGGTATAAAATTAATTTGTTTTATGAATTTTTGCAAAATAGATAAAATAGCATAAGGAACTCATGTCACTTGTCCATTATAAAACTCGCTCCTTCGTCGCTCGTTTTATAAATTGTCCGCGTGCGACAAAATGACGTCTTATGACATTAGTTCTTTAATATACTATTAATACACGAGTTTTTAATAATAAATTATTGTTTAGAGGCAATTTTTGGTATACCCAATTTTCTGTTAGACACTTATGGTAACTTTTCACCACATATTTTTTTACAGCTTTTACTAATAATAAAAATTATAAAACGAATGTATCGGAAACCCGTTTCAAAAGTGTCGCAAGTAAAAAAAGCAGTTTAGAGATTTTTTTTTACTTTTGACATTTCAAAGCGGGCGGGCGTTATTATTACCTGTAAAAATGCATTTTTATAATTTTTTTACCTTGTCTAGCGTTAAGTTAAGTTAAGTTAATCCAATAAATAAAACATATTCTGAAAAATAATAATAAGGTTGGCTCAATAACTTGAAACTTTGGAAATATCTTATTTAGTATTCATTTTACGGAAAATTGTTTAAAATAAAAATTAAATGATTCGAGGGGGGAAATCAATCAGTACTAAAATTGGTCCTCATACTCTCCTCCTTATAGGGGGAACAGGGGGTAACTTAAAAATTTCCAATGGAACACCCTATTTTTTTTTTGCAGATTCGGATCATTCGACTAAAAATAGATAATTTTTTTCATATTTGTAATAGATGGCGCAGTAAAAACACATTTTAAAATGTTTTATAAAAATACTAAGAATGTCAACAAAGAAATACAATTAAAACTGTCAAACTCACTTAAGAATGTCACATGTTTAATAATGTTTTATTATAAAACTAAGAATGTCAAGACAAAAACACAAAAAAAATGAAAAACTTAAGAATGTCAAAAACACATTTTAAAATGTTTTATAAAAATACTAAGAATGTCAAGACAGAAAAACAATTAAAAATGTAAAAATACCCTAAGAATCTCAAAAATACAATTAAGAATATCAAAAAACTAAAAATTAAAAGGCAAAAACACAATAAAATTGCCAAAATCGATTAGGAATGTCAAAAACACATTTTAGAATGTTTTATAGAAAACCTAAAAATGTAAAAAAATACAATTAAAAATGTCGTCAAATCATGCTTTATGAAAAAATGTCAAGACAAAAACACAATTAAAATGTAAAACACAGGTGGAATGAAGTTTTGGCCATTTTTGGCCATAAACGATTTAAGTACGTTTTTAAAATAGACAGAGACGCTCTGAAAAAAAACTAGCAAAAACCCGTCACCTCAAACTAAAAAGAGCACTTACCGGTTTCTTGGTGAGCGCCGTCTCCATCGGGCGAAAGTTCCTTGGCGTCCGCCCCTTTGGCGGCGTCCTTCTTCCCCTCCTCCTTCTTCTTCTCCGGCTGCGTCGAGCCGACGTTGGTCGAGCCGACGGCGGCCGCCTCCGAAGGCTTGTCTTCGGCCGGCGGCGCGGTTGCCGCCGCCTCCTTTTCGGCCGCGGGAGCGGCTGTGGGAGCGGCAACGCCGCCGCGGTCCTTCTTGCGGCCCTTTACGGGACTCTCGCGGTCCGATTTCGGCGGCTTGCTGGGCAACGTCACCTCGGCGGCGTCGCAGTTGGCCGACACGATCGGCGTCGTCTCTTTCGACGACTTGCTGTTCGATATGAACTCCTTAGCCTGCACCTGAAGCAATCGGGTCTTAGAAAGTCTCGCAAGTGTGCAACAACAAAGCGGATAATTTAAAGAACAGTTAAAAATGTCAAACTCACTTGAGAATGTCAAAAACATGTTTTAGAATGTTTTATGAAAAAAAAAACAAGAACACCAAACCCACTTAAGAATGTCAGAAACACATTTTAGAATGTTTTATAAATACTAAAAATGTCAAGAAAAAAATACAATTAAACATGTCAAACTCACTTAAGAATGTCATAAAGATGTTTAAGAATGTTTATGAAAAAACTAAGAATTTCAAGACAAAAACGCCAAATCCACTTCAAAATGTCAGAAACAGATTTTATAATGTTTTATAAAAATACTAAGAATAACAAGAAAAAAATAAAATTAAAAATTGTCAAACTCACTTAAGAATGTCAAAAACATGTTTAAGAATGTTTTATGAAAAAACTAAGAATTTCAAGACAAAAACGCCAAACCCTCTTAAGAATGTCAGAAACACATTTTAGAATGTTTTATAAATACTAAAAATGTCAAGAAAAAAATACAATTAAAATGTCAAACTCACTTAAGAATATCAAACATATGTTTAAGAATGTTTTATTTTAAAACTAAGAATGTCAAGACAAAAACACAATTAAAAATGTAAATCTCAAAAACACATTTTATAATGATTTATAAATATACTAAGAAAAAATTACAATTAAGAATGTCAAAAAAATGGATGTCAAGACAAAAAACAAATAAAAATGGAAAACTTACTTAAGAATGTCAAAGAATGTTTTATGAAAAAACTAAGAATTTCAAGACAAAAACGCCAAATCCACTTAAAATGTCACACATTTTAGAATGTTTTATAGAAATACTAAGAATGTCAAGAAAGAAATACAATTAAAAATTGTCAAACTTATTTAAGAAAGTCAAAAAACATGTTTAAGATTTTTTTTTGAAAAAACTAAGACAAAAACACCAAACCCTCTTAAGAATGTCAGAAACACATTTTAGAATGTTTTATAAATACTAAGAATGTCAAGAAAAAAATACAATTAAAAATGTCAAACTCACTTAAGAATGTCAAAAATATGTTTAAAAATGTTTTATTTTAAAACTAAGAATGTCAAGACAAAAACACAATTAAAAATGTAAAACTTAAATGTAAATCTCAAAAACACATTTTATAAAGATTTATAAATATACTAAAAAAAATTACAATTAAGAATGTCAAAAAAATGGATGTTAAGACAAAAAACAAATAAAAATGGAAAACTTACTTAAGAATGTCAAAAACAAAATTAAGAATGTTGTAAATAAGTTTTAAGGAAAAATTAAGAATTTGCAGACAAAAACTCAACCATACTCACTTTGGAATGTCAACACATTTTGGAATGTTTTATGGCTATCTAAGAATGTTAAGAAAAAAATGCACCTAAAAATGTGAAACTCAATTTAAAATGTCAAAAACATTTTTAAGAGTGTTTTTTGAAAAAAACTAAAAATGTCGTGGTAAAAACACAATTAAAAATGTAAAACTTATTTAAGAATGTTAAAAACCATTAAGCATTTTAAAAATATGTTTTAAGAAAAAAACAAAAACACAATAAAAACGCCAAAATCACTTAAGAATGTCAAAAACACATTTTAAAATGGTTTAGGGAAATACTAAAAATGTAAAAAAAAAACACTTAAAATGTCATGTTTAAGAATGTTTTATGAAAAAAAGTCAAGATAAAAACACAATTAAAATGCAAAACTCACTTAAGAATTTCAAAATCACAATAATTATTAAGAATTTCGAAAACGCCAAACTCACTTAAGAATGTCAAAAACACATTTTAGAGTGTTTTTTAGAAAAACTAAAAATGTAAAAAAAGTAAAAACAAAACTTACGTAAGAATTTTAGAATCACAATAATTATTAAGAGTGTCAAAAACACGTTTTGAGGAAAAACAAGAATTTTAAGCCAAAAACACAACAAATAGAAGAATGTCAAAAACACATTTTAAACGGTTTTATGGAAAAAAATATAATTAAAAATGTCAAACTTACTTCAGAATGTCAAAAACATGTTTAAGAATGTTGTATTAAAAATTAAGAATGTCAAGTCACAAACACAATAAAAAATGTAAAACCTAATTAAGGAAGTCCAAAAAGTTTAAGAAAAAGTAGGAATTTCATGACAAAATCACAATAAAAATTCCTTGTTAAAAACGCATTTTTAACTGTGAGAAAGACAAATCTAAACGGTCCCGAGAGGGTGCCTTGCGGCAGTCTCACCTTTAACTTGCTGCTCTGGGCGATATCGTAGGGCGATACCGGGACCGGCTGCGGTCCGGGGTAGTGCGTGGGATCCACCGGATCTTCCTGCACCACCTGCACGGGCGCCGGCGGCGGTTCGTGGTGGTGCCTGTAATCCACCGCCGATTGCGGCTGGTGGTGGTCCATTTGGTGCTGCTGCTGCTGCTGCGCTATCGAGTCGCTGCCCAGCGCCTGCGCAACCTTCGAATAAACGAACAAACGTTCATTTCCGCATTTAGCTTACGTTTGTTGTATATATGTTACGGCTAATGTGCAAACTTGGATAGTTTATAAACTAGCCAAACTGTCAGCTATTTTAATTGAAAACATATTTTCAACTAAATTAGCGGCTAGTTTACAAAATAACCAAGGATCTTGGCTAATTTACTTGAAATTATTAGGGAAACTAAAATAGCTGGATAGTTTGTATACTATCCAATTCAATTTGGCTAATATGAAAACCAAAATTTCTAGTAACACAAAATAGCCAAGCTTTAGCTAGTTTGTAAACTAACCAACCAATTCTCTGACTAATTTATTAAAAAAGTGAGGTTACGGCATTGTTTTTCGTTTTGCCGGCTTAACCGGATTTGTTTTGTGCATTTTAACGTTTTTAAAATGAATCATAGGCAAAATTTTAACGCTTCCTTGTTAGAAAACTCAACAACACAACCCTACCGACCCCGCCCCATTGGTCAAATGGTCAAAAATGAGAGAGAAAAACCCAAACCAACCCAAACTCAACAACACAACCCAACCGACCCCGCCCCATTGAGCAAAAAAACCAACTAAAATGGACAATAGCCAGAGAATTAGTTGGTTAGTTTACAAACTAGCTAAAGCTTGGCTATTTTGTGTTACTAGAAATTTTGGTTTTCATATTAGCCAAACTGAATTGAATAGTATACAAACTATCCAGCTATTTTAGTTTCCCTAATAATTTCAAGTAAATTAGCCAAGATCCTTGGTTATTTTGTAAACTAGCCGCTAATTTAGTTGAAAATACATTTTCAATTAAAATAGCTGACAGTTTGGCTAGTTTATAAACTATCCAGCTAGTTTATAAACTATCCAAGTTTGCACATTAGCCGTAACATATATATATTTTTTTTAATCGTAATAGACACGAACGAGATTCAAGAATGCTAGTTAATATGTAAAACTATGATCAGGTGTGTAGAAGCGTAGAAGGACCAACGAAATTTGGGTGATTCTCACAAATACCTGCGTTATGTTAAAATACCAAAAATCGGTTTTTGTTAGTTCAAACAATAAAAATGTCGCAAAATTTTATATAAAATGCTTTGGAGTAACAACATTTTATATAGAAAATTTTGCTTTAATCTCCACAGTATAAAACGCCACTATAAACCATAGAAATGATATTATATGGAGCTGGGACTGTGGCACACAAAAATAACAAAAAATGTGTATACATTTTAAGTTTAAATATCTACAAATAAGTCAACTTTAAAGTATTTTTTACGGTTAACCAAAACGGTTTTCTAACGGTATAGGTACGAAAAATTACCAAATTTGTGGAATGGTTTATTTCGTTATTTTACCTACATAATAACCTTTTTAATCTACATAGACAGTAACGTAATAAAAACAATATAAATACCACAAATTTACGTAAAAATAACGCTATAATTACTCTCTCTTTCCAAAACATTGACATCCGTAATTTCTTTGTTCTTTTAATTTATATTTTACAAAATGGTACTTGCAAAGCAATAAAGGCCACCTTAGAGTAAAATTAAAGAATATAACTTAAATTGTCAAAACTAATAATATTTTGCATTAAAACTCAAACGCACTTTATAGTCCGGTCAATCTAGACATTCGAAGGTACATAAATTTACAACAGGCTGAAAATCAGGAAAATTGTTTAGAATATAATTATAAATAAAATTTTAAAGTTCCCCATCATTCCCCTGTATGGAAAATTTTTTATTTAAGGTCAAAGGTAAAAAAAAATGATTTTTCGCGATTTTCAGCAAAACGGTAAGTTTTATCATAAAAATACACCAGACAAAAATTGTAGATCATAAAATAATCTATAAAAAATATTTTAATACATTTTTTTCTACGAGCCACCGTTTCTGAGATATAACGATTCGAAAAATTGTAAAAGTTATAATCGCCATAATAAGCACACGTTTCCACGCCACCTATGAGGTAGTTTACTTAGCGCGTTTTTTACCTTGGTTTTCCCAGTAGGCCTTTTTCACGGGTCAGTTGTGATCCTGTATAATTTGAAACTATTGCAAAATAACGGAAATTAGCATTGATTGGAAAAGATAATAGCGATGTAAATTTAAAAAAAGTACTGAAGTTTATTATTCGTAACATTTAAATTCTTCTTCTTGTTCTTCTTCTTGTTCTTGTTCTCCTTATTCTTGTTCTTCTTCATCATCTTCATCCTGAGTACAAGTAAATTGCGTCAATAGCGATGTATCGCATGCCACCTCGTTGGAATTAAATGAATCCTCCACTGTTGGTGATTCAACATTAGAGCACGACCGTCCTTGACAATTCGTACATGCCAGAGAATAAAACAGTCCGACTTTTTTGCAACCACATTTAGCACTTGCAGTTGCAAAAAATTGTGTACAGCAGTTTTTCCGGCGCAGGTGGGAGTAAAGTTTGAACTGGTTCTAATGTGTTGTTGACCAACTTCCAACCCCAGTCTGTAGGGTCTAGCTGATAACCAAGCCACACTTGAACTTGGTAATATACCCGAAAAAGATGTTGATGAGCAGCAACTGAGGTTGGAGGAAGACAAGCTAATTGAACTTGTTTTTTACTTCTAGAATTTTTAACGAAACATGCATATCGATACTTATCAAAGCAGGTAGTTTTTTTTGGAGCTCCGTATATAGAAAGAAATCGAATGCCGTTGGTGATTCTTCTTGTTCCGAAGCACCTTTTCCTCGACTTAGGCCGAAAAATCTCCGCTCGTTCGAAAGTTAAGGGCAGACAACGGAACGTGCCAAATTTGACGGAAAAATCGAAAAAAAGTGGACTTGGGCCTTTTCGACACCGGAAAAATTTGGTTCGCGGATTGGTCTCGTGGGAGAAAAAAATCATGCAAATTTCAACCTTCAACGGCCTCCGAGCTACGGCGCTTAGAAAAAAAAAGGATATACAGACAACGGAAAAAATAAATATTGCAAACGGGCCGGATCCGCCGGAAACTTTTCGAACAGCGTTCTTTTTTTATTTTTTTCGAAAAATATTCAAACGTTTTTTAGGGCGAGAGAAATTTTCGAAATTGGCCAAACGAAATACAGGAATCGACGGGTAAAAGACCAAAGTTTGACATACTAAAAGATGAGCTTCATCGAATGAAAACTAATCGGCCAGAAGCCCGTTTAATTTTTGTTGGGTACGTATTTAAAAAATTTAACCAATTAAAATCCCCGAAATCAAATCGATAAGGTGGCAAATGACAGGTGGCATATGACAGGGACAAATGACAGGTGACAGATGACAGGTGACAGATGACAGATGATAGGTGACAGATGTCAAGTTGACAGTTGACAAGTGACTAATGACAGTAGACAGATAACACTTATAAGGTGACAGAAAACGTGAGAAATATAAAATTCATCTTTAAAATTACTACCCAGTTTAGGTGGATGAGCACCATCTATAGCAGGTCACAGATGTTGTCTCGAGGTTACAATGGCGTATAAATTAATTATTTTGTACCCAGTCCCTTAAGGGGCTCTAGAGATGTATACGTGGCGTACTCATGCATATTATGACGATTACAACTTTAACAACTTTTCAAATCGTTATATCTCAGAAACGGTGGCTCGTAGGAAAAAAAGTATTAATACATTTTTTATAGATAATTTTATGATCTACAATTTTTAATTGAAGTATTTGTATGATAAAACTTACCGTTTTGCTAAAAATCGCGAAAAACTAATTTTTTTGACCTTTGACCTTAAATAAAAAAATTTCCATACAGGGGAATGATGGGGAACTTTAAAATTTTATTTATAATTATATTCTAAACAATTTTACCGATTTTCAGCTTGTTGTAAATTTATGTAACTTCACTGTTATTTTTTGGTCTAATTTGACCGGACTATTATTTTATTGATAAAAATAGGCACGACGCATTTTAAAAATTATTTGCCCTCTAAATATTTTACGGTTTCAACACAACTTAAAACCTACAAAATTTTATAAAATCTTTTAAAAATCATTTAGTTTTAATCATTTTTTAATAACTAAAACTTTACTTATTATGTTTTAGAAAAATATTTATGAAAAAATATTATTTAAATGTTTAGAATTTTTTTAGAAAAAATTATTATTTTTCCTTGTTTAGTCAATATTAATAGTATTTATTACCACTAATAACCCTAAACAATACCAGGTGAATAGGAATTATTTACGGTTATAAATTGGTCTTAATATCGTAAAATTACGAATTATGAGTAACATTTACCATTAAGTAAAAATTCTGACTTTAAAATTACCGTTAAATTTTCCTTTAGGTAAAATAAACTGATTAGTAATTTCATTTCGTAGAAATTACGTCCCTCATAATACTTTAAAGTGTTAAAACTTAAGGGTTACTAAAATAAGTAAAAATAACATAAATAAAACTTTAAAAAAAGTTTTACTTCAAGGTAAAGTTTTAAGGTTAATTTAACAAAATATTTACTTAAATTAAGTAATATTGCCTCAAAAATTACAATTGATTTGGTGAGTTCAAGAACAGTGCAAAATTTAAATTGTTTAGAAGTTATTTTATAAAATCATTTTATTAGTTTAAAATGCATTTTTTTAATATTTTAACTATTTTATAAAATATAATAACCATGTTTTGTACAATAGTTAAAACATTCTCACAAAAATACATTTTAAATTATAAAAATAATTTTATAAATTTGACAAAATTTTAAATTTAGACTTGTAAAAATAACATAAATAAAACTTATTAAATAACTTTAAAAAAGTTTTACTTCAAGGTAAATTTAAGAAAATATTTACTTAAATTAAGTAATATAGCCTCAAAACTTACAATTGAATGGGTGAGTTCAAGAACAGTGCAAGTCCAAAATTTAAATTGTTTATAAGTTATTTTATGAAATAATTTTTTTTTTAGTTTATAATGCATTTTTTTAAATATTTTAACTATTTTATAAAATATAATAACCATATTTTGTACAATAGTTGAAACATTCTCGCAAAAATGCATTATAAACTATAAAAATAATTTTATAAAATAATTTCGTCAAAATTTTAAATTTTGGACTTGTACCGATTCAATTGTAAATTTACGTTACAATTGCAATAATCAATGTCAGTTTTTGGTGAACCTGGTAAAAAAATGTTGGCCCTTCTATACCTTTGTAGGAAACCTAATTTAAATGAATGTTCGCTAAAAGTGTCTAAGTTAATAGTTGAAAAAGCATTATAAAAGAGTCATTTATGATCGATGTAGATCGAGGTGGTCCCGAGAGGGAACCTTGCGTCACACCATTTATTTTTGCTTACCTGTCGCGCGAACGTGTTCTGCATTTCTTTGGAGTTGGGCTGTTGCTGCTGCTGCTGCGGGTGCGGCTGGTTGGCGGGCGGGCCGCCGCTTCCGGGTTGCGGCGTCTGGCGGGCCGACGATTCGCCGCTGGCGGGGTGCGAGTTTTCGCCGAACACCTCGTTCAATCTGTCTTTGCCTGGAAGAGAAACGTTAGCGTTAGCGAGGACGCTCGAAAACGTTTTTCTCTACGACTACTTAAGAATAGTAACATTCTAGTGTAATTTTTGATCATAGAAAGAATCTTTTTCTGCAATACTGTGCGAGAATATTCCTACTCTTGTTTAAGAATGGTCACAAGTAACGACATCTCCTGTCTGTTTACTAAACGTAAAAAATTTAAAAATATTTAAATATTACTGTATTATTTATTAATTAAAAAATAATAGCAGTTGTATAATTAAGGTTTAGGCACAAAGAATTAGTTATATTTATTTTTTTTCAAATAATCAAATCAAAATTGTAATAAATTTGATATTAAAATGATAAACCAGTTACCTACTATACCGGCTTTGAAGTTTTGACAGATTCAAAAAATTTAAAAAAAGACCTTTAAAATGTAGAAAAAGAATAGATGTTGACATGGATTACTTGTAAAATTAGTTTTGTATTTGTTACAATGTTATTTTTTTTATTAGTTAGTGTAAATAACTATTTTTAATTATAATAAAGATTTAGGCATACCATTTGTTTAAATTTATTATAATTTACATTATAAAATTGTGACGGCACAAAATGGTTTGACAATACAAAAAACTTAAATGTCAAAAACTGCTTGGTTTCTTTTCTCTGTTTAAAATTATATAAGCGTTACTATTCTTACGTAGTCGTAGAGAAAATAATGTTTGAAACACGTTTGGAATAGCATATTCCACTCTCGTAAAACCGTCACACTCGCCTTCGGCTCGTGTGTCAAATTTTTCCTCGAGCGGAATATGCTGTATTCCAAACTTGTTACAGAATGTACTATTTCGAGCAATTCTTACCCGTGTCGGGGTCTATGATGGAGATGGCGTTGGGTCTGCGGCCGCGGTTGACCTGCCGTTGCGGCTGGAAGGGCGGCGCGTGCTGCGGCGCCGCCTGCTGTATGGGCAGGCTCGGTATCGCAGGCTGGGCGGGATTTGGCGGCGCGGACGACTGCTGTTGCTGCGGTCGCACCATGTAATTGTAATCTGAGAAAAAATGGAAAAATCTCCGTCTAAAACCAAGGTTTACTTCGGGGTTTCCCACTATGTACCAAATTCCATGCTTCCAAAAATATACGCTAAAGAAGCATCGCTAGTATCGCCATGGTCAAAAAGCAGCGTTTTGCGGAAAAAATTCCACAACTCTTTTATTACAAATATTATTTTTTTCTTTTTTTAATGTGTTAAATATATACGTATAATTAATAGACTGGGCCAAAAAAATCAACTATTTTTTTATAAAAGTATATCGAAAATATGGTTTGGGGTAACAAAAAAAGCAAGTTTTTGTCTCAGAACTCGCAAACTATAGATGTTAATAAAATTGAAATATTTTTTTAAGAAAATTAAATGCTCTACAAAAAAGGCTAAAATAAAATTTTCCGTTAGATGAACCGTTTCCTTAAAAATTGGTATACTTTTACATTTTGATCTTTAAACTTTGGAATTTTGTAATTCATGTAAAAATCAGTACCCAGAAAAAAACCGATGAATATTCTTATGGGAAATCACATTTTTGGCTAAATTCACTCAATCAAAAGTAATTCAAGGTTAACGTTGAAGTCAAAACGAAATTTAACCTTGAATAACTTTTGATGGAGTGAATTTAGCCACAAATGTTAGGAGACTTTTTTGTAGAGCATTTGATTACCCATAAGAATATCTATCGGTTTTTTTCCGGGTACTGATTTTTACATGAATTACAAAATTCCAAAGTTAAAAGATCAAATTGTAAAACTAAACCAATTTTTAAGGCATGATTGTAAGAAAACGGTTCATCTGACGGGAAATTCCAATTAAACCTTTTTTGTAGAACATTCAATTTTCTTCAAAAAATATTCTTAAGTCAATTTTGTTAAACTCAATGGTTTGTCTGAGACAAAAACTCGCTCAGGAAAAAAAATCTAAAATTGCGATGATAGACCTCATAATATTAATATTATGGACTCAAACTTTCACCCCAAACAATATTTTCGATATACTTTACATAAAAATTTTTCGATTTTTTTGGCCCAGTCTAATAATTAACTATATTTTATTCGAAAATTTTAAAGGTATTTATTTTTTAAATGCATTTTTATGTTCATAGAGCGTCAATTGCGGAAATAACCAAATAATTTTTTATGGCAAAAAAATATTATTTTTTTTATTTTTTACTTTGTTAAATAAGACTTATTGCGTATAATTAACTATATTTTAATCAAAATACATAACGGTTTTTATTTTTTAAATGCGTTTTAGATTGTCCTATAGCCTCAATTGAGGAAATAATCAAAAATGTAAAATAAGACCAAATAGGTATAATTAACTATATTTTAATAAAAAAAATAATGGTCTTTATTTTTAAATGCCTTTTTTAGATGTTCGCGGTGCAACGATTGCGAAAATAATTCAACAACTTTTTTATTGTAAATAAATACATGTTTTTGTTTAACTATCTTAAGCGCACTTTAAAAAATAAATAAACATAAATTAAATTTTAACATTTATTTTTCCATTAATACTTCTTTAAGTGTGAATTGATTTTTATCCAAATTTAAAAATCTTCTCTTTAAATTTTCAGATAATAGACTTATGTACGTATTTGTCACTATTTAAAAATAGTTCTGTTAAAAACTAAATAGAAACGCAGAAAAAATAGTATTACCTTATAAATGAGCTAATAATGTTTTACCTAATAGTTTTTACCTTTAAGATGCAAAACAAAGAATTATTAATTAATTAATACCCAATATTTTGTTATGAATAGGTTATAAATTATTAGACCTTTGTATATATTTTTTAATAATATTTAAAAAAATTAATACATGTTGAAATATTTATAAAAATTAATAAATTCTTCGGCAAAACATGAAAATGCAACGATTTAGTTCTTGAATTTTATTTACAAAGTATTGTTGACAATTCTTGCGAAAACCCGATGCTTCTTTAGCGTATAGCCCAAGTATTAACTTTATAACGCAATATATTTTAAAATTGTAGCAAAATTTCATATAAAATGTCTTTGAACAACAACATTTTATATAGGAAACTTTGCTTTAATCTCCACAGTATAAAACGCCACCATAAACCATGGGAATGATCTTATGTGGAGCTGGGACTGTGGTACAAATTGGAAGTCATTAGTGAGCGATTTAAATCGAGACGGTCCCGAGTAGGAACCTCGCGGCACCCCGGCAAAAACTTACATGTAGCTGGAGGTGAGGCGTAGTTTGTGGGCGCGAAGGCTTGCGGATGCATCAGCGGGTGCATCAGCGGCTGGAAGAGGTTTTGCTGCCGCTGACCGCCCGAATTGTAGAAGGCGGCGGGCGTGAGGTACATCTGAGGCGGTATGCCGCCCATGAAGCCCACGTTCGGGGGCTGCGAGTATATTTGCGGCTGAGGCTACAAAACGAAACAGAAGAACGTTGGTTTTATTGCAGAACTGGAAAAGTTACTTCCGAAAAGTATCTAGTTACTTTTTTAAGATACTTTAAACAAAATATCTTGAGTTAAAAGTAACTTTAGTTACAAGATACTTTAGGAAGTATCTAAGATACTTTTGAGTAACTAAGTTACTTTTAAGTATGAATAAAAACTATAAAATTAAGAAAATTCAACAAGTTGTAAGTTAGATAATTAATTTGAATCGTTCTGGAATTCCCCCAAATATCTTAGTTACTCAAAAATATCAGTTAAGGTATTTTAGACTGTAAATAAGAGATATCGACTTTTAAAGTGTTCCAAAAGTTACTTATCCATTTCATAATCTATTATAATCAGAATTGTAGCTGATACATTGTATTGCACTAATCATCGACTGAATTAGCAAACATAGCGAGCGCAGCGTCAATCTCCACAGTATAAAACGCCAGCATAAACCATGGGAATGATTTTATGTGGAGCTGGGACTGTGGTACACAATATTATTTGAAATTTGTACAATTAAAACCTCTTTATTGATCAATTAAACGAAAAATTGCTTCCCTCGACAAAAAATATGCAGTCGTTTATAAGAAAGTCAAATCTAAGTGGTCCCAAGAAGGAATCCTGCGGCAACCCAGAAAAAATGTGTAAATGAGCGTTATAAACGAAAACGGTACTAAATGTAAACCTTTTTTTTTTGATATTTAATAGGTATTCACTTTAAAAAAATCTCGAAAACTTTATCAATGATAAATTCAAATCAAAAAATTGCTTTCCTCAACAAATTAATAAAAATATGCAGTTGTTTATGAGAGAGTAAAATCTAGGCGGTCCCAAGAAGGAACCTTGCGGCACCCCGGCAAAAATGTGTTTATAAGAGTTATAAACCGAAGTGGTCAAAAACGGAACCTTGTGACACTTTTTTTAACGAAATTAACTCGTGATATTCGATATTCACTGTAGAAAATCTTAAAAACTTCTTCATTAATAAATTAATCAAAAAAATACTTCCCCCAACAAAAATAACTGATAACTTTGATATTCGCCCTGAATTTTTGATATTCACTGTAAAAAAATCTAAAAACATCTTCATCAATATGTATATTAATCAAAATTTAAACTTCTTGATTAATAAGTCAATCAAAAAACTAAAATATGCATTATTTGAAATTTAAATAAAAAATGCATAAAACCTCATTGCAATAAAGTTTAAGGGCATTATACTAAAATAATATCGAGAGTTGTGTGTTATGATCGCCAGAAATTAAAGTGGTCCCAAAGGGGAACCTTGCGGCACTTCGGCAAATAAAAACGTTTATTTGAAATGATTTTAAAAAAGTTGAATTTTGCCCATTCATGGGGCACTGTTGCCAAAATTCAAGTCACGAGGTATCTCGACAGATGGCGTCGCAAACGTGACGTAACGGAGAGAGAAAAGAGCATCGAAAATAGATGCGTGTCGGGGAGTAAAGTAAAAATAAACGTTCGACTCACCGGCCTGTTGTGGTTCTGCATTCTGGCGGGTTGGTTGGGCGGTCCTGGCGGGGACCGGTTATAGTAGTTCTGGTTCGAAGTACGCACGTACTGAAATAAAATAATTTTCGTTAGCGACAAAAAAATTATGAGCACCGTCACATATCCGCGTTGTCGTCGTGCATTGTTTTTCGCCTTGATGTACCACACACACACATACACGTATAGGCGACGTATAAACTTATATGTGTATAATCTAATCTATGTATGTAGCCTTCGCGCAATTTACTTAGAAATAGTGTAACGCGGTCTCTGTTCTAGCCTGCAGCACTGTGCCGTCGGCGTTGCCACATCTACGCGTCGTGTCATTTTTTTCGGATAATACCGCAACTAATAAGCGATTTCGTAAACTTTTCAAGCACTTATCCAGCGCTAATAAATTGAAAAAATACGCGATTTCGCAGAACAATCGAATGGAATGACCTTGTGGAAAGTTGCACGTGACGCGCGACGTTGCCGCATCTCAGAAACGCGAAATTATGTTTGTTTGCGTCGCTAGCGGATAGATGTCGCCGGTGGAGATATCCGAAATTAACCAAAACGAAAATTGTTTAATGTGTTTAGATAATGATAGACATCGTCTACGCACTGACCTAGACAACATCGACTGGATTTAGTTTTAATTCCACCGACATATGCACCTTGTCCACCTTGAATTTTTTTTTACTCAACTTGATTGAATACGGAATGAAAATGCATACATATGGGTGATTCTCACAAATACCGGATTTATGTTAAAATACTAAAAATCTGTTTTTATTAGTTCAAACAATAAAAATGTCGCAAAATTTGATATAAAATGCTTTGGAGCAACAACATTTTATATAGAAAATTTTGCTTTAATCTCCACAGTATAAAACGCCACTATAAACCATAGAAATGATATTATATGGAGCTGGGACTGTGGCACATAAAAATAACACAAAATGTGTAGGTATGTATTATTTCCAAGCGGTATAGAAACGAAAAATTACCAAATTTGGGGAATGGTTTATTTCGTTATTTTACCTACATAATAACCTTTTTGATCTACTAAGAGAATAACGCAATAAAAACAATATAAATACCACAAAATTGCGTAAAAATAACGCTATAATTACTAACTGTTTGCTCTCTCTTTCTAAAACATTGACATTCGTAATTTATTTGGTCTTTTAATTTATATTTTACAAAATGGTACTTACAAAGTAATAAAGGACACCCTAAAGTAAAATTAAAAAATATAACTTAAATTGTCAAAACTAATAATATTTTGCATTAAAACTCAAACGCACATTATTTTATTGATAAAAATAGGCACGATACATCTTAAAAATTATATGCCCTCTAAATATTTTACGGTTTTAAGAAAAATTATTGCTTGGGTAAAAATTCAAAAAAACTTAAAACCCTACAAAATTTTATAAAATCTTTGAAAAATGATTTAGTTTTAATCATTTTTTAATAACTAAAACTTTCCTTATTATATTTTAGAAAAATATTTATGAAAAAATATTATATAAATGTTTAGATAAGAAATGGATGCCATCTTAAAAAACTCATTATGGCGACTTGAAAAAAGTTTTATTTTTCACTTTAAGCTTATTTTTCCTTGTTTAGTCAATATTAATATTATTACGGTTATAAAGTGGTTTTAATATCGTAAAATTATGACTTATGAGTAACATTTACCATTAAGTAAAAATTCTGACGTTAAAATTACCTTTAGGTGAAATACACTTATAAGTAATTTTCTTTCGTAAAAATTACGTCCCTCATAATACGTTGAAACTTAAGGGTTATTAAATTAGGTAAAAATAACGTAAATAAAACTTAAGGTTAATTTAACAAAATATTTACTTAAATTATAAGTACAATTTATTTGTGCAGAATTTTGTAAATCTTAAATCATTTAAATGAAAAATTTAAACCAATAATTTTGTAGAATAAAATATTTGAACTAAAATTTGTAAATAGGTATCAATCAATATTTTTAAGATTAAAGTTTTACAGTTGTATTTTTTATTTAAAATATTTTTCGACTTAAAAGTTTAAAAAAAATTAAAATCAAACTATTAACTAATAAATGCTAAAACGGCGTGACATAAACAAAAGAGTGGTTTATGAAAAAGACAAATCTAAATGGTCGCAAGAGGGTACCTTGCGGCACCCCGTTCACAAGGAAGTGAGAATTGCCCATATGTAATATTGTAGAGACCGCATAATAATTTTCCTTTGAATATAAATATATAAATTTATATTCAAAGTAATTCGCTGATAAAATATTTATTAGTTTTTTATACGGTTGTTTGTGCAAGGCCACGAGATATGTTTTTTTTATCTTAATTCAATTTTTATGGAATCGTTACAAACCGTGAAATAAATTTTATGTGGAAATAATCATTTTTTTAAATTAAGTAAAACTTACCAAGGTAGGCTGCTGCAAACTTTGCACCTTGATGTCGCTGTTAGGCGGGGTGGAGGCCTGGTTCGGCGGCCCCGTGGGGGCTATGCCCGCCCTGAGGCCCGGTCCCTGGTTGCCCCCCTGATTCGGCTGTTGCAGGTAGGGGGTCGGCGAACTTACTGCGAAGCCATCTGCACCTTAACAAAAACAATAACAACATTAGGTCAATAATGACGCGGCAAGAAAAAAGTTTTTTCTCTTTAAACACCTGGCTACTTACGTTGAGGCTGCTGTGGTTGTAAAGGCGGGTAACTATAGTACATGGTTAAGAAAATAACTTAACACTTCGATTTTTTTATATGTATACAAGAGTTTACACTCTTTCAGACATTTTAGTACACATTTTGCTCATTTAAGGCTTTCTAGAGAACATTTTAGATTCTTTGGTCACTAACAACTGACTTATCGTCATTCAGACACCTTTGTTGCACCCTGTTTTACCCCTACTTATTTTATACCTGTTGCGAATCGAGGTAAAAACACTGCTCGACATTTATAAAGGAATTAAATGGAAATTCGCGTAAGGTAACAAAACAAAAACAACTTTACAAAACAAATGGTAATTATTTTATGCAATAACAAGAATTTAATACAAATGGGGGATTAAGGGAAATTATTCTATGATGTCTGTGTGGAATTGAGTAAACAGTTTGCCATGTTGCCACTTCCTTCGGAAAATTTTATCACGCCAAATTTTTAATTTCAAGTTAAAACATTTAAGTAGCCCATTGCCGTTTATCATTATGTTAAATTTCGCCGAAAACCATTAGTTATTTTTCTAACGTTATTTGACCGGGTCAAATATGACACCAAAGATCTAGTTTTTATTTTTTTAGAAAGACTTTTACTTTATTCACCACATTTAAGCCAACTCACCAACATATGTAAAATTTTAACAAATAGAAAACTTTCGTGCTTTAAAAACTAACCTTTGATGTCTAGAGCTGCGGCTAACGACTTCTAAACAAGTGCGACGCGAAAACAAAAACAAATCGTTTAGTGGGGGCCAATAACGTCGTCAAAACAACAAACCCTTTGTCTTTGGAATTTGCTTTGCCGAAAATAAACAAAAATGTTGTTATTATTTCGTATTAATTAGCTTTGCCATGTTTGCACATCGCTTTGTATTTATTTATAGAAGAAAAAAATATTTTTTCGCGGTATTCTGCCAATACTGCAAATGGTGGAACTTGTGAAACGCACAGAACCGGAATTTGTAGGGAAAAAATGAATTATAGGCAATTTATAGAACACTTTCTATTATGCATTACGTGCGAGATAAATGTCGAATAAAAACAGTTCAAGTTACTGCTGAACGGTTCTTTACGAAAAAATGAAGCTGGCCTAGTTATCAGCGATAACTTATCACGTATAATATGGCTACGGTCGTCACCTGTTTTCCTAAATTTTTAAGAGCGATAATTGACAAGTAAGGTTATGTTTGCTCGTAATAAATTCCAACTACGCAGTAGAGGCGAATAAAGCAAACATTTCGCAAAGAATCGCTTATTCGGACGCGAAGATACAGTTAGCCGTGCTTTCTTGGCGCGCACAAGGCGGATTCCATTCCGCCACTTCCGGTACGGTCTCGCATTCCGTACCCACATACGTGCGGTGCAGTTACGCGAGCAGAAAAGAAGAAGAAGAAGAGACGCGGGCGCTCTCTCCATTGGCTGCGATCTTGCAAGGCCGCGCTAGATTTTCGCGAAAAATTTTGCACATCAACGTTTTGGGGCAGAAGTCGAATACGTCACACGTTTTACAGTGTTGCCGCAGCATATTTTTAAATGTTTTATTATATTTAGAACATTATCAAACATGTTTTAACTTAATAAAATGCACTTTGGACATTCTAACTGATAAATTAGATTAAAGTAGGTTTGGCAACGCTGTTCATCACTGAGGGCCCTTTCTGTAGGCCGTAAATTCGGCAGCGTACGGATCGATATGTCGTCGACGTCGCTTTAGAGCGTCGTACGTAAACCGACGTCGGTTTTTGATTCATTTTTGCAGAATGCACCGGCAAGACTATATGGGTCAGGGAAATGGGTCGGGGCATGTGCCCAAAAAATTAACGTGCACCTGCAATAAATTTTATTTTACGATTCCACTTACTAATGCAAAATAAAATTTAGTTAAGTATTGATTGATTTTAGATTCTCTATATATTTTTTTATTCATCATCTCTCGGAGACAGGGCTATTTATAGCATTATCTGGTTGTGTGCGATTATTAATTAGGGCATTAAAGTGTGCCGTCGCGACGACGCGGCGTCGTAATTGATTTTCTTCCTTTTTACGTAATAAAAAGACTTTCTTTTATTTACCATTGTTACCCCATATTTCAGCGTCTATTATAAATTTATGAATATTAATTAGTATTTACTTTTTTAAACCTTGCAAATGTGGAGCTGGGACTCTTGTTTTAGATAGTGTAATTAAAATATAATCAGGTAAACTATTAGGAATAACTTAAAAACACTGTTTTGTTTAAATTAGGCCGGTGATTAAAACCATTCAATTCCCACATTTCCGAGAAGACATTTTATGGGTATCTTGGTCCGTTCCAAAGTGACTCATAGGCTAAAGAATATACATATCTTGCCTGCCAAAATACAAAACTGGTTAAAATTCCTACCTGACCACTAAACTACAACAAAGCCCAAGTTTATAATAACAAGAATCATTGGAAAAGTAAGTTTACAATCGAAACGCCCCCTTAAGCTTAATATTAATATAGCAATTAGTGCAAACATATTAGACACATGTATACCTACGTAATTAATTAATTGATTAATACAGCTCCCTAACCAAATTAATTTAGCTAAAACGTTGAAAATCAATTCTACCATACGCAATTTTCTTAATACGGGACAATCTAATAGACACAAAAAATGGCCGAAATAGTTCGATTTCGGGGTCACTGACCTCAGCGACGTATAAAACGACATTTCCCAGGAACTTACAGGTTTTTTTCCTTCAAATTATTTATTCTTCATTTACTCACGCACCGTGTCAGAATCGCTGAATTGAACGTTTCAACACATTATTATGTTTTGTATAATTTATTCCAAAAATAAAAAAACGTTGGAAGGTCAATAATATTTAGATTAGGTATAAAACATATTTTAATAAAAGAGGTCATTCATCCCGAATAAAATGTTTTAAATTTTGTTGTTAATTTTACGTGGTATTGTGTTTAGTTTCTAAATTTCTCAATTTTACGAACCCATTGTGCCACAAAACACACACGTGTGCGCTAGCTCGGTCTCTCTTTTTCATTTTACGAAACCTGCAACTGACGTACGGTCGAAAAATCAAGGCCACGGCTGCAAGCGCGATTTTCAAGTTTTAATTGCACCAATCGCGGACACCGAAGGATAAATAGTACCGTACCCGAAATTTCGGCCAAGTCGAGAGAGTTCAACGGTTAGACGACCGGAACCGATAGAAAGTATCAATGGACCAAACTGTACATGGAACGTTATTTTGTTATTGTTAATGCTTATATTAAGGCATAATTCATCCTAGAGACCTAGGTTTTTTTTAACGTCATTTTTAATATTCCACCTTGTAGAGATATAGTGTATTATTTATTGCCCATTTAAAAACTAGGTTAATTGGGCGACACGAAAAACAGCGGTTCTCAACTAGAAGTCAAATTAAAAAAAAAACCCAATGGGCTATTTTTTAGTACCCACTTTACATTGCAACGAAAAAAATGTACTAGGAGGCCATTGGGCATTGTTTCGATCGTTACGGCCTTGACATCGTTTACATGCCTTAATTGGTGGTCGCGGGGCTAAATTTTATATAAAATCACTGGATGTTACGTAAGTTAATTTGTTTGGGAGAGGAAGCGGACGTAATTACCCAAAAAAATACAGTTAATTTCGTGGACCCGTATTTCCGAAATTAGAGACATTCATTTGCATATTACGCTGGATATATGGGTTCCATTGCATTCTCTGGTAATATTATTAAAGAATTAGCATTTTGGGGAGTAATTTCGTGGGAAATGGTGGTCGAGGGGGAGGAAAAACCAGAGAGATGCAACTGGAGGCACAGGCTTATTGATTTTTCTTGTGGCACCGCATGGAGGAGCGAAGAGACGTTGGCACTCGCACACACGTGCGAAATTTACTATTTACTAATTTTTTTTGGACGGTAACTTACGTTGTGGAGGCATCATCCTGTAGTGTGGAGGCGGGATGAGACAAAGGCTTTCTTGTTTCACGTGACCGTTCGTTACGTAGCGCGTCATTTTCTTCTATTTATTTTTTTTTGAGCGATTGTTTCAATGAATATTTACATACATCAAAATAAATAAACGAAAATCGTTTCAATTAAAAAAATATCAAAAGCATTTGGAAGTAATCGTTTCCGAGTTTCATACGCCGCGTAAAAAATCTCGGTGCGGTTTGTTTGTTAGTTTTTGCACGGATCGTCCGCGACATTTCGTGATTCACCCCCGGAATACTCCACTACTGTCGAACTACTGGGTGGCAGTTGTTTTAATTCTCGCTGTGTGTCACTAACGCGCGACAAATCGCGTTTATTTGTCGGAACACAAATCGGTGGCGGTTGTCGAGAGGTTCTGGGACGACGGAACATGCGGAGCACGTCTTGGCCGCACCACACAGCGAAGAAAAATCGATAAGGGCGTTTTACAAGGCAATTACACTAACACACACCGACTTATCACATTGTTGTTGGCGAATTAGCGCGCGATTAGTTGCTTCGATAGCGATTGGTTGCTTGTGCACGATCGAGACGTAAAAAAGTTTTTCGATTGTTCCGCTCAAATCTTTCCACGAATTTCAGTCGAAATATATTTTCGGCGACAACGCCATTGTATCGACTGTACAAATGGGTTCTCGATTCCGCCACCAGGAAGCTGCAACGCATGCGCGGTCATTTTTTAACCAATCAACTGGTAACTTTTAAATTTATCAAGCAACATGTTGGATGGGTTGAAAAAATGACGAACAATTAACATTATTGCAAAATATGACGGGCAAATCAACCACTTACCTGTAATTTGACATCCATACGCGTGGCATATGACTACTGAAACACCGTGTAACTTTACTTATGTAATAACCAGGCAAACTATCTATCCATTTATGACAACATGAAATTCCAAGCTTTTCCTCAACAACTCGTGATGTAATATTTAATTAGTTGAAGCGTGACGTTGGTCGTTGAGGGGATCGCGAACGATTTCGTCCCGTCAACTTTCAACACACCGAAATTTAAATGGAACGCGATTTTCACGCCAGTAATGCACATAAATAGCGTTAAACAATACCATATGGGCTGGCTGGCTAGTGACAATGACCACTGCATAAGCAGGTGAATGTGTACTGAATAATGAAAGTTTGCCAGCCACCGCTTGACACAGCAAAACAAGGAACTAAGCGCTCACATTCTATTTAAATTCCATGCAAAATATACTCATAGGGAATACTTAATATTAATAACAAATAATAATAATAGTAATAATAAGCGAAGGATTGGGGTGGAGCGCCACGCATGACCTCGATAGTTTCGGAACCCGTATAAATTTAAAACCGAGGTGCATCAAAGGTGTGAATTGACGTTTGTTGTTGGAGTGACAGATGGGCGTAAAGTTTGTTTGCAAAAAGGATACTTGTTGTTGGGATTTGCGAATCGCTGTGTTTGTGGCCCCCCTGCGGCCGCTTGCTTCTGGTTGCCACTCATTTCGGCCTCGGGCGCTTACAGGCACTTAAAGCAGCCGCCACGGATCTCCTCTTCGTGTCTGCATATGTTCAACATTGACACATCACAACACCGAGCACTAAAGTACATGATCGTCTTTGCAGCATTTTTCACTAAAAACTGCCAATTGGCCACCGATGATTGTAGATACAAAAATCTGTCACTAAACTCTTCCTATTCAAAGGTTAAGATTATTCCAAGATGGCGGATTGTTAACCCAAAAACATTATTTATTTCTCATTTCCCCACGTCCCTTGCCATAAAATGCTTTATGGAGAAGAAAGCACAACTCTCCACTGATCTTCTTTCGATTAATTTACTCTTATGTCACTTTATAATATACAAATTAAACTTATAACTTTATTAAAAATGACACGCGGCTTTCACGTTGCTACAAGAGCACACCTAACGGAAAGTTGCCGTACTTTTTTAACCGATCCCTCTTTTTCCTCGACACAAATCTGCAACGTAATCTAAACATCCCCTCCAACTCCCGTCTCGCTCTCTCTACACCTTCGCCGCCTATTCACGTACGTCCGAGCTAGCTCCGCACCCGAATAAACCGGCTGATAAACGTCACCTACGTCAAAATAAACAACCTAACCTAAAAATTCGATGCCACCGAACAAGAATGTGAAAAATTTAACAGTAAATAATCGATATGACCTCGTACGGAAAAGCGGAGACGGAAAAGCTGAAGCAGAACTTGGAAAACCAACTGGACCGGCTTGTGGAACAGCTAGCGGATTTGGAAGGTTGCAAGTAAGTCCAAATATAATTATGTATTGGGTGAGTCCAACTGGAAACACTTTAGGGATGATTTGGAGCCTGAGGAATACGACGAGACTAAAGAAGACACCATGGAACAACTAAAAGAGTTAAATGACAGCCTAAGCAAACTCGTAAACGGCGATATTTCACTTGTAAGTGCATTAGGAGCTGTACAACTCGTAAGTAGCTATGTGATTAAAATTATGGGAGTTAAAGTTTATATTTTCAGGCAACTCAAGCTGCCATATCGCAAGCGTTCAAAACCCCTGAAGTAATCAGGCTTTTTGGAAGGCGAGAGCCAAAACAACTACGCGAAAGACTTTCAATGATTGAACAAGATGTTAAGTTGAACAAACTTTCAGGGTCTGCAAGGGACAGGCAAAGGGCGGAAATTTTAACGGCCCTAAGACAGTTAAACGAGCAGTTGTCCACAGAAGAACTGCAGTTTCTCGAAAAACACAATGATGTTTCAAACACTTTTAAAAATATTGAGTTTGAGGTGGTAAAGGATTGAATAAAAGCACAAATAACTTAATACGTTTTATTTGTCATTATTCTAAACATTAACAATTTATAAAGTTTATTTTGCTGGAAATAAAATACACTTAACACATTTATAATATTGGTCAAAAACATCTGCACAGTGAGGGTAAAATTAATAAAATTTGGGATTTTGATCCAAATTAAACAAAAATTAACTTATGCATTTTGCAAAACAATAAAATTCAAACAATTCAATACAAAAATGACATTTCTTAATTAACATAATTAACTTTGTGTTGAAGCAAAAAACATACAAGGCAAAGCATCAAAATCAGACAAAAACTAACCTACAAAGATTTGCAATTAAATCAGTCGCACAATTCCAATAAATAATTTTAATTATTTACTCTTTTCCGTCCGGGCGTTTGCGCCTGCAAACTTTTTTGTGCTCAGCCTGCCAGTGCTGTTGCTGGCACAGCTGCGAACAGTACGCGGTGTTCCAGCAGCAGTGGTAGATGGCGTCCTGCTCGCAGTTGTAGCACTAAAATTCGAGGTTAGCTGTCAGATTTCGGCCAATCAGGGCGGCTGGGGATTCGGTTTTAAGGTCAAGGCCAATCAGAGGCTGGGGATTCAAGGAGTTTAAGGTTAGCTGTCAGTTTGGACTAATCAGAGGCCGGGACGCTCGATTTGTCCGGTTGTGACCAATCAGAGGCTGGGGATTTGGGAGGTGGCTTGATTTTTGGGGTTTTTGTCGATTAACAAAATAAAAGATATTCTTGTAGGTATATCTCAAAAAATATACATTAGAAAAATATGAAATTTACAGTGACGTTGCAGATATGAAAGCTTAATATTTTGTCAAAATTATAACTTTCTACCTAAATTGGTTTTAAAGTTATACCCAATCAAAGTTTTAGTTTATGCGGTAGGATTGTAACTTTATATTTTTCGTTATATCTTCAAAACCATTCAAGCTAAAAACTTAAAATTTGGTATAAAGTTACAAATATTATAGCCAAACATTATGTTAAAATTTAAAAAACATTACTCTAATACTTTTAAAGATACACTCCATCAAAGACAAAGTATGGGTAAAGTCGTTTTTGTCGATTAACAAAACATAAAGTTATTCTTGTATATCTCAAAAAATATACATTAGAAAAATATTAAATTTACAGTGAAGTTGGAGATATGAAAGCTTAATATTGTGTCAAAATTATAACTTTCTACCTACATTGGTTTTAATGTTATACCCAATCAAAGTTTTAGGTTATGTGGTGGGATTGTAATTTTAGATTTTTTGAAAGACTTACTTACCCATTGTTTTTTCTTGGTTTCGGAAATTTGGTTGTTATGCGACTCGAACAGTCTTTTTAAGGTGTCATTGTGGGCGTTTGTAATTTTGTCCATTTCCAACTGCATGCTGCTCATGGCTTGTTTGATAATACTTTTTTTATCTGGTAGTGTTTCTAGAACCCTTCTCATCTACAAAAAAAATTAAAAAAATGTTTTTGAGGTGATTTTTGTGGTTTAAGGGAAAATTACTTTTTCCACGGCATCGCAATAAGGTTGATCCAGTCTTTGCATTACGTTTTCTATATTTGTTGAGCCTACTGCTTCTTGGTTTCTAAAGTTCTCTGTTGAACTCGAAACTGGTTCAAAACCATCTTCAAGCCTAATAAAAAAAATTGTTTAGAAAAAGGTAAAAATGTAAAAAATTTTTTTTACAAATATGGTCCATTCCCGAATCCGCTCTCCCTAAAGGAATACTCCGAATGTTCCTCGTCGTCGTCACCATCGGAAATGTCGATAATATTACCGGAAATGGAACTTTCCCCCTCTTCCCCCGCCTCATTCGAAGTCCTCGCCCTTTTTTCAGGGGAAACGGACGCTTTTTCCCTGGAAGTCCTAAACGGCCTACCGCGTTTTTTCTTCCCCTTCAACCTGGAGGAAGCAGTCTCCTAAAAAAATGATTAGGCAACCTTTTAATTTATATTTAAGTTTGGACATTTTGAAGAAATTAGTAAAAAATAATTTTTGCACAAACATAACCTTAAAATCAACCATTTTTATATTTGAGTTCTCTAAAAAACGCCGACAACTGCATTTTAAACAACAAAATATACCTTTACGAATTCATGGCAACATAGTTTTATATATAATTCATAATATAATGGTATTTTACCGTTGAGTGAAGACTTTCTTAATCAGCGCTTTTAGTTAAGCTAAATGCTGTTTAAATTTAGACGACTTATTCGTTTGACGATTTTTACTGAATTGAAATGTTTACCCTTTTCACGTTAATCACTGCTAAAATGTGTATTTATTGTATCTAATAGGTACAATTTATATTTACAGAGACTGTATGCAATTTATTTCTTCATTCAGATTAACACTGTTTATTGGAAAACCGGTAAAAACTCGACCCAGGATTTCCTCTCGAAATACACCCAACAACGCAACAAATCGAGCCACGGTTTTTTTTGCGATATTTTTTAAAATTTTCCGGCTTTATTCTCAAAAACACTCGTTTGTAACATAAGCGTTTGACAGCTGATTATTAAATTGTACTTTTGTTACGATAACAACCGAGTGGTGGCGCTACTAGCGATACTTCTTTAGCGTATACTCATTATTAAAATAATGAGTAATGTGTTTAATTTTCCTTATGCATCACTTCTTTTTTAATGAAAATTAAGTTAATTGTTCATTACATTTTTTCCAATGAGTAATGTATTCTTTTTTTTGTTTGTAATGAGTATTTTGAAATTTTCAATTACAATTTTTTATGTTAATGAGTAAAAGTAAAAAAAGTATGTAAAATAACGAAATAAACTTGGTAATTTTTCGTATCTATACCGTTACAAAACCGTTTTTGTTAACCGCAAAAAAACACTTTCAAGTTGATTTTTTTAACATTAACAACTCTGTTTATAACTTACTTGAAAACTGTCATCCTGCGCTTGTTTTTTCTTGCCGGTTTTCTTCAAATTTTCCGGCGAAACGTTCAACAAAGAATTCCTTTGCTTGCTCAAAGTTTTCCTCGTAGGTTTCGAACTGGCCTTGAATTTTTCCAATTCTTCCGCGCTATTCAAAAGGAGTTTATGAAACTCCAACTCTTCCAATGATTTGGTGAAAGCCGCGCTCGCTTTAATCTAAAAAATAATTAAAAAAAAAAACAATTTTTAACACAAAACAAACGAACCTGCAGAGTTTCCTTGGGAACGGAAATGGGCTTGACGTAATTCTTCATCAGCATGGCCCTCTCGTATTTTCCGCCGAAAAAACGAACGTCAAAATGCTTGTCGCACTCGCGCAGAATCTAAAAACAAAAGATACTCAAACCACGCCCAAAAATAACAAAAACGCATCGTACTTTTGCCGGCCAGTAGGGGTAGCCTTTCTGCTTGGCCCAGACTAGGTCGTGCGGGTTTCTGCACGGTAAGCAAAACCACCTCTGGTTGATTTTTTCGTTGCTGTGCTTGTAACAGTCCGCGCAGTTTTTCAGTTCGGTCAAATCGTGCAAAGTATCGCGCAGCATCAGTTCTGAAGCACCGTACTCCTGAGATTCCACTGGCGAGGAAATGTAAGGTTAGTTTTTGGGGTGTATCTCGAAAAATAGCTTTTGTGGAATGTTGATTTTTGGAGTAAAGTTAGTTAACAACATATGGAATAATGTGTCAAAATTATAACTTTCTACCTAAATTGGTTTTAATGGTATACCCAATCAAAATGTTAGGTTATGCGATAGAATTGTAATTTTATATTTTTCGTTATATCTTAAAAACCATTCAAGCTAAAAACTTAAAATTTGGTATAAAGTTACAAATATTATAGCCAAACATTATGTTAAAATTTAAAAAAAAATACTCTAATACTTTTAAAAATACACTCCATCAAAGACAAAGTATAAGTAAAGTCGTTTTTGTCGATTAATAAAATTAAAGCTATTTTTGTATATCTCAAAAAATATACAATATAAAAATATGAAATTTACAGTGAACTTGGAGACATGAAAGCTTAATATTGTGTCAAAATTAAAACTTTCTACCTAAATTGGTTTTAATGTTATACCCAATCAAAGTTTTAGGTTATGCGGTAGGATTGTAATTTTATTTTTCGTTATATCTTAAAAACCATTCAAGCTAAAAACATAAAATTTGGTATAAAGTTACAAATATTATAGTCAAACATTATGTTAAAATTTAAAAAAAATTACTCTAATACTTTTAAAAATACACTCCATCAAAGACAAAGTATGGGTAAAGTCGTTTTTGTCGATTAACAAAATTAAAGTTATTCTTGTATATCTCAAAAAATATACATTATAAAAGTATAAAATTTACAGTGAAGTTGGAGATATAAAAGCTTAATATTGTGTCAAAATTATAACTTTCTACCTAAATTGGTTTTAATGGTATACTCAATCAAAGTTTTAGTTTATGCGGTAGAATTGTAATTTTATATTTTTCGTTATATCGTCAAAACCAATCAAGCTAAAAACTTAAAATTTGGTATAAAGTTACAAATATTATGGCCAAATATTGTAATAAAATTTTAAAAAAATTACCCTAATACTTTTAAAGATACACTCCATCAAAGACAAAGTATGGGTAAAGTCGTTTTTGTTGATTAACAAAATTAAAGTTATTCTTGTATATCTCAAAAAATATACATTAGAAAAATATGAAATTTACAGTGAAGTTGAAAGCTTAATATTGTGTCAAAATTATAACTTCCTACCTAAATTTGTTTTAATGTTATAACCAAAAAATGCAATATCATATTTAAGCGTATAATTAAAAAACTATTCAAATTATAAACTTTGAATTTGGTATAAACTTTCACAATACATCGCCAAACATTCAGTAAAAATCCCAACCCTCCACCTATAAAACACTCAAAGATGCACACCAAAACAACCAGACTAAACTTACGACCGTGAAATATGGCAACGTTGTGTTGGACGGTGTAGACGTCGGCCACGAATTCCGCTAGCAAAGTGTACGTTTCGTTGTTCAAATTCACTTCGATAACGGACATATCCTTGTGCTCGAAAAACAATTGGTTCGCTCTCCACGTCAGTTCCGCGTCAGTCAGCCAATCGGGGCGGTCCTCTTGGGCCATGGTGTGGGTCAACGTGTTCGGAAGCTGAAAATGTCAATTTTTTGTTTTGTTGTTTTCCTACTTTCCGTACGCTAAAGTAGTACCGGGTTTTCGCAACGCGCGCGCCATCTGGTGGACTTCAAAAGCATTGCGTGAATTAAGAATGACCTATACTTTTTATGGTTTTATTCAAGGCGTTTCGTAATTTTAAACATTTCTGTGAAATCGGAATTTCAATTGAGTTTACCGTTTTCGAGATATTTACAAAAAAAATCTCCTAATTACGTCACTAGGCTATTGACAACGTTGCCAGCTTTTTCTATGGTTGCCAGTGTGTTTAGTTTAAGATTCTTACGATAGATGGCGCCACGTTATAATATTTTAGTTTTAAAACCACTTGATCTTTAATTTTAGTTGAGAAGAAGAAGAAGAATTGATTTTTTGACGTTTCTTTTTTTCGGGTTATGTTTTTTTTAAATTTAGATTATTGAAAATCAATGTTATTGTTATGTTATTTTTAATTGATATTAGATAAGTGATTTATTAATAACGGACTCCAAAGCAGAGGAATCTTGTGGAATGGTTGGTTACATTGAACATTGGAGCTTTTAAACAAATAAAGTAAGTACCTATAATTATAATCATATTTTGGCGTAAATGCATTTCATTAGTATAATGCCTAGTTCTTTATATTCTTTTAGATATATCTTGGACTTTATTTTGCCACTTTTTTCTATGAAATATATTAAACTCTGCTTTAGACAGTTATTAGGTAGCTATTTAATACATTTTATTAGGTTTCACGCGGTGTTTCAATGTGTAAAACTATCAATAAAACTTTTAATTTCAGAATTTTCTTTAACCTCCTCTTCTTCTTCTTTCACTCAACTGACAGTGACAGTATTTGTACATAACCTCTTCGGGTATTTTCTGACATAACCGAATGAAATCATTAACAAGACAACTTGACAACAGGCTAATTTTCAACCAATAGAAATCTTAGAATGTTGGTCACATGGCGAGGTTTGTGACGTCATAAAAATTTATATTTTTTGTAAATATCTCGAAAACGGTAAACTCAATTGAAATTCCGATTTCACAGAAACGTTTAATATTACAAAACGCCTTGAATAAAACCATAAAAGTGTAGGTCAGAAAAAATTTAACTACCCCATTTTGTGATTTTTAACTCACCCATGATCTAATTCTGTCCAGCACGAACTTCAGGAGGTAGTTCATTTCCGTCGTCTCCAAATCGCATCCGGTATCCACATTCTTGATGTTGCAAACGCTACAGAGCTCTTCGTTGTAGACGTAGTTCTCCTTGTCCGTCATTTGTTTCTGGCGGTCGGCCGAGGAGGTCACCCTGTCGGTCGGTTTTCCGGCCGCGGCCTCCTCGATGTTGAAAACCTCGTCGGAATCCGAGGATATGTTGATGGAGGTCTCGGGCGCCGTTTTCGTCTTGCTCTTGTAGAGGTTGTAGTTGTTGGTTTTGCGGTAGGCGTCGTAGCGGCGGCGCGCCTTCAAGACGCAATGCGGGTGGTATACCCTGTGACATTTCTCGCATCGTTTCACCTCGCCCGCGCGATGGCACTCGAAGCAGTACCAGTCAATGTCGTCGAAATCCGGCTTTAAATGATGTTAGTTTTAATAAGGGTATATCTCGAAAAATAAGAGTAGTAGAATAATGAAATTTATAGTAAAGTTGGTTGATGTTATCAGGAATATTGTGTCAAAATTTCATATGTTTATCATAAGCGGTTTAAATAATACAAGCAATTAAAGATTTAGGTTATGCAGTAAAATTGTTATTTTATAATTTAGCTTATATTTTAAAAACTACTTAATCCAAAAACTAAAAATTTGGTGTAAACGTACAAATATTAAAGCCAAACATTATGTCAAAATTTAAAAAAATATACTCTAATACTTTTAAAGATACACTCCACCAAAGACAAAGTATGGGTAAAGTCGTTTTTGTCGATTAACAAAATTAAAGTTATTCCTGTATATCTCAAAATATGTACATTATAAAAATATGAAATTTACATTGAAGTTGGAGATATGAAAGCTTAATATGGTGTCAAAATTATAACTTTATACCTTAATTAGTTTTAATGTTATATACAATCAAAGTTTTAGGTTATGCAGAAAAATTGTAATTTTAGATTTTTCGTTATATCTTCAAAATCAATCAAGGTAAAAACTTAAAATTAGGTATAAAGTTACAAATATTATAGCCAAAACATTATGTCAAAATTTAAAAAAATATACTCCAATACTTTTAAAGATACACACCATCAAAGACAAAGTATGGGTAAAGTCGTTTTTGTCGATTAACAAAATTAAAGTTATTCCTGTATATCTCAAAAAATATACATTATAAAAATATGAAATTTACAGTAAAGTTGGAGATATAAAAGCTTAATATTGTGTCAAAATTATAACTTTCTACCTTAATTAGTTTTATTGTTATATACAAGTTTTAGGTTATGCGGTACGATTGTAATTTTATATTTTTCGTTATATATGTAGGTATCTTAAAAACCATTCAAGCTAAAAATTTAAAATTTGATATAAAGTTACAAATATTATAGCCAAGCATTATGTTAAAATTTAAAATAATATACTGTAATACTTTTTAAGATATACCCATCAAGTAATTTTTGTTGACTAATAAAATCTTGAAAAATAATTAAAATAAAAATATAAAATTTTGAGTAAAGCTGAACATATGAAAATTAATATTGTGTCAAAATTATAACTTTCTAAAATAAGTACCTACATTTAAAGTAATATAGAAAAATAAAATCAGTCGTTATCAATAAAATAAAATCAGTCGTTATCAATAAGGAAAACTTGCTTAATCGGTGCTTAATCGGGGCTTAATCAGTGCTTAGCGACGCGTTGTACATGACTACCCTTGTTATTGTTATCCTTAGCCGTTAATTCGTAAGCGATTTTTAATTTAAAAAAATCAGTGGTTTGCCCCTCGAAAAAATATTAAAACGCAAAAAAACAAAACCCTTAATTGGTGAATATAGTGACTATTAACAATAGAATTTTATCAGCTAACAACAAATAATAAATGTTATTAGCTTACACCTTTATTTATAGCAATTTATAAATGAAATACAATCTTTAATTTCAAACTCAACATTTATTTTTTAACTTACCAGTTCTTGATTTGTTATTCTAAATGTCGTCTGAGGATCTGACAGTTTTCCAGTACCCTTACATAATCTAAAAGATAAAAAAATTTCAAACTGTCACTTTTCGACAGCTGTCACTTTTCGACAGCTGTCACTTTTCGACAGCTGTCACTTTTCGACAGCTGTCACTTTTCGACAGCTGTCACTTTTGACAGCTGTTACTTTTGACAGCTGTCACTTTTGACAGCTGACATTTTATGCCCAAACCCATCCCACCTAAATACAAATAATTAAGGTTATCTATTTGTCAGTTTAACGCTAATTTCGTCTTATTTTCTGAAAATAATACAAAATATGTTTATTTTGTGTTCTAGATTATAACCTTTATACAGAAAAAATGTTTCTATTGTGTTATGTACAGAAAAAAAATTGGCAGATGGATAATAACCTTAATTGAATGATAATTTCGATTTTTTTTAATTCTTTAAATTTACAATATTTTCAAAATATCCTTCCATTTTAACGAACTGTCACTTTTGACATCTGTCACTTTTGACAGCTGTCATTTTTGACAGCTGTCAAGTTTAACGCTAATTTCGTCTTATTTCCTGAAAATAATACAATATATGTATGTATATTTTGTGGTATAGATTATACCCTTTATACAAAAAAATGCATCTATTGTATTTTTTACAAAAAAAAATTGCGATAAACTGACAGATAGATAGGTAACCTTAATTATTTGTATTAAACTGTCAAAGTGAGGAGTGTGGTAATTAAATTTTTGTTTTACTTACAATATAAGTTTGTCCTTTAGACATTGTTTAACATACAACTCTGCATGAGTGGGGGAACATTCTTCATCGTTTTGAATATATTTTATAATCCTAATATAATCGACTTGAATTTGTTTTGAAGATCTTATAGAGTCCCATATTCGTTTGACATTTACAGGATCTGCATATCTTCTTGTAGACATATCTAAAAAAATTATTAAGTTTCTAAATTGATTAAAATTGCATCATACAAAACAATAACTGTTGTGGTTTTGATAAGATACCCTCATATAATATAAATACAGTTATTTGTACCTATTTATTATGGGGGTATATGGTAAAATACTTTAGTACAGCAAAAATGTTTCAAACATACGCTCTGATAGGCTTTTTCCTCACTTTAGTGGGTTTTACCAGTTTAACATATTTTGTGAAATTCATAAAAACAACCAAGAAAAAAGACAAGTTTACAATATGGTGTATTTTCGAATCTGTAGTGGTCATTTTTATCGGTATTTTTTATATTTACGCTGCTATAATTTTGGCGAAAAATAACGACAATGTTGAAGTAGCACCAGATTTGAATTTTACCAGCAATGGCTTGGAAGATTTGGCCGCAAATGTGCCCAGCAATGAAGAAAATATCACTGAAGATATTTACAGTGAAGTGACTGAAATCAATCAAAATGAAGAAATTACTCCTGAACTTGTAACAGAGGAATATACAACAATATCAATCAACACCAAGGACTATTTCTTGGAAAAGTATCAAAACATGTTCAGGGACATCATCAGAAACAAGCTAAAAAACAGTACATCCCATAACCACACAATATTCTACAACAATAAACAATACAGATCCTTACAATTCGCGAAAAATCCAAAACAACTGCACTGGGACTTCAGAAAACTTGAAGAAACCGTAAAATTGGACAGATGCTATGAAGAATTCTTCATACAAAACGCCCTACTGGTCTATTCATTCCTACACTGCCTTTTAACCCTGTGCACTGTCACCAGAAACTGCAAAAAATGCGAAGAAACCGAAAAAACACAACAAAATCAAGAAACCCTTGAAAACAGCACGCTAGATTCCAACAACGAAACGACATCCCCGGTAGGCCCGTTTTTCGGCGAAAAAATTGAAGATCAAAAGGCGGTGTTGCCGAATTTGGCTTTGTTTCAAGTGAAATCGGCTAATCAAAGTACATCTGGCAGTCAAAAAGGCTTGATTCCGACCAATGAAAAGTCGGAAAAATGCAAACTGTCAGCACAAATTTTAATCACTACTCTTATACCTATTCTGGCTGTTATAGTGCTGTATTTTATCATGAAATCAGAGCAGGAGCATAATATTATCATTAATAACACCACTAGTAGCTTTGAGTTCAGTAATATTACATCTGACCCTAATATAATGGATATAATACACAACCCCATGAATATAACAACGAATGAGAAAAGGGATCAAGTAAACTTGGTGATTCGTTCTGTGTACGATATAGTGAACAAAATAAGTGAAAATAATAATGAAAGATCATCTCTATCGCCGAAAATGTTCAACATAATCAACTTTCTGAACACTAACAGCAGAGAAACCTCTTCTAATAACTCCACCAAGGAAAATTGTTTTAAAGGGCAAATCCCATCGAAAATCTACTATTTCCTCGTCTTCATCGTTATATACGTCGTCGTTATTTTCTATGCAAAACTCTCCCAAGTCTACGTAAACTCAATAAACTCGGAGAAGGCTAAAAACCTCACGCTTTGCATAGTAAGTTTTGCTGGCTTGTGGCTACCGAGCATTCTAGAGCTGTTTTATCGCGTTTACTTGATGCAAAACAGCCCCAATTTATTCACCGACCTCTTTTTGGCCCTCGGCAACACCAACAAACTCGTTACGTTAACCACGAACTACGTCGAAGCGAAAAAATTATCGAAAAACCTCAACTTTGTAACACCGATCGTCTAAGTGATCCAGTTACTGTAGATTCGTAGCCTAGCAACTAGAAAACATACTCACCGGCCTACGTTCACTTGTTTAGCTATCACTACTAGATGTTTTCGTGTTTTTTGATATCGTATGTTTTTTATCGAATGACAGATGATTGTTTGGGGTGGTTTGCGATTATGGATTGTATTGCCAACCTAAATAAATATTGCGAAATTGCAACTTTATGCGTTTTATTTACCCTTAAACAATTATTTATTAAATAAACGATGATAATTATAACAAATTATATCGGAGTAACGTTGTATTTAGCGGTAAATCTGTAAGCAAAGTCGGTAATTTGACATTCTAGTTACATTTTGTTTTGTTCCGTTGGTGATATTTGGGAAAGGTCATTCCCCTATGTCAACAAATCGCATGTTAACTGCCGATTAATCTAAAAATTTTTAATTTCAGATTTTTTATTATATTTATTATAATTAACTTATAACCCAAAATAATCCTCCGATTTTATTTGTTTGATTTTGTCCAGTAAGTGTTGACCCTTTGAATCCTAACCTCAAAAAAAACGCTTTTTCCGAAAAATCCACGTATTTTTTTATTTGAATCATGGCCCCAATAAGTGATTTAAGGATAGCGGTTATTTGTTCATGTAATATGAATAGAAGCATGGAGGCGCACCATTTTTTATCGAAAAAAGGGTTTATTGTAAAAAGTTTTGGAACAGGGGACAAAATTAAAATACCGGGTTCTGCGGCCGACAAGCCGAATATTTATGATTTCGGCATTACGTACGACGAGATTTATCAAGATTTGCTCAATAAAGACAAAACATTGTATCCTTTTTTACAATTAAAAAAAAATCATATACATCGTAGATACTTAACTAACCCCCTAGATACACTCAAAACGGTATGTTGCATACGCTGGACAGGAATAAGAGGATAAAATCGCACCCGGAAAAATTCCAGGAGGCGAATGAAAAGTTTGACTTGCTGATAACATGCGAAGAAAAAGTGTACGATCAAGTTTTGGAATTTATGGAGACCCAAGAACCAAGTGACAATTCCATTGCACACGTTATTAATTTCGATATCCCGGATAATTTGGAGGAAGCCACCATTGGGGCCTTTTTAATTAGCGACCTGTGCACAATGGTAATTTTTTGTTTTTCATTAAAGGGGTTTTAATTTTTTTTTTTTTTTAGATAATAAAAAGTGAAGACTTGGATAATGATATTGAAGAAGTGCTGCACACTTTTGAAGATAAAGCTGAAAGGCCAATTTTGCATAGCATTATATTCAACTGAAATTTTTAAAATTGAAAAGTTATTTTAAGTGTATAGGATGTAATCTTAATGCTTAACGTACTACATTTGATAACTATAGGTTAAAATAAAATATTTTTATGTATTTACAATATATTTATTTTATAAAGCTATAAATATAAAATAATAAACTTAATTATAAGTGGTTAATGTTGGTCCAGATGGGCATAAACCCTTCTTAATTTTTCTTTTTTGTTTTTGTTTTGATGTTTTTTCCATGGCTTTTCCATTGATAAACTATTTGTAGAACAACTTTGAGAACCATCACTAAAAAAAAATATTTTTTATTACATGTCAATTTATAAAATTACAGGTCACTAAAAAACGCAAAATTTAAAAAAAGTATTTTTGATTGATGGGCAACTTTTTAACTATTAAAGATATAAAAAAATTGTTTTCAACAAATTTGTAGGGAATTAAAAAATCTACAAATTTTCTTTTGAAGTTTTTGACCCATTATCAAAAGTTTGGTTTTTAGACGCAAAAACGCGAAATTTTAAAAAGTATTTTCGACTTTATGAGCATACAACTTTTTAACTATTAAAGATATAAAAAAATGTTTTTTAGAAATTTGTAGGGAATTAAATAATCAACAAATATTCTTTTTAAGTTTTTGACCCATTATCAAAAGTTTGGTTTTTAGACGCAAAAGCGCGAAATTTTAAAAAAGTATTTTTGACTTGATGAATTTTTTTAACCATTAAAGTTATAAAAAAAATGTTTTTAACAAAGTTGTAGGGAATTAAATAATCTACAAGTTTTCTTATTAAGTTTTTGACCTATAATCAATAGTTTAGTTTCTAAACCTAAAAAACGCAAAATTTAAATAAAGTATGTTTGATTGATGAGCCTATAACTTTTTAAATACGAAATATATAAAAAAATTGTTTTTTAGAAATTTGTAGGGAATTAAATAATCAACAAATATTCTTTTTAAGTTTTTGACCCATTATCAAAAGTTTGGTCTTTAGACGCAAAAACGCGAAATTTTAAAAAAGTATTTTTAATTGATGAGCCTATAATTTTTAACTATTATAGATATAAAAAAAATGTTTTTAACAAAGTTGTGGGGAATTAAATAATCTACAAGTTTTCTTTTAAAGTTTTTGACCCATTATCAATAGTTAAGTTTCTAAGCCTAAAAAACGCAAAATTTAAAAAAAGTACTTTTGATTGATGGGCATATAACTTTTTAACTATTATAGATATAGAAAAATTGTTTTTTACAAATTTTTAGGAAATTAAATAATCTACAAAGTTTCTTTTCAAGTTTTTGACCCATTATCAAAAGTTTGGTTTCTAAATCTAAAAACCCGAAATTTTAAAAAAGTATTTTCGACTTCATGAGCAGATAACTTTTTAAGTATTAAAAATTTAAAAAAATTGTTTGGAACAAATTTGTAGGGAATTAAATAATCTACAAATTTCTTTTTATGTTTTTGACCCATTATCAATACTTTGGTTTCTAAACCTAAAAAACGCGAAATTTAAAAAAGTATTTTTGATTGATGAGCATATAACTTTTTAACTGATAAAGATATAAAAAAATTGTATTTTCCAAATTTGTAGGAAATTAAATAATCTACAAATTTTCTTTTGAACCTTTTGACCTATTATCAATAGTTTAGTTTCTAGACTTAAAAAACGAAAGCATATAAATTTGAAAGTACATCCTAATTACCTGTTTAGTGAGCTAGCAATTCCACTGATGCCAAGTTTCCCCTTGATATGAGCCCCTTGTCTTTTATTTGCAAAAAACACCTTGTCCAAGTCTTGAGTGGTAGTTTTAAAAGGCTAAAATAAAAAATCATAACCTACAAATAATACAAAAAATATTTATAAAAAAAACGTACCTTAACAGCCCTGGCGGCTCTCGGCGGTACAGTCTTGTTGTTTGAAATTATTTTCTGCCTCTCCGGCCAGAAGTGGTACTCTTTTTGGGGCACAGTGGGGGGCGCATTGCAAAACAACAATTTGCCGTTCATAAAGTCTTTCAAAATATACCTCGCCGCCCTAGGATTGTCCGGCTGGCCGTTGGCGGTCATAAAACCCCTATTATCTAAAAAAAAGTTATTATTATTAAAGCACAACATAACCTAAAAACTGTTTGTTATTTTACAGGCGTATGAGTTTAATAACTCCTCTGCTGTGGGGCTTCGAGTCTCATCTTCCCCTTCCAGGGGCTGTGGTAGCATAATACCATACTTATCCTCCATAACATGCCTGGGAATCAAACTGGAAACCAGATTTGTGGGCGGTACATGGTCTCTCATCTGATCTATGGGTAATATTCCGTTCAAAACCATCTCAGCCTTGGTAAAAACAAAACTGGGCATCACCAAACCCGGACAATCGCACAACATTAAGTCCTTATCGAGGAACAATGTTTGAAAGTGCTTAGTTTTGCCCGGTGTGGCCGATACGGACACTTTCTTGCAAGTCATCAAGGCATTGATAGTGGAACTTTTACCTACATTCGGATAACCAACCAAACCTATTGTGGTTATGTTGGGCGTTACCTTGGGCCCTGTGTGCACCTTTTTCAGCTGTTCTATGAGTTGTTCACGTGACAGCAACTCGCTGCTATTATTAATTTCGCTTAAGTGCGTTTCTGATGTTTTATTTACAATCTCCTCGATTTTGTTGAGGATTTTATCGAGAACTTGCGCGTTTTCTTCTACAGCATGCTCCAAGTTTTCAATGGACTTCTTAACGACCGTCAAACTGACATTTTCGGACTCCTCAGAGTCGGAATTATCGTCGTTTAAATCAGTTTTGTCCAATTCTTCTTTGTTATTCAACTCTTCAGTCACCAAAGTGGCGGAAAAAAACACCACTTTCACTCCCACACCAGCAAAATAAGTGGCCCAATGTTTTCTTTGCTCCTCAGTCAAGAAATCAGCCTTATTCACCAGGACAATGTTCATTTTGTTTGGAGATACCTGAAAATTAAAACAAAAAGCGTTTTTAACGCGATTTTATTCATATAATCAGTTTTGTAGTTCAAAAATGCATTTTGACAGATGACATCTGTCAAAAATGACAGATGTCATCTCTCGAAAATGACGGATGACATCTGTCAGAAATGACAGATGACATCTGTCAGAAATGACAGACAATGTTCATTTTATTTAAAGACACCTAAAAATTAAAACAAAAAGCGTTTTCAACGCGATTTTATTCATAATATCAGTTTTATAGTTTAAAAAATGAATTTTGACAGATGACACATGACATCTATCCAAAATGACAGATGACATATGTCGAAAATGACAGATGACATCTATCGAAAATGACAGAAGACATCTATCGAAAATGACAGATGACATCTTTTGAAAATGACAGATGACACCTTTCAGAAATGACAGACAACATTTTGTTTGGAAACACCTAAAAGTTAAAACAAAAAGCGTTTTCAACGCCATTTTATCCATAAAATTAGTTTTATAGTTCATAATGATGACATCTGTCCAAAATGACAGATGACATCTGTCGAAAATGACAGATGACATCTGAGGAAAATGACAGATATTGTCAAAAATGACAGATTACATTTGACATTACCTCTTTGACATATTTCTCTAAATCTTCGCACCAAAACATGAGTGGATTTCTTGCATCTACAATTTGACAGACCACATCGCTTCTCTCCACAACTCTCCAGAGCTGCCTCCAAAATTCGAGGTTCTTCTCATATGGGGTCATCAAAATGCCCTGCTCCTCCTGCAGAGCCGCCAAACTCCTGCGCCACTGCAAAAAATGCTCGCGCTCATTTTGATCCAGCTCCCCTGCAGATGTTTCCGAGTCCCACTTGGGCCTCCTAGGTATTTTCAGCAGTTCTTTGTGTTTATCGTGCTCGTCCTTGACTTTCTTCTTCTCGTCTTTGCTCAATAGCCCCACATTCGACCTCGGGTTCACAAACTTGATATTTAACTTTTCGGCCTGAAATTCAGTACCTGCCAGCTCTGCGGTGGATAGAAACTCTTGAAAAGAGGACTCTTCGGTTACCGATTGAAGGTTTAAGCGCCCCCAATCGTACCCGTCTTGTATTTCGGTGGTGTGAAGCTAAAACAACTCTTTAAAATTTTGTCGTCTTATTTTGCGTATTTTTGCTTACCATAGAGTTGTCAGACACAAATTTTCTGCCTTTAGTGCTCCCAAATCTGTCTTTAATGAGAGTGCGCCCCAAATTTGGGGCTGGTTTATTCTTTTTACCCATTTTTAACGCGATTTATGAGAAAATACACAAACTTCACGTGGAATGGTTTTTGACAACTGACAGTTCAACTGTCGCAGTTCTAGGTTATATTTGGGGATGTTGGCAACACTGAATGCATCCCACATAAATAATGTATTATTTTAAACAATTTAAATGAATAGTTTAAATTTAAATAGAGCAACATGAAGTTGCTTAATTTCGTGGCATTTTTGCTGTGCTTAATTTCAAAATTGGTGATAAGTGAGGAGGTTAGCCCTGAATTTACAAAAGTATGGGGCCCGGGGCTGTTACCTGATTTAATTGTAATGCCAGCAAGATATTTTTTTATACAGGCAGTGGATATTAAGAATGAAACGTAAGGAAATGTTGTATTGTGTTACATATTTATATATTTTGTTTATTGCAGCATTGAAGAATCTTTACCTGAAGGTTTCAATGTTAAAATTGAGGGTTTAACTGAATTAAACAAACCTTGTAGAATTTGGGTGAATAATTTGGATAGAAAGGATGGTTCTTATATTATTAGATACAAAATGTATGAGCCGTGTATTAATATGAATATTATTATTAAATATAAAGATAAACATGTCTCAGAGTCACCATATTTAATAAAAAATAAGGTTTATAGTGATGATTGTAATTGTCCTTTAAAGAATGTTGATAATTTTATAGAAAATTGGGAGTGTGAGGATTTGCCTTATTTTATGAGCAACAAAATAAGCAATTTTGGAGATATTGACTGGGATACAACTAGGGACAAAGTAAATCTTTATAAATTAGTTAATAAAAATATTGAACTTTAATTTTAGCTCATACAAAAATTTAATCAACCATTGGCAGTCAGCATATGCCAGTACATAATAAAAAACAACGAAATCTACAGAAAATGCTATGGAAAGTATGTTGGTTTCTCCATGTTCATGGACAGCATTCTAAAATCACTAGTGAGGAAAGTAAAACTCCCGGATTTGGAATTTTTCGTCAATTTGGGAGACTGGCCTCTGTCCAGTTTTGACTTTCCAGAAAAATATCCCATCTTGTCCTGGTGCGGAAGCAAATCCTCTTACGACATTGTTATGCCAACTTATGACATCACAGAATCCAGTTTGGAAAATATGGGAAGGTAAGGGAAAATTAGACAGTGGTGCCAAGTCTTTTTGATTAAATGGCAACAGTGTTTACTTAAATTTAGGTATTGTTTATCATTGCGGTGTTGCCAGTTTTTTAATTAAACAGGTACAGTTCTTTTTTTTTATCTGGACTCATGTTTTTTTGTTAGGTTGGTGGCTTATGCCAGTATTTTTAGTATTTAAAAATGGTACTTCTGCTACAGAATTTAATTAAATACTTTGACTAGAGATGCGACTTGAAAAAAAAATGGTCCGTTTTTTTTGTTTTTTTTTTAAATGGTTCTTATCAATTTTATAAAAAGATCAAGTTAAAATATGATTATTTATTTCTAAAATTACCTACATATAATTTAAAATAAACTATAGTATACCTACAAAAAAAAAACAGTTTATTTAAATCAGATAGTAAGAATTTATTATGGTATATTAAATCACTTTAGATATATTAATAGCACTCTTACAAATTATTTTAATAGCCCCTGAAAAAGCTTGATAAAATGGCGTTTGTTCAGCCCCATGATTGATTCCTATGTCATGGTGTTCTTGCTCTTCATTTCTAAATTTTGTGATTGTTTCCATTAATTCCTTATTAGCTTCAGGATCTTCCAAGAGGGTCCTTAATTGATCGTTATAATGTTCTACAATTGCAGTTTCCACAGCCACTGTACAGGCCATTGCTGCTTTTTCTCCAAGCAACGCAGATCCTGCCCCCAAGGCAAAAGCACCTATGTTCCATAAGGGAGTCATTACAGTGGGACGTACTCGATACTTCCTAATTAACTCTTCAAAAGTTGCCTTGTGGTGTTTTTCTTGATCCCACATGTGCTGGATAAGGGAGCCTTTAGAGGTTGCCCCCAAAACCGCCATTTGGCCCGCGTAAATGCGGTCAGCGCCCAATTCACCTGCATGATCCACACGGATTATTTCTTGAAGAGTTGCTTTACTAGTTGCGTGTCTTAGTTGATAAATGCGCGGACAAAATATACCTTTGAACGTTAATAAGTTCATTTTCTGTGTTTGCCCAAAGGCTGCTCTACATTTCTACGCAAATTACCTATCTAGCAAATTTTATAAAACTTTGACATTTAAAGAAGTGAGGTTATGTCATAACCCATAGAACATAACCGTTATGAGTAAAGCTTGATTTATAGGTTGCCTTCCTTCCTCCCATAAAAGATGAACAATACAAAAAAGGGACTGTCCACAGACCTACAAACAAAATGGACTGGCCTTTCCTATTCAAAATACACAATGTTTTGTTGCCAAGAACTATTTAGATTAGGGGTAAAGGGGTAAGGGGTATTTATAAACAAGTTCCCACACCAGTGGCGTTCTTTTTTTAGGGATAAATAAAAATATTAAATTGTACATTTTTTATTGTGTTTTGCAATCCTATGTAAAAATTATATTTAATATATATAAATATATAGGTATAACAAAATACTAACCTTGTCAGTTAGTGTTCCAGATGATGTAGAATCTGGCTCTTTAAATCTAAAATTTAAGTGAAGTCATTTATTTATGCAGTTTCTACGCTCCTGGCAGGGTTTGTTTTGTAAATAAACTAACCTATGAAAAGAAAGTTTTAAATTCTTGGATCCAAGTCTTTTACAAACGTAGCACTGCTTCACCATTTTTATATCACTCACTATTGGTATTTTTCACTATAAAATCAAATAAAAAATATTAAATTTTGTGGATTCCAAGTATCTTTTACGTAAAATATAGAAACTTCAAAGTCAAATGTGACAACTGAGGGAAAATATTTATTTTTGTTCCTGGCCACTCTTTTCAATGTAAATAAACCGGTCCATCTTGTTTGTAGGTCTGTGGGACTGTCCCTTTTTTATATAAAAATCATGGTTATGCGATGTTGTCAGATTGTCAACTTTTCCCAAAAAATGCGATTTATATATTTTTTGTAGGAGTAGGCGTAGCCCAGGTTTTTTGCTAAAAGGAAACAGTTTATATATGCGATGCTGCCAGATTTTTTAAAATAAAATAATGTTACCAAGTGTTTTTGACCAGAAGACAACAGTTTTCAGTAAAACCGGTATTTGACAAATATTTTGTTAATTCTGTTTATAAATGAGATGTTGCCACATTTTTTTAAAATTAAACAGTGTTACCAAGTCTTGACTAAATGACAACAGGGCATTTAGAAAAAGAATGTGAAGATGTTAGTATTTTTTTTACCAAGTATAGTAGTTTTATAGGGAAATCAGGGATTTAGCATAATGCGATGTTGTCAGATTGTCAAATTTTCCCCAAAAATGCAATTTCTGTATTATTTTTTTGTAATGTAGGGAAAGTTTTTAATAAAAGGCAACACAGTTTATAAATGTGATGTTGTCAAATTTACGATAAATTAAAGTTTGTTAACATTTTTTTGTTATTATTTTAGTAAAAATTTGGTTTTAGAAAAATGTTGTCAGATCTTCAAATTCTCCCAAAAACTGTTCTTTTTAAGTTTCTTTGCAGTCTTTGACCAAATAGCCACATAGTTTTTGATAAAAGATTTTTTAAGCTATAGCTTAAAGGTTTATAAATGCAATGTTGCCAGATTTACTAGATGACAGCCTTTTTAAGCAGTTTTGCATTTTTACTGAAATTACGATCAGATTGTCAAATTTTCCCTAAAAAGAAGGTTGCTGCGATTTTTTTGACCAAATGGCAACATGGCATTTAAAAATTTTGTTTGTGTTTGGTTAAAATTTATTCTAAAGCATTTTTTGATATTATTTAAGCAAAAATCGAATAATTATTAAAATGCGAGGTTGTCAGATTGTCAAAATTTCCTGCTATTTTTAATAAAACAATATTATTTTTTTATAGGGTAGGCCATTTTTTACAAAGTTTTTAGTGGTCAGTAAAAATCGTATTTTAGTATAATGCGACGTTGTCAGACTGTCAAATTTTCCCTTAAACTGCGATTTTTTTGACCAAATGGCAACATGGCATTTAAAAATTTTTTTTATTTAAAATTTATTTTAGCAAAAATCGAATAATTATTAAAATGCGAGGTTGTCACATCGTCAAAATTTCCTGCTATTTTTAATAAAACAATATTATTTTTTTTGTAGGGTAGGCCTTTTTTGCCAAGTTTTCAGTAAAGTCAGTAAAAATCGTATTTTAGTATAATGCGACGTTGTCAGACTGTCAAATTTTCCCAAAAACTGCGATTGTCATATTTTTGTAGGGTTATGTTGGATATGCTGTCAGTTCAAGGAAATACACTGGAAAAATTCGAAAATCGTATCCCAAAGCTGTTTTGGAGGGGTAGAGATTCAAATAGGCACCGTTTGGACCTAATTTTGATGTCTAGAGAGCACCCTGAATTATTTAATGCTTCTCTGACGAATTTCTTTTTCTACAGGGATGAGGAGCATATTTATGGTCCAAAAACTGAGCATGTGTCGTTTTTTAGGTTTTTTGATGTTTGTATTTAATGAAAATGTGTAAATTATTTTTAAAACGCATTTTTTAGTATAAATATCAGATAGCTATAGATGGTACTGTGGCTTCCTATCGACTACCATATTTACTAGCGGGTGGTTCTTTGTTATTTAAACAAGATTCTATGTATCATGAACATTTTTACCACCAATTAGAACCAAATTATCACTATGTACCAGTCAAAAAAGATCTCTCCAATCTTCTAGAGAAACTCAAATGGGCAATGGAAAACGAAGAAAAAGCGCTGAAAATTGCAAAAAACGGACAAAAATTCGCAAATGAAAACTTACTACCCCACAACATATTTTGCTATTACATTAACCTTCTTAAAGAGTTAAAAGAAGTCACTAAAAGCCCTGTTAGAATCTTTGAAGGTATGGAGAGGGTAAATCAAACAAAAACTCAAGATTGCAAATGTACAGACAATATCAAAGATGAACTTTAATAAATAATTATAATACACACAATAATTGTTTTATTTACCTTAAACTAAATTACATTTAAAAGCTCTTACTGTATCCACTTTTGTCCACGTTCACTAAAATTAACTCCAATTCATGTAATAACTCTTTTTTTACCGCATCTGGCACCAGTGCCCTTGCTTTGGGTGTTACTGTACTTATTAGTTCGTCCACTGTTGGAACGTGTTGATCATTTCCATTTTCCACTATGGCTTTTCTGCAGGCCAATCGGACCTGATCCCTCCAGCCGCATTCCACCAGACGAGTTTGTACCAATTCTGTCACTCTAAAATAAATTTTGTGGTTTGAAAAAACTAATTTTTTAGTTTATGCAACAATATGGAAACATAACAACACCATTATTATCTACAACATTTATGGATACTATTTAATTTCTAATATTTTTTATTTATCTGCCTTTAATACACTATATAACACGTTGACATCTGTTTGACAGTTGTCAGATGTCAAATAAAATTTACAAAATTCTGAAAAACATTATAATCTTAAATTCCCCGATTTTGACAAAGTAATCTACCTAAAAAATAACGTTGCTACTGGCAACCCTGCATTAAAGACATATGCTTTTTTTTGTTGAATAAATAAATGGTTAGAAGTCTTTATTTACTTACCTGTCCAAACCATGATTAATATCCAAATGCAAGCTAATTTTCGAGTCGTAATCTTGTGGCATTTTGACAAAATTTCAGCAAATAACACGGGAAAATTGTTGTGGTCGAGAAAATACACGAATTTCAATAAAAACGGTTTTGACGATCCGTCGCGCAGAAATGTCACTGCGCGTGCGTCAAACACCACCATAAACATCAAACTTGTAGAGAGATGGTTATCTGTCCTTGTCTTACTAATGCGAAAAGGCTATACGCTGTCATTTTTTATGCGTCTATGTTTAAATGTCTATGGTGTAAACTGCGAAAACCATTTTAGAAGCCTGCAAAATATGTGAATAAACTCGTTATTTCCGCCAAAAGTTTACGTGTTTTAAAACAAGCATTGACTATTTATCACGTTCGATCGATACAGCGTATGAAACGTAAGTAATTTGAAGGATTTACGGCAAAATAACATATAGCACGTTTTTTGACAGTTGACCACCTAGAAATGTGTTTTTCATCATACATCACTGAAAATACCGTGCTTTTATGTGCACTATACGTATATACAGCACGGCAAAATTCTATTTTGCTGATTTTTTTCAGATGAACTGAATTTCATTGTTCAAGTATTATTTAAGCGATTAGAGTTAAGTTGTCGATATGGAATTTGCACAGCCCCCTCCCAATTTGAGCATGCCGCCTCCAGGCATGCCCCCTCCGAATGTGGGGGTACCACCTCCAGTAATGGGGGGATCAGGTAATTTATTTTAAAAATTGTTGTTTATGTTATAAGTTAATGTGATTTATTTTAGGGGGTTACAATAATAATAGGCCTCCATTCAGGCCGTTTATGAATGTTTCAAGGCCTTTGCCAGGGGCTCTAAACAATATGACTTTGGAGGATTTTGATGGTAAACGGTTGAGGAAGTCGGTTATGAGGAAAACCGTTGATTATAATTCTGCTATTATTGAGGAGTTGGAGGTGAGTTTTATGGGGTAAATTTTCATGTTGGGAGGTGTTTTTATTGAATTTTAGGATTAGATATTTTACAAATGCTTTTTTTGTATCTTAAAACATAAAAACGGCTTTTTATTGCAACTTATAATTTTTCGAATAAAAAATTGTAAAAAGCGACTTTTTCTTCAAGAACCGCGTGTGGCAGAGGGACTTTCGGGATCGGCGGGCCCTACAGCCGGACGCCATGTACTATCCGGACATGATGCCGCCCCCTAGTTACCCCGACAACCCCATTAACTGCGTCACCACGCGATTCGTCAAAACGGCCACCAATAAGATGCGTTGCCCGATTTTTTGCATGGCGTGGACGCCGGAAGGGCGCCGTTTGGTGACGGGAGCCAGCAGCGGGGAGTTCACGCTGTGGAACGGGCTGACGTTCAATTTCGAGACCATTTTGCAGGTTAGTGGGAAAAAGAAAAAAATTGAAATTTATTTTTTTATTACATATTTGTATTTTACAACATTTTTTATATTTTGAAATTTTGGGAATTTCTGGGAATTTATAAAAATTATTGAATTTTAAATTTTTTTGAAATTTTATCAATCTGTACCTAATATTAGAAATTAATGAAATCTTAAATTTTCAAATTTTGAGACGAGAGAGAAAAAAGTAATACCTAAGAAAAAGTAGATATTTATGTTTTTAATACATATTTGTATTATACAGGGTGTATACAAAATATATAAAATTTTAAAAACATTTTTTATATTTTAAAATTTTGGGAATTTCTGTAAATTTTAAAAAATGTAAAAATTATAGAATTTTCTTGTTATTTACAATTTTATCAATCTGTGATATTAAAAATTTATGAAATCTTAAATATAATATGTATTTAAAAAAATTCGACATTTGTTAAATTTCCAAAACTAATAATTTTTCTTGGTAATGGAATTTTGAAATTTTTTTATAAATTTTTAAATATCCTATTTTGAGACAAGGTGAGAGAAATACATATTTGTATTATACAGGGTGTATAAAAATATATAAAATTTTTAACATTTTTTATATTTATTTAAAAATTTGGGGAATTTCTGGGAATTTTAAAAAAATTAAAAATTATTGAATTTTCTAATTATTTAAAATTTTCAAACATGTTTTCAAAATTTCATTAATTTTTAAAAAATTTCGAAATACTGATAAATTTCCCAACAAATTTTATTATTTTTTTTTAAATTTGGGACATTTTTAAAATTGATGAAATTTCCAAAATCTGGGAAATTTCAAAAATTGTCAAAATTTCCAAAACTCAATTTTATATTTATAACTGCAATGCGGTGTTTGAAAAATTGTTGAAGTTTTGGAAAATTTGAAAACTCTTAAAAATTTATGTTATCAAAAAATTTTAAAAAGTTTGTTGTCAAAATTTTAGAGATTTTGAAAAGTCTGTAAATTTTAAGATTTTTTTTAATCATGGAAATATTAATGTTTCTAAAATTTCTTGAAATTTTTAATAAAATTATCAGGATATTATAAATTTATCAGAATTTCAAAACTTTCAAATTTTCCAAAACTTCAACAATTTTTCAAACACCGCATTACAGTTATAAATATAAAATTAATAATTTTATATTTAAATTTTAAAATATTAGGTTTTAAAAATTGCCAAAACTGCAAATTATTTAGGTTGTCCAAATTTTAAAGATTATGGAAATTTTAACAATTTTTTTTAAATCATGGAAAATTGAATAATACTAAAATTTATTAAAATTTAAAAAATATTGAAAATTTTAAACTTAAATTTTTCAAATTGACAAAAATTTTCATATTTTTTTCCAAAACTTCAATAATTTCCCGAACTCTGTTAAAGTTTTGAAAATTTTATTTATTTAAAGAATGTAAATCTTGATAATTTTCAAATTTCATAAAAGTATTCGTAATTTATAAACTTTTCAGAATTTCCAAATTCAATATTTTAAATATTGTTAAAATTTTCAAAACTAATAATTTTTCAAACTGCTAATTTTCAAGATTTTATACATTTTTTAGATTTTCAAAAGTCAATTCAATATTTCAATTTTCACAATTTTTTTTAATTTACAAAACCAATAAAAATAATGATAATTTTATATTTATAACTGCAATGCGGTGTTTGAAAAATTGTTGAAGTTTTGGAATAATTTTCAATATTTCATAAATTTTTTAAAATTCATTTCAAGATTGCTAAAAAAATTCAGATTTTTAAAAATTACCAAAACTGCAAATTAATTGGGTTTTCGAAATTCTTAAATTTTTGGAAATTTTAAAAATTCTGGAAATTTTAACATTTTTAAAATTTATTGTCAGTTTTTAAAGTTTTAAGAATCATTAAAATTAAAAAAACTTAAATTTTAAATTTTTATTTATTACCACGCGAGTTTTTCCCAACATTTTTATCCCACAGTGCGAATTTGTCATTCTATTTTCTGAATTCATCCCAATGTGCGAGTACCTACAGGTTATTTGTAATTTGGATGCTACGTTGAAAATGCTCTGTCGGGTGATAATTCCGAGACTTCGTGCTCTCCTGATATTTATTAAAACCTATCTTCGATGCGTCACTCACCATAATTATTTAGTATCCGCCAAGATTTTAAAACTGTTTGTTTACTTTCTCGTTTTGTTGAATCGTTAACATGATCTTCCATTTCATTCTATTTGTCCGTAAAATTGTTATTTGTCAAGGTCGCTCATGACATTTTAAACGTCAACGTTGACAGTTGAAACGTCACTTTTAATATCCCAAAGGTCATTGACACATCCTAAACATGACTGCAAAATATAGAAACAGTGATTGGCGGTTTTTAGAAATAAGCGAAACAGCGCCATCTATTTACCAAAATAAATAATAGCGTTTCGGTTCCGGTGGCGCCATCTTTTAAACTGGCAAATATTAAAAAGTGGCGTTTAAAAATTGCTGTTCTTTTAGGCCCATGACAGTCCCGTTAGAACGATGGTTTGGAGCCACAACGACAGTTGGATGGTTACTGGCGACCACGCTGGCTACGTCAAGTACTGGCAGTCGAACATGAACAACGTGAAGATGTTCCAGGCGCATAAAGAGGCCCTCCGCGGCATAAGGTATCTACAACTACGTTTTTATTACTATTACTGTATACTTTTTTTGATTGCAACAATAAAAAGTACCCCGCAAGTCCTGTCCCACATTAGTGCAATTTTTTTGAAATTTTAAACAACAATAATAATAATTTAACTTGTCTGTGATAATGATCTGTGATGTACACACTTTACATCAATAAATTCGTTTGAAAATTAACAACTAGAGGGCCATCTCCAGAATCGATTTTAAATGGCGACCGAGTCGCCATTTGGAAGCTTTCTGGTGATGCGTTTTTATTTTTCACACCTTTCAAATCGGTAGAAAATGAAAATAATAAAATTCCCAAAAATTATCTTGTTTTATTTCGCAAAAGAAGATCGTGAAGAAAATGGACCAAAAATAAACACAGTGTACCTTGATGGTTTTTCATTATTTTTTTATGATGATGATGATAATAATAAAGTAAAAATAAACGAGTTTTATTCTTCGATTTTTATATTTTTAAGTATATTTTTTTATTAATAAAGAAACCTGCAAAATCCTTTGAATTATCCTTTTGCACTAATGACAACAAAATGTTTCAAAATCAATATTTATTTTTATACTCATACAATTTTTTTAACACATTTTGAAACAATTTGTTATTTATGATTATTTTAGCCCTACATTGGTACTTCAGGTTTTACGAATAATAGCAATGGATTTTTTTCATAAATTATGTTTTTTGGGCTTTAAAGGACGTTTTTTGGTCTATAAATAAAATTTATGAAATCTTAAAATTTAATTTTCATCCCAACAATTTTTTTAAATTTGTCAAAATTTGGGAAATTTCAAAAACTGTCAAAATTTTACTAAACCTAATTATATATTTATATTTTTAATAAAAGTTGGAAAATTTGTAAATTTTGATATTTTATAAAATTTACAAAACTGTAAATTATTTAGGTTGTCAAAATTTTAAAAATTTTGTAAATTCTTCAAATTAAAAAAAATCATTGAAATTTTACTATTTTTAGAATTTAATAAATCTTAATAATGTTTATCATGGTATTAAAAAAATTGTAAAATTTCCAGAACTTAATGAAAAAGTTGAGTTTAAAATTTCGAAAACTTGAAAAACTTTTTATAAATTATTAAAATTTTAAAAATTATTGAAATTGATATACATATTTATTTTCTTAATTTTTAATTGATATATATATTTATTTTCTTAATTTGATTAATTTAAATAAAACTTTAAATTTGAGAATTTTCTAAAATTTAAAATTTTCAATATTTGGGAATTTTCAAAAAATGTCAAAATTTCCAAATTAAATTATTTTATATTTATATTTTTAATATAAACAACTGAAACTGCAAATTTTGACAATTTATAAAATTTTCAAAATTTCTAAAATTTTAAAAATTGTCAAAATTTCCAAGACTCAAAATATAACTCTTTAAAATGTATATAATTGTAAAAATTTCAACATTTTTAAAATAACAATAATTTTTAATATTTTCAAAACAAAAATTATTAAAGGTTTCAAGATTTCATAAATTTTTCAAAATTCAATTCAATATATCAAAAACTTTCAAATTTTTAAAAATTTACAAAACTGCAAATTATTTAGGTTGTCAAAATTTTAGAGATTTTGGTAATTCTGTAAATTTTAAAATATATTTTTAAATCATGAAAATTTTAAAAAATTTTAAACTATTCAATATTTCAAATTACCGAAAATTTGTAAAATTTTCAGTCTTTTAATTTTCATAATTTTTTCCAAAACTCTGTTAAAGTTTAGAAAATTTTATTAATTTAAAGAATGTAAATCTAGAAAATTTTCAAATTTGATAAAATTATCAGGATTTAAAAAAAAATCCAGAATTTCAAAATTCAATATTTTGGTCAAAATTTTTATAATTTCCAAAACTAATAATTTTTCATAAATTTTTGAAATTTTCAAAATTAAATTTAATATTTCAAAGCTTGTTAAAAATTAAAAACTTTTAAAATTTTCCAAACTAATAATTTTACAAACTGATATTTTTTTAGGTTTTCGAAATTTTTGAAAATATTAGATTTTGTAACATCTGGAAATATAATATTTTTGAAATAATTTCTTATGCTAATAAATGAATTGAAATTTGCGAATCTACTTTCAATAGAAAATTATGTCTATGGAAAGCTTTCTATAGACATCAATTTATGATAATAATCTGTCCTATTTTCGTAATCACCTAAATCAACTGGGCTATTTTTAATAAAATATAAAGTATGAAATTATGCCATACATACATATGTACATATAATAAAAAAATGCAAATACATACACACCTTGTTCTCTTTATATTTGTGGTACTATGTTACTATTATTTGGCAGCTTCAGCCCGTCCGACAACAAGTTTGTAACATGTTCCGATGACGGTACACTTAGAATTTGGGACTTTTTCCGTTACCAAGAGGAAAGGATACTCAGAGGTTAGTCGAAAAAAATCGAGACGTTGACAAACATTTTTTCCGTTTTCCTCGACTCGTGCTATTTTAGGTCACGGCGCGGACGTAAAATGCGTGCACTGGCACCCGCAAAAGTCCCTCATAATCTCAGGCAGCAAAGACAACCAGCAGCCAATCAAACTGTGGGACCCCAAAACCGGCCAATCCCTGGCCACGCTGTAAGACTTTTGGTAGTTGGTTTGTGACGGTTTTTATTGGCTTAATTCTTGCAGGCATGCGCACAAGTCCACCGTGATGGATTTAAAGTGGAACGACAACGGTAACTGGCTGATAACCGCGTCGAGAGATCATTTATTGAAGCTATTCGACCTGAGGAATTTGAGTCAGGAGGTTCAGACGTTCAGGGGGCACAAAAAAGAGGCGTCCAGTGTAGCCTGGCACCCCACGCATGAAGGTTTGTTCAGCAGCGGCGGTTCAGACGGCGCCATCATGTTTTGGCACGTGGGGTACGGGAAGTTGTATAAAAAATGTAAAATATGTCTACGGAGATCTTTTTAGGGCGGATAAGGAGGTGGGGGCAATAGAGCAGGCCCACGACAGCATTGTGTGGACTTTGGCGTGGCATCCCTTGGGTCACATACTTTGCTCGGGTTCCAACGACCACACGAGCAAATTCTGGACGAGGAACAGACCCGGCGACCAGATGAGGGACAAATACAACCTCAACACCCTGCCGGCTGGTATTGCCGGCTTGGAAGACATGGATTTGGACAGTGAGTGCTTTCCTCATCACCTTTCAAACATTCTCTAAGTATTTTGACGTTTTAGACTACGTAGGGGACGAGCCGGCTTCCATTATACCGGGCATGGGTCCGGAAGATAAGGTGGACATAACCTCGATTATCTCTGACGGTAATGCCACCATTCCCGGTTTGGATTTGGACCCGTCTGCCATTAACAACGACGATAAACCGAAAGCGAAAAAAGTACCGTTCAGCAAGCCTATACCGAGGAATTTCCAGGCCCAATGGAACGAGACAGGTATGGAGATTTTTTTTTTTTTTTTTTTTTGATTTTTTATTGTTTTTTTTGTAGATGATCCTGGCAGTATAAACGAAGTTATTACGCAGCTGGTGGAGAATACGCCGGGTGTTGTGCCTTTGCAGAAAATCGCCCCTAATGCTATTATTATTTACGGGAAGTTGATACCTGTTGAAGGTGAGTACACAATTACGAAAAATATTGCAAAATGTGTTAATTTTAAATTGTAAAAAAATGGCTTTTTACTTTGACAGTTAAAAGTTGTAAACGTCAAAAAATGACAAATTTCAAAAAATGTAAAGTGTCAAAAAATACGGAACATCTGCCATTTTTTGACATTTCACAAAAATTGCAAATCAAATTGTGAAAACTGTAGAAATTGGTAATAATAAAACTTATTATGCAAAATAAAAATAATTTATGTAAAAAATGACAGATGTTAAAATGACAAATGACAGATGTCAAAAAAACTTTCTTTTTTTCAATCAAATTGTGAAAACTGTAGAAATTGGTGATAATAAAACTTTTTATGAAAACTAATGTATACTCAAAATCAAAGATCAATGTTTCTTCGCAAAAAATCCAAAAACTTTTAGTCTCCTCTATTTTTTATCTTTTAGACATTTTACCTACAGTATTGTCAAAAAAACCTAAATTCTTAAAAGCTAGCTGCATACGTCAAAAATGACAGTTAAAAGTTGCTTTAAAGTTTGAAACGTTAAAAAATGACTGATGTTAAAATGACAAATGACAGATGTCAAAAAAACGTAATTTTTTTTTATCTGTCACTTTTGACAGGCATCGGAATTTTTGACATTTGACAAAAATTGCAAATTAAATTGAGAAAATTGCATAAATTTGAAAAAATAAAACTTTTTATGGAAAATAATGTATATTCAAAATCAAAGATTATTGTTTCTTCACAAGAAAAAAGACATAAGTCACATTTACGAACAAACGAAATTAAAATCATGCACGAAAAAACAAAACTTTTAGTCTTCTATTTTTATCCTCTAAACATTTTAAAAACTGCACTGTCAAAAAAACTAAATTGTCAAAAGCTAGCTTGTCAAAAATGACAGTTAAGAGTTGCTTTGAAGTTTTAAACGTCAAAAATTGACGGATGTTAAAATGATAAATTACAGATGTCAAAAAAACGTACTTTTTTGACATATGTCACTTTTGACACTCATCGGAATTTTTGACATCCGCCATTTTTTGACATTTGACAAAAATTGCAAACAAAATTGTGAAAATTGTAGGAATTGAAGAAAAAAAAAACTTTTGAATATTCAAAATCATAGATTATTTTTTCTTCACAAGAAAAACGACATAATTTCACAAATACTGACAAACGAAAGTTTTAAACGTCAAAAAATGACAGATGTCAACAATAAGTAATTTTTGACATCTGTCACTTTTGACAGGCATCGGAATTTTTGACATTTGACAAAAATTGCAAAACAAATTGTGAAAATTGTAGGAGTTGGAGAAAATAAAACTTTTTATGTATAATAATTAATATTCAAAATTATTAGATTATTTTTTCTTCACAAGAAAAACGACATAATTTCACAAATACGGACAAACGAAAGTTTTAAACGTCAAAAATGACAGATGTAAAAAATACGTAATTTTTGACATCTGTCACTTTTGGCAGGCATCGGATTTTTGATATTTGACAAAAATTGAAAATCAAATTGTTGGAGTTGGAGAAAATAAAACTTTTTATGTAAAATAATGTATATTCAAAATCAAAGATCAATGTTTCTTTACAAGCAACAATAAGTCGCAAATACGGGCAAACAAAATTTTTAAACTTCAAAAAATGAGGTGTTAAAATGACAAATGTCAAAAAGACGTAATTTTTAACATCTATCATTTTTGACAGGTCATAAGAACTTTTTTGACATTTGACATAAATTGCAAATTAAATTGTGAAAATTTGTATTTTTGCAAAATAATGTATACCTATTCAAAATCTTTGCTAAAAACTGTGAAAAAAAAGTTAAGGGGTTGCCTGTAAAGAAAAGGAACCAAGCGCCAAAAACTTTTTCTGGGGTAAACAAAATTATTTGCAAAATAGCTCACTTTTAATGCTGCTCGAAAAATTAATAATGATTTGGGAACCCTCTCAATCCTTTTGAGAAAAGTTCCAAATCATGATCAACCTTTTGAGTTATTTTAAAAATAATTTGACCAAGCCCAGAAAAAGTTTTTGGCGCTTGGTTCCTCTTCGATAAGCGTTATCCATATGCGACCCTTTTTCGCAGCCGGCTCGAAGCTGGAGCAGGCGATCTCCGAGGGGCCGGACGCCCTGCAAAAGTACATCGACTCGGGCGAGATCGAGGAGCTGCACGACGTGATGCCGATCAGGGACGACGACGAGGAGGACTACCTCAGGGACCCGCTCGACGACGACGACGCCGACCACGTGTCTGGCCTGGTGACGGGCATCCACGGCGGCCAAGCGCACTTCGAGCCGCCCCCGGGCGCCGAGGCGCTCAAGGCGCAGCCCGACAAGGACATGCGCTACCACGCCGGCAAGGACAGCGACATGCGCGCCAAAAGCAAGCCCGACTTCGACTTCAGGCCCCCGCCGCAAGACGAGGTGGGTGCTCAAGTTTTTTGTCTATTTTTATTTCTACTTTTCAGGACGTGTTGGGAAATCTTAAAGCGTTTTGGGGTACTCTAAATTTGTGGTTAAGAAATTCCGGTTACTTATCTTGACAATTGACCATATGCAAGGAATGCGGTCGATGTTGCCAATGGTAAAAAAATAAAAGTTCCTATTGGGAACATTCAATTATATTACGTTGGCTACATTGAAAATTTTAATTTCCCGCACAAACTAAATTAATTTCCATCTTTTTCTTTTAATAATAATAATTCCCACATTTGAAATTCGCACCTTAATTTATTATACAACATTGGAACTACCTTCTTTATCTCTGGGAACTACTAGAATCTATGTCAGTTTGTGCGAGAAATTCAAAATTTCAGTGTAGCCAACGTAATATAATTGAATGTTCCCAATAGGAAATTTTATTTTTTTACCATTGGCAACATCGACCGCATTCCTTGCATATGGTCAATTGAGAATTTGATTTTTTATCGTTATTTTTAAGTAGTGCCAACTTGGCACTACTTAAAAATAACGACAAAAAATCAAATTCTCAATTGTCTACCACCATTTAAACGTCATTTCGATACTTTTAGACGAATGTTCTAAAGTTTTCAAGACATTTTTAAAACATTTTTTTTAGAAATTTTAAAGCGATATAGAGTGGATACTCTTAATAAGTTATTTATAAATTCCGGTTACTTATCTTGACAATTGAGAATTTGATTTTTTGTCGTTATTTTCAAGTAGTGCCAACCAAATTTGAAGTTTTAGATATTTTTAAAAATTTCTGTATACGTCGCTAATAACCTTAAAAAAAAATTGAAAAACAATCTTTGAAATATTGAATTGAATTTTGGATTTTAAAAAATTGATAAAATCTTGAAAATTTTAATAATTTTTTAAGTTTTAAAAATTATTAAAATTTTGAAAGTAATCAAATTCTTTTAAACTTTTCCAAAACTTTCAGTCTTAAAAATTTTGACAATTTTCAAAATTTTGATAATTTTTTAAATTTTGAAAATTTCATAAATTGTTGACAATTTTTTAAATTTACCACATTTTAGAAATTTTGACAATTTTAAAAATATCCTTAATTTAAAAAAAATTAATTAGTTTTGGAAATGTAACAAATTACGAAATTTTTAAAGATTAATAAAATTTTGAAAATACATTAAAAATGTTTGAAAATTTAAGATTTCATAAATTTTCAATATTGATAAAATTTCAATGAATTTAAAAATTCAATAATTTTTAAAATTCCCAGAAATTCCCATGTATTAAAAATATAAATATAAAATTATCAAGTTTTGTAAATTTTGTCAATTTTTGAAATTTACCAGATTTTGTAAATTTTGACAATTTAAAAATTTCTCATATATTACCTATATCAAGAGAACTATGAATTTAATCGGTTAAACTAGGCTCAGTAGTTTTTTGTTTGGTTTTTTGTTGGAAAATGTTGAATGCAAAATAATTTAATAAAATCACGAGACCGCGTAATTATTTTGCATGAAACTATTTTCCAAAAAGAAAAATCAAATAAAAAACTTACTGAGCATAGTTTGACAGATTAAATTTATAGGTTGAGTGATATACGTCTAGATTATTTCTCGAATTAAAGGAAACTATTTGACAATTCATAAAATCTGACGTATGTGTCAAAATTTATAAATATTTTTTTAAAGAAAATTCCATTAATTTAAGGTATGTAATAAGTAATAATTGATATTTCCTAAACTAGATAACTTATTTTTTATTGTTTTTTAAAAAATGTTTGTTAAAACTTGTAAATAACACCATAAAATCGTAAACAAAAATCCAATATGGAGGCTAAAATTTAACGACTTGTCTAATCGTCCCATCATCGGATGAATAAAATATATTAATCGTCCGATCATCGGATGAATAAAATATATTAATCGTCCGGTAATAACATAACGTTAGTTACGTCATAATTATAATCCGCTTTTGTTCACCGACCGTTTAATATTTGACAACAAGCTAGATAGCTTATATGGTAGGGCGTTCGCTTGTCATGCGAGAGGTCCCGGGTTCGATACTAAGAAGCTGTCAAATTTTTTTTATTTCATAAATTTGTTGTTTCTTTGTTAAACAGTGTTCGGTTGGGTTGGGTTGGTTGGTTTGTTTTAGTTTTATCGTAACATAAAATCTACTAGAAGTTGTCGAACTTTTTTTATTTCATAAATTTGTTGTTGCTTTGTTAAAAAGTGTTTTATTTTTATCGTAACATAAATTTGCCCATTTTAGTTGGGTTTTTTGTTCAATGGGGCGGGGGGGGCCAATGGGGTGGGGTCGGTTGGGTTGTGTTGTTGAGTTTGAGTCCGATAATCTTTTTATTATTTATTTATGTTATTACCGGACGATTAATATATTTTATTCATCCGATAATCGGACGATTAATATATTTTATTCGTCCGATTATACGGACGATTAATATATTTTATTCGTCCGATTATACGGACGATTAATATATTTTATTCGTCCGATTATACGGACGACTAGCAACGGCCAAAATTTAATCGGTTAAAAAGTTCTAGTGATTTAATCGCTTATTTAAACGAAATTTATTTGAAAATTCAAGGCTTTTGATTGATTCATATTATATTGAGGAAAATAATCGAAGAATAAAACGTTTATTTTAACTTTATTATTATTATCATCATCATAAAAAATAATGAAAAACCATCAAGGTACACTGTGTTTATTGAACAGTTGGTCCATTTTTTTTTACGATCTTTTACTGAATAAAACAAGATAATTTTTGGGAATTTTATTATTTTCATTTTCTACCGTTTTGAAAAAAAAATCAAATTCTCAATTGTCAAGATAAGTAACTGGAATTTCTAAATAACATATTAAGAGAACTCTTAAGATTTGAGATTTCTCAAAATCGTCTACCAACATTAAAACGCCAATGCAACGTTGCCATTTTCGAAACTTCTCGACGTTTGCTTGTTTGTTGAAGGACTTCCGGGGCAGTGGTCGCGATTTCGACATGAGGAACATGAACGAAAGGGGGGACGACGATTACAGCTACGGCCGCGGCGGCGGGGGCGACAAGGACTTCCGGAAATCGCGCTACGAGGACGAAGACTACGACGACGACTACTACGATTACCAACGCAACGGAAACAGCTCGTTCGGCAGCAACCAGGGCAACGGCGGCGGCGGCTTCAACAACTCGAGCGGCGGCTTCGGCCAGGGCAACGGTTTCAGCAGGGAGGGGAACAGCGGCGGCTACAGCCAGAGAAATAACTATCGCAGCAACAGCAGCAGGGACAACAACCAGCAGAGCGATTGGAGCAACTCGAGCGGCGGCGGCGGCAACAGGGGGCGGTCGGGAGACAGCAGGGGCGGGAGTCGGGGCAGGGGCGGCAACAGGGGCGGGTCCAGAGGGGGCGGCAGGGGAAATGCCAGGGGGCAGAGGGGCGGGAACAGGGGAGGCGGCGGCAACAGGGGGCAGCAGCAGAATCGCGGCAGATTTTCCATGTAAAGTTTTAACGATGAAAATAGAAGGGACTAAGAGTTTTGTTTTTTTCGTGCGCGGTTTTAGTTTCGTTTGCCCGTATTTGTGACTTACAGTAAGTTGTGTCGTTTTTCTTGTGAAGAAACGTTGATCTTTGATTTTGAATATACATTATTTTACATAAAGAGTTTTATTTTTACCAATTCCTACGATTTTCACAATTTCAATTGCAATTTTGACAAATGTCAAAAAATCTAAACTTTTAACTGTCATTTTTGACATAAATTAAAATTTTACCCATTCCTGCGATTTTTACAATTTAATTTGCAAATTTTGTCGAACGTATAAAATTCTGGTGAACTGTCAAAAGTGACAGATGTAAAAAAATTACGTTTGTGGACATTTGTCATTTTAACATCTGTCATTTTTTGACGTTTAAAACTTCAAAGCAACTTTTAACTGTCATTTTTGACGTATACAGCTAACTTTTGAGAATTTGTTTTTTTTTTTTTGAAAAAATAAGTTTTATTTTTACCAATTTCTACAATTTTGTCAAATATCAAAAAATTGCATATGTCAAAAATTCCGATGACCTGTCAAAAGTGACATTTGTCATTATTGAAGTTTAAAACTTAACTGTCATTATAAATTTATATACACCTAGCTTTTGACAATTTATTTTTCTTGACAGTTCAATTTAATTTGCACTTTTCCCCAAATGTCAAAAATTCGGATAATTTTTTTTTTGACATCTGTCATTTTTTGACGTTTAAAACTTTGCCCGTATTTGTGACACAAAATGTCATTTTTCTGGTAAAGAAACGTTGATCTTTGATTTTAAATGTAGGTACATTATTTTACTTATTTATTTACATAAGAGTTTAATTTTCTTCAAAATAATTTGTCAAATATAAAAATTCCTATGACCTGTCAAAAGTGTAAAAAATATGTTTTTTGACATCTGACATTTGTCATTTTTAAGGTTTAAAACTTCAAAGCAACTTTTAACTGTCATTTCTGACATTTTGACAATTTAGTTTTTTTGACAGTTCTGTAGTTAAAATGTCTAAAAGATAAAAATAGAAAAGACTTAAAGTTTTTGTTTTTTCATGCGGGATTTTAATGTTGGTTGCCCGTATTTGTAACTGTCGTTTTTCTTGTGAAAAAAGTTTTTTCAAAAAACATTAAACTTTGATTTTGTTTATATATTTATATAACTTTGATTTTGTTTATAAACAAAATCAAAGTTTGCATGCAAAATAATGTAGGTATACCTACATTATTTTGCATAAAAAGTTTTATTTTTACCAGTTTCTACTTTTTTCACAATTTCAAGTGCAATGTCAATAAGTTACAGATTTAAAAATTCCGTAATTTTTGACAATTGTTATTTTTTGCCGTTTAAAACTTTTAACTGTAATTTTTGACATATATAGCCATCTTTTTACAATTAAGTTTTTAACAGTTCTTTTGTTAAAATGTCAGCCACCGTCTAACAAACCTACACACATACAGATCGTTAAAAACAGGGACATGGGAGAGTTGGGGGTTGTCTATATAATACGTCTGCGTGTTTTGGATTGGCGCCCCCTTTCCCCTATAATCAATCGATTGACGATCGTCTTTATCCAGCAACTCCCCCCCTCGCCATTGACTTCATATTTTGTTTTTTCTCATTTTCACATAATAAAAAATGGTTCTTTATAATCTGTAGCACATATTATTATAGGTGATCTAAAGCTTTCGAAAGATCTAACTGTTCCATGTCCATGTTTTATGGTGTTGAATAGTTATTTCAAGCCGAATCAATATTTTATAAGAAGTACCTATTCAAATGGTGGCAAATATTTGGACAATTTAGTATTTTTGGTTCATATTTTAATAAAACAACTGGTTAATTTATTTAAAATAAAGCTAAATACGCTATAAAATTGATGCATATCAAACAAAAGTGTACTCTTGTTGATGGATAACAGACACGCCTTGAATTCAACAAACAACGTAAAAAACAGCAAATACAACATAAAAACCTGCTAAATGGCAACGCTGTGAGCGTCGGTATTGATTTTGAGCCGGCAACATGACTGGATTCGGCCAATGAGAGAGCTGAACGGCATTCTGGGGAGCGTCACTTCCGTCCTCATCGCAGAGGCCTCGTCCATTTCTACAACGGCAAGCGAAGCGAGATGTGCGCTGCACATCGTGCAGTGTTCAAATTAAATATTTTTTGGTGTTCAATTACTGCAACAGTGAGTATTTTACCTTTATTTTGTAGCTAGCGAGTTTGCTAACGTTTTGCGTTGTTTTTTCCAGTTCGCCAGCATATTTTCGAGTTGATACGAGTAGATTAAGTTAGGTAGTTAGAAGCATTCAATATGGCGGAAGCCAAGATTAAAACGGAACCTGAAGATCCACCGGTCATCAAGGTAGAGGATCTAGTCAGCGACTCGGAGGACTCCGATAGCGTCGCGAGCCAACCAATCCCCAAAAAGCAAAAAATCGAAACAATAACCTCCGCCAATGAGCTGGGAGAAGGGTCCTCGACTTCCGGCATCTCCGTGAAAACGGAAATCAAAGAAGAACCCGAGGACAATAGCGAATATTCAATGGAATTCGACGAAACGGGGGCAGTCAAAGACGAACCCAACACGTCGGACGAAGAAGATGACGACGATTTCGATGAAGACGAAGACCAAGACGTAGAAGACATAGAAGAATTGAAATTTGAAGCCGAGGACGAATCATTACTAGACAAAGGGTAAGCATCGACGCCATTTCTAGCATCGTCACCATGGCGACTGCGCTGCTTTATTGCAACGTTGCCATGTTGCGCGATGCGGTTTTAACCTTGATCCCCTCCCGAAATTCAATTATAGTTAGTATTGTAATATTAAAGCGCTGTATTATATCGAAATTTTGCAATTATTATATATTAACATCAAGAATAACTCTCCCTTTTTTACTTGAAACAACAAAAATCACCGCATATAAAAATATTCTTCACAAATTAAACATTCTTTAACAATTCAACCCAAATGTCTACATTTTTTCCACAAATTCTACATAAAATCAAATAATAAAGGCTCTGCATTGCATAAAACGCAATTTAACACCATTGTTTTTGTTTGTCGACCCGAGTTAATAGTTACTTTCAATTGAATGTAATGAAAATGCTCGGGAGCAAATAAAATGTTACCAATGGGGTTATAAGGGTTTTTTGACAATGCAACCTTTTTGGATTTTATCGACTATTTTGGTGATTATGTCAATTTTTGGGTGGCTTGTTTTTTTGAAGGTTTATTTGGTTGGGTTTTTTTAGTGGTGTTTTTTGTTTTTTTAGGTAAAAAATAGTTTTATTCTTGTTTCGAAATGTGATTTTTTGATCATATTTCCATTTTTCAATTTTAAAATTCAGAATAAAACGTTTACTTTTATTCACTTTTCAATTTTAAAATTCAGAATAAAACGTTTACTTTTATTCAATTTTCAAAAAAATTAATTATTAAATTAATTTTAATTGGTCTGGTACTAAAAAACACAAAATCACATAGGTTAGTATCAGTATCAATTTTCTATTAAAATTCCCACTTTTTCGTATTATCATACCATTTACATTTATTTATTTTTTATATAATTAAATTCGAAACCAAAACATGAAAAAGAGACTTTAATTCACCATTAAATAACTTATGCTATTCATTTAGCCTAGGTTTAATGATGCTTTATGTAAGAATCTCATTTTAATTTTTGTATAGAATTTTTTTATGTCTAAAACTATTTAAAGTAAATGGAAATGATGTAAAACCCAAACAAGTATTTTTTCAGTCAAATTTTGGGCTTGTTTTGGTTTTATTTTGTTTTTTTTACCATGTTTGGTGTGCTTTGAGATTTACAGCTTTCCTAAGTACCTACCTGATGACCAATCCACAGGGACGAAAATGGGGTTTCCATTGTTATTTTGGCCTGTTGTACAATAAATCTAGTCAAATCAAGAAATATATTTATTATTTTTGAAATAATTGTTTTATTTGTCTTTTTCCTGTTAAAACCCTTCTTGTATATGTATTGATATAAAGGTAAGTATTAAAACCACGGTTGGATTAAACCTCTTAAAGATCAAATACCTTAATAATTGGGATTCAATTCTAAAAATCTTGGTAACGCGCTTATTTTAGAGGAGAAAGTAAGATTACTCCAGAAAAGTTAAAGTTGTTTTTTTAAATAAAAGTTCTATTGAAGTTCGAATCCTACCGACATAATGACATTCATTTTTGAAAAGAAAATTACAAATGAACTGAAACTGACCAAAAATGATTTTTATTGCTACAGTAATTTTTATAAACTTAATTTTATATATAAAAAAATCATAATACAAATTTTAATTTAATTTCTTGGTTCATCTATAACTATTAATTGATAGTATATTGTGCAACAAGTGAATAAAATAGTCGAATATTCTTCACGAGTTGCACATAATTTTGTCTCACAAACAAATAAAACAAAATACCTACCTACTTTTGTAAAAATGATTTGACAGATGTTTTGGTTTTTGAGGTTAAGTTTTTTAATATTATTTGCCTTTAAAATTTAGTTCCAAAGAGGCATGCACGCGACTCATTATACCATGATTCAATAGTGAAAAATGAAATTAGGCAACTCGCTTAACAATTTCTAACTTTGAAATCTGTACTCTATAAAAAACCGTTTAATTTGACGATATGGAAGCAGTTCTTTACAGTAAAAGTGAAGAGAATGTTTTATGAGCACTACACGGTAAAATCTCCACACGATATTTGTAATGTTATTAATTAACAATTTATTTTGTCATTTTTCTAATTAAGCTAAATTTACACAAAATCTGGCAACTTTTTTGACAGAATCTGGATACGCTGTTGTTACCAACCATAACATAATAAATTAAATTAGGCAAACAGATTAGCCTACAGTTCCTAGTCCATCAGTGGCAAAATACCTGGGTTATTGTTACTTCGATGAATCTGTAGGAATGTGACGTCAAATTTTTTTTTATCACCTGTATATTTTAAAATGTCAAATTCGAGGTAAGGTGAGTGAAATCATAGACAGAAAATATAAAATATCGATTTATTAAACTATGAATCTTATCGTTCAACATTGTTGCAGCATATATACAAACTAATAATAAATATGAATAAATCTGAACTTAAGCATTATATAAAATTATAAATAACAAACACGCATAAAATCAAGACGCTGTGCGTCGTCGGATCGAATAAAAAACATTAACTCAGATCAATGGAAATAAAATTATCTCTCTCTAAAAAAGTACGTAAATTACGTGGACTTGTCGCGCTTCTTGAAGTTCCTCTTGCTCGCGCATCGGTTGATTATGTCAGTGACGTGCACTTTGTGGTCGAAAATCTTCATTATTTGCGTTTTCGCGTCTATCATGCCGTCGTTTATGATTTTTATCCTTTGCATATTGCCCTGTTAAGTTTTAACATGTCAAAAATTTAGTTAATTTTTCTAAACTCAAAACAATTTATGGTCAATATTTTTTATAAATATAAAATACAACTGTAAAACATTCAGTTTAAAAATATTGATTTTTAAAAATGTTAGTTCAAATATTTTGCTCTACAAATTTTTGGGTTTTAATTTGTAAAGAGTAATTTAAATAATAGTCGCCTTAACGAATCTTTATAAAATTTTGGATAAAACTTATATCTCAGTTTACGTGTTCAAGGGTTTTTCGAACAAATATCCTTAAAGCCCTTTTATTTAATAATAAAAAAACGTTCAAAAAATAACTTTTAGGGAATTTTTTTTAAGCTGTTAAAGACCGTATTTTTGTTAGTATACAATAAAAATTTTGTACAAATCAAACGAATAGTAACGAAGATACAGCGCTTCAAAGTCGGTAAAAATTACCCCTTTTTGATTATTCTGCTAAAAAGTGGTTATTTTTGACGACTTTGAAGCGCTGTATTTTCTTTACTGTTCGTTTGATTTGTACAACATTTTCAGGGTATACTAACAAAAATACAGCATATTTTTTATTTACCTAAAAAAAATTCCCTATAAAAGCGTTTTTTTATTATCAAATAAAAGGTTTTAAGAATATTTTCTCGAAAACCCCTTGAACACGTAAAATACCATAAAACTCTAAAAACTGTCCTAAATTGCCTTGGTAGTCTAAAAATATCTTAAAAATCTTAAAAAAACATCCTAAAACTAAACAACTTTTGTAAAACTTTCTTAAATTGTCCTAAAGCGGTTTTAAATGTCCTAAATGCTCTTAGTACTCAGCCATTTCAAGCGCGCGAAACGCACGAATTACAAAACTGGTTTTATAAAAAAAATTGTAGATTATTTATTATATAATATTTTGGCATCAAAATTGTCCAAAATATTCTTCTTTTATTAGATTATACATTAAAAAAAAACGCAAGAAATATATTATGAAAGTAGATTTAATTTTAATAATTAAAAGGTGTGGACGGGACAAAAAAAAGATTTATCTTGTCCCGTCCACCCCTGTCAATTATTAAAATTATCTCTACTTTTATAAAATATTTCTTGCGATTTTTTTAATTTAATGTATAGCCTAATAATAGAAGAATATATTTGACAATTGCAATGCAAAAGTAATATATAATAAATTACCTACAATTTTTTTTTATAAAAACAGTTATGTGATTTGTCCATCCGCTTGAAATGGCCGTACTGTCTAAAATATCGAACAACTGTTGAATATGTCTTAAAATTATTTTAAAAAAGTTTAAAATGTCCTAAAATATAAATCTCTAAAAAAATATTTTTAAACTGTTTCGAAACGGTCCAAAATGTCCTAAATTGTCAGTAGCCTAAAATATCATAAACTACAAAAAAAATAAAACTGTAAACAACTGTTGTAAAATTATCTTAAATCGTCCTTAATATCTCTTAGTATTGTCTAAAATATCATACACTCTCTAAAAACATCCTAAAACTGTTTAATATGTCTTAAAACTGTTTTTAAAACGGCCCAAATGTCATAAATTGTCGTAGTACTGTCTAAAATACCATAAAACTCTAAAAAAATCTTAAAACTGTCCTAAATTGTCTTAAATATCAAACAACTGTCTAATATGTCTTAAAATTGTTTCGAAACTGTCCAAAATGTCCTAAATTCTCAGTACTGTCTAAAATATAAAACTCTAAAAAAAAACATAAAACTGTAAACAATAGTTGTAAAATTATCTTAAATCGTCCTAATATCTCTTAGTATTGTCTAAAATTTTATACACTCTCTAAAAACATCCTAAAATGTCTTTAAAACTGTTTTAAAGGGTTCAAAATGTAATAAATTGTCGTATTACTTTCTAAAATATCATAAAACTGTCTTAAATTGTCCTGGTAGTCTAAAATATTGTAATAATTTCTAAACTAAACAACTATTGTAAAACTTTCTTAAATTGTCCTAAAGCGGTTTTATGACCTAAATTCTCTTAGTACTGTCTAAAATGTCCTCCATTTTTTTTTAAATGTAAAAAAACTCGATACATTTTTAATAAATAAAATTTGTTGAATAAAATAACATATCAGAGTGCGTTAAAAACCAATATTTTAAACTTTAAATTTTTAAATACTAAAAAGTTTAACTTTACCAATTCCAAATAATTTTATTAAAAATTTATTTAGGATTTAGAAAATTCTGCCCAAATAAATTATACTTAAGAAATAAAAAAATATTTAATAAATGTATGTGACATAGAATTCCGAAAACTGCTTACCTTTATTAACTCATTGATTCTGTTTATATCCCTGTCGTTTTTGTTGGTTTCCTCCAACTCCGTGCATTTTAACAGATCGGTGAGTTGATTGTACACTTGGTGCTCTTGGTCGGCCTTAAAAAAAATCGTTAGCATTTTAAAGTCATCATTTCCGCAACCAACGCACCAAATCCTCCATTTGCGTCGTCAGGTGATGGATTTTCCAACCGTTCACCTTCTCCTGAACCCGGCACTGATTCGCCAGATCCATGATGGACGGCTTGCGCTCCTCTTTCGGCCGCACGTCGGAGTACCTTAAAAGAAAAAAATTAAACCCGATTACGCACGATCGCGCCGAAGATAAAACAACCTCAGGTAGTGGTTGTGCGTGGCCTTCCAGTTTTGCCGGTAGCCGTTTAGCAAGCTGGCCGTGGCCGGTTTGCGCACCGTTGCCACGCGTCCACCGGCCTCCGGAGCGCCATCTCGCGGCTCGGCGTCCGACTGGCCGTTCTCAGAGTCCTCCTCTTTTTTCACGTGGTCCGATATGAACTGCATGTCGTCGTTGTGCTCGTTTAGGTCGTTGCTGCCGGTTCTGAAACGAACCCCTTGTATATTTCGTACGGCGCGGGGGGGGGGGGGTTTAAGATTTGCGGGGGGTTTTGTGGAAGAACGTACAGAAATTTTTTGGATTTGTATCCAGGAAAGTATCATAGACATGAGAAGCCGAGAAAATGTGCAATGTTTAAAATGTCGCCTTATCAAAAAATCTCCGAAACCTGAAAAGTTATAAAGGTATCTGAGAAGAATATACTAAAATTTAACCACTGTAACAAAAAACTCATAGATATGAAGCTTAGAGAGTGTGCAATATTAAAAATTAAAAAAACACCCCGTACATTTTAAATCAAAAAAGTTAGAAAGACGAAATTAAAACAATATTAAACAACATACTATAATTTGAACACCTTAACTCAAAAATCCTCAAAGTAATTAACCCTTAAAATGTCTCAATTTGTCTTGGTGCTGTCTAAAATCATAAAACTCTAAAAAACATCAACTGTTGTAAAACTATCTCAAACTTACAGTTGTTGTTTTTTTTTTCGGGGACTAAATTGTCTTAGTACTGTCTAAATTATCATAAAACTCTAAACACCTCTTAAAACTGTCTAAAGTATCGTAAATTGTCTTGATACTGTCCTAAATACTAACTCTTTAAAGAAAACATATAACTGTAAACAACTGTTGTAAAATTGTCTTAAATCGTCCTAAAACTGTCTAAAATATCCTAAATTCTCTTAGAACTGTATAAAATATCATACAACTCTCTAAAAACATCCTAAAACTCTCTAAAATCATCTCTAAAAAAGATCCTAATTAGAATATTATATTTTAAACAAAACTGACAATTTAGGACATTAAATATTAAATATCGTAAATTATCTTGATACTGTCCTAAATATTATAAAACTCTTAAATTGTCATAAAACGGCCTAAAATGTCCTAAACTTTCTTAATACCGTCTAAAATATCATACAACTCTCTAAAAACATCCTAAAACTGTCTAAAATATCATCTCTAAAAACATCCTAATTGAAAATTTAGACCGTTTTAGGGTGTTTTTAGAGTTTTATATTAATTTAGACAGTACTAAGACAATTTAGGACATTTTAGCTAAAACTGTCTAAAATGTTCTAAATTGTCTTGGTACTGTCTAAAATATCATAAAAATCTACAAAAAAAACTGAAAGTGTAAAAACCTGTTGTAAAACTGTCTTATATCGTCTTAAAACGATCTAAAATGTCCTAACTTCTCTTAGTACTGTCCATAACATCATAAAACTAAAAACATCCTAAAACTGTCTAATATGTCTTAAAACTGTTTTAAAATTGTTATATATTGTCAGTACTGTTTAAAATCTAGAAAACAAAACTATAAACAACTTGTAAAACTGTCTTAAATCATCCTAAAACGGTCTAAAATGTCCTAAATTCTCTAAGTACTGTCTAAAATATCATACAACTCTAAAAACATCCTAAAACTGTCTTATCGCGACCTGAGAATTAGATTGTTCTATCTGCCAAAATTTAAAGAGGAACAAATAGCAGTTTAAAGTTTAATTTATATACAAATGAAATTTTAAAAAGCTGTTTTTCCGTGTTTAGATTTTGGGAGATTCTATCTTTCAAAAATCTGACACGGAAAAACAGCTTTTTAAAATTTCATTTGTATATAAATTAAACTTTAAACTGCTATTTGTTCCTCTTTAAATTTTGGCAGATAGAACAATCTAATTCTCAGGTCGCGTTATGTCTTAAAATTTCCCAAATTGTTAGTAGTTTAAAATATCATAAAACTAAAAAATCATTCGAAAACTGTCAAAAAATGTTGTAAAACTGCCTTAAACTTACAGTTAGTTTCTGGGTTTTCTTCATATGTTATTTTTTAAACTGTCTAAAATGTCCTTAATTGTCTTTGTACTGTCTACAATATCTTTCTAAAAACATCAAAAAACTGTAAACAACTGTTTTAAAAACTGTCCTAAATTTTTTTAGTGCTGTAAAATATCATACAACTTTCTAAAACATCCTAAAATTGTAAAATGTCCTAAATTGTCTTAGAACTGCCTCAAATATCATTAAACTCCAAATACCATGTCTGAACTATCCAAAATTGTCTTAGTACTGTCTAAAATGTCATAAAACTTTAAAAACATCCTAATTAGGATATAATTATGATATTTTAAACAGTACTGACAATTTAAGACATGTTAGACCGTTTTAAAACAGTTTGAAGATGTTTGTAGTTTTATGATATTTTAGACCGTACTAAGACATTTTTGCTAAAACTGTAAAATGTCTCTTAGTACTTGTCTAAAATATCATAAAACTTAGGATATAATTATGATATTTTAAACAGTACTGATAATTTAGGACATTTAAGACCGTTTTAAAACAGTTTTAAGATGTTTGTAGTTTTATGAGATTTTTAGACTGTACTAAGAAAATTTAGGACATTTTAGCTAAAACTGTCTTAAATGCTTCTTAGTACTGTCTAAAATATAAAACTAAAAACATCCTAAAACTGTTTAATATGTCTTTAAACTGTTTTAAAAATGTCCTAAATTGTCAGTACTGTTTAAAATATCATAAAACTCTAAAAAAAAAAGGTAAATAAGTGTTGTAAAAGTGTCTGAAACTTACAGCTGTTGCTTTCTGGGTTTCTTCCTGGGACTCATCTCCGTCGGAGGTTTGACGTCCTCCTCGTCCTTGACGGGGGCGTGCGGCATGCTGTCCTCGTTTACCTCCCCCAGGCCGGGACTCGACGTGGCGGAAATGGTGGTACTTCCGCCGGAAGTGTGGCCGTTTCCCCTCGAGTCCGGCCTCGAAGGGGGGGACGCGGGGGCGGGGCTCTGCGAGGGGGGCAGGCTCGTGAGGAGGGGGGTGAGATTTTTCGACGCTTTGAGGGGCGAGCCGTCGTGGTCGCGCTTGCGCAGAATGCTGGGCCGGGGGGAGGAGGTCGGTTTCGAGGGGAGGGGCTGCTGCTCTTGCTGGTCCAGCAGCTGGCCTTGGCCGTACGGTTGCTGGGATCTGTGCTGTTGCTGGTCCAGCATCATCACCTGGTTGTACAGCAGGGATTTGTTGGAAGCTAGATGACCTGATTGAGAAATCGTTGGAGATGTAGAAAAAAAAGTTTTTTCGAATCTACTATTTTAAAAGCCATGCGTTTAAAAATTAGCAGCATTTATAAAAAAATAACATAATGGCAGCAACGGTAAAACCACACCAGGTCAGTAAGTAAAATATGTTAAGAAATCTAGAGTTATACTGAAGAATATTTATAAATCTACGAGCACAAAAACCAAAATAACGGAAAAACAGTAAATCAAAAAGGGTGCAAAATTGTGGCGTACCGTGGCCGTTAAGACTATCTTAAAACTGTGTCCTAAATTGCCTTGGTACTAAAATATCATAAAACTTTCTAAAAAAAATCCTAAAACTGTAAAATGCCTTAAATGGTCTTAAAACGATCTAAAATGTCTCGAAGGTGTCTAAAATACCTTAAATTATTACAAAACCATCAAAGTAATGTCTTAAAACTGTTAAAAATGTCCTAAATTGCTCATGGAACAGTCTAAAATATCAATGAAAAGTAAAAAATTCTAAAACTGCAAAAAACTGTCTTAAATCGTCTTAAAACTGTCTAAAATATCATAAAACTAAAAACATCCTTAAACTGTCAAAAATGCCTTAAAATATTACAAAGTAATGTCTTAAAACTGTTAAAAACTTTTAAAACTGTCCAAAATGACCTAAGTTGCCATGGAACAGTCTAAAATATCAAAGAAAAGTAAAAAATTCTAAAACTGTAAAAAACTGCCTTAAATCGTCTTAAAACGGTCTAAAATGTCCTAAATTCTCTTATTACTGTCTAAAATAACAAAACTAAAAATATCCTAAAACTGTCTAAAATGCCTTAAAATATTAAAAAACTTTTAACTGTCCAAAATGTCCTAAATTGACATGGAACAGTCTAAAAAATCAAAGAAGTGTAAAAAAACAGTCTAAAAAATCAAAGAAAAGTAAAAAATTCTAAAACTGCAAAGAACTGTCTTAAATCGTCTTAAAACGGTCTAAATTGTCGTAAATTCTCTAAAATATCATAAAACTAAAAAAATCCTAAAATTGCCTTAAAATATTACAAAACCATCAAAGTAATGTCTTAAAACTGCTAAAAAACTTAAAACGGTCCAAAATGTCCTAAATTGCCATGGAACAGTCTAAAAAGTCAAAGAAGTGTAAAGAACTGTCTTAAATCGTCTTAAAACCGTCTAAAATGTCCTAAATTCTCTTATTGCTGTTTAAAATTTCATAAAACAAAAACATCTTAAAACATACAAAACCATTAAAGTAATGTCTTAAAACTGTTAAAAATGTCCTAAATTGCCATGGGGCAGTCTGAAAAATCAAAGAAAAGTAAAAAACTCTAAAACTGTAAAGAACTGCATTAAATCGTCTTAAAACGGTATAAAATATCCTAAATTTTCTTATTACTGTTTAAAATATTAAAAAACTAAAAACATCCTAAAACTGTGTAAAATGCCTTAAAATATTACAACATGTCCTAAATTGACATGGAACAGTCTAAAAAATCAAAGTGTAAAAAATTCTAAAACTGTAAAGAACTGTCTTAAATCGTCTAAAACCGGTCTAAAATGTCCTAAATTCTCTTATTACTGTCTAAAATATCATAAAACTAAAAAACATCCTTAAACTTTCAAAAATGCCTTAAAATATTACAAAACCATCAAAGTAATGTCTTAAAACTGTTAAAAAACTTAAATTAAATTTAAATTGCCATGGAACAGTCTAAAAAATCAAAGAAGTGTAAACAACTGTCTTAAATCGTCTTGAAACGGTCTAAAATATCCTAAATTCTCTTAATAAAATGGCCTAAACCACTGTCTAAAATATTATAAAACTATATTTTTGAAGTTAAAAGCCATGCATTTAAAAATTAGCAGCATTTATAAAAAAAATGGCAGTCAGCAACGGTAAAACCAAACCAGGTCAGTAAGTAAAATATGTTAAAAAATTACAGTTTATTTAAAATAACTGACGAATCGAAATAGAAAGGGTCTACAACGAGCACAAAAACCAAAAAAAAAACAAAGGGGAAAACAGTAAACAACCACCGAAACGGGTGCAACGTAGTGTCGTACCGTGCGCGTGCGCGGCGGGTCTGATCTGCTGCTGCAGCTGCCCGCTCTGCGACAGCTGCGCGAACGGCGTCGCCTGCTGCTGCAGCTGGTGCGGCGCAGCGTGCGGCTGCTGCTGCTGGGCGAAAGATCGCGCCACCGTTCCTGCCGCGTCGTAGAAATACGTACCGGTCGGTAGAGAGTAGGCCGTGGCGACGGTGGTGGTCGGCGCCAGAGTCGCGTTGCCCCCTCCCTGGGACACCTGTTGGTGCTGTTGGTTGTGCACCGCGCTGGGATCTTCAAAAAGAAGAAAAACGATTTTTATAATTTTGAAAAGAAACTATGATACGTTTATGCCCTTCCCCTTGTCTATTCAAAACGTTTAAAATTCTCTACAACTGTTCAAAAAATTTATAAAACTGTCTAAAACATCATAAACACTAAACTGTCTAAATTGTCTTAGTATCTAGTATAAATTAATATAAAACTCTATAAACATCCAAAAACTGTCTAAAATGCCCTAAATTCTCTTGGTACTGTATTATAATAATACTTTATTTACGACAAAGTCAGTTACAGATAGGATATGAGCATACAATATACAATATACATTATACATTACAATTCACAATAAATACAGTTATTAAATAAGTGGTAATTTCAGATAGAATTTCTTCAAAAACATTTGGTTTACAAAAAAATTTGGTTAAGAGCTGAACGAACTTGCGCTAGTGTTAAATAATTTAGATCCAAATTTGTCTCATTCGCAAGACGGCAACATCTAGAAAGAGGCATGTTGTGGGAGTAACCATTGATATGAAAATTAACATAAAACATGTTGCTTTGTCGTGTGTATATATTACATAATCATACAACTCTTTAAAAACATCTCAAATGTATTTTTTCCTAAAACTTAAAAAACTGACTTTAAACGGTCTAAAATGTCCTAAATTGTCTTAGTACTGTTAAATTAATATGAAACTTTAAAACTATAAAACTGTCTGAAAAGCCCTACAACTCTATTATAAAATCGTAAAACTGAAAAAAAAACTGTTTTAAAACTATGTTAAATGTCCTTAATTGCCGTACGTACGTAGTACTGTAAAATATCATATAAAAATGCTAAAAACTTTAAACGGCCTTAAATCATTTTAAAACGGTCTAAAATGTCCTAAATCGTCTTAGTACTGTCTAAAATATCCCAAAACTGTCTAAAATACCTTACAATATTACAAAACCGTCAAAGTGATGTATTAAAACTATTTAAAACTGTCTAAATTGCTTAGGGGCTGTCTAAAATATCACAAAACTCTAAAATGTCCTAAAACTCTCTTCTAAAACTATCATAGTAATGTTTTAACTGTCAGAATTGTCTTAAAACTGTCCAAAATTTCTTAAAATTGTAAGAAAAACTGTTTTAAATATCTTAAAACTGTTAAAATTATCTAAAATATAACTTCTTGATAAAACCCTGTCTTAAATCGTCTTAAAACTGCCTGAAATGTATTAAAATGTCTTAAAACTGTCTAAATTCTCTTAGTACTGTCTAAAATATCACCCCTCTAAAAACATCCTTAAATTGTCTAAAATGTCCTAACTGTTAAAAAAAATATGTTTAAAGAGGGTCTAAAATATCAATAATTGTCTTAATACCTACTGAATGAAATATCACAAAAGTTTAAAAACACCCTAAAACTGTCTAAAATGCCCAAAAACTATTATCCAAAACAATCATAGTGATGCCTTAAAACTGTTAAAAAACGTTTTAAAACTGTCAAAAAGTGTTCTAAATTGACTTGGTACTGTCTAAAATATCATAAAACTCTCTAAAACTGTAAACCACTGTTGTAAAACTGTTTTAAATCAACTTAAATTGTTCTAAATTGTATTGGTAGTCTAATATATCAAAAAACTAAAAACATGCTAAAACTGTCGAAAAACGAAGATAAAGTAAATTTTTTAGCAAATTACTTAATTTAACAAATTTCACTATTGTATTTTTATGAGAGTTGTGACAATTACAAAATTATAAACCTAAATTATGTGCAAGATTAAAACACACCGTCAACTTGTATTTGCGGTTTCTTTGATTTCAATTTTTAGACATGGCAACATTGTATCATGTCACAAATGTCAAAATTTTGTTTTTTACAATCCAAATAATATTTGTATTGTCCATTTGTCATACATCCAAGGATTTGTTCCACAAAAGTTTAAAAAAATAATAATTAACAATATTAACAAAAAATGTGTGGAAAATTAAAAAATCACCATCAATGGAGTTCTTTTCGTTGCTTCTTTCGCTAAAATTGGCAACATCGACGCTCAACAAGTCGGAAATTTTTTCTTCGAATATATCAGTCGGTTTGCTGGCCACATTTTCAATGTCGAAATTTAAATCGTCGAAAATCTTTTCTTTGCTCAATTCTACGTTTAAACTGAACAACTCTTCAGTCATCGAAAATTTTGACATTTTACGGAACATAAACAAGAAACGTCAAATTGGGCGGCATTGTTACTTTGTTGCCATGGCGACGGCATGTGGTTACTTTGATCCAGTGAAGTATTTACATTTTTCACGTTTAATTGACATTTAATGCAGTGAAATATTAAGTAAAACTTACAACAGTATTGACACAAAACAAGATAAATCCAAACTGATAGAATAAATAAATTTTAACGATGATATATTGATAAGAGATAAATACTGCGCAATATCACAAAATACAAAAAAAAACTACTTACTCGGCGACATTCTTTTGGGCGTAGTCTGCACAGGCGCGTGTATAAAAACATTTGCGGGGGTTCCTGAAACTTGATTGTCACCCGATGGAAAAACTTTGGCAATCGATATGGCTTGAGATGGCACTACGGTTGTCTGTCTTTGAGTTACTATGGCGGCTGGAACACTTACTATAACAAAAAAAAAATTGTTCTGTATTGCGGCTCTTTCCAAAATAATATCATTTTTTTTACTTACTTGTTCTTGTAGAAGTGGAAACTACATTTTGTGTGGTAGTTTTTAGTGGAGACTGAAGAGAAGTCAAATGAATAGCTACAAAAAAAACATTTTTATTAAACAAATAATTTTATTTATTTAACTTTGTCCAAAATAGTCTAAGTACTGTCTAAAATATCCTGTCCGAATTTTCCTAAAACTCTCCTCCAAAACCATCATAATAATGTCTTAAAACTGTATAAAATGTCCTAAATTTTATTGGTATTGTCTAAAACATCATAAAACTCTAAAACATTCTAAAACGGTAAAACTTCTTAAGCGGTCTAATATGTCCTAAATTGTTACTGTCTAAAATATCTCAAAACTATAATCATCCTAAAACTGTATAAAATGCCCTAAAACTTCCTTACAAAGCCATTGTAGTAGTTCTAAACAGTAGTAGTAGTAGTAGTAGTAGTTCTAAACAGTTCTAAAATTGTCTAAAATGTCCTAAATTCTGTTGGTACTGTCTAATATTTCATACAACTCTCTAAAAACATCCTAAAACTGTCTAAAAATGTCCTAAATTGTCTTAGTACTGTCTAAAATATAAAAATCACCAAAAAACATCCTAAAATTGTAAACAACTGTTGTAAAACTGTCTTAAATTTTTCTAAAACGGTCTAAAATTTCTCTTTATACTGTCCAATATATAATACCACTCTCTAAAAACATCCTAAAACTGTCTAAAATGTCTTTCTTCCAGGAACAGTCTTTTTTTAAACGACGATCTAAAATGTTCTTAATTGTCTTGGTACTGTCTAAAATGTCATAAAACTCTAAAAACATCCTAAAACTGTAAAAAACTGTTGTAAAACTGTCTTAAATCGTTCTAAAACGGTCTAGAATGTCCTAAATTCTCTTGGTACTGTCTAATATATAATACAACTCTAAAAACATTCTAAAACTGTCTAAAATGTATTTCTTCCTGGAACAATCTTTTTTTAAACGGTCTAAAATGTCCTAAATAGTCTTAGTACTGTCTAAAATGTCTTAAAACTAAAATGTCCTAAATTTTCTTAGGACTGTCTAAAACATCATAAAACTGTATAAAAAACCTCTTTACACTGTTATAAAACTGTATTTAATCCTAAAACAGTCTAAACTATAAAAAAAACTATCTAAAATGTCCTAAATTGACTAAAATATCATTAAACTCTAAAAACATCAAAAAACTGTCTAAAATGCCTTACACATTACAAAACCATCCAAACCAAGTAATGTCTTAAAACTATTAAAAAACTGTTTTAAAACTGTCTAAAATGTCCTAAATTGCATTGGGACTAAAATATCATAAAGCTATACAACATTTTAAAACGGTCTAAAAAATTATCTTAGTACTGTCTAAAATATCATACAACTCTCTAAAAACTGTCCAAAGGTTTAAAACTTAGTACTGTCTAAAATGTCAAATAACTAAAACTTCTAAAACTGTCTAAAATATTCTAAATTCCAAAACTATCATAGTTATGTCTTAACTGTCTGAAATGTCAAAACTGTCTAAAAATGTCTAAAAACCTTATATTGTCTAAAATGTCCTAAAACTGTTGAAAAACTGTTTTAAGACTGTCTAAAATATCCTTAATTGTCTTAGTACCTACTCAATAAAATATCATAAAACTTTAAAAAACATCCCAAAAATGTCCCAAAACTATTATCCAAAACATTATCATAAAAATTGTTTAAAATATCATTTAACTCTAAAAACACTAAAACTCTCTGAAATGTCCAAAACTGTCTTAGCACTGTCATAAATATCATAAAACTCCCTAAAACATCGTAAAACTGTCTAAAACACTAACCTTGAGTTGGCTGCGTGATGACCTTGGGGCCTTGCGTCTGCAACCCGCGTTGCTGCGGAGAATTGGCAACGGCGACCAGACTCGAGATGTTCGACAGATTCAGCGCGCTGATCCTCGTGCCTAGTACGTTATTGGCGGAGACGACGGTGGGCGTGGCCACCGTCAGCCTGCCCAATGGCGCGCTAGGCTGCGTACACACGATGCGCGCGCCCTGCTGCTGCTGCTGCGGCGACTGCACCGCAGATATCCTCGCGCCCGAAGTTAGCACCGTTTGCGGGGCCACCAACCTCGCGCCCGACGTTGCCACGTTCACGGGGACCGTCAGACGCGCCGTAGCCACCTGCCCCTAAATGTTTAGACATTTATAGATTACCTTCCTTCCTCCCGTAAAAGATGAACAATAAAAAAACCGTTATGCTGTTTATAGATTCCCGTAAGGGAATCTATAAATGGCACTACGGTTTTCGTATTGTTCATCTTTTACGGGAGGAAGGAAGGTAATCTATAAATCAGTCTTTCAAAATAAAGCAGTGTTGCCAAGTCTTTTTTTTTTAAATAAATGACAATTGGGCATTTAAAAAATTTTTTAGATAAAATTTATGATAAATTGAAATGTTTTAACATTATTTTGTTATTATTTAGCTAAAAATTAAACATGGGGCCCCCCTTTTTTTTACTAAATCACAAAAAGGCATTTTTGCAACAAAAAAAATATGTGAAATATGGTTTAGATAAAATTTATGATAAATTTAAACATTTTAACATTTTTTTGTGATTATTTCGCTAAAAAATAAACCCCCATGACAATTTATCATAAATTTTATCTATTCACATATTTTTTTTGCAAAAATTTTGTCATTTAGTAAAAAAAAAAGACTTGGCAACACTGTTTTATTTTGATAAAGCAGTGTTGCCAAGTCTTTTTTTTTAATAAATGACAAGGCATTTAAAAAAAATATATTAAAAAAATTTTATAGATAAAATTTATGATAAAATGAAATATTTTAACATTTTTTTGTGATTATTTAGCTAAAAATTAAACATGTGGCCCATGTTTTCATATTTAAAATGGCAAATTTTTCAAAATAAAACAGTGTTGCCAAATCTTTTTTTTTTACTAAATGACAAAAAGGCATTTTTGCAAAAAAATATGTGAACAGGATGGTTTGGATCAAACTTAACATTTTTTTGTGATTATTCCGCTGAAAATTAAACTTTTACTTACAATGGGTCTGACACCTTGATTTTGCCTTTGGTTGGGTAAATTACTGGCCACAGTTAACCTAGTAGAAGGAAATTGTGATCCTGTATTGGCACTGTAAACTACAGCCTGAGTTCTAGAGGGCAGCACTTGCGCTATGGTCACAGAACTCCCTATAGTCTGAATAGTGCTTGCCCCGGGCTTGTAAGGGTGAATCTAGGGAGTAAAAATTGAATTTACATTTTTTTATGCACAATAAACTGTCAAATTTCAATTTTAAGGTTAATTTACCATAACCTACAAATTTAAATTTGACAGTGATGACAGCCCTGATAGAATAAGGTTTATTATTTACAAAATGGTTTTTCTTATTTTTCTTACCTGAGTTGGTTGAGCTATTATAGCATTTTGCAATATAGTCCCGGGCCTAATTGTGGAAACAGCCCCACTTTGCGCCCTACCCACGATCTGGGGCTTCCCCGTGACGGTGGCGCCTCTAACGGGCGAACTTAGCACCGTTGTAGCCCCCTTGATTTGACCGCCGTTTGAAGAGCTTGTGGTCAACCAAGCGGTAGCCTGGGCCGGACTGGGCGTTCTGGGGGGTCTCACAAACCCATGACCCTGAATAAACACAAAATCGAATATTAAAAATATTATTAATAATTAAAAGACAACGTACTGTCGTTACATTGCTACGGTTGGTAGCTAGGCTTGCTACCACAGCTGGGCCTCTCGGAACGTGATATGAAGCCCCAGTTTGGTTTACCAAAGGCGCCGATAAAGTTATCTGTGCGGGTCTTTGCTGGATTGTCAGATTTCCTTGCTGATTTGAACCCTGGGTGCTCGTTATAATGCCCAGCTGGGCCCTACCAGAGTCTTAACAGAAAAATATGAATAAGAGGAAATACCTAATAATAATATATAATAATGACAATTTTAAATTATGACAAGCTAAAATAGTTAAAAATATTGTTTATAAACAATTTTTACAATATTATTTAATTATTTCAATAACAATTTAATTTTTCAACACTGTATCTAATACAGTGGATCATGGCCTTGAACATTTATTATTGACAAATGTGGCAACCATGCAACAAAATTTTATGAACACAAATTACAAATGGCAAGTGAAAAAATTGTATTTACAATAAAATAACAATATTAAAATTAAACCAATTAAAATTTATGAACTTTCTTTATCATAATCTATAAAATGTTCACATTTTAATAAAGAAACAACAAAAATCCAACTTAATTATCTAATTAGAAAGTATTAAAGAGTGCTTTATTATGTAAAACCAATAAAATCACAGAGACAGAGTAAAAAGACACACTACCCCCTAATTTTAAACAAAATCTCACCAAGGCAACTTGACAAACAAAACCTTTGATTTAACATCCAAAGCTCACCTTGTTTTAGCACGGCTTGTGGCACAATGTTTGTAGTTATTATCGTCTGTCCCCCCACTGAAGTGTTCGTACTGGTTGTTAGCGCCCCTTGCAGAACCCTCATGCCCCTCAGAGACTGGCCAGTCATCACTAGAGGCCCCTTTCCAGCGGTTATTTGACTTCTAGCCAAATCCAGCGGCAAGGCCTTCTGGATGTCCTTATCGTCGTCGTTCTGTCCACTCATTTTCACGCGGAAAACCTCACAATAACATGTAGAATACCTTCGCAATCAGACCCCAAGCATCTGCTATTGGAAATTTTACCAAAACTCGCCTATTACGCGCTTCAATTCAGCATAAAGCTATCCAAGACTGCTCCCGTCACAACGCACTCTCTTTTTCTCACATCCAGCATAGCTTTATTCGATTATTTCGCGTTTAAATCCAAGTAAACTGCAGTATTATTAAAATTAACTTCAAAATTCAACAGCGATGGCGATGTAGCTACGAAGGACAAAAAACGCTGCAACACTGTGCGCCGTTCGTTTGTTTCGCGACTTTGCGCTCGGCAGCTACGCCTCGGCTACGCAGCGAAAATTAAAAATAAATAAAACTAATTAGATTTGGGAATAAACGAGATCAGAAGGATTTTTACAGTAAATTCGAACCATTTAGCGATATAATCGAATGAATATTTGTTATTTTCTAAAATTATGCCAAAATATTGCAATCAGTGTTGCCAGGTGTATTATTTTTGGTCTTTATATATTATTCTACAGCCTAAGAGCATAGAAATTACATAATAATAGTATTATTTCTATGCTGAAGAGTAAATTGTTCTGTTATTTTTTGGACAATAATTCATTTTTCCAGTGTTTTCTACGCGAATCAACTTTTTTCTACGAAAATTGAATCTAGCAACGCCGCAATTATTGCCAACATTGCAAATCGAAAGTTTTAGCATCAAAATAAATTATTTAATGTTATTTAAAGAAAAATCGGCTTTTTACCGATATATTACATTAAGTTATAAGGGAACATGTTAATTATACAAAAATTAATCGCGTAGGTATAAAAATATTGGTTATTTGGTGTGATTCTAACCCCACTTTTTTTGTTTACCCAAAACCCTAACGCCATGGGTTATATTTGAATTTAAAAACAAGATACGATTAAAATGACGGAGGAAAGGCTTGTTACCGAGGTACCCAGCAGCCTCAAACAGCTGGCAAGGCTGGTTGTGCGAGGTTTTTACACAATCGAAGATGCCCTTATTGTGGACATGTTGGTTAGAAATCCCTGCATGAAAGAGGACGATATATGCGAGTTATTGCGCTTTGAGCGTAAAATGCTTCGCGCCAAAATCGCAACGCTAAAAAACGACAAGTTCATACAGGTGAGACTGAGAATGGAGACCGGGCCGGACGGAAAGGCACAAAAAATCAACTACTACTTCATTAACTACAAAACTTTCGTGAACGTTATAAAATATAAGTTGGATTTGATGCGGAAGAGGTTGGAAACTGAGGAGAGAGATGCTACGAGCAGAGCGAGTTTTAAATGCCCGGGCTGTCTGAAAACGTTTACCGATTTAGAGGCGGATCAGTTGTTTGATTTTATGACGCAAGAATTCAGGTGCACATACTGCAGAGAGGTTGTTGAGGAGGATTCCTCGGCGTTGCCAAAGAAGGATTCACGGTTATTGTTGGCGAAATTCAATGAGCAGTTAGAGCCCCTATATGTGCTACTCCGTGAGGTGATAGTAGGGTTTTTGCGTTTTTTTCGGGGGTTTTATGTTTTTTGTTGTAGGTTGAAGGTATTAAGTTGGCACCTGAGGTTTTGGAGCCAGAACCTGTTGATATAAGTACTATAAGAGGTTTGGATAAAAAGTCCAATAGTATGCATCCTACTGATGCTTGGTCAGGGGAAGCCACAAGGAATTCTGGATTTGCTGGTAAGTTTGGAAAAAAATACATAATATGTATTAAATATTATTTGACATCAAAAATATTTTTTTATTTAAAATATACTTGTTTTTTTAAATATAAGTTAGGAAAATTTTCTCAAATTATTGTATTTAATTTGAATTATTTAAAAAATTAAAAAATAATATTACTATTAATTACAAAAAATTAATTGGGAGGCTTCTTTAAATTTAAACAAAAACAATTAAAGTTTAAAGTTAACTTCTTCTTCTTCTTAATTCTGATCACAAATGTGTGTTCAGAGAAATGACCTTTAGCTTTAGCAATTTAACTTGTCAACTGTTTTTTGTAAAAAATTCTAAGCTGTTCAATAAATATAGGTATTCATTCTTTATTATAAAAATCAAGATCCTAACCTTAAAAATTCAGTTGAAGTGAAAAATGCGATTTTTCTGGCCTTGCAGCCTTGACCAAATACAATTAAATAACAAAGTTATTTTTTTCTAATAATTAAAATTATATATCTGTCAATTTAACGCCAATTTTGTATTATTTTCCAAATATAATATAATCCACAAAACGCGCATGCTAATAATCTCGCAGTTAGGCAATCCACAGACCCACAGACATTTTTATGTTGTTTACAATTCGTGTGCTTTGGGTTTGTGCTGTTATACATGTTTATACAGATTAAAAATCGTTTTAAAAGTGCTAAGGGCAACCATTTTACTCCTCTTCCTAGGCTCCTCTTTTGTAAAAAATAAACATCATTTTATCAGAGCTGTCAAATGTCAATTTTAGGGTTCAAGGTTACCATACCCACAATTTAACCTTGAAATTGACATTTGACAGTATGATGACATATACATATTACTGGTCGAAATTGGTGTCAAACTGACATATATGTACATAACCTTAATTGAATACGTCAATGCAGAAACTGAATATGTCCTACCTATCTAGTTTTGAGATAAATAAGAAAAACTGAACAGAAAGTGGACATGTTCTGGACATATTCAGTTTCTCTACTATATAATAACGCCTTTGTATAATCTAGATTACCGTGACATGTAAAATTTCTACGCCATTCGATCGGGCACCCTTTACTTATAGTAAATCCATGTTTAACTCAATATCCCTAAAAAGTGGACATATTCAGTTTCTGCATTGACCTATTCAATTATCAAAAAAAATGGCAATTACTTTATTATTTACTATTTATTTATTATTTACTTTATTGTATTTAAACAAAAAATGCTAGGCTTTCATAAAAAATATCAAATTTAAAGTAAAATAAAAATCGCATGTTTCACTTTGATTGAATTTTGTATGTTTTTTTGTTAATTATAATAAGGAATGAATATCTTCATTGATAAGCTAAGAATTTAAATAAAAAAAAATTTTTTTTTAAATATATATTTACATTCTTAAATATACAGTGTCAGGAAATCAAATATTTTACATTTTTCAAAAAAATTCATTATTGAGAAAAGTTTTTGCTTGATTTTAAACCTCCTGAATATGCGACATATATATATATATTTTTTGTCTATGGTTCAATTCTTTTGAAAAATTTGGAATTTTTTTTTATAAAAATCATTGGTCAGTTTTCGTTTATTTGTCATTTCTCAAAAGTAATCGTTTCTATTGACATGTTCAATGCATTTTTTATACTTTTTCATAAGTAAAAATTAATGACATCCGAAAATTGGTTATTTTGTCCACGGTTATTAAAAAAAAAAATTGTAGTCGAGGAAGCGAGAGTGGACATTACCATTGGCGAGGAAGGTGCCAGCAACGTGGCCAATCGCAAAGAGGCGCCAATTTGGATGATGGAGTCCACTGTCATAACAAACGCCGACGCCAAAGATCAAGTTGGCGACGCACTGGACGCCGCGGCCGAAACTAGCGGCAACACCGGCAACAAGGACGACATAATGAGCGTGCTGTTGGCGCACGAAAAACGGCCCAGCGCCAACGCCGTCAACGCTCTCAAAGGTGAGTCTAACCTCCACAACATTCATAACCTACACAAAAGATTCTATCTCCACGCGGTCTGTAATTTAAACTTTATTGTTGTCAACATTCGATAAAAAAATACCTTGTTATGGCCTAGGCCGATAAAAAATTTTATGAGGCAAGTAATTAGTTCGATTTTTTCTTGCTTTTGACAAATTAATCCTTTTCTAAGAAATTCACGTACCAAACTGGTTTAATTTATTTATAATAAGCACTAATTTGTTTGTTTTACTGTTAATGTTTAATATTTTTCATTAAATTATTGTAAAATTAAATATGAATAATAAAACAAAAAGTGAGGTTAGGCAACCAAGAAAACGCACGATTCTTTTTATTATTTTTAGGTTTTAATTTGCTTTAAGTTTTCAGTAAAATTAAATGTTCAACACAGCTTAAACATTCCAAACAACCTATTTTTTAAATAAAAATGCAAACGAATTGAAATTAGATACCTACCTATTTATTAAACAATTAATTGAATTCAATGTAATAGCAAAAATCCATTTCTACTTAAATCATGTAGTCAAACTATTACTGCTTCTAAAAGCAATAATAATTATTGCACATTTAATGTAATCTTTAGCTAATAAATAAATGAGATTCTAAAAAAGTGAGGTTAGGCCGCTTTGATGTTGAATTAAATTGACCTATATAAAGTGCTTTAAAGATAAAATGTGGTATGCCATTCGGCCAAGAAGTGCCTTTTTGTGCTTCGCTCAATGGGGTAGTTAAATTTTTTCTGACCTATACTTTTTATGGTTTTATTCAAGGCGTTTTGTAATATTAAACATTTCTGTGAAATCAGAATTTCAATTGAGTTTACTGTTTTCGAGATATTTACAAAAAATATAAATTTTTATGACGTCACAAACCTCGCCATTTGACCAACATTCTATTTCTATTGGTTGAAAATTGTCAAGTTGTCTTTTTAATGATTTTATTCGGTTATGTCAGAAAATACCCGAAGAGGTTATTTACAAATACTGTCACTGTCAGTTGTGTGAAAGATGGTCACCAAATTCATTAAGTACCTACCTTATTACGAGGTATCATATTACTGTTTGATATTTTAGAGTCCAAGATATATCTAAAAGAATATAAAGTACTAGGCATTATACTAATGAAATGCATTTACGACAAAATATGATTATAATTATAGGTAGGCTTACTTTATTTGTTTAAAAGCTCCAATGTTCAATGTAACCAACCATTCCACAAGATTCCTCTGCTTTGGAGTCCGTTATTAATAAATCACTTATCTAATATCAATTACAAATAACATAACAATAACATTGATTTTCAATAATCTAAATTTAAAAAAAACATAACCCGAAAAAAAGAAACGTCAAAAAATCAATTCTTCTTCTTCTCAACTAAAATATAGATCAAGTGGTTTTAAAACTAAAATATTATAACGTGGCGCCATCTATCGTAAGAATCTTAAACTAAACACACTGGCAACCATAGAAAAAGCTGGCAACGTTGTCAATAGCCTATTGACGTAATTAGGAGATTTTTTTTTGTAAATATCTCGAACACGGTAAATCAATTGAAATTCCGATTTCACAGAAATGTTTAAAATTACAAAACGCCTTGAATAAAACCATAAAAAGTATAGGTCAGAAAAAATTTAACTACCCAAAAAGTAGGGATGCACCGGGTACCCGGTCGGTACCCGGTATGGCCGAGTACCCGGCCAAATAACGAAGAAACCGGGTAACCCGGTTTCACCGGGTAATAGTCAGTACCCGGCCGAGTAAACCGGGTACATTGACAAAACAAAAAATAGAATTTTTTAAGTTTTATTTTTAATTTATAAATAAAAATTCAAAAACAACATTAACTCTTAAAATAAACATATTAAAAAAATTAACATTGATTATAAAAAAAATTAAAAATCAACATGTAATACCAAATTAAAAAATAAGATAAATAATTTGCTTTCATTTAATAATAAATTTTTATTAATGAAACTTCCCTCTGACACTGACACATTATTTATTTAATATTCATAATTAAGCAGGGGGCATTGTGGTGCAAAAAATAAGTTTTTCTCCATTTTCTGGTAAAAGACGATTTCTTTTTGTATCAAACACATTCCCAGCTTCTGAAAATATTTTCTCGGAATAGACACTGGATGGTGGAGAGCACAAATATTTTTGACACATTTGGGACAGTCTGATCTAATAAAGTTGGGTTATGTGCACTCGTTTCGGCGAATACCCGGTACCCGGTACCCGGTGTTTAAATTTTAGGCAAATCCGGTACCCGGCTTTTTTAAAAACCACTACTCGGTGCATCCCTACCAAAAAGCCTTACTTCTTAACCTAATGACATAAATAACTATTTTAGGTCTTCACAACGCGGATTCGGACTCGAGTGACGAGGATATGCACGAAGTGAAGGAAGACGTTGCGGAAGTGGACAGCATCGAAAGCGACGAAGATGAAGATGGCAACGTGCCAACGGTGACGGTAGGCAACCGGACGTACACCGTGACGGACATAAACGACACCGTCATAGCGGAAATGACGCAGGCCGAGAAGGAAATATACGTGCAAGTTTTCCAAGACTACTACTCGCATATGAATTACTAGAATTAATCAGGAAAATGTAATATTTCGTTTTGTATTCATTTATTTAATATATTTTTTTTATTAAAATGAGTTTTTTCTTTAAAATACTTAAAAAGTACGAACTAAAGTGTTTCTAGTTTGGAATGTTGGTAGCACAGATTATATAGGTGAAAGTCAATTTTAAAACAAGATACATAGCAAAACATAGCAACCAGTGTTGCCAGATCATTAGGGGAAGTAAGAATCACAATCTAGTTGGGAAGGATAATAAATACTTTTAAATAAATTGCATGAAAAAAAGAATTTTATGCACGATGACATTATAATATGACAATTATAACAAAAATTCTTTGACGTAAACGTCTTTTTATAGCCCGCGGGCGTTATTATGACCCAGCGGGCTATAATGAAACGTCAAAAATTAAAAACAACAATGTTACACCATTTGATATATTCGAAGTAAGTTTTTTCGTATAAAGATTTTGATTTTTCCGGCAGCAGGCCGCAATTTTTCGCCTTTTCAGCTGCTTCCTCAATTTCATTCATCTTTAAACTTTAAAACTGACTGATGTCAGTTGACATTATAATATGACAATTATAACAAAAATTCTTTGACGTAAACGTCTTTAAAAACAATAATATATTAAAAATAATAATATATTAATCGTGCATAAAGTTTTGTATGCATTGCTGGCATAACTGGTTTTTATGGTCCTACGACGCTTTTCTAGCCCTCGCGCTAACGCGCTCAGGCTCGAAATAGCGCCTCGGACCATAAAAACCTTATTATGCCCTTAATACATAAATAACTATAACAATATTATTTTAGATTTTATAATGGCATGTTTATAACAGCGTATTTATACCACGATATTCAAAAGGTTTTTATGGTTTTTATCATAGACATATTAATATGTAGATGGTTTTAACCATTTACATTTTGTTTGTTTTCTGTTGTATACAATTTGTTACATTGTTTTTTTCCATTCTGTTTACAAGATTTTTAGTGGCTAGTGGGTGACTTTGTTCCTTTAGTTAAGATATTTACAATTTAAGCTCATAACCTAAAATTAGAAAGATATGCACTGGTTTTTGTCATAAAAGTTGACAGATTTTGTTTGAATTTACCTTCATTACAAAAATGATAATCAACAATTAATAAAAACGCCAAATTAAAAATTTGCAATGTTGATTTTGTCATTTTTGTAATTAAGCTAAATTTAAACAAAATCTGGCAACTTTTTTTGACAGAATCTGGAAACGCTGGTTATTACCAACATGATAAATTAAATTAGGAACCAGATGTTTTAGATAAATGATTGTGTAAAAAAAAATCAAGTTAATAAATAATTTTTTATTCTTAAAATTATCACAAAATAAAATTTTTAAGGAACAAATACTGAAAAATTTCAAAAACCTGCTTTCTCCAAACTGTCCAACTGATGACCGAGTTTTTCCTCCTTGGTTTTACGCATTTGACACAACTTTCTAGTACTTATGTATTGATTTACAAATCTATCCACATCCATTTCACCTTTTAAAAAATTTTCCGCGATTTTTTCACCCTCCAATTCTGCTTGACTAGCTGCTATCCTCAATTGATCCTAAAGTTACAAAATAAGTATTTATTTTGACAGCCTCAAAAAAAATTTACCTGAATATTTCTTGGTGAGTACTTATCGGATAAATCCTGATAAATCCCAAGCAGCCTTTCATTCTCAAAGGCCAATTTCGTAACCTCTTCTATTCTTGAATCGATCCCGAACCTCAAATCCTCCAATTGCTGCTGCTTGCTCAAATTACTTTCGGCCAGTTCCTCTATCTGAGCTATACACTCATCCAAAACTCTCTGTTGATTGTTTATGCATTGCATCTCTTCTATGAACTCCTGCTGCCGATCTGCGTTTTCCTTCAAAAACTGCAACTCTTCAATGCTCAAGTGGTTGAGTTGGGGGAATTGTGAGGTTATGGGTGTGTGACTAGGAGGAGAGAAGGATTTTATAACTGGGAGAGTTGGGAAGCTTGGACTTGTTCTACTATGCTCCCCATCTAAAAAAAGTACAAATATAACCCCCACAATTTTGTTTTCATAAATATTTACCTAAAACAGAGTTACAGGGCGACATTTTTTTATTATCATGCCCTATCAAGGGCGGTGGATTCCTTTCAAACTCCCTAGTAATTGCCTGCACAACTCTGCCCAAGTCGGAATGTACAGTGAACTAAAACACCCATAATAAAAAAAATATACTTAAAAATCATTCATTATACATTTAATAACCCAGGGGCTGAAGTAATCTCCCCCTCAGCATTTACCCAAGGGTGTATAACGACAGGTGATATTTTTAGTTTGGGTTTCTCTTTCGGAAATTCACTGCCCAATAAAACGTTCAATATCAACTTATTGCAGCCAGAATCGAATGCTATTTGGTATTCTTGCCCCTCGCTCACTTCATTAACACTAAAACACGACAAAAAACAATTTTTATCTTTCATAACATGTTTTGGTATCATTACTTGGCATTAAACACTTTCAAGGTGTTTATTTGGCTTTTACGTATGTCTGCGTCGGTTTTATACATTCTAGATTGCATTACATGTGCCGAATCGATGTGGTTCTTCTAAAAAAATGCAAAATGTCATTGTTTTAACCGTAAACGTCAAATGACATGTTCGTTTGACAGAACAAGCTTGGTTGGCAGCACTGTAAAAACAAAATTTGACGTTTAGTAGTTCATTTGTGCTACAAATGAACTACTAAACGCCAAAAATGGCGTCCACGCAAAGGGCGTTCACGCAAAAATTGTCAAAGTATGTAAACAAACGGCGAAAAGGCGAAAATAACGTTTCGTATGTTTCAGGCACAATGCAGCGGACGTTAGGAGGAATGTGGCGTGCCACAAAAGTGGGCTTATATCGCCTTCATCGACTTCTGTGAGTTGTTTACTTCGTTGATGCTTGTTTTGCGTTATTTTTTGCGTTTTATTGCAGAGCTGGACGAATGATGTTGTGGAGCCGTTGGATTACGAGGAGTTCGTCAGTCAGTATCAGTTACTGATCGATAGAGACCCTCTAAGACACATCTTGGATGTCCCTCACAGTGATGTCGAAGTAGATATAATCGAAAGGCCTATAAGAACGCTTCAACCGATCGTTCCCGAAGAAAAACTGTATGTAGAGTTGTATTTGTGGTTTATTTGTGCTGATTAGATTTTATTTCTAGTGAAACACTGCCTCCACATGTGCAGTCTTGTGTGGAGTGTTACAAGTCTAATTGGAAAGTTGTCAGATATAACCACAGAACTTTGAGTAGTAGTGTTTCGAATAGATCCAATCTTTCCAAGACTTTGGAGCCAAGTCCTAAGCAGGAATTTGAGGTGGACTTTCAAGCAGCACCTTCTGAAGCCACCAGTGAAATAGGTATTTATTTATTTGACATTTTTATGCAACACATTACACATTTTTTTCTTTTAGATATATCCTCCTTACCAAGCAGTAGGCACAGTGTCGCCTCTATAGGCTCTGTATCTTCATGTGGGGACACTTTAACTCCCAGAAACTCCTGGGCATCCCTGGATCTGAGACATTCAGCTGGAGATCAGCTGATTCCAGATATTTTGGAGCAAAATGCTCCAGAAGCTGTAGATCAGTTGAACGAGAGTAGAAGACAGTCAGACAGGCATGACACTGTGTTTGCACTGTGCCCGCAAATAAGTGAGGTTGAGATTGATCCTGTTGAAAAAAGATTGCCTGCAAACATTCCCTATGAGCATTTGGGGCACAGAATATTGATCAAGTGCCAACAACTGACGTAAGAACATGTTTTTTTAAGTTTTTTGCAATTTTTTTCTATTATTTTTCAAATTTAATGTACTTACTGTGTATTAGGTAAATTGGAGAAAAGTGAGGTTAAAACCCTTTGACAGATGTCAGATTGGAAAAAAGTGAGGTTAAACTCGTCTGACAGATATTGGTAAAAAGTGGGGTGACAGTTATCAGATCATTTTTGCAAAAAAGACTCAACCGACAGTATATTTATTGTTTACGTTTATTTTCTTAAATCAATTTAATTTTTTTTTTTTTTTCAAAAGGCCATTGACCTAGGTCCTTCAGCCATCAATTTAATTTAATGTTAAGTTTTATTTTTTTTTGTAATAAAGGATATCTTTTTTAAAATTGAAATATGTTGAGTTGTTGATTGCTACTTTTTTTCAACTGTGTATATTTTCCACAAAAAAATCAATTTTTTCCTAAAAAGCCAAGGCCTGGAAAAAACCGGAAAAACAGTTTTTCCCCCAATTTTTCCATTTTTTTTTTCGGATCTTTAAAATCCTAATTAGGGTTTAAAAATTTAATTTAATTTGCGATTTAAAAATAAAAACTTAAATTGAAAACCTTTTTTTTTATTGCTTGATATTTTTGTTGAAAATGTAGATATTAAACTGACAATTTTCAAAATCTTTTTTAATGAAACAAAAGTTCAAATGATCTACAAGTTCTGTATTTTGAGTAGGAACTCTCAGTATAAGTAGACCTGTAGCTACTTAACTTATTTAGTATTTACGTGAAGACGACTGGATTTACTTAATACTTACTTTACTTTACATAATAATAATAGAAAAATACATACAATTGGGTATTATTCTAAGCTATAATTTATTTACTTTTGTAATTTGTTGCTAATATTTTTCACAAATTTTTTTTAATAAAAGTTTTATGTTTTTAACATTTTTTCTATAATAATAATTAATATCTTAAGAATCAAAAAATATTCTACTAAAAAATGCCAATAATCTGGTATCATTCATAGTTTGGATTTGGAAGTGGAGCCCCTGTTTGCCTCGATGGCTCTGTACGATTGCAAGGAGAAGAAAAAAGTTTCTGAAACTTTTTATTTCGATTTGAACCCCGAGGGCTTGAAAAGAATGTTGGGCGGGCATGTCCCGTACTCCGACCCCAGCACATTGGCGCGCGGGTGCATTTTCAACATATCCCACCCGTCTCCCGATTTGTTTATCGTAGTGAGGCTCGAAAAAGTCCTCCAAGGCGATCTGAACGAGTGCATCGAGCCTTATTTGAAGGAAGACAAGGTTAATAGTAGTTATTAATCGATAATTAATGGTGATAAATAGAGGGGTGTTTTTTAGAATCGCGATAAGTTGAAATCCAACGCGGTTTCTGTGTGTGAGAGGCTTGGAAAGTATAGGCAACCCTTTGCATGGACCGCCATCAATTTGATTAATGTCATTAACGATGGAAATACCATGGAAAAAGATCTTGATAAGGAGTTTATGGGGTCTGGATCCAATACTAATAGTCTGGGTGAGTTTTCCTTATAAATATACATTTTTTAACTTTTTAAATTGTACGCTAATGCGCCATATGGTGGCGCTCGATTATTATCATTAAAATGCTCTAAATCATCCAAGTACAGTCTAAAATGTGTAAAACTTTTTGAACATGTTCTAAAACTGTAAAACTAATATGTTTTAAAATTTTCTAAAAAATGTCCAAATTCTTATATGTCTTAAAACTCTCAATAATGTCCTAGAATCTAAAATATCTTAAAATTGTCTAAAAAAAAATCCTTAAGTGTCCTAGTACTATCTGAATGGTCTTAAAAACTAAAAAATATCCTAAATAATCTAATTACTCTGAAATGCCTTTATATTTTCTGAAAAATGTCTAAAAATCATCCTAAATCGTACTATTTAAAACGCTCTGAAAATGTCGACATAGTACTATACCAAATGTCTTAAAAGTTTCAAAAAATGTCCCAAAATCATCAGTACTGTCTAAAGTGTCCTAAATTGACAATGTATATCTAAAATCTAAAAATATGTCATAAATCGTCCTTGTGCTATAGGAAATGTCCTAAAACTCAAAAATATCCTAAATCAAAACTTTCAATAATGTCATAAGGTCATCAACTTTTTAAAAAATCTTAAATTGCTCTTAAAACTCTCAATAATATCCTGGTATCTAAAATGTCTAAAAATTGTCTTAATTGTCCAAGTACTATCTGAATTGTCTTAAAACTAAAAAATGTCCTAAATTCATCAATACTTTCTAAAATATCATAAATAATCTAGGTACTCTGAAATGCCTATAAATTGTCTAAAAAAATTCCTAAATCCGAAATGTCTAAAAAGTATCCGAAATCGTTCTATTGCCATCTAAACCGCTCTAAAAATGTCTTAAAACTCAAGAAAATTTCCTTAAATTATCAGTAGGTACTGTCTAAAATGTCCTAAATCGACTATACTGTCTAAAATGCCTTAAAATTTTAAAAAAAATTTCCTAAAATTATATTACTGTGCAAAATGTTCTAAATCTAAATTGCCTTTAAACTTTTAAAAAATCTTCTAAATCGTCCGAGTACTATTTGAAATGTTTAAAAAAATGTCAAATTGACATACCATCTGAATGTCTTAAATCTAAAGAAATTGACTTAGTATTATCTTAACAGTCTTATAACTGTAAAAAATGCCCTAAAATTAATAATACTTTCCAAAATGTCCTAAATTGTTCTAGTACTATCTGATATGATTAGTATCTAAAATGTCCTACAGTTGTCTAAAAAGATTTCCCTAATTTTCCTGGTACTATCTGAATTGTCTAAGAACTAAAAAATGTCCTAAATCACCTAAATTGACAAAGTACCTATGTATATCTGAAATGTCTTAATATTTAAAAAAATCCTAAATCATTTGATATGTCTCTAAACTCTCAATAATGTCCTAAATGCATCCGTGTCAAATACATTTTATACCACAATCCACACAACAAGGTCTGTTCTATCTCGTACTAAAAATACAAAAAATCACTGCAACACTGCACAGTTTAACGGCGGCCATTTTTGTTGTTTACAATTTTTGTGCTTTGGGTTTGTGCTCTGTTTATACAGATTAATAATCGTTTTAAACGTTGTGTTTCTCATAGTAAGCCTTAAAAGTGGTAAGAACAACCATTTTACTCCTCTTTTGTAAAAAATAAACTTTATTCTATCAGTGCTGTCATAAAACTGTCAAATGTTAATTTTAAGGTTAAATTATAACCCACAATTAACCTTCAAATTGTCATTTGACAGCCCTGATAGAATAAGGTATATTTATTATAAAAGAGGAGTAAAATGGTTGTCCTTAGTGTTGAGAATCTAGTTATTTTCGTCAATCTGGCAACCGAACACCTGGCGTAATTAATTGTTGGAAAAAACAATAATTAACAACTGTCAGATTAATTCAAGCTGTATTTTTGCTTTCAATAAAAAGGCATTAAGTTTGTAAAAGTGGTGTTTTTGTGCCCTTTAGTCACACAAAGTTCAACAGGTTATGGGTGCCAGCTCGTGTGCTATCGTGTGAACTATAGTTTGTGATTAGAGGTTCGGACAATCGGGTTACCTCACGTATCTTTCGTCGCGATTACGTTCCTGTGTGTTTTCTTCGATACCATTCTCGTTCGAGTACGTCCTGCTCTAAAATAAAATGGATTACGTGAAAGGTATAAAACCACTGAAAGGGGCAGAAGATTGGCAGACGTGGAAAGACAAAGTTTTGGATGTGCTAGAGTTGTTTGATGCTGTAAAAATTGTTGAGGGAACTAGAGTTCAGCCTGCTCTCTCGGATACACCAACTGCAGAGCAGAAAAAGGATCTAGAGGCCTACACGAAATCGGCGAATCAAGCAAAAATCGTCATATCTCAATGCGTGAGCGATGAACTACACCAACGAATATCAGGCAGATTATCAGCTAAGGAAGCGTGGGACGTTTTAGTTGAGCAGTTTGATAACAAGGCGGAGGATCAGTTGTTTCGTCAATGTCTTGATTTCTTCAGCATGGAATGGGATGATACCGAAAATGCCCCATCTATGATATCGCGAGTGAAAAATCAACACCGAGAGTTTGCTGCTGGTTTGAAAACACGTCAAATTCAAACAGTTGAGGCATTTCTTGAGTTGCTGTTTGTTTCAAAGGTAATGCACATTTTACCTAAGCGTTTTGAGTCGTTTAAATCAAGCTACCTCCTGCTGAAAGCAAATAAAGATAAAACTATTGAAGATATCTCGTCATCATTGATTCTTCATGAGCGTAATGTTGCACCGGCATCAAAAATTGGTGATGTTCTGAGCGCCACCAACGCTCCTGGTGGTCAGAAGAAGAAACTGAGCAATTCGAAGTGTAAATATTGTAAAGCCAAAGGGCACTGGGTGCGCCAGTGTGAAAAATGGAAAGCTGACGGAAAACCTCCATATCCAGCGCGTGCTAGTAATACTGGCTCAGCCTCGGCTGGTAGTAGTGGGGGTGAATCAAAGGGTTCTCACGTCAACGTTACTGATTCACGTGTCGCGCTTGTTTCTATCAGTAGTGACGTCAACATAGCTACCACAAACGATCAATGGTGGATAGATAACGGTGCTACTCGGCATATTACGTCAAATCTTAGCTGGTTTACTGACTACAAGCCCTTTCCAGTGAATGCTGATGCGACAGTAAAGGCTGCAGGAAAAGAGGTCATCAGGGCTCATGGCAGTGGAACAATCGAAGTGGCTAACTACGATAACGGCAAGCTAAGAGTGTTTACTCTCAATGATGTATGGTATGTGCCCGACATATCACGCAATCTTGTGTCCGTCCTTGCGGCTCATGATCGAAATCCTGATAGCAAGTTTGAGTCGACTGACACACAGTGCAAATTTTGTATCAAGGGACAGACAATATTCAAGGGTACTCGAAATATGGGTGGAACTCTCTTCCGCGCCTCATTCCGGACAGTTCAACCGGCGGAAGTCTGTGCTAGTATAGCTGAAGCTGATCAAACTCTTCAACTGTATCATCAGCGCTGGGGACACATGGACAAGCGTTACGTTCGTTCAAAGATCGAATCGGAACTAGGTATCAAAGTGCCTGCTGACAGCGAGATCTGCGAGCCATGTCAGCTTGGAAAGGCACACCGTTTACCGTTTGGAACCAGAGCACGAGCTTCTTACCCTGGAGAATTATTATCTGGAGATGTGTGCGGCCCGTTTGATCCATCGTTTAATGGTCGACGCTACTTGATAGTCATCAAGGATCATTATTCAAGGTACCGCTATTGCTTTGTTGCCAAGGAGAAAACAGCAGTAAAGGAGGCTATTCGGGAGGTACTTGCTAAAGCACGCACACTTGGTCATCATGTTAAGGAATTCCTCAGCGACAATGGCGGGGAGTTTGACAATGGCGATGTGCGTCAAATCCTAAAGAATTACGGGGTAAATCAGCGATTGACCGCCCCCTACACGCCAGAGCAGAATGGAGCCGTGGAACGTGAAAACCGCACGATTGTGGAAATGGCGCGTGCATTCAAGTACTCAAACTCCGAGATAAAATTCCCTGCAGCTGTTTGGGCAGAACTTGTGATCACAGCGGGTTACGTTCTCAATCGAGTGGGAAAGTCTCCAATTCCTGGTAAAACGCCATTTGAACTTTGGTTTGGTCAAAAACCACGGATCAAGCATTTGCGAATTGTAGGCTCAAAATGCTTTGTACATATTCCTGCACAAAAAAGACGCAAAATGGATCCAAAGGCAATGATTGGCTACCTTGTTGGATATGATGGTGATGAGAGATACCGGATATACATCCCAGAGAGAAGAGATGTTGTTCTCTCTCGTGACGTCATATTTCAGGAGAAGATTGGAAATTGTGACAGCGAGACAGTCTGGCCTGTCAGGAAAATCGACAATAGCGACCTTGGAGAAGATCCAAAAGAAAAAGAGGAGAAATCTGATGAGAAAACTGCAGCTTCAGATCAAGATCAGGATTCCGGCGATGATTCTGATAATTCTTCTCTCCTTCTGAAAACTCCGATAAAGCGATCAATTCGAAAAAGGAAAAATCCTGACTGGTTAAAGGACTACGTCGTGTCAAATGTAGCTGAAGTTTTTCTGACTGAAGATGAGCCAACAACCTTTGATGAAGCTGTAAAATCCGAGGACAGCAAAGAGTGGAAATTAGCCATGGACATAGAGATAAAGTCAATGTATAAACACGATGCATGGGAATTGACTGATCTTCCTTCAGGAAAGAAGGCCATCAGCAACAAATGGGTCTACCGTCTTAAGCGTAATCCTGACGGAAGTGTTGACAAGTATCGCGCGAGATTGGTCATCAAGGGATGTGCTCAACGACCTGGCTTAGATTATGCTGAAACCTTTAGTCCGGTTGCACGTTTAGAGGTCGTCAGATCCGTGTTATCCATCGCAGCTGTAGAAAAGATGACGTTGTGCCAATTTGATGTCTCAACAGCGTTCCTGTTCGGTGACGTTATGGAAGAAATCTTCATGAGGCAGCCTGAAGGATTTGAAGATGGAACCAATCGAGTTTGTCGTCTGAAACGAAGCTTGTACGGACTTAAGCAGGCTCCGCGCTGCTGGAACAAACGGTTTGATGATTTCATAATTGGTTTGGGATTCATTCAGAGTCGTGAGGATCCTTGTGTGTATATCTGCCACACTCCATCTGGAAAAATCATCGTTGTATTGTATGTTGATGATGGATTAGTTGCAGCGAACAGTAAGTCTGAAAAGGACTTATTCATCAAGCAATTATGTTCACAATTTGATATCGTTGTGAAAGAAGTGTCCTACTTTTTAGGACTCGAAATAAATCGACAGAATGGTGACATAATGGTCAACCAAAGAGCGTTCATCAAGAAAATTCTCTCTCGATTCAACATGGAAGGATGCAATCCAGTTTCTACGCCAATGGAGAAACTTAGCGCGCAAGGACCAGGGAAAGCTTCTGATTTTTCATATCGTTCAGCTGTGGGAGCGCTGCTCTATGTTGCTCGAGGAACCCGCTATGACATTGCATTTAGTGTTGGTGTTTTGTCTCGACATTTGGAAAATCCAACAGAAGAGGATATTGTACGAGCAAAACGAGTCATTCGCTATTTGGCCGGTACCATAGACTTGAAATTGACATATAAGTGTGAGCCAAAGATTCGTCAACTTGAGTGCTACAGTGATGCTGACTTTGCTGGTTGTCCCAACACGATGCGCTCAACTAGCGGAGTAATTGTGAAATTCGCTGGAGCAGCAATTACATGGCTGAGTCGTCGACAGGAGTTGGTTGCTGATTCAACATGTGAAGCAGAAATAGTAGCTGCAAATCTTGGTTCAAAAGAAACGATTTGGATTACACGACTGTTCAAGGAACTTATTGGGTTATCTACAATTCCTGTACTCAATATTGACAATGAGTCGGCCCGAAAACTCTCCGAAAATCCTGAGTTTCACTTCAGAACCAAACATATACAGAGGAAGTATTTGTTCATCCGAGATCGGATCAGAAAGGGAATGCTAAACGTGGCTCACATCGGAACTGAACATCAATTGGCGGATATTTTAACAAAGCCTGTACCCCGCCCCAGACTTCAAGCTCTTCGAGAGAAGTTAGGACTTCAATAGCCTTGACTTCAAATAAGGGAAAGTGTTGAGAATCTAGTTATTTTCGTCAATCTGGCAACCGAACACCTGGCGTAATTAATTGTTGGAAAAAACAATAATTAACAACTGTCAGATTAATTCAAGCTGTATTTTTGCTTTCAATAAAAAGGCATTAAGTTTGTAAAAGTGGTGTTTTTGTGCCCTTTAGTCACACAAAGTTCAACACTTAGCACTTAAAGGCCAACGTTTAAAACAATTATTAAACAGCACAAACCCAAAGCACAAGAATTGTAAACAACAAAAATGGCCGCCTTCAAACTCTGTGCAGTGTTGCAGTGATTTTTAGTATTTTTAGCATAAGATAGAACAGACCTTGTTGTGTGGATTGTGTTTTATACAATATTCTATATTGGAGTAAAACCGCGCAAAACAACATTTTCCGACATACTGCCATGTAAAGCCTGATTTATAGATTTCCTTCCTTCCTTCCTTCCTTCCTCCCGTAAAAGATGAACAATACGAAAACCGTAGTGCTGTTTATAGATTCCCGTACGGAAATCTATAAATGTCCCTACTATTTTCGTATTGTTCATCTTATACGGGAGGAAGGAAGGCAATCTATAAATCAGGCTTAAACCGTCTTGCAGACCGCAAATCTTCGGGCAGCAGCTTGGAGCAGCTGCGCAGGCGCGCCGCGGACATGGGCACGCTGACGCGCCGCGGCTCGCTCGAGCGGCGCGCGGAAAAAAGACGATCGTGGTCCCCGGACCACATCGCGACCTCGCTGGACTCGTTCCGACCGATAACGCTGACGATGCCCAGCTTCTTCAAGCAGGAGTGCGACAAGCTGCGCGACGAGGACCTCTACAAGTGCCTGCAGGAGCTGAAGCGCCCCGCCATCCTCCTCAAGAAGCTCAAGCACATCCCCGCCACTTTCAAGCTAGAGATCTCGCCTTGTCCCATAGAGTACAAGAACTGTCTCACCCCCGAGTTGGCAAAGTTGCACCCGTACCCGGACGATAAAGGCCGGCCCACCAAAGAGTTACTAGAGTTCCCGGTCAAGGAACTTCTAACACCGCACTACACGTACAAGAACTTGCTGTACGTGAGCCCCAAAGAACTAAACTTCTCCAACCGTACGGGCTCGGCTCGTAACTTGACCGTCAAGGTGCAACTGATGGCGGGCGAGGGCGACCACCACGCCCTCTACAACATTTTCGGGAAATCTAGTTCCCCGGAAACCACCAACGAAGCTTACACCGGCGTTACGTACCACAATAAGTGCCCGGTTTTCTACGACGAAGTCAAAATGAAGCTGCCCGCCTCTTTGGCCGATAACCATCACCTGTTGTTCACTTTCTACCACATTTCTTGTCAGAAGAAAATTGAGCAGAATGCCGTGGACACGCCTGTGGGATATACGGTAAGTTTTTTTTATATTTAAACTCTAAAACGTATAGAACAACCGTCTAAAAACATTCCAAAACTCTCAGTACGATCTAAAACGCTCTAAAAATCGTCTTAGTACTATTCCAAACTTTCAAAAATGTCCTAAATCATCCTAATACTATCTGAAATGTTTTAGAAAATATCAAAGTATTATCTGAAATGTCTTAAAACTAAAAAAATTCTAAAACGAGGTCCTAAATCGTCATAGTAATATTTTAATTGTCTTATAACTCTAAAAAAAATGTCCTAAAATCAGCATTTTCTAAAATGTCCTAAATTATCTAAGTAGGTAATGTCTAAAATGTTTTAACATCTTTAAACATGTTCAAAAACTGTAAAATTTCAAATCAACATGTTTTAAAATTGTCTTAAAAAAAACGTAAATTGTTTCAGTATGTCTTAAAATTCTCAATAATATCCTAGAATTTAAAATGTCTTAAAAATGTTTTAATCGTCCTAGTACTATCTGAATTGTCTTAAACTAAAAAATGTCCTAAATGCATTAATACTTTCTAAAATATCTTAAATAATCCAAGTTCTTTAAAATGCCTTTAAATTGTCTAAAAAATGTCCTAAATCCTAAATGTCTAAAAAAAATCTAAAAAGTATCCTAAATCGTTCTATTGCCATCTAAAACGCTCTAAAAATGTCCTAAATCTCCCTTGTACCATACGAAATGTCTTAAAACTTTCAATAACATTTTCAAAATCATCAGTAGTCTAAAATGTCCTAAATCGACAGTATTGTCTGAAATGCCTTAAAATTTTTCAAAAATGTACTAAATCGTTCTAGTACCATACCAAATGTCTTAACTTTAAAAAATGTCCTTAAATCATTAGTACTGTCTAAAATGTCTTAAATCGACAGTTTCAGTGCAGCCAAATGACCTTGAAACTTAAAAAATGTCCTTAATCATCCTAGTACTGTCCTAGTATTGTCTAAAATGTCCCAAATTGACAAAGTACTACCTTAAAACTAAGAAAATGCCCTAAAACAATTAATACTTTTTAAAATGCCCTAAATAGAGATGTAAAAAAACGGTTTTTTTTCAGATGTGAAAAAAAACATGAAAAAAAACCTAGAAAAAAAACGGTTTTTTTTGTTTTTTTTCAAAATGAAATTTTGAGTAAAATATATATTAATAATAAAGTAAAATGTAGAATATATTAAATTTTTCATTATTGAAAATTTTGACCGAAAATAAAAAATCTGATTTTTTATTATTTGGTACTTTCCACATTAGAAACCAGTAGCAATGTAAAACTTCTACACCAATACAAAAAATTAAAGGATAAAAAAAATTGTTTTGCGATTCTTCGGATAGCTGTATCTTTGTTAAAAATGGTCGTATTGGAGCCCTAAAAAAAAGCAATTTTTGAGATTTTTAGATGAAAAATGTGCAATGCTCAATCCTAACAAATACCGTAATAAAAATTTTTTTTTTGGCTTTGTGGTCCACGGAATGTTTTGACTTAACCACCAATGAATAAATGTTCTACAAGAATTTGCTATTGTTTTAAAAAAAAAATAATTCCATACCCCATGAATTTGAAAAATCATGAAAAAAGTGCTTTTGGTAGCTTTTTGAAAAATCAAGCGCTGAATCAAAATTATTATATGAAGTTACTTTTTTTAGGACCAAATCAAAATAAGCGCGGCCCTTATTGGTCAATTCGGTGGTGGTGGCGCGTGCATAGCGCGAGACTGTATTTACATTTACCAATTGTCATTTAGTGGCTAATTTTAGTCCATGAAACCTAAAAAATTAGGCAAATGGGACTAATCTTGAAAAAAAACCTAAAATGTGAAAAAAAACCATTTGAAAAAAAACAATGAAAAAAAACCTGAAAAAAAACAAAAAAAAACGGACCGTTTTTTTTCAAGTCGCATCTCTAGCCCTAAATCATCGTAAGTACTTTCTGAAATGTTTTAAAGTTTTCAAACAGTCTAAAATTTTAAAAAATTTTAAGAATGTTCTAAATCGTTTTAGTACTATCTGATATGTCTTAAAACTCTCAATAATGTCCTAGTATCTAAAACATCTTAAAATTGTCTAAAAAGATATCCTTAATTGTCCTAGTACTAGGTATCTGAATTGTCTTAAAACTAAAAATCGTCCTAAATACTTTCTAAAATATCCTATATAATCTAAGTACTCTAAAATTGTCTAAAAAATCTCCTAAATCCTAAATGTCCAAAAAGCATCCTAAATCGTTCTAGTATTATCTGAAACGCTCTGGAAATGTTCTAAAATCATCAGTACTGTCTAAAATGTCCTAGATTGACAATGTATATCTAAAATCTAAAATGAAGTCCTAAATCGTCCTCGTGCTATCTGAAATGTCTTAAAACACAAAAATGTCCTAAATTATCAATAATGTCATAAGGTCATCAACAGTTTGAAATTTTCTAAAAAGGAATCCTACATCTTCCTAGTACTATCCAACTTAAAACTCTTCTAAATACCCTAAATCTTCCAAGTCTAAAAATCATCCTAGTATGTCCTAAAACTTTCTAAAATGTCCTTTTAAGCTGTATATCTTAACCTAAAACAATTGTCGCATACAGTGGCTCCCTCTGCTGCGCGACGGCCGCCTGGTCACCGGCGATTTCTGCCTGCCGATCATGCTCGAGCCCCCCGTGCTAAACTACAGCTACATCCCGCCGGACGTGTGCTTGCCGGGCACGAAATGGCTCGACAACCACAAAGGCCTGTTCGCGGTCACGCTGGACACGGCCTCCTCCGTGCACACGCACGACGTGGCGCTGGAGCGCTTCTTCGCCGCCTACGACGTGGTGCACAGCGGCGTGGTCCCCGCCCGCCTGGGCGAGAGCGGCTCAGAAAGCGAATTAAGAACCGCCATGATCGGTTTGTCGGGGGCAAGACCGGAGATGATCGTGCGCCATCTGCCGCTAATATTCGACACCGTAGTGCAGCTGCTGGTGCAGCCGCCTAGGATATCGGGGCACACCCTGAACATAGGACACATCTGCTTCGAGGCTTTGTGCCTTCTACTGGAAAATATATCGGTAATTCGTCGTTGCAGAACGCTTGAAATCGTGTGTTGATGTCGGTGTTTTTAGAATCTGCAAGAGTTGTCGGTGGATCAACACGGAAGGAATTCTTTGCTGGGCACTTACATACAGTACCAGTCCAATTTACCGCATCCGCTGTGCAATAGCAACCAAAGTTCGCCCGATTGGGAAGGTAGTAGTTATAAGCTCCCCAAAACAAACGCACCAAGTAAAACCTGTTGCAGGGCACTCTTTAGCGAGAAGCAGTTCGAATCCGGACCTGGAAATAGCTCACTTGCAGCACGCCGCCCGGGGGTTGGACAGGGCCGCCAGCATGAGAGTGCCGGGCGATCAAATATCCCCGAACGTGACCCCCTGCCAGAGGGTGGTGCACCAGGAGTTGGTGCTGCAGTGGGTGGTTTCCAGCGGCCGCGCGAAAGACATGGCCATGCAAAACGCGTGGTTCCTGTTCGAGTTGGTGGTCAAAAGCATGGTGGAGCATCTGGCCAGAACCCACAGCTTAGACGCCTCGAGGTAAGTTATATTTTTTGCGTATATTCCCAGTTTTTCGACACTTTAAAACCCCAATTCTCAGTTGGAATAAAAGGCAAACATTCTCTCGCTAGAAAGAACCGATTCCCGGACCATTTCACTGAAGACATCACCACGCTGGTGCAAAACGTCACGGGGGAGATAATAGCCCATTCCACCGGGGAAACCCGCAAAGCCCACAAGCTGAACGCAGCCCTGGCCTTCTTCTGTTTCGACCTGCTTTCCGTAGCCGACCGAGGCTACGTCTTCACCTTGATACGCTCTTACAACAAGCAGTTGCAAGTGAAGATAGCCTCGATGCAGGAACCGGTCTTGGTCGAGCTCAAGTTGGAGTTTGCCAGGATTTTGTGCAGTCACGAGCACTACGTCGCGTTAAATCTGCCGTTCGCGTCGCCGTTTACGTCCAGCGGCGCTAGCGTCTCTCCTAGCCCCAGCGTTGCCAGCTCCGCTAGTCAGAACAGCTTTCTCTCGGGTCCGCCCGCCAGCCACGAGAGGGCGGGCACTTTCGCGGAGCTGTCGGTCGAGTACAAGCAGCACCACTACTTGACCGGGCTGGTTTTGTCCGATCTGGCAACGGTGCTGTTGGAGATGCAGTTCCCCTCGCTGCACGGCAAGGCGGTGGACACTATAAGGTGTCTTTTGTCTTGGCACGACGGGGACCCTAGATACGCCTCCCCTGAAGCGAAAAGGCGCGTGGCAGCGCTGTATTTACCCCTACTCTCCGTCGCCATGGATGTGTTGCCGCTTCTGCACCACTTCGCGATGGATAAAACTGACAGGTAAGTTTTGTATGCTTAATGATTAAATCTTTAAAAGAAATTAGATAAAATAGCAGTAACACTTTTTTATTTAAAAACTAAATTAACATGGGAACAGAGCTGGAAGTAAATTGGTCCTTGAGTAAAGTAGCTGCTGAATTATACGTCAGCAAAATCATAGATTACAGACTTATTAAAAAACGTGTAAAAAAGTTTTTTAATGAGAATGAAGACCATGATCTCTTTGAACATATCAGTCAAAATATCCGTTAGTAATAAGTATTGTCAAAAATATTTCCTAAATCATCAGTACTGTCTAAAATGTCCTAAATCGACAGTACTGTCTGCAATGCCTTAAAATTTTTCAAAAATGTTCTAAATTGTCCTAGTACTACCCAAAATGTATAAAAAATATCCGTTAGTCAAAGTATTGTCAAAAATATTTCCTTAAATCATCAGTACTGTCTAAAATGTCCTAAATCAACAGAATTGTCTTCAGTGCCTTAAAAATTTTCAAAAAATTTATTAAATCGTCCTAGTACTATCCAAAATGTATAAAAAATATCCCTTAGTCAAAGTATTATTAAAAATATTTCCTAAAATCAACAGAAATGTCTTAAATGTCCTAAATCGTCCTAGTACTACAACAAATGTCTTTAAACTTTAAAAAATGTCCTTAAATCATTATTACTGTCTAAAATGTCCTAAATCGACAGTACTGTCTAAATTACTTTGAAACTTAAAAAACTTTTCTAAATCGTCCCAGTACTATCCGAAATGTTTTAAAAAATATCCATTATTAATAAGTATTGTCAAAAATATTTCCTAAAATCATCAGTACTTTCTAAAATGTCCCAAATCGACAGTATTGTCTGCAATGCCTTAACATTTTTCAAAAATGTCCTAAATCGTCCTAGTACTATCCAAAATGTAAATATAAAAAATATCCGTTAGTCAAAGTATTGTCAAAAATATTTCCTAAAATCAACAGAACTGTCTAAAATGTCATAAAATGACAGTATTGTCTGCAATGCCTTAAAATTTTTCAAAAAGTTTTCTAAATCGTCCTAATACTATCCGAAATGTTTTAAAAAATATCCGTAAGTCATAAGTATTGTCAAAAATATTTCCTAAAATCATCAGTACTGTCTAAAATGTCCTAAATCGACAGTACTGTCTAAATTACCTTGAAGATTAAAAAAATGTCCTAGATCGTCGTAGTACTATCCGAAATGTTTAAAAAAAATATCCGTTAGTCGTAAGTATTGTCAAAAATATTTCCTAAAATCAACAGAACTGTCTGCTATGCCTTAAAAATTTTCAAAAAAATGTTCTAAATCGTCCTAGTACTATCCGAAATGTTTTAAAAATCACCAGTACTGTCTAAAATGTCCTAAATCGACAGTACTGTCTAAATTAGCTTGAAGTTTAAAAAAATGTCCTAGTACTATCCGAAATGTTTTAAAAAATATCCGTTACATATTTTACTTTTATTTAAATATATCGATTATTTATAAAATAAACTTTTTTTTAATATTTTTTATGTATAAAAATAAAAAGTGTAAACGTTGTAAAAACATTTTAGAAGCATTTAAATGATAATGACTATTATTCTAAAATATTTAGCCCATTTAGAAAAAATATTCATTCAATATTTTAAATAAATTTTTGTGTTATAATAATAATAAAATGTTCCTTTAAAACGAATCACCCCAATGCTACGGTTTTCAAAAATCGTAAATTAAATTTTGAAGGTATTCAGAGGGAACCGTGCCATCGAACATCGACCAAACAGTGGCGCTGGCTATATCGGGAACCGTCAGCCAAACATCAAACGACACCTACTCGACGGTAACATGACCGTATAGCGGCGACATTTAAAAAATATAAAAATGACATGTTTTCGCAGCTTCAAGTGCGCAAGAACGGCATCTCGGCGGACGTGACGCGCAACCTGCTCACCTGCGTGCTGTGGGTGCTGAAGAACGTCGAGCGCGACTCTCTCTCGCAGTGGCTGGCGGAAGTGAGCTCGTCGCGCCTGGCTACGCTGCTGCATCTGCTGGACGCGTGCACGAGCTGCTTCGAGTACCGGCCGCGCAGGCGCGCGCCGCCGCCGTCCGGCTACGCGCACGCGCAGGTCGGACAGCCGGACATGCGCAGCCGGCTGGAGGACGTCATCCTGGGCCAGGGCAGCGCCAGGGAGATGATGAACAGGAGGAAAGGTGAGATGATATTTGCGATTTAACATTTTTAGGTTTTTATATTACTTAATTCGTAACGTTATCTTTAATTTTAAAATATCAGCCCTTAATCTTACTCCTGTACTTTTATTTTAATTTTAAAGTTTTCCCATTAAAATAACAGAAAATTAGGGTTTTTTTTTTCAATTTCCTGTAGCTTGGCGAAATTTTACGTTACCACAATTTATATAAGTGCGTAACTTCAACCGTTTTGCCGTAAAACAACATAGACCAATTAGTTCATCAATATTTATTTATTTAATTTATTAAATGCCATACATTTTATTGCCTTATTTTAAAGAACATTTTTTATAGGTAATTGAATTTTAAACTTTAACTGTTTTTCCGTAAATTGTAATAATATAGTTTTTTATTAAAAATATGACTGTACAGGTCTAATAATAATATAATAATAATATAAAACAAACCACCATACTATTATACATCACAATAGATGGCGCTAATTGAAAAACAACCTCTTTGTAATGATATCTCTTAGGTGGCACCCCTCAGGCGTCCTCCGACAGGGTGCGCTGGCGCAAAGAACAGATGACGTACCGCTCGGGCGTCGATCAAGTCGACCGGCCGCGCGACGACTTGATCAACGACGTCCATCTGGAAGGCCACTTCGCCACCGAGGCCTCCTTCATCATCCTGGACACGCTGGAACGCTGCGTGGCAACTGTCGCGCAGTGGGATTCGCAGCAGCATCTGGTCGGCCTGGCCTTGACGGTGCTGCTGCACGCGTTGGGGAAGAACCAGAGCACCACGGTGTTGCCGCACATGTTCGCCTCGCAGAGGAGCTTGGTTTTCAAGGTGGGAGGTTTTTTTAAAGACCATTTATTGTTTTTCACCGAAACTCCAAAATATTGTTCAAAACAAGTTTGACATTCTAGATAGTACTGATGATTTAGGATATTCTTCAAAAGTTTTAAGGAATCTTCAAGAATATTTTTTGAATTTTAAGTTTTAAGACCCTTGGAATAATACCAGGACGATTTAGGATATTTTAAAGAGTTCTGATTATTATAGGACCTTTTTGAAAATTTTAAGACATTTCAGATAGTACTAGAAGGATTTAAGAAATCTCTTAGACAATTTTAACACATTTCAGGCATCACTTCAACGATTTAGGACAATTTAGATAGTACTGATAATTTTAGTAAATTTTTTGTTTTAAGACATTTCGGATAGTACGAGGATGATTTAGGATATTTTAGAGTGTACTGATTATTTTAGGACCTTTTTAAAAGTTTTAAGATATTTCAGATAGTACTAGAAGGATTTAAGAAATCTCTTAGACAATTTTAACACATTTCAGGCATCACTTCAACGATTTAGGACAATTTAGATAGTACTGATAATTTTAGTAAATTTTTTGTTTTAAGACATTTCGGATAGTACGAGGATGATTTAGGATAATTTAGAGGGTACTGATTATTTTAGGACCTTTAGAAAGTTTTAAGATATTTCAAATAGTACCAGAATGATTTAAGGAATCTTTTAGAAAATTATAACAAATTTCAGGCAGTACTTAAACGATTTAGGACATTTTAGATAGTAATGATGATTTAGGACATTTTTTTTTAAGTTTTAAGATACTTGGGATAGTACCAGGAAAATTTAGGATATTTTGAAGGGTACTGATAATTTTAGGACCTTTTTGAAAGTTTTGAGGCATTTCAGATAGTTTTTGAACTTTTAGAATATTTTTTTAAATAAACATTCAATTTTCTTAGTTTCTTTAAGAAACTTTCTTGACCCATCACTGGTAATATTCATAAGAATATAAGAAAAAATTGAACCTACACCTCGCCAAAGTTTTTTGTTTTGAATGTGTACCACCAACTTCAAATACCGACAGACAGCTGTTTCGACCTTTATTGGGTCTCATCAGTGTCGGGCAACTTGGTGTAGTGGAACACAATCAAAACAAATTACTCCCTCAGCTTATATGCTCGGTTGTTAAGTCAACAGAGGCGAGATGTAAGAACATCAGGTGATCCACACCGTCAAACGACGTGGCCTTTGCTGCAATCGGTACATACTATGCAACCGGGACTGCACACAGCAATTGTATCACAGATACTAATATGGCCTAAAGGAATCTAGAATTAACCCAAACGGGCTAAACATTAAGGTAAACATTCAATTTTCTTAGTTTCTTTAAGAAACTTTCTTGACCCATCACTGGTAATATTCATAAGAATATAAGAAAAAATTGAACCTACACCTCGCCAAAGTTTTTTGTTTTGAATGTGTACCACCAACTTCAAATACCGACAGACAGCTGTTTCGACCTTTATTGGGTCTCATCAGTGTCGGGCAACTTGGTGTAGTGGAACACAATCAAAACAAATTACTCCCTCAGCTTATATGCTCGGTTGTTAAGTCAACACGGTTGCATAGTATGTACCGATTGCAGCAAAGGCCACGTCGTTTGACGGTGTGGATCACCTGATGTTCTTACATCTCGCCTCTGTTGACTTAACAACCGAGCATATAAGCTGAGGGAGTAATTTGTTTTGATTGTGTTCCACTACACCAAGTTGCCCGACACTGATGAGACCCAATAAAGGTCGAAACAGCTGTCTGTCGGTATTTGAAGTTGGTGGTACACATTCAAAACAAAAAACTTTGGCGAGGTGTAGGTTCAATTTTTTTAAATGCTTAAGACACTTGGAATAGTACCAGGACGATTTAGGATCTTTTAGAGATTACTGATTATTTTAAGACCTTTTTAAAAATTTTAAGACATTTTAGGCAGTATCGATTTAGGACAATTTAGATAGTTCTGATAATTTTAGGACATTTTTTGAAAGTTTTAAGACATTACAGATATTGCTAGAACGATTTAGAACGTAATGATATTTTAGGACATTTTTAAGATCCTTGTGTACCAGGACGATTTAGAATATTTTAGAGAGTACTGATGATTTTAGGAGTTTCTTGAAGTTTTAATACATTTGAGATGGTACTAAAATGATTTAAGAAATCCTTTAAACAATTTTAACAGAATTGAGGCAGTACGATTTAGGACATTTCAGATGGTACTAATAATTTTAGGTCATTTTTGAAAGTTTTAAGACATTTGGGATAGAACGAGGACGATTTAGGATAAATTGTCCTCGTACAATTAAAAGTGCCCTAAAACTTTCAAAAGATGTCGTAAATCATCAGTACTATCCAAAATGTCCTAAATAGTTTTACTACTGCCTGAAATGTATTACAATTTTTTTAAAGATTTCTTAAATTATCTGGTAATATCTGAAAAATGTCATTACCATTTAAATTCTTCAAGTAAAATATAAAAAGCCTTAGAAGTTTTAAAAAGGTCCTAAAATCATCCGTACCATCTAAATTGTCCTAAATCGTTCTAGTACTATCTCAAATGTTTTAAAATCATCATGTTTTCTCGACGTTTTGAACAATATTTTGGAGTTTCGGTGAAAAACAAAAAATAGTCGTTTTAAATAATACATCCTAATAAAAATACATATTTTAGTTTCACAGTGCGCTTTTCGATGAGGAAAGCAGCCACTGCGCCGATTTATGCTTACTGCTCTTAAAACATTGCGGATCGCAGATAGCTTCGGTGAGATCTCAAGCTGCAGCTTCGCTGTACCTGCTGATGCGACAAACCTTCCAAATCGGAAACGTAGGTTACTTTACGCACTATTTACATGCACGTATGGCAATGAAATGATTGTTGTAGAACTTCGCGAGGGTGAAAATGCAGGTGACCATGTCGCTGAGCAGTCTGGTCGGCACTTCGGCCTCGTTTAGCGACGATTCGCTAAGACGTTCGCTGAAAACGATTCTGGAATACGGCGAGAGGGATTCTGAGCTGCAGGAGACGACTTTTCCGGAGCAAGTGCGGGACTTGGTTTTCAATTTGCACATGATTTTGTCCGACACGGTGAAAATGAAGGAGTTCCAGGAAGACCCCGAGATGCTGCTGGATCTCATGTTCAGGATCGCCAAGGGTTACCAGAACTCCCCGGATTTGAGGCTCACGTGGTTGGCGAACATGGCGCAAAAGCACATGGAGAGGGGAAATCATTGCGAAGCAGGTAAAAAAATACTTTTTACACTACTACTCCTACTTTAGCCAAAACTTCCAAAATAATTTATTTTACAATGCTTGGCTAAACATTTTTACGAAACAACAATTTTTTTAACCTAAAACATATTTTTTTAATGCGTAAATAATTTTTAATGTTGATTTTGGACTTTAAAATACTTGAAAGTATTTTAGAATGTCAAAAATTCTAAATAATTTAAAATACAAAACATATTCTAAAATTGCAAAATTTTAAAATGGTTTAAAGTATTCTAAAGGATTTGTTAAATCGTAAAAATCCAAAAATAATCATAAGTACTATATAAAATGTCCTAAATCGTTTAAGTACTGCCTGCAGGGCTCCCACACCTCCTAAAACTCATAAATTAAATGGCATTCAATTTCCTAAAAATCCTAAAAATTAAATTTAAATAGGCCAACCTGACTTGTGTTTAATTAAGATGGTGCTAAAAAAATTCTTTTTTAAAAAGTAATTTAAAAATATATATTTTTAGGTGCTATTTTATTAAATTCTTTTTAAAATGATATAATATCACAACCAAAATTTTTCTTAAAAAACAACAAAAAAACTTCTACAAAATTGTCATTTTTAGCGATATTTCGTTTTTTTTAGTCAAAAATATACCGTGTTATATATCAAACAAAAGGATTTTTAATTTTCTTTTAAATGACAGCTAAAATAGTAAACAATCTAAAGAATGTTTTGCTGTATTTTGCAAACTTCATATTTTGTTATGAGATTTTTAAGTATTAAGATCCACATTACAAATAAATCGGTGAGAATAAAAACAGTACAAGTCCAAAAATTTAATTTTGGCAATTTATTTTCTAAAATCAATTTTAAAGTTTAAAATACATTTTTGTTAGAAGATATAAATTATTTTACAGAAAATGAATATTATATTTCATAAAATAGTGAAAAATTCTAACAAAAATGCATTAAGAATTATAAAACTGATTTTTTGAAATATTTTATCAAAAATTTTACTTTTGGACTTGTACTATTCTTAATCTTATCGATTTAATTACTGTTAGTTATTAACTAAACGGTTGACATGTTTTTTCTTAAAATATAAAGATAACATCATTTGATTTTGGCATTAACCAAATCTATCGACGCATTTTTTTAAATAAAATTAAAAGTGTGGTGAAATTTATACTTGTATATATATGTACCTCAGATATATACAAAAGTAGTAATTTTACCTCACTTTTAATTTTATAAAAAAAAACTCGTCGAGCGATTTGGCTAAAAAACTAGTCAAAATAACTTAATGTTACAAAAGAAGTATTAATTTTTGTTTATTTTTTAAGTAGTAAAGAGATGTTTTTATTTAATTAAAGAAATTCATTTCCATACTTTATTTCTCCTAAAATTTTACAAAAAACCTCCTGAATTCCTAAACAAAATTTGTAATTCAGCCGTGGGAGCCCTGAGTATGTACCGATTGCGGCGAAGGCCGCGGTTCTTACATCTCGCCTCTGTTGGCTTACCAAGCGAGCATATAAGCTGTCCGTCGGTTTTTTTGAAGTTGGTGGAATGCACCCCAAACAAAAAACTTTGTTTATCGGTTCTTACATCTCGCCTCTGTTGGCTTACCAAGCGAGCATATAAGCTGTCCGTCGGTTTTTTTAAGTTGGTGGAATGCACCCCAAACAAAAAACTTTGTTCATCGTGTTCGTTATCTTGAAGGCATGTGCTTGGTGCACTCGGCCGCGCTGGTGGCCGAGTACCTCGTGATGCTGGAGTCGCTGCCGCACCTGCCGGTGGGCGCGGCCGCCCTCGAGCGAGTCAGCCCGAACGTGCTCGAGGAAAGCGCCGTTTCCGACGACGTCTTGAGTCCGGAGAGAGAGGGCGGTTGCCTCGGTTCGCACTTCACCGAGGCGGGGCTGCTCGGGCTGCTCGAGCACTCGGCCAGCAGCTTCCACTCGGCCGCCATGTACGAGCCCATGAACGACATCTACAGGGTGCTGATCCCCATCGCCGAGAACAACCGCGACTTCAAGAAGCTGGCCAACATACACGGGTGAGTCCAAGGCTTGGACTCCAAGCGATGTTTTGAAATACAATTTTAATAACACGCTAAAGAAGTATCGCTAGTAGCGCCACCACTCGTAACAAAACTTTTAATAATCAGCTGTCAAACGCTTATGTTACGAACGAGTGTTTTTGAGAATAAAGCCGGAAAATGTTAAAAAATATCGGAAAAAAAACCGTCGCCCGATTTGTTGTGTTGGTGGGGGTATTTCGAGAGGAAATCCTGGGTTGAGTTTTTACCGGTTTTCCGATAAACAGTGTTAATCCGAATGAAGAAATAAATTGCATACAGTCTCTGTAAATATAAATTGTAGATACATTAAATACACATTTTAGTAGTGATGAACGTAAAAAGTGTAAACATTTCAATTCAGTAAAAATCGTCAAACAAAAAAGTCGTCTAAATTTAAACAGCATTTAGCATTATTAAAAGCGTTGATTAAGAAAGTCTCCTCTCAACGGTAAAATACCATTATATATTATTATGTTGCCATGAATTCGTAGGTATATTTTGTTGTTTAAAATTCAGTTGTCGGCGTTTTTTAGAGAACTCAAATATAAAAATGGTTGATTTTAAGGTTATGTTTGTACAAAAATTATTTTTTAAAAATTTCTTAAAAATGTCCAAACTTAAATATAAGTTATATTAGGTAAAGTTGTCATTAGTTAATTCTGCACCAACAAATGCACTTACCGAATTGGATCCTTTGGCAAAACATGAAAATGCAACGATTTAGTTCTTGAATTTTATTTACAATTAAAAACACAATAATTCATCATGATCCCTTTGATAAAATGTACACACTAAGTTAGTGTCACTAACGTAACTATATAAGCATTTAAGCGTTGAGTTTCTTAATCAATGATATAAGGAATAATCGATCGAAATCGAGTACCTCTTAAATTCACGCAATCCTTTTGAAGTCCACCAGATGGCGCGCGCGTTGCGAAAACCCGGTACTTCTTTAGCGTATAACAATAATGTATTTATTTAGCATCAGTGCTACATAAAAATAACAATTTACATATTTATTAAAAAAATACAAAAAAAATAGGAAAGATTTTTCACAAAACATTTTTTAAATAGAAAACTAAATCTTAATTAGATTTAATATAGTAAATACAATATGAGGATGACAAAAATGCACATTTGGCACAATAAAATTAAATTTCCAAATATAAAAAATAAAATGAAAAGTGTCATGTTACAACATTAACAATGCAAGTAAAATGTAAACAACATATTTTTTCTTATTTATTTATTAAAAAATTGTATTTACAAATAATTGCAATTAGTCATTATCATTTAAATGCTTCTAAAATGTTTTATCAACAATTCGAGCTCGAACTCCACCGTGAAAAGCTCATAAAACATTTTCTTTACTTTCACTGAGAAAAACTCTTGTTAATCGATTTTCAACGAAAATATTTCAATTTATAACCTTTATAACACAGAAAAATTTGACATTTGACGGTACCTAACACAGATTCCCCTATTGTTTCATAGATGGCGCTCTATACAAATTTTTGATTTAAATCATTTTAAGATAATAATAAGTATTTGTCGTAGCCAAAATACATATTAAAAAAACGAGTGTTCTGATTTTTTTTCTTGAAGAAAACTCCATGACGCCTACACGAGAATAGATCAGCTACACGGGAAGAGAATGTTCGGTACATACTTTAGAGTCGGTTTTTACGGTTCGAAATTCGGCGATCTGCACGAGCAAGAGTTCATTTACAAAGAACCGACCCTCACGAAACTACCCGAAATATTCAGCAGGCTGGAAGTAAAGCTGTAAATATTTTAGTTTTTTCGAGAAATAAACATATTTTTTTAGAACTTCTACGCTGAACGTTTCGGCCCCGAAAACGTCATAATCATCAAGGATTCCAATACGGTAAACCCGTCGTCATTGGACCCTGACAAGGCGTACATTCAAATCACTTATGTGGAGCCTTACTTCGAACAATACGAGTTGAGATATCGGCAGACTCATTTCGATAGAAACTTCAACATAAGTACGTCAATATCACTGGTTTACAAAATCGAAAAAAAATTCTGCCCACCATATCCCAATAAACACGAAAATCACACTCAATTTTTTTTCAAGCGTTTTTAAAATATGAATTTTCAAGTGTTTTTTTTCAATTTTCGGAGGTGTTTTGACGTTTTTGAGTATAGCTTGAAATCTAATTGATCGATTTGGTCAAGCAAGCCCTTAAATTGAAGGTATTTGATCCGTCTAAAACTTTCTTTTACATACTTTTGATATTAGTATTTTGACGCTAGCGATTTTATTAACTTAAAAAATTCGTTTTTATGGCGAAAATTGAGGTCGAAAATTAACATATCCTCCTGGGAAAGGTTTCAATCAAACAGATAACTCCAGTTTGATTTTTTTTCGTGAAGCTGACATTTTTACAAAAAAACAAGCTAATGTTGATAAAAATACATGGAAAAATGGCGAAGTTATGAATTTTTTAGTGGAAGACCAAAATTCAGCTTTTTGACGATTTTTATTTTATTTTGTAATATGTTTAGTCTTTAATAACCCAAATAAAGTGCATGATTGGATGCATTATTCAAAATTTAAATTTGACATGACTCCGCAAACGTGAATTCTTTTGTTTCTCGTGTTTGCATAGTGACATTTTTGTGATATTTTTTGATATTTCAACGAGGTATTTTTATCATGGTTTTATTTAGTTAATAAAAAGTGTAAAATGAGTAAAAGAAGTAGAGAGTTCGAGTGCGATATAATAAATAACCCGCACAATCTGGGCGACGTAAGTGATGAGCACGGAGAACGTTTTCACCAGCAAATGAAGGCTATGGAGCGGCGGTATCACGGCTTCTGGGATGCAGCCATGATGGGTGATTACCTTTGGTCCCTCATACGAGAAACGGAATACGAAAGCAACAAAAAACAAAGAAGGAGCCAGAATTTTTTTAAATTTATGGTTATTACAACAAAATAAATCTTTCAATTTCTTTAATTTTCAATATTTATTGTTTAATATTCAATATATAATTTAATTTCAATATTAAATGTTTAAAATAAAAATCAATTCAATAAAATGAAGAATAAACGTAAAAATTCTCGAAAAACTAAATTTTGGCCTTCCACTGAAAAATTCATAACTTCACCATTTATTCATGGATTTTTATAAACAGCAGCTTATTATTCCCCTTTAAGTATAATCTATACGTAAAATAAATTAAACTGGACTTATCTATTCGATTTCTATCTTTTTCAGAAAGATATGTAAAATAATAAAAAATCGCTAGTATCGAAGTACTGAGCCGATACCAAAACTATACAAAAGAAAGTTGTAGAGGGCTCAATTACCTTTGATTTAAGTGCTTGTTTGGTCAAATCGATCAATTAGAACTCGAAATAATTAATTAATCATGAAAAAAAATTTCAGTGTGATTTTCGCGTTTAGTCAGCCAAACTACGCAAGAAAATCATAGTGAGACATGGTGGGCAAAGTGGCTGTAAACTAATGTAAACTAAAAACAATTTTTCAGAGAGGTTCGTGTATGCAACCCCCTTCACGATGACGGGGAAACCCCACGGAGAACTAAGGGAACAATACAAAAGAAAAACGATTCTGACTACCGCAGTGCATTTCCCGTACGTTAAAACGAGAATACAGGTCGTGAATAGGACGCAGATCACACTGACCCCCATAGAAGTATTTAACCTAAAAAATAATTGCATTTTTTCTAAAAAAAAAAATTGTAGGTGGCTATAGAAGACATTCAGAAGAAAACAGTCGAGTTGGCCGCCGCGACCAATCAGGAGCCGCCTGACCCGAAAATCCTGCAGATGGTTTTGCAGGGTTGCATCGGCACCACTGTAAACCAAGGCCCGCTCGAAATGGCGACCACTTTCCTGCCCAGCGACGGAAAATCCCTTACGAAGCACCAAAACAAGTTGCGGCTGTGCTTTAAGGACTTTTCCAAGAAGTAATTACCAGAAAATTTGTGTTTTTATCTAACCATGATGTCTTTTTTGTAGGTGCTTGGACGCCTTAAAGAAAAACAAGAATTTGATTGGACCAGACCAAAGAGATTACCAAAGAGAACTGGATAGGAATTATAAGAGATTTATTGAAAAATTACAGCCTCTAGTTACACCACAGACTTCCATAATAATTAGTAATTCCAGGTAAAAAGTTACAAAAAATAATAATTATTATTTCAGCCCTGATTTTCTTTTTAATCTTTTAGCCCCATGAAGTTTTCAACTTCTGAAAGCACAGCTTTAAAATGGTAGACTTAATAATACAAAGTGGCTTAAGCAACAATATTTATTAATAAATATTATTAATCAAATCAGCAATCATCATATACCACATGAATTTTAGATTTTAGATAAGCTATTTTATTATTTATATACACATCTCGAATTGTAAGCTTTTATATTTTTTTATAGTCAAAAAATGATTGAGTAAATAAATAAAATATATCCGAAATTATTTTTGAATTATTTTAAATAAATAAAACAAGATTTATTATAAAATAACTTTATTAAATTAAAGCAAATTACTAAATAAAACTAGACCCTTATGAAGGGTCTCAAAATAAAACTAATATAAAATAGATACTCTTAAATACAATATAAATCTAGACAGTCAATATACAAATTAAAAAAACATAAAATCAATTTAAAAGTCACAATCTGTAGTAAACTCTGAGTTGTTGTCAATAAGGGTAACCCCACTTTTCTGATACTCGCCAACTTTTTTCTCGAAGAAATTGGTTTTGCCTTCAGTGGAAATAATCGTCATAAAATCAAAGGGGTTCTTAACCTTGTAAACCTTATCGCAGCCCAGCTCTGAAAGCAACCTATCGGCGACAAATTCGATGTAAATGCACATTTGCTCGCAATTCATGCCAATGAGGCTCACAGGGAGAGCATCCGTAAGAAATTCCTTCTCGATTTTAACCGCATCCCTGATAATTTCAGTCACACGTTCTTTGGATGGTTTTTGCACCAAATAGGAGAACATCAAACAGGCAAAGTCGCAATGTAAACCTTCGTCCCTCGATATCAACTCGTTGGAGAATGTTAAACCAGGCATCAAACCGCGTTTTTTGAGCCAGAATATGGCAGCAAAACTCCCAGAGAAAAATATACCCTCAACGGCAGCAAAAGCTACAATTCTCTCCCCAAAGGTGGCATTCTTAGAGCCAATCCAGTTCAGAGCCCAGTCGGCCTTTTTCTTCACACACGGCATCGTTTGTATGGCGTTAAATAAAAACTCTTTCTGGTCTGGGTCGCTGATGTAAGTCTCAATTAAGGTGCTGTACATCTCCGAATGAATATTTTCAATTGCGATTTGGAAGCCATAGAAACACCTAGCTTCGGTTACTTGCACCTCCTGACTGAACCTCTCGACTAAATTTTCGTTAACAATACCGTCAGATGCAGCGAAAAACGCCAAAACGTGCGAAATGAAGTGCCTTTCATTGTCTGTCAAGTTCTTCCAGTGCTCTTTATCTTTGGCGAGATCCACCTCCTCAGTGGTCCAAAAAGACGCCTCTGCTTCCTTATACTTGGCCCAAATATCGTGATACTCGATGGGGAACACCACAAAACGCCTGGGGTTTTCCCTCAAAAGGGGCTCCAGTTGGGGATCGAACGTACTCACTTCCTTCTGCACTTTTTCCGCTTTTTTCGGCGACGTAATGTTCACCTTGTTCAACTCCGTCAAAACGTTCTCTTTATCGTACGAAGGCATCTATAAAAACGAAAAACTCTATAAAAACCCTCTAATCACCAAAATAATCAACTCACCTTAGATATCACAAGCACGCTCTACAAAAACACTTGGGGAAATAAAAGCGCGGGAGGCCGTGCCGGCTTTTATAGCGTCAGTAGATATGGCGCGAAATTGCGGCCTCGTGATTGGACGAAGTCAAATTAACGGGGTGGCTTGGGTGGCTACGTCACGAGGAAACAAAAGGCTGTTTTCAAGCATGGACTTGTCGATGAAAAACCGTTGTTTGTTGTGATTTCGCAGCTGTGGTGATGAATTATTATAATAAGAAAACGCGTAGTATTTTCGTTATGCAATGTGTGTATTCTGGGTTGCATAGATTTGTTTGTTGTTTTTCTACATTTTTTGTTGTTTTTGTTGAAAATAATTCGTTTTTATAGTTTCCCATGATAAATAAACAAGAATGCGTTCTACCTGACCTATGTTAAAGAGATTTAATTCAAAGTTACTATAATAATGGGCCTTTTATAAAAGATTTTACCTGACTTTTTCTATTCAATAGTTATAAAACCAAGGATATTTTATGAATAAAAAACTTTCTTTGGAATGTCAATTTTAGCACAAAACCTAAAGAATGAATAAAATGTTCTACAAAAAATATTGTATTTTCTGTAATAAAATCAAATCAAATTAATACACATACATAAGAAACCCAAGTATTATCAAGTGAAGCAGTAATAAGGCAGTATTGAATTACCCAATATTGAAATGGTTTCTTAAAAGTAGTTACATTTTACTATGTCCACTAGTGAAAGGAGTGTTTTAATACCGAAAAATACTCTTGAAAAAAATGGTTTATCTGTGTTTTTTGCTGTTATTTGCATTATTGATGTGTTTGGAGTGTTTCCTATAGTCGCTTTACCCAAAGCACTAATCGACTGCGGTAAAAATAATAAATAATAATAAAAAAAAATTACTAAAATAATTTAGGATTTTTCGGTATTCCCGTGATTTTTCTGGTGTGTGGTCTGCAAATGTACACGGCGAATTTACTGGGAAAATGCTGGATAATGGCGGAAAAAGTATATCCGACAATCCACAGAAAAGACCGGTATCCATATTCAGCCTTAACAGAAGTAACCTTGGGTAAAATGTTGTCGAAATCGGTGGAAATTCTTTTGGATGTAACCATTTTTGGCGCGGGGGGTGCCAAATTTAATACTCGGTAGGTATAGTGCATTCAAAATGTCAAAAAGAGTGTGATTTTTGAAAAATTGTTATATCTTACGAACCTGTAAAGTGGGAATGTTACAATTTTAATACAACATTAAGGTCGACTATTAATACATGTATACCAAATATTAACTTTATAATTCAAGTAGTTTACGATATATTGCACATAGACCAAACTAAATTTTAAACGTTGGTAACTCAAAAACTAAACCACTGAAGAACTTTAAATTTGTACCCAATATAGAGCTAAATAATATTTAAAAGTACACCAAATTTAAACCTTCCAACTTAACAGGTTGATGAGTTATTATTATAATAAGGTTTTAGCTTCACAAAATATACAACTGCTTGGGATGAGAATTAGTTATAATACTTTTGATGTAAGTTATTGTTACTGGATTATAATTATTGGGACCATTTTGTGCCCCATTTTGTGGCTGGGAAGCCCCAAGGATATGAAGTTAGTATACATATTAGTATGTCAAATATATCTTGAAAACATTTCGTTTTTAGGTTTCTGTGCACTATATCTGTCGTGTCTGTTTGCTCAGTGTTTGTACTCGTTTCTGCATGTCTAATTTTTAACAATTCAACCGATTTTGAAGCTGTAAATGATGGATACATGCCTGAAAGGCCCCTATGGGAAACAATTTTGACAGCCTATGGAATCATAGCCTTCCAATTTGATATCCACCCAAGTATACTGACCATACAAGTCGACATGAAGGAACCGAAAAAATTAACGAAAGCCTTACTTGGAGGGTTTTTCGGTACACCTCATTCACCGCACGAAAAAGATCGGGATTTATTTATTTTGTTTGTAACTAAATAACCCCTTAAGTTATAAACGTCAAATTTTGACACATTGTTAACATACACATCAACTAACTTCACGCCAAATATAAACCGTGCAGCTGCACTCCTTCACAAGCTACAAGCAAAATAATAAAACCCCGATCTTTTTCACTCGGTGAACACACTATACCTATAGTTATTTTTAGTTTCTGTGAGTATGGCGGGTGTCACCACTGTCATAGCAGCCTTAAAATACGGGGCAGCTGTGCAACCGAGCATTTTAGAGACGTTGCCGAGTTCTGTAGCTTTGCATTTTGCAGCTGCGCTGGTAGCACTGCAGCTTTGCCTCACTAGTGCTCTAAGCAACAGCGCCCTCTACCAGCACATGGAGGATTGTCTTGGAATATCACGATGTATTTTTTTTACTTAAAAATTTTACCTAATTAGAATTTTATATTTTTTTTTAGATTTTAACCCTAAAAGATGTATTTTAAGAACCATTTTAACTTTATTGGCAATAATTTTGGCCGAATCTGTACCCAGGTTTGATTTAGTCATGTCTCTAATAGGTGGGTAATTTTTTCATATTTTAATTACAAAATTATTTAAAAAAAAATTTCAGGGGGGACTTTAACAGGCCCCCTAATGTTCATCCTGCCTCCTCTAATATACATTAAAATGCTCTCCCTACACAAAACAAATGAAGAACAAATCCAAATGAAAACGTTCACAAATACACTGTATTCAACCGATGAAAAAGGCCGGCTAAAAAAAATTACCAGAAATATCCCCATAGAAAATGAAACTAAAACAAAGATAGAGTGGAGTTTACAGGAAAAAATACAAATTTTATTTTGCGTTTTAATTATTGTTGTGAGTAGTGCTATGACTGGAATCACAACTTATTTTAATTTTAATAACGCCATGAATTACGCAAACTTTTCCAGACCCTGTATTTATAACATTTCTGCGTCTTTGTTGTATTTATAATAAAAAAATATGTTACAAAGTGTTTTTCTTTACATACATAAAAAAAAGTTAATTTTCCACATTTGCCTCCTGTGAGGATTGAACTCACGACCCCTGGTTTACAAGACCAGTGCTCTGCCACTGAGCTAAAGAGGCTTATGATTTAAGTGTCCTTAATATTAGGATATAAGCTAAAGCAACACTAATTTAAGAAAAACAAAGTTACGCACATAAATCCCACAAAATCCTTTAATATTTGCCTAAATTAGGCTTTTATTTGCTTATAGGAATTATTCAGAACACTGGATGCGCGTCAAAATACGTATTTTAACGAGTTTGTAATGAATCTATGCAACCCAGTTAACACTACGGCGTATGATGTCACCCTGGCGGTCAATTTTTGCTGGAAAACTGCATTTGAATGCTTAAATATTGTTTGCAAGACATTATGTTTTATCAATATTTGTTGCTTTTTAATCCTATTTACGCACAAATACATTTTTTGCAGATTAAATAACATTTATTTGTTTTGTTGTTATCGAGACGTTGTAAAACCCCGTTCATGGCCGGTTTGACTTAAAAATCTCATAAAAAATTGTCGTTATCAACGTAAAAATGATTCACGATGTTTTGTGTTGTTTTTTCCAGAAAGTAGTAATGTGATACACTTTTTATAACCTTATTTCTATTTAATTATTATTCACGAATAATTTAATCATCTTAGAAATGAGTCACAGGAAATTTGTGGTTCGTTAATTAATATTTAGATAATTTTGTTATTATTTTCTATTACTTACCTATAGGGATCGATTAAATAATTCAATGAACTCTTTCAAATTCATAAAGACGCGTTCAGTTGTTTCCATTTGGTCAAGGTCAAGGGTAAAGAGACGTTGTGTTTTGTTTTTTACGTAGGTATCTCGATACAGATGTTCAATTTTTAACAATTTTTTGTAACTTTGTACCTACATTTTAATTTCGTGAAATAATTTTTTAAAGTTGTTGGTAAAATACCACTTACTGTGTCCCATAAAATTATTCTCCCAGCAATATGAGTTCTAAGAAAGTGCAATAAAGGTATAAGTACCTAGGTAGCTACTTTTGACATTTTGATAAAAATCTCAAGAAGAGAAATTTGTCTAGATACTTAAATACCTATATATACCTATGTATACATACATACAGGGTGTCCGGAAAAAGGAGGTCAATCCTTTAACCATAAATTCCTTGAGTTAAAACAATAAGACTTTCATAATACCATTTTTCAATTTAGAGCTTCATGTTCGATATACAGGGCGACAAAGTTTGAAATTTAAAACAGATTTTTTTTAATAATTCGAGTAATTAATAAGGTATTAAGTTCAAATTTGGTACACTATTTCAACATAAATAGTTACATCTTTTGAGATCAACAAAACAAAAAACAAATGTCAAATAATCAAAATAGGGGGGGTCCAGTACTCACTGACCCCCCCTATTTTTTAGTACGGGCGCCAGTGACTTCCAAATGGTATTTTTTCAGGTAATCATTTAGTGTTAAACATTTTTTGTCTCCTACAAAAATTTGATGAAATGATTTGTTTTAGAGATAATTTGTAAAGTATTGGTCCTTGATTGATGCCCAGGCGGCTTATGGCAATCTCATAATTTTCAAATGTAGTACTGGACCACCCTATTTTGATTATTTGACAATTATTACATCTTTTTAGGACAACAAAACAAAAAACAATTGTCAAATAATCAAAATAGGGTGGTCCAGTACTACATTTGAAAATTATGAGATTGCCATAAGCCGCGTGGGCATCAATCAAGGACCAATACTTTACAAATTATCTCTAAAACAAATCATTTCATCAAAATTTTATAAGAGACAAAAAATGTTCAACACTAAATGATTACCTGAAAAAATACCGTTTGGAAGTCACTGGCGCCCGTACTAAAAAATAGGGGGGGTCAGTGAGTACTGGACCCCCCCTATTTTGATTATTTGACATTTGTTTTTTGTTTTGTTGATCTCAAAAGATGTAACTATTTATGTTGAAATAGTGTACCAAATTTGAACTTAATACCTTATTAATTACTCGAATTATTAAAAAATATCTGTTTTAAATTTCAAACTTTGTCGCCCTGTATATCGAACATGAAGCTCTAAATTGAAAAATGGTATTATGAAAGTCTTATTGTTTTAACTCAAGGAATATATGGTTAAAGGATTGACCTCCTTTTTCCGGACACCCTGTATATAAATAAGCAGTTTTTGCTGATATTAAATTTTACTTTCAAATATTGTATACAACATAAACGGTTAAAATTACACGCAAAAAGTAGGGAAGACTTTTATAGAAAATTTTGTTTTCTACAAAAAAGGTTCTATGAAATATTGCATAAAAATGAATAGTTTAAAAGATATAGGGCATCTTTTAAACTGTGCATTTTATTGCATTATTAGATATTTTTTTTGTAGAAAATTAAATTTCCTATAAAAGTCTTTCTTACTTTTTGAGTAACTTTTCCGTTGAATTAAAAAAACTGATTTATTTATTAAAAAAATTAATTTGATTATAATCTTTAATAGACGAAAATAAAATTACATCCTTTTTATTAGCTTCAAATTTCCTGTTTCTTAAATATTAATTTTTCCACACAGATAATTAAAATTTAATTTTGTAAACTTTTAAATGATGAAATTGTGAAAACAAAAATGTTCTTATAGAAAAAAATGTTTTATGAACTATATATAAATGTTTAAATTTAGTTAATAACAAAAACGCATTTTAGAAAATAACATATGACAAATAAAAAACAAGGAAGCATCAAAACAACTAACCATCCAATTAAACTCATTCTGCCAATTATTTCAATAAACAAAACACGGTCAAGTTCAGGCCTTCTAGACTTTTCCAACGATCCACTTTTAAGCGAGCAAAATTCGCGAAGGCGTGGGCGCTATCTTCATTTGTCGATATCCATCGCGACTTTCGTTTGTTTCCAAGGAAGAAGCGATTATAAATAGAAAGACAAAAAGAAGAAAAAATGAAGTACAGCCAAGAGCAAAAGTCTTATAAATTTAATATTTGTTTATTTGTGTTATTAGAAATATCATTATAAATTAAAAAAAATATTTTGTGCAAAAATAACAACAATTAAATATTTTTTGCAAAGCATCTAAAAACTGTGAAGTCGAATTATCTTCGCGACTGTAAAATAAAACAATCGAGAGGATTAACGGTGTGGCGAAGAGGAAGAAGAAGATCGCCCCCTCCATGCCGGCGCCCGAGGTTTATATAAACAAAACCGGCTCGAAGAAGAGCCAGTGTTGTTCGTAATCGCTCTAGTGAAAAGAAAGTTGTTATTAATATTCACTGCCTGTTTTTTTCAATTGTTAAACATGCTTTCCCGAGCATTTGTTTTGTGGTGTTTTGTTTTTTTGGGAGTTCAATGTAATATTTATAGGTAAGAAGTCGAATTTATGAAGAAAAAAAACCAATTTTTATTTTCATGCATTAATTAATGTTCATAAAAATAATTTTCATTATTTTGTCAAAAAGTGCGAAATTGCTTTTTTCGCCTACTATATTTTGTGTTACCCCCCACCATCTTTTGTTTTTCCCAAGGCCGCCATATCGGAATTTTACATGGCTAGATAAAACAATCAAGGAATCCAATGATGTATCAAACCAACTAAATAGGTTTAAAAAAAAACAAACAAAAGAAGGTAACTCAAAATATAGTATCGAAGAAATTGTGCATGAAATGTGAATCTCACGAAATGTCCCCCCCGATGGTGTTACCCCGTGATATTTAATAAAACTAAATGAGTTTGACCTACACTTTTATTGTGTTTTGATCTTTTATAATTAAGTAGATATTACTACTCAGGTTCCATATTTTTAACCGCAATTAATTATTTTTTACAATGTTTTAAAAGTCTAAAACCTATCCTCCGTGACTCTTACTCTTTCTAGGTTAACCTATATGTCTTCAAATATCTGAGGTAGTAAAAGCATACTAAAAATATCAGTTCACTAAGTAAATTAAATGTAGGTGTTACAAAAATTGATTCTATCCTCCGTGAATCTGTTTTTGCTTTAAATTTTATGCAACGGATGGCGCTTTAATCATTTAAAAGTTTAAGTTCATTAATTTGCCATTTAAAAACCTATCCACCGTGAAGTGTAATATCTCAGTAAGTAGATTTTTTTTATTAATATTTTTTGTATGTACAATTGTATTTTTAAAAAAAAGGGATGTTAAAAAAAACATACGAAATCCTAACCTCCGTGAAGCTATCTTCCGTGAAGCTCTAATATTCAAAATGTATGATTTCTTAAAATTCTTGCATTAGTGCAGAACCACTTGTAAAACTTACTTTTTTTTAAATTCCCAGAAATTACGAAGTTACAACGATTTTTTGTTTTGACAGGTTTAAATCTAGATGATACCTATAAAAAAAACAAATTAAAACAAAAAAAAATATTTAAAAGCATACTATTTAAAAATCTATTTTGACAAAGATAAGACAAAAACAAACATTTCCTTGACCCTTGTAACATAAAGAGAACATTTCGAATAATCGTAACCTTGATCGAGAAATAAAGAAGAAGAATCCTTACGGCACACTTTTTTAGAAACGTTTTAACAATGGAAGATTTGCATGGCAACAATGGCATCAAATAACTGACAAGCGATAAACAAAAGACCATTGTCGCTCAAGTAAACAAACTGTATTAAATCACGATTTACTTACCGTTTTTAAGTTTCTATTTATAGGAGATTAACTGTTTTTTCTTTACATACTTGTTCTTATTCGTCCGTAGGTATCTGATAAACATTCAAAACACGAAATATTTTTGACAGTTTTGACACTTCTCCCCTTTCTACTAGTTGCTTGGTTGCTTCTTAATTTAGTGTGCCTTGACTTCCGGTTTTTCGCAGAACTGTCAGTGCTGTCAGAAGTAGAATTTGTATTACCTGTAGTAACTCTTTATAGTGTCTTTATTTATAAATGAACTTTACATTGCAAGTAATTTCAAGGTTTAATACACAAAGTATAAAGCATCTACCGTAAAGAATCTTTGAAATTATAAAAAAAAACAATTAAAAATAAGTATTGTGCTAGTGAACAATGGTAACATATTTTCCAATCTACTGATTTTACACCTACCCACCTACCTATATCTATTTAGCTTAGATTTCCATATTTTATCCTAGAGGTATAGGGAAACAACATTTTTAAATGATTCTTCTTGGACATCTCTACATTATATTTATTTTTGTTATATTTAATATTGTAAACAAGGTTATGCTAGAAAATAACCTAAATATGTATTCGTAATTATAATGTATACCTATGTATTTAGTTTTCTTAACATTAAAAAGATTGATTATTAATATTAAAATACAAAGAAATTACAAACAATAACAAATAAATAAATAATAAATAAAAAGTCGTATCAATTAATATAAATATATGTAGATCGTGTCCTAATATTAATAGAAAGTCTTCGAATTGTAGTTCAACAATAATTTCTTTTTAACATATTGTTTAATTACGCTCACATATCTCTCACTATAATGAAGTGTATATGCATGGGATATCATTTATTATTATCCACGATAATCAAGACATTTTCTAACCGCTTTTACCATAGTCTAGCGTAAAGTAGGGTAAAATGGTAATGTTTTCTCCACTCACTTTTACCCATTCCATACACTTATTTCAGCGATTTCGACCTTTTCAACCAAGACCCGTTCCAAAACTCATGGAACGTCCACCAGCCGAAAATCTACGCTCAACCCAGGGTGGGTCTCGAACCAGAAGCCGAAATCATCAATGAAAATGAAAGGGAGAAAGAGCCACTGGGGCCGGACTTTGTGGACCCCCTGGAGACCCCACAAAAACCTGTTTTGAACCCCAAACCTCACGCATCTAGGCCAGTTTTACCAAGTAAGAGAAAAAGTATTGGATGTTCAAAAGTTTATTTATTATTTTGTCTATAATTCGGTTGTTTGTCAAGATGCAATACTGAAATTTGTACACAACATACAGCTCGGCAATTTTAACGTGTGCACCAAAAATTATATTGCCAACTTAATCCACTCAAAAGTTACAAGGGTAAAACCAAAATTCCGATCTTTTTCACTCAACGAACATACTATACATTAATTACCAGGACAGGGATTTTTTGTTTAATGTTAAGATCTCAGAGAAAAAAGTATAGTATATTCAAAATTTGAAAAATTTTGGGTTTATATCCTTTTGCTTATAACTTGGATATTTGCGCAGATATAATATTGAAATTTTAAAACAACATTTAGTTGGACTTTTTTAAAGTGTGCACCAAAAATCATATTGCCAACTTTACACACTCAAAAGTAAAAATGGTAAAACCAAAATTCAGATCTTTTTCACTCAGCGAACACTATACATTAATTACTAACAGGGATTTTTCGTTTAATGTTGAGATCTCAGAACAAAAAGTATAGTATATTCAAAATTTGAAAAATTTTGGGTTTTGCTTATAACTTGGATATTTGCGAAGATATAATATTGAAATTTTAAAACAACATTTAACTTGACTTTTTTAAAGTGTGCGCCAAAAATCATATTGCCAACTTTACACACTCAAAAGTTACAAGGGTAAAACCAAAATTCCGATATTTTTCACTCAGCAAACATACTATACATTAATTACTAACAGGGTTTTTTTGTTTAATTTTGAGATCTCAGAGCAAAAAGTATAGTATATTCAAAACTTTTGGGTTTATTTTATTTTGCTAATAACTTGAATATATGACAAGATATAACCTTGAAATTTTGACACAACATTTAGCTTGACAATTTTAAAGTGTACATTAAAAATCATATTGCCAACTTTACACACTCAAAAGTTACAAGCGTAAAACCGAATATCCGATCTTTTTCACTCGGTGAATAGACTATACTTTTAACACCAAAATGTCTTAGGTCTTAACCCTGTTCTTCCCGGAGGAATCGTGGATGTGGACGCCAGTGGCGTGGGTGGGCCAAACTTTAATTTGGGGGGTTTTGACAGGGGCGAGTTCGATTTGAACAGTTTCGGTTTGGGTGGCAGGCCTGGAAATGGGTTTTTGAGTTTCGGCGGGTTCTTCGGACCCGACGTGAAGCCGTGGTGGAAAGGGTAAGCGAAATTTTTTAGTCATTTTTTTATTAAATATCTCACGTTATTTTAGCAGAAACTTTTGATTGTGCAAGTAGAACCTTTTGAACCTCACGTAAAACAATTTCTTCTTGTCTATCGATGTAGATCAAGTATTGCCAACCTGACATTATGTTATTATTTATTACATAAAAGTAATTAAATTACAATGAATGTTTAGAACTAGTTTAATTAAATAATTAATATTAGTGGCAATGTTCTATATACTTTCAATCTAAAAAACTACAAGAAATGTTGGTTAAATTAATTAATGACTCATAAAACTAGATATTCTTTCCTAATTTGTTTGTATTGTGTTGGCATGTAATGGATTTTTTAAGTTAAAAAAATATTTGGTTCTAAAACAACAAAATTACTTAGATAGAACACAAGATAACATTTATTTGCTAAGGTTAAATTACCAACTTTAGATTATGCAATCTTTTTTCATTGTTAAATGTTTTATTCATTATCAAGTTGGTATTCCATATGATGGCACCCTCTGAATATAAATTACAATAACAAAAACATCGTTAAAAAGTTAGTCACTTTATGTTTATTTTTCCTGCAGTTTTTTGCATCTCTGCACCTTGTGTTTTTGCAATTGTTTAAATTGTTTAACGGATGAATCATTTAGGGTCCATTAGCTTCTAAAAATAAAACAAACCGAAAGGAAGTTCCGTTTTATCTAACGCTTCGTCTATTTTGCAGATGGTAAAAACCAATTTAGCACTTAGAACCTTCTATAAAGAGAAAGATAATAATTATCATCAACTCGTTTATTACTTTCTATGTGCAAAACAATTTTTACTGTTTCGTTTGTTTAAGTCTCAACTGTACAGTTTTACATTAGTGCTGCTCGCACAAAATTAATTGCATTATTTTCAAGTTCAATGAACTTCGTTTTTATTCAGGTGACAGAATGTGCTAAGTAATGATAAATACCTAGAAGAAATTATAGCTTCGCAAAAAATTAATTTAGTGAAAATTAATTTTTATTAGTTAAAATTGTATATATTTCAGCATTTATTGTTTATAACAACATATAAAATTGACGAAATAAAATTTTGAACAATGACAGATTACGTGGTAACCATAGATACCGTCAACTTACCCGTCACAGGTTGCTTGATACAAAATAATATTTATGATGTTAGAAATTGTTAACTATCTCTTAAATTATTAACTTTAAGTATAGGGAATAGTTACATCAATCAATTTTTGTTTACAATTTGATTATGTAAAAATATACCGGGTGTTTCATTTAAAATGAAAAACCTTTCAAGCCTAATCTGCCCTGGGTTTTCTCAGGTAATTTGATGAAAATTTTTAAATAATTGACAAGAAGTATTTTAGAGAATGTTTTAAGATTCCAAAAATTCCACCCGCATATTCGCAAACCTAATATATTCTATAGAAAAAAGTTAAAGGCTATTTAAAATTGACGCGCATTTCTCGGATTTTAACAAAAAAATTAATAACTCGGAAACTATTTACTTTAGGTAGGTATAGGACATGGTATAGTAATTTTACTCGGAATTTCATGTTTATAATTTAAAAATGTAAAAATATATGGGGTGTTCTATTTGAAATAACAAAGTTGATGTCACTTCCGGTCAAACCGGAAGTTGCATTTTGTTCAAAATATTTTAGAAAAATAGACTTAAATGGATTATAAGCGCTTTTAAAATTTTAAATCGATATCTTTTTCTGTTCCCCAGAATGGACCTTGAATGGAAACACCCTGTATATACATTTAAAAATATAGTCATCAAATGTTTTACTAAATATTTATGAACTTGTCGTTATTTTTACGTTTTTATTATTCAAACAACACAATTCAAAAATTACAAGGTAAACTTGCCAAAATTAGGTGAACGTTTATTTCCTAAATGTCATAATAAACAACAATAAAAATAAATAAAATGCTAATTTAGAAAAAACGCGCTGATTTAATAATTCGAACATGCAAATCACGTAATTTAATTAAACCTAAAGTCACCCACACACTACTAAAGCTCGCCACACACCCGCAACAACGAAATGTCATTTTTTTAGTGAGAATGTTTGTGTGGAAAGATCGGAAACGACCGACGATGATGACGATGATGAAGAGGGTGAAAATGGGGAAGAAAACAAGGAAAACTCCACCGAAACGCAGCAATCGCCCGCAAATTTGTTTGCCACCACAATCAGGCTGTCAAACTGCCAAGAAACCGACAACAAATACGAATGCGTGACCAAGTAAGCTTTTTCGTGTTTTGAATGTAGTTTATACAAAAAATGCACAAAGAAGTTTAATTATGCTTGTGAATCATCATCATCATTTTTAATAGAGAAACAGGTGATATAAATACCTGTTTCTAATATTGATTTACAAAACAAATAAGTATATAATTTAATCCTTAATCTTGTTAAGATAACTTTTCAAGGTTAGAATAATTTAAAAAATGATGCACAATTAAGAAAAATACAACAAACTTAAAGCTATACATAATTCAAGAAACACCAAAGAACATTTTTTATAGGATCAACAATCATGGCGTGATTAAGACCTTCACAGTAACCTACAAATGTTGCTATGGCTTCAAAAGGGAAGCTGGTAACTCCGGTTGCACCAAACAGGTCGAGTTGAAACCAATTTTGGAGACCTTGGGAGATTTGGGAACCAAAGAATTCAAAAAACTTATCTCTTCCGCCGGTTTGGAAGAAAAAATTAACAACGAAAATTTGACTGTTTTCGCTCCAACTGATGAAGCCCTAATCGATTACCATGAAGACATGAACGATTTGGTATGCTATTTTTTTAATTATAAGTACCCACAATTTATATATTTTATTTTTAGAACAACGTAGAAGCAGTAAGAAGGCGCAGAGCAGTTAAAAACGCATATTCCTCGAAAGATGTAGTGCTAAATCATCTAACGGCCGGTTTCGTAGACTTAACGGAACTTGGGAACGAAGATTTAATATACAGGTAGTTTAAATTTTACCGCAATCTCATGCACTTCTTCCTTCTTAGTTATAAGTTTGTTTCCTAGCATTTACCTACAATTTTAACTTGTTATTATAATTAGTATTACCGTTCTTTAGACCAGTTACATTTTTAACAATATCTTTAAAATTAATAAAGATATTATAATGCGGTTCTCACTACATTATTCCTTGGTAAAAACTGTTAATTTTTGTAGTTAACAATATTTTTTTATCTTTTGTAATAAACAAGTTATATACAACATAATGTATACCTTAAACAAGAAAATGTCACATTTTGTAAAAATTGTGATATCTAAAAAACAAAAGAAGATATCGAAATTTGGTTTGGCATATATTATTCCTAAATAATAAATGATTAATTTTTGTATTTACACAATGTTTGTATCTCCATAAACAAAAAAGATACAAACAAAAAAATACGCCAAAAATATTTTTCAACTGTCGTAGTTTCTATTAGTTACATATTTAACAATATCTTTTAAATTAAAAGAGATATCAAGATGCGGTTTTACCACCTTATTTCTTAGTAAAAAGTGTTTTTTTGTAGTTAACAATATTTTTTTATCTTTTGTAATAAAAGAGTTATACCACATAATGTATACCTTATAAAAGAAAATGTCACATTTTGTAAAAATTGTAATATCTCAAAAACAAAAGAAGATATCGAAATTTGGTTTTGCACATATTATTCCTAAATAAAAAATGATTAATTTTTGTGTTAACACAATTGTTGTATCTTCATTAACAAAAAAGATACAAACAAAAAAGTGCGCCAAAAATATTTTTCAACTGTCGTAGTTTCTATTAGTTACATTTTTAACAATATCTTTTAAATTAAAAGAGATATCAAGATGCGGTTTTTACCACCTTATTCCTTAGTAAAAACTGTTAATTTTTGTAGTTAACACTGTTTTTCTATCTTTTGTAATAAAAGAGTTATACAACATAATGTATACCTTAAACAAGAAAATGTCACATTTTGTAAAAATTGTGATATCTAAAAAACAAAAGAAGATATAGAAATTTGGTTTTGCACATATTATTCCTAAATAACAAATGATCAATTTTTGTGTTTATAAAATTTTTGTATCTTCATAAACAAAAAAGATACAACGTTAAAAGAACGCCTTTTCTTAGTGAAAACAACAACAGTTCATTGAGAATCAACATCTACCCCACGCATACGTACCAAAAAATGTTGACGGTCAACTGCGCGAGAGTCAAGAAGTTGAACAACTTGGCCAAAAACGGTATTGTTCATATAACTGATTCAACTATTGAGCCGGCCGTACAAAGTATCGAGGACATCATCAGGGAGCATCCAAAGTTGAGCAGCTTTAGAAAAGGTAAAAAAATGATTTTGTTTTTCTTTCGTAATTTTTTTGTTTAACAGTGTTCGAAAGCACCAACATCAGAAAACACATGAAACTCGACGGGCATTACACGGTTTTTGCTCCAACTGACGAAGCCTTTAACAAACTGGATGAATCCCAGAAACAAAAAATCCTGAATGGAGAAGCTTGCGCACCAAGTAAGATAACCTCGAAAATTATCCATCTGGGTGATTTAACCCAACTTTTTTCAGGCATTATCAAGCACCACATTACAGCTCACACTGTGTGCTCATCTGCCATAATAGGAAACGCTACAACTCACAATGTAGAAGGCGATACTTTAAACATGGAAAGAACAGAAATGGACGAGTTAATTTTCGAGGGAAAAGCTAAAATAACGGAAATCGACATCATGGCTACAAACGGCGTTATACACCTCATAGATACAGTTATAGTACCGGAATCGGCTTTGTACATTGGAAATCTGTTGAAGTCGCAAAATTTCTCCAAATTCAACGAGATTGTGGAAAAGGCTGGATTAACTGAAGAAATTAACAACCTGGTTAACTCTACAGTTTTTGTACCGGATGATGCAGCCTTCGAGAATTCTGAGACTCAGAAGTACTTGGAATCTATTGAGGGAGATCAGGAAAAACTCAAGGAAGTTGTGAGATATCACACTTTGAGTGGGCAGCTGCAATCCTGTGACATGACCAACAACCAAAAACTGATCACCAATGATGGAGAAAATGAGCTCAGAATCAACCTTTATTCCACTGTAAGTATATATATTGCGGAATTTTAGATAAATTATACGTTTTTTCCAAATTCAATAATAAATGGTATTATTTTTCTTCGAAATTATATTTCTATTCTAAAATAAACATATTTTAACACTATCGCCATCTTGTAGCCATCACAGTAAGCAATAAAATAAATACAGATTCCTTCTTTAGGTTTGTTTTGGTTATAAAATTCTGAACTGTTTAAAGAACAAATCTGTGGTTATTTAGCAATATTTTGTTTATTCTTTTTCTATGAGTTTGTCTATTTTATTATTCTTTTGTAAGTGGTTTATTATGTGGGTTTAGTTAATTGAACTTGGCGATTTATGTGAATTATGGATATTACGGTGAGAAATTGTACCGATATTAATATCGGTTGACCTTCACGTGGTTCTTGCTGAACAATGAAATATTAATTAGACAAAAATAAGGTTTATTTAAAATAAGGAGGGCCTCACCAAAATGAAATGTCACGGGCCGCCACTGATGTCCAATAATGGAAATTTACATTTTTTACCAACCAGTAATTGGACACTGGCCATTTAACTGATTGTTTTCAGAATTAAAATTAAAACGCATTAAAGTGGCAATGTTTAAACCATGAGGAACACATTTATACCACGCACTGATCTGTACGCTTTTTAGAAATATTTTTTGTTGTAATTTAAACACAGCCCTGTTCTTAACAAAAAAACAAAAATCTTACCACCAAAGTAACGTGCGAACTTTTTTGTCCTATATTGGACCCAAAATAAAGTAGTTCTATATTATTACCGACTGAGATAGTTATAATTGTATACAGCGCCATCTAATGATTTGACTTTAAGTTAACTATTTATAGAACTCGTTTTTACAGTATTAATGTTAATGTCCAATAACTATAAAGTGTCCGATAACTGTCTACTTTAGGAACTATAAAGGTGACATTTTTTTTAGCTTCCCCTCTTCACAAATGTGGTGAACAGAGCTACGGTAAACTGTGCTAGGCTAACAGGTTTTGACGAAAAGGCTTGTGGTTCAACAGTCCACGAAGTAAGCAAGCTGTTGGTACCCCCGACGGAGAATATTCTGGAAATCGTGAACTCCAACGAAAAGTACTCGACCTTGAGCCAAATCATCAAGGGTACGGAGGTCGAGAAAATTTTGCAAGAGCAAAACAGGTCCATAACCCTCTTGGCGCCCACTGACGAGACTTTTGCTGCCTTGGACGAGAAGGACGTGAAAGAGTTGATTGAAAACAAAGAAAAAGCCAATTTGATGTTGAAAGGCCACATTCTATCGGAGGTGCTTTGCTGTTCTGGGGTGGGCCCCCATTCGTGGGGATTCAACAGCTTAGTACCAACCTTATCCCACAACCACTACGAGATTGGCAGGACTGGCTCTCAGGTGCGCATCAACAGGGCCGTGGTTACCAGTTGCGACAAGTTGGCCGTGAACGGCGTGGTTCAAACCGTCAACAAGGTTATGGTCCAAAATCGCCCAACAATTCCGAACATAGGAGGCGGTTTTTTCCTCTTTGATTTGTAAGAATTATCAACACGATTTTTCTATTTTTTTACCTAGTTTAGCCTTCAGTTTAGTGATACTTATATTGTGACTGAATTATCAGATAATATTTATTGATTGAATATAAGATTTATTAAGTATATGAAGCATTTTTATTACATTTTACAACTGGCGAAGTTTAATATTGAATATTAAATAATGAAATTAAATTATACATCGAATATTAAACCATAAATATTGAAAATTGAAAGATATATTTTGTTGTAATAAGCATAGGTTTAAAAAATTCTGGCTCCTTTGTTTTTTGTTGCTTTCGTATTCCGTTTCTCGTATGAGGGACCAAACGTAATCACCCATCATGGCTGCATCCCAGAAGCCGTGATACCGCCGCTCCACAGCCTTCATTTGCTGGTGAAAACGTCTCCGTGCTCATCACTTACGTAGCCCAGATTGTGCGGGTTATTTACGCACTCGAACTCTCTACTTCTTTTACTCATTTTACACTTTTTATTAACTAAATAAAATCATGATAAAAATACCTTGTTGAATTATCAAAAAATATCGGTAAAATGTCACTATGCCAACACGAGAAACAAAAGAATTCACGTTTGCGGAGTCATGTCAAATTTAAATTTTGAATAATGTTTTCGGTGAAAAAAGTACGTAAAAAACTCAAAAAATTCTAATCATGCACTTCATTAAAGAATAAACATATTACAAAATTAAAGAAAAAAATAAAATAAAAATCGTCAAAAAGCTGAATTTTGGTCTTCCACTAAAAAATTCATCTTCGCCATTTTTCCATGTATTTTTATCAACATTAGCTTGTTTTTTTTTTGTAAAAATGTCAGCTTCACGAAAAAAAATTCAAACTGGAGTTATCTGTTTGATTTAAACCTTTCCCAGGACGATATTTAAATTTTCGACTTCAATTTTTGCCATAAAAACGAATTTTTTAAGTTATTAAAATCGCTAGCGTCAAAATTTTGACGATTTGACGATTGACGATTTTGAGTATTAATACTTAACCGATATCAAAAGTATGTAAAAGAAAGTGTTAGAGGGCTCAAATACCTTCAATTTAAGGGCTTGTTTGACCAAATCGATTAATTAGATTTCAAGCTATACTCAAAAACGTCAAAACACCGAAAATTGAAAAAAAAAACAATTGAAAATTCATATTTCAAAAACGCTTCCATAAAAAAATTGAGAGTGATTTTCGTGTTTAAAATGATTTTCTCTATCACGTGTTATGAGATATTAACTATCAACTTTGACTCATTTCCGGAAAACAAAACATAAATATAATATTTAGAGACAAATAAGTATTTTACAAAAGATTTTGTGCCATCTGTTAGCTAGAAGTTAAAATTCAAAGAAGTACTTACCAATGGAAATATCTTATTCTATATAGGGCTTCAAACACTGGTACTTAAGCCTTTGTATAAATATAAAGTATACATTTATCTATACATTTAATGTTATTTATTGAAAACTCCCTAAAGAAACATGTTAACACCAACGGTTGACGTAATGAAAATATCCTCTACAGTGTTGCCAAACTTTATTTTCAAATAGTACAAGTTTTTAGTTAAAAAATACTAGATTTTTATTCAAAAGTACAGATTCAAAACATACTATATCTATAGTAGTGGAGATTTTGTTGCCTGGTTGCATAATGCAACTTGCATTGATATAGAATAAATGCCTGGTTGTCAATAATTGAGTAGGCGTGCAATGGTGTATTAATAAATATTTTATTATTTATCAATTTTATTTATGCCTGGAGGCCCCTATCTGATCGGGGCCCCTGGGCATGGCACCAAAATGCCCCCTCATGTCCGCCCCTGTTATCTTGTCTCTTCCTGTTTTTTTAAGTTTTATTTAATGATATGAAGTTACAATAGCAAGTAACATGTTAATAAATTGTTATTCAAAATAAAAGGTTGGTACCACTTTCAACTTGAATTTTTTGTATGAATTTAGGTTTTGACAATTTTTTTTAATGTTTAAATATTGTTATATACAGTGCGTCCCCAAATTGCAGTTATTTTCAGAAGTTAAACAATTTTTCAAAAAAAGAAATTATTCAATAAAAATTTACATACAAAAATAAATTGTTATTTGATTTAGTTAAATTTATATTTCAGTAAGGTATATTGGACTACTCAAATAAATGAAATTGAATTGGGTTGGAATTGTTAATATTTTTGGTGAGTACCCCAGTTTTTTATATTTATAAATTTAGTCTTAAGTGGATTTATAGATTGCCTTCCTTCCTTCCTCCCGTAGAAGATGAACAATACAAAAACCGTTGTGCTGTTAAGATTCCCGTACGGGAATCTATAAATGGCACTACGATTTTCGTATTGTTCATCTTTCACGGGAGGAAGAAAGGCAATCTATAAATCAGGCTTTACGGTTAGCATTTTGTTTGCATAGTATTTTTTCAGAAAGATGATCGTAAGAGTTTTTGTTTATACCATTTGTATAAGTTTAGTATATGCTAATGGATGTGAAGAACATGCAGATTATATTTACAAGCCAGAACCAAAACCAAAACCAGTATATGAACCCACAGACATGTGGATTGTGGCTCAACCTAATTATGGACTCAATAAATATACCACGCCCCCTAAAAGACTTGAACCTGTTTTGCGGGGATATGAACTAAAATGTAAAAGTTATGATGATTTATTTAATTACAATTCACCAGATTTTCATAAAATTAATCAAGTTACAGATGAAAAAATAATATTTGCAGTAACAAATATTTTTCCCTCGACAATATCTCCTCAATTTTTTCACTCATCAATAAGTATATTTAATTACAACGAGCTCTACTTGAGCAATTTAAACATAACAAACATATTACCTGGGGCCTTCAATATGCTCCACGAATTAAAAGTATTGCGTCTTGATAATAATAATTTAAGCAATGTTAATGATGGCGTTTATAATTCTTTAAGTGCCCTTTCCGAGCTAAATTTGGAAAGCAATAATATAAAAACCATCACAGAGCATGCGTTTCTTGGAATGACACATCTAAAGATTTTAAATTTGAGAAACAACACGCTGGGCAATGTTAACGAAACTATTTTGACATCCCTGGTGAATCTTGAAGAACTGGATCTTTCTAAAAATTGTGTTACCTCCATAGAAACTATTTCGGTTATGTTTTTTAAGTTGAAAAAACTTTATCTACACGAAAATAATATTTTTAACCTACAAAATATTTCTTTTAAAAACATGATACATCTAAGTGACTTGGATTTAGGCTTCAATAATATATCTCTTATTTCTCCACAAACATTTTCCGGTTTAACAAAATTATTGTATCTTAAACTAAATAATAATAAGTTATCTTTAATCCCTAATGGCTGTTTTCGGTACTTAACCTCTTTGGAAATGTTGGATTTATCCAACAATAATTTAAATAAAATATCCTATGGTACATTTGATAATTTAAATAACCTAGAGACATTGAATTTATCAAGTAACAACCTTATATCTATACAAACGATAACTTTTTTTAGAATGAAATATCTAGATTTAAGTTCCAATAAAATAACAGAATTTGACAGAGAAAATATACAAAAATTACAAGAGGTATCATTGGATAAAAATCCATGGAATTGTGAAACACTGATAAAAATAGTTCAAGACTTAAGCTTAAGGTATGATCCAATAATAATTAAACATGGACACGAATATAATTCCAATAATATATTGGGAATAAAATGCTCAAAAACCGAAAATATAAAATCGGACAACAGTATTGAAAAAAACACCAATGAAACCTTTTATAAATACTTTAAAGATCTCGAAGAAAGCCATTTATTAAAAAACACAACATTTGTTTTACAGGGTGTTATTAAAAATATGACCGAAATCCTTAAAACTAATTTTGTACATTTGTTAAAAGATTTCGAAGAAAGTCATTCACTAAAAAACACAACGTTTGTTTTACATGATGTTATTAAAAATATGACCGAAATACTTAAAACTAATTTTGACAATTTTTTTAATTCATTTAATGCTTCAGAAAACAAAATTGAAAAAAATTCAGAATATTTCTTGAACCTCACCATAAATAAACTAATGGAAAAAGTTAAATTTGACCTTGAAAATATTGAGCGAAATAATGACGATATAAAACTAGGATCGGAAGTTGTAAAGATAAGAACGATTCTAGAAACCATGGCAAAAATAAATTTACAAAATACAAGCAATATCTCTTATGAAAAGTTAGTTTCAAAAAATTTAAATGCTTCTGAAGTTACCTCTATATTAAGTATACTTGTTGTTATTGCAATAGTTTTATTTATTGTTTTGGGAACATTTATTTATAATAATTTCTTAAAAATAAATATTAATAATAGACAGCCACAAGAAGTTTTGTCACTTAATTAATATTTATTTAGTACATAAAGTTATACTTAAATAAAATTTATATTTGAAAAAGTGTTTTATTGTGTCCTGGCAAATATACAGGGTGGTTCAGTTTGTATCAAAATTTCGACGAATGTAACGCTTTAGCAGTGTTGCCATTACTACGGATAAATCCGTAGTTTAACAGATTTCTGGCGTGGTCTACAGAGCTACGGTAATTTCGGCACAGTGGTTAAAAATTAAAAAATGGTGGGAGGAATTTGCACAGTGGTCAAATATATCTTTTAAAAAATGGGTAATCTAATTTTGATTTTTAACCAAAAAAAATTGTTTAATACCTTATTAATTCAATAGGTACTTACAGAATAAATGTATTTATTACTACGTTTTAAGAAAAAAAAGGAAATTTGGAAAATAGTGAAAGGTAGCTGAAGATATTGAAAAATTCCCAGATTCTGTCAATTTTTGTAAACTTGACAACATCGCAAAAATTACCAGTTTTTGTGAATTCTTGTGAATAAAATATTGGGAAAAGTATAAAAACCAAAAAAAAAATATATAAATTTTGCAAAAAATATTTTGTAAAACTAAAATTTACTTTGAAGTAAAACATTTTTTAAAGTTATTTAATAAGTTTTATTTATGTTATTTTTACCTATTTTAATAACCCTTAAGTTTCAACACTTTAAAGTGTTATAAGCAAAGTAATTTTTACGAAAAAAATTACTTATAAGTGTATTTCACCTAAAGGAAAATTTAACGGTAATATTAACGTCAGAATTTTTAATTAATGGTAAATGTTACTCATAAGTCATAATTTTACGATATTAAGACCACTTTATACCCGTAAATAGTTCCTATTCGCCTGGTATTTTTAGGGTTATGAGTGGTAATAAATACTATTAATATTGACTAAACAAGGAAAAATAAGCAATTTTTCTAAAATTTAATAAGGAAAGTTTTACTTATTAAAAAATGATTAAAAGAATTTTTTAGAAAGAGAGAGCAAACAGTAAATATAGCGTTATTTTTACGTAAATTTGTGGTATTTATATTGTTTTTATTACGTTATTCTCTTAGTAGATAAAAGAGGTTATTTGAAGGTAAAATAACGAAATAAACCATTCCCTAAATTTGGTAATTTTTCGTATAAAACCGTTTTGGTTAACCGTAAAAAATACTTTAAAGTTGACTTAGTTATAAATTTGTAGTTATTAAAACTTAAAATGCTGCTTGGGAATGAAAAGGTGGTAACAAAAATAATAAATAACTTATAGAACTACATTTATTTGACTTCTCAACATTTAGATATAGGCTATAACTTTTAATTTTTGACATGTCCTTAATTGACTAATAATCCATTTTATTGAAAAAGCACTTTTTTGACTTATTACAAAAAATAAATAACAAATCGATAATTTAAAATATATATAAATAAAAATTAATTCACGAGGTATAGTTAAAATATGTAGTACATGTAGTAAAAGTAAATTATAATTTAGTAATCTTAATTTTTTCATTATTTTTTTTTAATTATTAAGAAGACTAAGTTATAAATTTGTATTGTCTTTTATCACCTTGGGTATTATTTAAATTAAATTAAAATAAATTAGGTAGGTACAATAAAATATATGTCGTTTTTTAAATATTATTGCTCGACAATAAAGTCACAAAACAATAAAATAAAAAGTGGTAGCAAAAAATAATACTGTATATATAAATAAAATAAACGAATGAGTCACTATTTTCGAAAATACTGACCTATTTCAATTTATAAAAATTATGTTGTCACTTTTATGTATGTTTTTTTAAATACAAAACAAATTTAAAAAAAAAATGCAATAAAATGTTTAATAAAAGCACTGAAAGTTGCTTCATTGGTGGTGGGGCAAAAAGTGATATAATAAATATTATAGATTTTTTAATTCTCTACAAAAAGGTTTTTTACCCAAGGCTATTATTTTATTTTTTAGGTTAATAAATACTCATTTTTTGATAAAATAAAATAAAATTGAAGCCTTACTGTCCACCGTACGTAAAAATGTATAAAAACTTTTTGGTAGAAAATTGAGATCTACAATTTATGTTTTAATATTTTTTGACCTTTGACCAATATTAAGCAAGATATTTACAAAAATTACTGAAAACATCACCATAGACAAAAAACAGTTCTAAAACGAACCAAAAATGCAATTAAAAAAAATACAGTACAAAATAATAATAAAATGGCGGCCAGCGCTACTTATTACTGAACAATTGCTTTAACGAATATAAAAATAAAATGTGTGGCTACGCAGGTTTGATATTTTTTTTGTTTAATTTTTATTTACTCCCAGCAAATTTTCCGCTACACCTAGGTAATATACAGTTTGTGCTATGCCGAAAAGCGGGGCTATAACCATCATTCTGCATAGGCCACCTTTGAAGAAAGCTGTGGGGCCCTCGTATTTTAGAATATTGCTGAAATAAAGAATTAAGAAGTAATAAATAGAAATAGAAAAAAAAAAGTTTACTTACACAAATGCATTTCCAACACCGGTGTAACTCCTCTCCCCTTCTGCCTTACTTATAGCCTGAAGGCGAGTTTTGATGACATCCACTGGATTTACTGAAAGGGCTGCGAAAGAACCGGCAACGCAGCCTGAGAGGAAGGAACACCAAAACACTGCCTCACCTAATTTTTTTTTTTTAATAAATGGTAAAATTGAAAAACATTTTTTTTCTTTACCTGACCCGTCGTGTTTTCTAGGCCCCAGATCGTTCAACGTCGCAAACAATGGAAAGTATATCACAGAAAATGAGACATCGCGCATCATTGTTGCCCCTGTACCTTTGTACAGACCAGTAATACCGTGTTTTTTAATTAGGCCTAGTGTGAGTTCTGTGGCTGATACTTTTGGGACGGTTTTTCCCACTGAAATAAAAGCATTTTAAAGTCAACATCTGCAGAAGCGGATGCGGATGTTCAAAAAGTGAAATTGTTTTTAATTCACTTTTAATGGGTTGCAAAGTTTATAAATAAATCCGCATCAAAAGGTTGCTGATGCGGATGTTCCGCATTGAAAGGTTGCGGATGTTCCGCATTAAAACTGTAAAAAATTGTCACTTTCGAGATAGTTGCAGTAAAATAATGAGCAAATAATATTTTTTACCTAATTTAGCCCCTCAGCAAGCATTTTAAAGTCAACATCTGCAGATGCGGATGTTCAAAAAGAGTGGAGTTGTTTTTAAATTCACTTTTAATGGGTGGAAAATTTTATAAATAAATCCGCATTTAAAGTATGCGGATGTTCCGCTTTAGAACTGTAATAAATTGTCACTTTCGGGGTAGTTGAAGGAAAATAATGAACAAATAATATTTTTCTTACCTAATTTAGCCTGGGCTGCAACACGCCCAGCGTCTTGCATCTGGATTTTTAGTAGCTCCATTGGCGTAGTTATGACTATTTGACATAAGCCGGCCAAACCACCGGCAAGCATTTGCCTGAACATTGGAAGGGTTCTAAAATAAAAAATTATATAATTTTCGAAAAATTTCACAATAAAAACTCACTTTTCTTTGGTTTGCAAATTATATCTAAAAAAATCATTGGCAGCCAATTTGATAGCCTTTTCAGGGGTGATAAGTAAAATATTGACCGCGGAACCTCGGTACATTCCGAAAAATCCCTCGGCAGTGTAGGTTTTTCTAAATGCGTCAGCTCTAGAGAGAAAAAAAGAATGAAAAAAAAAATCCATGTTTTGTATGCTCCAAGGTATATATATCCATGTTGCATATACTCTAAGGTAAAAAATGGATACTCACAAACTTTTGTACATTTTCTCGCCATTTGGTCCGATTTGTTGGTTTTGTAGCCGCGTTTTCACCAAATCCAACGGAAAAACGCATGTTACCCCTATAATCCCCGCTATTCCACCGTTTACTATTTTTGGTACCAAACTAAAAAACATTTTTTTGAAAATCTGTAATCTATAATTAGAATCGATATGGCAACATTGTAAATTTAATAAGTAGAGCAATGACAATGACTATGCTTTTGGTTTTTTAGTTTTATTTCAAAACATTATGTACTCTTGAAGAATTTTCTTTGGGATATCATTTTTTTTATTTTGGTTTATTTAGGTTTGATTAATCCCACAACATTAGTTCGTATTAAATATGTATCGATTTTGTAATACAATCTAAAAATACACATACAATACGTATGTATACATACGTATGGTTTTCATTAAATTTTCTAATAACACTGCAACTGTTTTTATTAATTTTTATCTAAATATAGACCACTTGTAAATTTTAATTAAAAGTATTACAACAATAATTATTTGTGTAATAAACAAACAAAGAAACAAGTTGTATTTGCTGATGTAAATAGAATAACTTGATTTAAGTGTAAGTAAGATTATTTTTGTTGGCATATTTCCGCGTGCCATAAAATATTTGCCAAATATAATTATGTAGGTTAAATTTGGACATACTTTCAGATACAAATGTGTAAAAATATATTCAGTTTGGACTTTGTTAAATACGAGTATAGCAGAATTTTAAATATGTTTATCAAGGTACCATTTTTTAAATTAATAAATCAAAAGTGCGTTGTGCAGAACCGTTAGTTAAAATTTTTTGGCATTGGTGATTTAAAGATTCTGAAGTTTTTTTTTCAGAAAGAGGTCAAAAACTGTTAAAAAAATAAATAAATCAAATAGAAGTCTAGACTTACGAAAATTGCGTTTGTTTTTCGGCCATTTGTATTTTATGTTCGCGTATGTCACCCTAAAACAAAATACATCATTAGAAAAATAAAATATTACAACGGAAAATTTGAAACAAATATACAGGGTGTTCGAAAAATAAATGGTATCGCACCAAAAAATAGTAAAAAAATTGTATATTTGTGACAACTTTAAATTTTTAACATTTTTGCATAGAAGCAACTTATAATTTAAAACACTTAAATATTCGATAAAACATTGGGCAATTTATACGATTATAATAATTATTGTTGTAGCAATGAAATTACAAAATGTATGCAAAATATTGTTTTAAATTTAAATTTAAAAAAATGATTTCAAAATCTCTGGCTATCACGAAATTAAGAAATTGCCAGAGTGCGTTTATCAAAAGTAATAAATTTATATACAGAGTGTCTCCGAATTCCATCCAAAAATTTTAAGGGGTAAAACTGCGCAAAATAATTAAAAAAAGTTTCCAAGAAGATCCAAAATGCAAAATGGACCTGAATCAGAAGTGGGATATATCTATCGCCTCCCATTTTATTTTTTGAGGTACGATATTGGGTATTTAGTTCCATTTTATGACTTTTCATTTAAAAAAAATTGGTTTTGCGTTCTGCCATCCTCAAAGCATTTTTAACAAAAAAAATATTGATACATAATTTTAAAATATCAACCACATTGCTTTTGTATTTGAGGTAGGTAAGTTGGTAAATAACAGGATTATCTAAAAACTTGAACTTAAACCTAAACCTTGAAACGAATTTCAAATATTTGTTGTCCTATTTAGATATTTGAGGTTATAATATAACATTACTATATTAATATTTTTTTCTACAAAACTCGTCCCCAAAAACCCTTACAAATGTAAAGTTTAAACAATAGGTTGGTAGCATCAAAATTTAAATAAATAAAATTACCTACCTTAACAAAGGGCCCAGATAGAGTAGTATAACCATTATTGTACATGTTTCCAAAACAATTATTAAAAAACACAGAATGAAAACACAATGAAATTTGAAAAACTTTTCTCAATAACTTTATTTAAAGTCGCAGTTGAACTTTTTGAACTGTTCTTGTTAAAGTGCAAAATCGTACTACGATTTGGAATCTCCAAGAGTTCATTCATATATTTACATTTATCAGAAAAAAATATTAATTGCACATATTAAGATATGCATTATTCAAAACATTACAGTAACTATGTGAGATTTATGCAAGAAGACTAAATACAGAGGAAAACTTACTTTTGTTTTGAATAATTTTATCTCGTTTCCTATTGGTGTTAAAATACAGAATGGCAGTTCTATTATGAGCAGTTTATACTTTTGATTTTTTTGTTTTAATTCTTCAAAATTATCAGCTATTTAAAATCCAAAAATAGAACAGTGGAAACTTACCAAAATCAGTTACTTATCAACAATTTTATAAATAAAATTTAATTATCGAAATAAATACAGGGTGTCAATTTATTTCTTTTTATTTTATTCTTTAATCTGGGCCAAAATTTCAAAATAAAAATGGTTTTCACAGTAAACTGTATCAGCCACACTTTTAGATCAATAATTGAGGATTTAAATGAGGTAAGTACTACTTAAATTCCTAATTAGATTAATAAATAAACAATTAACTTAAATTATATGCTAATTCTCATTTACACCTACATTTTAGTTAGGTAGGTACAGTTATATTATCTATGCATTGTTTAAAGATAACAATATGTATCTACCAACCTTATAAAATAAATGTGTCAATTACTTTGACATTTATATGATAAAAAACATTTAAAACGAATATTTCAAACACAAAAATGAAACATTTATAATAAGTATAATAATTAAGGCTTACCATAATTTTTACTTTTGTCATAGTATTTGTAAGTAGTTTTATCTGGACAAATTAAATATAATTCTTCAATACACACATTTTTTTAAACAATTTTTACTTATGTAATGCATATTAAATATTAATAACAAAATCTGCATACGAGTTTCAAAAATAAATTCATCCAACAAGGTCATAACATTTAATCGAAATAAATTGAATCAATTGATTCAATCCTGTTTGCAGTGTAGGTAACATAAAAAAACATCGAAAAAACTCAAAAACAATCAACATTTAATTCATAAATCGCCAAAAATGAATATCGATTTATTCCGGACACACGACGAGAGAAAATCAATTGGGCTTACCTTCGAAAATAAATGAAAGTGTCACGGATACACCGATTTTTTAACTCTGATAAGTCAATGTAGGTTAATTTCGCCCAAATTTATTGCAAAAATTTGCCAACCACACATTTAGCGGGTAGAATAGGTGTAGAACTGAAATGTGACAAGTAAACAGTGCTGCCAGAGCAGATGGTCGGATAATCCGTATATATTCGTGGAAAGGGTGGGGGGAAGCCTCGAAAAATCCGTAAAAATCCGTTTTTGTCTAAATTTCGAAAAATTTCTTCTATAAGGGGGATTTTCGTGACAAAACATACCTTTCGTCAAAGAAAATCCGAAACATCTCAGAATTTTTCGGGGGAGTTTCAGAAGTTTGAACCTCTTCGTCAGTGATATAATTCTCGTCACTTTCCATTTTTCACAAAATAAAGTATTTTATATACAGATTCGGATATATAATAAACATTGACTTTGAGATCAAAATATTGCCACAATGCAGTTCAATGCACTGAACTGGAGTCAGTATTGGTTAGTCGTTACTATTGGTGGCATTGCGCCGCTTATATATTGGCAGCAATAACAACGTGTTATAAAACCTTAACAAATGATATGAAACTATCGTTCTCTTTGTCACACTCAATGAAAAAGCATATGTTTCGCATATATTTGGCGTTTAAGAACCCTATATTAAGAACACATCCTTTTTCAATCCGCTTTCTTTTTCTGTCTAACGTAGTAAAAAGGAAGAGGAATAGAAGCGTGACAAAGATGATCAAAAAACGTGGCAAAAATGATGTTTTTTAGTATTAGTATGAAGCTATCTTAAAAATCCGTAAAAATCCGTATTTGATGAAAATCCGTTCAAAATCCGTTTCCAATTTCTCTAGACCTGGAAAATCCGTAAAAAACGGATAAATCCGTTCATCTGGCAGCACTGCAAGTAAAATCAAGGTAGGCCAGCTGATCCAGCGATTGGTTGGAGTTTTCTGTTGTTTTTTGTAGTGCGGCTTTTCGAGCATAGGTGGCGCAGTGCTGTTGCCAGTTTTTGCCCATAGATAGCGTTTTTCAAAGAAAGAAAATAAAAGTCGAAAATTTTAGTAAAAAATTTATTAGATACTAATAACAAGCACAGTAGGAATAATCGGTAAATGTTATTATTCGTCCAGAAAAATAAATACTTACAATACTTCATTTAATTAATAATAATATACGATATAATGATACAGCAGCAAATATTTATAGATAAAAGATAAAAATAAAATAAAAAAATGTCAAGACAAACAGCTTTATACACAATTCTTAAAATCTCTTTGTAAATATTGTTGATAGAATATTGCATAATATGAAAATAACAGGAATATTTTGCATATTATAGTTTTTAAGGCACTTTTTAAGGCGTTTTTGATCATGTTTTGGACGTTACAATTTATAAAATTTTATCACAGTATTTTAACTTATTGGTAAATATATATCTTTTTAAAAGAAGATAGCCTGCCATTTCGATGTCCATAATTATTTTTATTTACATTATGGAAGAATCAAATCTGAAAAATTTTAATAAAAAGTGTAGTTAAAAAAAATTCAACATTTAGGTATGTTTTATTTTTTGTTTTAACTTTTTTTAACGTCCTGAATTTTTATTATTTTTCCAGATTTGAAACAAACCATTTCACTTAATTTACTATTTATTAGTCAAAATACAAATACCTAATAGTCAGTCAAATTTTTTCAAATGTAAAGCCTGACTTAAAACACTAACCATTGCTATTGGATAAAAATTCTTGAGAACACCTTTCTTTTTATAATGATTTTTCAAAAAATGTTTTATTTTCAACAACATAGTATTCAAGAATTTTTGCCCTATTATTATTATTTTGGTGGGAGTTGCATCATTGATGCAATAAAATGGAATGGATAATAATTTTTTTTGTTACTATTATTATTAATATAATAATACCTAATCAGTTTTCTTATTTCATTCGCGTTATTTTTTGTGTTTTTTGTTTTATCACATGTGTATGGTTGCAGCAGTGTACCGGGCCTCGCCTCTACGCCAATGCCATTGGCTGGGACGGTACTGAAAGTAAATCAGGTTAGTCGTGGACGAACCCAAGAAAACAAAATGGCTTTTTGTACTAGAAGGTTAAAGGAAATCCTTATTATTAGAGTATCGGCAGTTCCCGCTTAATAGATATACACCTATTGTAACCATGTTAAATGTTCTTAATTTTATGTCTGTTAAACAAAAAATTGTTTTTAAAACATTAGAATTTATACACAAAATAAAAAATAAACTGTTGCCAAATTATCTTTTAGAAAATGTAAGATATGCTTATGAAGTTCATAATCATGATGCTAGAAACAGAAATGATTTTTATATGAAAACCTGTAACACTACTAGAACTTTCAACAGTGTGTTTTTTAAAGGTTTTAGTCTGTATAATTATTTATCTGATGATATTAAAAACTGTGATAACTTACCAATCTTTAAACGTTTATGCATAGGTACATACATACAGCACAATATGTCCATTGGACGTCAAATGGACTTACATTGGACGTTTGGATGTACAATGGTCGTCCATTTGACGTCCAATGGACATCTTGTGCTGTATACATGTATACACTATGTTAAAACTAGTTTTTAAGAGTGACTTTTGTTTTGTTTTATAACTTGTGAATGTAAATAGCTATTGCTAAATAAAGTTATTATTATTTTTTGTCCCCTGAAATTCGGTACTCACCCGTATCAGCATCTGGCCACTGGTGGTGTGCGGGTTCCTGTAGGCGTAGAGGATCCACAGGGCCAGGCCGCTGGAGATGCAGATGAGGAACATGACGGCCACGATGGCCGACACGCCGTTCTTCTCGGCGGGCCGCAGCTGCGCAGAGTCGCGCGACGCGGCGACGTCGCCGTCGCGCGCCAGTTCCGGGCGCTCGCGGGCCGGCGCGCTGTGCGGACCCGAGCGCGAGTACTCGCGGTGGTCCTGGTTGCTGTTGCTGCCGCCCGAAGGCGGGAAGTCGACGTCGCAGCTGGCCGTGTCGTTGACGTTGATGCGCTCGCAGTTTTTCGCCAGCCAGTCCTGCCGGTGCCGGTCGATGCCGTTCGAGCAGCGGTGCGACGACGGGCACCATTGGCACTGCACATTTTTTTTTTTTAATAAAGTGCATTTTAAAACTACCCGCATGTCTGTATCTGCATTACTTTCCGAGATATGATTTTTTGTCGTAGAGCCTTGGGAAAATTTTGGTTTGCGGATACCCGAGTGACCACTCGTTTTATAGTAAATCGAGGTCTCTGATACCGATTTTGCCAAAATTTTTGAGCTAAAGGGCCTTGGAAAAATTTTGGTTTTTGGATAGCCGAGTGACCACTTGTTTTATAGTAAATCAAGGTCTCTGATACCGATTTTGATAAAAATTATGACCTAAAGGGCATTGGAAAATTTTAGTTTGCGGATACCACTCGTTTTATAGTAAATCAAGGTCTCCGATACCGATTTTGGCAACATTTTTGACCTGAAGGTCTTTGGGAAAATTTTGATTTCCGAAAAGCCGAGTGACCACTTGTTTTACAGTAAATCAAGGTCTCTGATACCGATTTTAGCAACATTTTTGAACTAGTTACTTGGAAAATGTTTGGTTTTTGGATAGCCGAGTGACCATTCGTTTTTATAGTAAATCAAGGTCTCTGATACCTATTTTGGTAAAATTTTTAACCAAAGGGCCTTGGAAAGTATTATTTTGCGGATACCCGAGTGACAACTCGTTTAATAGTAAATCGAGGTCTCTGATACCGATTTTGGCAACATTTTTGACCCAAAGGGCCTTGGAAAATTTTAGTTTGCGGATACCCGAGTGACCACTCGTTTTATAGTAAATCAAGGTCTCTGATACCGATTTTGGTAACATTTTTGACCCAAAGGGCCTTGGAAAGTATTATTTTGCGCATACCCGAGTGACCACTCGTTTTATAGTAAATCGAGGTCTCTGATACCGATTTTGGCAAAATTTTTGAGCTAAAAGGCCTTGGGAAAATGTTGATTTCTGGATAGCCGAGTGACCACTCGTTTTATAGTAAATCGAGGTCTCTGAATCCGATTTTGGCAAAATTTTTAACCCAGACGGTCTTGGGAAAACTTAAAATGCCACCACATTCTTACTGCGTAGCAATTCGGTAAAGTCGATTTTTCATGGATAGTTTTGCAGTATAATTTTTTATCAGCCTTAAAACTCAGTGTGTTTGAAACCTTATAAAATATTCTTATAATAATTTATAAAAAAAATATATGTAGGTACCTTAAACTGTGGTATTTTTTTCGTCAGACACGTCTCGCAATCCTTGCTCTCCAAACAGGTGGGCAAAGCCTTCAAATAAATAACCGTCCAGTTTTTTATGTCCTCTTTCGGGAAATTCACCCTGTGATACTCGTAGATCGTCTTCCTCCTCACAACTAAAAATTTTCCCTTTACAAAACCAAAACCACCGCGCAATCAAATACTCACAGAAAACCGTTCTGTCCATGATATAAGCGTCCGATAAACCGACCTTAACCGGATGATGATCGTCTTTGATGTTTTCGATGAACAGCGGTACGGTTTTGTACACGAAAACCACGTCGCCTGAGTCGTGCAACGTCACCTGAAACGTAAAAGCGCCCTCTCGCGGCTTGTCCTGAAGCGACACCTGTTCCCATTCCACGGTAAAAGCGGTACCTAAAATGTTTGTTTTAATTTAATTTTTTTTTTGAATTTTTCGGGAATATTCTCATACCATTGTCCACATATCGGATAAAACTGACGTTAGACAGGCTGGTATCGAAGTTGGCCATAAGAGGCGCTATATACTGAGTCGCAGCAAGCCACGAGTGCACGTAATCCCCCGTATACAAAAACCCCCCCGTCGCTATGGTTACGTTTTTGACTAGGTGCCCGTAGAAGGGGAAGTCGAAGGAGAGTTTTATGGTCTGAAAAAGTTAAAAATGAAAATCGAAAAAACTAACAGAATTTGTATCCTACCGCTGCTCTGCGATGCGACGTCGATAACAACGCGTTTACTTTTACATCCGATCTGTTTTCCATATCCACCCAGTAGTGCTCACCTGTTGCTTTGTCGGTTTTGAATGTGCTGTTGTAGTACAGGTGCGTGTCCTATCGCAAAAAACAGAACATTTTTTTATAAAGCGCTTTATCTCACGAATGGCCGCTTTTACGAAAAAGTACGTGTGGACCTTTTTTGTAGAGAATTTACTCAGCTACAATTCATTACCTAACCTTCATTGTTGTAAAGTCCACCGTTATCGAGTTATTCGCAAATTATTAACGCGGCACTGAGTTCGATCAATGCAACTTTCTTTCGAGCGATTTATCTCATGAATGGGCACTTTTACGAAAAAGTACCTCTGAACCTTTTTTGTAGGGAATTTACTCAGCTACAATTCATTACCTAAACTTTATTGCCGTAAAATCTACCATTCACGAGTTATTCAAGAACTAGTCACGCGGCACTCGAATCGATCGGAGCAGAACTTCCTTTAGAAAGCTTTATCTTACGAATGGGCACTTTTACGAAAAAGTACCTCTGGACCTTTTTTGTAGGGAATTTTATCAGCTACAATTCATCACCTAACCTTAATTCTCGCAAGTGCACCGTTCTCGAGTTATCAGCGAAAATTTACTCACGGTTCTGGTGGTGGTGATGTTGTGCTTAGTTAGCGTGTCGTTGAGTTTCACGGGGTCGGAAAATTTCGCGATGGCCACCTCGTCGTCTCCGGAATTCTCGTCGTCGACATCGGTGCTCGAGTTGTTGGTGCTATTAATAGGGGTAACCGCCCCTACAGCGGCTGCCGGAGATTTGGCAACAGGGTTAACCTGGGTGGGCGGTGGAGGGGGAGATGCGGGGTAATATTTTCGCTGACCCGTGCCATTTGCTCCCAAAGTTTTCACCTCGCTCGTCAGAATTGGTGCTGGAGGCTTTTGGAAAAGAAAAATGCGAATATTAAGAAAATTAGAAAAAATTTGAACTTGTTTTATAGTATTTATGCTTAATTTTGAAGTTATAAGTTATAACATTAACTGTTTTTAGGATATACCACCATAAAATTAAGGGCGCCATTTTAGAAAAGTGTTATAACTCAAAAACCTGTAAAGCTAGCTATATAAAATTTTAACATAATGCTAATGTAAATCATCCCAAAATATATTCCAAATTTCATCAAAATATCTCAAACCACCACTAAAATGGCGCCAAATAACTTAAACCCTTACAACTCAAAAACCACCCTTGTCGCAAACCTCAAATTCCTCCAAAATATTACAATGGGGTAGTTAAATTTTTTCTGACCTATACTTTTTATGGTTTTATTCAAGGGGTTTTGTAATATTAAACATTTCTGTGAAATCAGAATTTCAATTGAGTTTACAGTTTTCGAGATATTTACAAAAAATATACATTTTTATGACGTCACAAACCTCACCATGTGACCAACATTCTAAGATTTCTATTGGTTGAAAATTACCCTGTTGTCAAGTTGTCTTGTTAATGATTTCATTCGGTTATGTCAGAAAATACCCGAAGAGGTTATGTACAAATACTGTCACTGTCAGTTGAGTCACCAAATTCATTAATTACCTATCTTACTTATAACGAGGTATCATATAACTGTTTGATATTTTAGAGTCCAAGATATATCTAAAAGAATATAAAGAACTAGGCATTATACTAATGAAATGCATTTACGACAAAATATGATTATAATTATAGGTATTTACTTTATTTGTTTAAAAGCTCCAATGTTCAATGTAACCAACCATTCCACAAGATTCCTCTGCTTTGGAGTCCGTTATTAATAAATCACTTATCTAATATCAATTACTTACAAATAACATAACAATAACATTGATTTTCAATAATCTAAATTTAAAAAAAACAACCCGAAAAAAAGAAACGTCAAAAAATCAATTCTTCTTCTTCTTCTCAACTAAAATTTTAGATCAAGTAGTTTTAAAACTAAAATATTATAACGTGGCGCCATCTATCGTAAGAATCTTAAACTAAACACCATAGAAAAAGCTGGCAACGTTGTCAATAGCCTAGTGACGTAATTAGGAGACTTTTTTTTGTGTAAATATCTCGAAAACGGTAAACTTAATTGAAATTCCGATTTCACAAAGATGTTTAAAATTACAAAACGCCTTGAATAAAACCATAAAAAGTATAGGTCAGAAAAAATTTAACTACCCCATTTACCCCCTTAAACTTTCCTCCAAATATCAACACTCCAACTCGAGTAACTCCAGAGTTACGCGCATACAAAGTTTTGCTATAAAGCACAGAGTCGTACTTACCACTTTTGTGGGCTTGGCCTCGTCTTCTTCTATCGTTAAGGGCACTTTCGTTGCCGTTTTGTTATAAATAACGTCTCTTTTTTGCAAGCTGCGCAACTTTTCATTTTGTAGCAGTTTAAAATCCAGGGGACTGTCCGATATGGCGTCTGAATGGTAGACAAATTGATCTAAAACATTTTTTTATTGTAAACATGTAAAATTAAAATAGAAAAACATGTATGTTTCCAACAACATAAATTAATTAATTAAAATAGTAAACAATAGACATTACAATATTTCCTATAGACATCGCTTAACAATTTTTCTAACACGGTACGTTTGTGATCGGATGCGGCACATCGCGCGTGCCGTGAAAAACAACGACATGCGTTGCGATGTTGCCACATGTACGACAGCATTAAATGAGAAAATTGCAATAAAAGTGAAAGCTGAAATAATTACGTTGATTAAATAGTGATTTTTCTTGTATAATTTGATTAGGTATTTAGTCTAGACTTTATTCTTTGATTATTTTTGAGAGAGATTTGACAACACGGTAACTCTTTTATAAACAATTAATGAAGGTACTATAAAAGATGCGTAATAGGTTTAGAATAATAAGGTATATAGTAGGTAGTAGGAAAGTGTGAATTATGCAATGTTGCCATATCGCCTTCGTGTCAATGACCTTAAATTTACGGAAGTTAGAATTTACAAAATAAAAAAAAACATCTTTGGTAAATTATCTTATTGTTATTTTATAATTAACAATGGGATCTATTTTTATAATTCTTATCGCCAATATTATTGGGGGCAATAAGTACATATAAATGATTTATGTAGTGTGTATCAAATAGATAGGTATTTGCGGTTTTTACTAGGTAGGTAGGTATAAAATAGAAAAACAATTAACCGTTAATGTGATTTTCTTGTTGAACAAGATAAACCACAATAACATAAAGAAGATAAACAATTTTTTAAATTAACCTTAACAATTGAAATATTTTGTCTTTTTTTATTTTGACACTTAAATAAGTACACAATCACATCTTCAACAATGTTTTTTCTCTATAAATAGATCTGGACCAAACTATTTTTATTATTAGATTGTCATTGTGACTCATTCTAACAAACACCTTTTTCAATGAATTTTTGTTTTTATTTTTCTGCAAAATTTATCGATATTGTATTTGTGTGGGACAGACACGTTTCAATACAAAACCAGTTCGGTAAAATTTAAATTTACATTCTTTTTTTAGACGCCTATAATTGCAGCCTTATTTGCAAAATGATAAAACGCAAAAAATAAGTACGGAAACCAAATAGTTATAAATATACAAATATTTAAAAGAGTGAGCCCCAACTTCCTGGCTTATCTGAATAAAAAGAGAGCACTTTTGAATAATAAGCAGTTTAACTGTATTTTAGCCCGACAATGTTGATAAATGAGATAACGTATTATTTTAGTACATTTTTCACATTAAATTTAAAGTAAAAATAGGTTCATTGTTCTTAGTAAGCTGGGTGACTTCATGGCACGGGTGGATGAGCGCAATCAAATTTTTTCCAGCTGCCTTATTTTTTCTGCGTACCGTGTTTTGTTTATTTATATGGCCCGTTGATTTCGTGCCGTGTCGTTAACAATTTTAATTACGAATTTAGGCGGAGTATTGATTTTCCCACTTTATTTTGGCTCTGTAAACATTGGAAAATTGACATGATAAAAAAACGCGATAATGAGATAAAAGATACAATATAAATAGGCATTTATATCTACAAAATGATAGTAAACAATTTTTCAATGACGTTTCAAAAACAAAAAGTTTAAATTTGTTAATTACAACAAAGTTATGATGATTTTTTGACACAATCTGTCATAAATACATACTACCAACCAAAAATGCCCTTAAAACAAATCTAGGTAGCAATGCTCATTTCCTATAGGTCAAAACCATAATCCCATGGTTAATTTGATTAAATGAATAAAAAAGATTCTTGTTACTGTTTGGTAGGTATTCTTTTTAAAATAAAAGAAAATAAAACTAATATTTCCCACGTGGTCATAACTTATTTGACCTGTATCAAGGGGTTAACCTATGAAAATCAGGTCATTACTTAATTTACAATCGCAAATATTAAGCATTGGGGCCGTACAATGCATTTTGGAGCAAGGCTGCAAAACTAAAATTAAATCATTTAAATAGGTGCGTAAATATGAAAACAGAATTTTATATCTCTCAGAACCTTAAAAATAATTAATTCGCGTTTTATTTTTATTTTTTTGGAAGCTACTGACCTCCAAAGCCAAGAATGCCAAAATGGGAAACAAAAAAACTTAAAAAGCGGAATGAATTCTTTCTCGAATTAAAATTTTGACTTTCACATCTTTTACTTGTTTTAAAATTGAAACGCTACGATTAAAATCATTCAAGGCTGTTTTAATTACTTTACTTATTGCAAGTAATTGCGCTAATAAAAAATTAATAAACAAAGTATCTTTAGTATTATCACAAAAACAAAATAGATAAAGATAAAACGGGTTTTTATGGTATAATTTTTATTAATATTAAGTCCTTATAAACGTATGATTTACATTTAAACAAGTTATGTTAATAACACTTGCAATTCATTTAACAATTAAAGAAACATTACGAATTAAATAAGGCGAAAAATACAACTTTTAGCCACTTGCGTCATTCAAAAATAGGTACTTGGTAAACAATTCAGAACAGGCTAATTTTTAATGTAGGTAACTGTTTTTTTTCTTTAACCCATTATTAAGTTCATTATACCCCAATTTATACCGTTATAATAATAATTATTATTATGACCAAAGAACTTTTTCAACCCGGTTAAGATAATCAAGCAACAAGTTCTTTTCAACTTGCTACCAACGTGATTACTGTGAAAATTATTTCACCCCCTATTCAAAACTTAACAAAAAACGTGAGGTAAAAATGACTCACCATTGTAAGAGTACGTCAGGTTAATCCTAAACACGAAAAATATACAAATAAACCAAAAACTACGTTTTAAACATGACCACGCCATTGTTATTTTGCGACTGCCGAGAAATTTGACGTCCGTCGCACGATTCGGTTGGCCACACTGAGTCAAATCGCACCGTAGCCAAAGTTATCCTAAAGTCTTCTATTTTTTAATTGCATTTTAAGGCCGATTTGGTAATTTAAACTATAAAAATACTGTAATTGTATATTAATGTCGGTATATAATGTATATATAATGTATATAATCCTAACAGTAGTCGAATTTGATGATATAATAGTTGGAATAAAAGTGAATATGGCAACGTCGCCTAAGAATCTCAATGACATTTGTCAAAATGTCAAAATGCAAAATGGTACATAACAAGTTAAAAAATGCTAAAAAAATGTAAAAAAACGCTTAATTTAAGAATAAAATGTTGTATGATGGTGTAGAAAATAAAGATAATCTATTTTACATGTTGTACAACGTGTTTTTGATTGAGGAGGAACCGGTAAGTCCATAAATGTACCAACAAATGAGATTTTTTGATTTATGTATATTTTTGGATGTAAAAGTGTTTTAATTGCATTCCGATACGTTATCAGTACGTAGTGTGGTACTTTGCGGTTATTTTTCATACCGTTAAAATAACTACAATAACATTTGGTAAAATGTTATTATTTTTATTAATTTCAGACTGTTGAGGATTTTATCCTTATGCTGGGAACATTTGTGGCTTTCATTGCGTTTATTTTGTGGTGTTGTTTCCCAGTGGTACCCGAGTACTACAAAAAAATGGATAAGGAAGAGCGGGCAAATTTTCGAAACAAAAAGCGTTTTTAATGTTTTTCTTATGCATAATTTCTCCAGTTAAAATGTAAAAAAGAACATAATTGTTGTTTTGGTTTTTATATTTTTTTTATTTTTGAATTTTTATATTACTGTATTGAGGAACAATCTAGTCGTTATTTAGTGAAATTTTTCAATGTTTAAGACTGATTTTCTTTTATTAAGTTAAAATATGCTTTTTATTTAGTATATTAAGTAACTTTGCTTTAATCCAAAAGGCCCCTATTTTTATAAATTATACAATGTTTAGAATTTCTATTTAAAAAAAATCTTGTTGTATTTTAACATCTTGATGTAAATAGAAAATAATTTTCCCTTTAAAAATTGTTTTTATGCAACCTAAACTTTATTATCATTAAAACAATTACAGAGTTTCAACATTTTTCGGAATTTTCCGATAAGACATCATCACAATCCAAATATAAATTTCTGTCAATGCACTGACATGGGGAAACAGGTCTTACACACGGTATTTCATGTTTTATCTTGCTGTTTATGGAAATTTCATGACCAAAAACGGGCTAAAAATTTTTTTTTTGTATTATTATAAGTATACTGAGTAGACTGGGCCAAAAAAATCAACTATTTTTTTTTGAAAAGTATATCGAAAATATGGTTTGGGGTGACAAAAAAAAATATTGTGAAAGTTTGAGTCCATAATATTAATATTAAGAGGTCTATCATCGCAATTTTAATTTTTTTTCCTTAGCAAGTTTTTGTCTCAGAACTCCCAAACCATTGAGTTTAACAAAATTGACTCAAATATATTTTTTTAAGAAAATTAAATTCTCTTCAAAAAAGGTTAAAGTGAAATTTTCCGTCAGATGAACCGTTTCCTTAAAATCATGCCTTAAAAATTGGTATAGTTTTACATTTTGATCTTTTAAATTGGAATTTTGTAAATCATGTAAAAATCAGTACCCATAAAAAACCGATAAATATTCTTATGGGAAATCAAATGCTTTACAAAAAAAGCCTCTTAACATTTTTGGCTAAATTCCCTCAATCAAAAGTTATTCAAGGTTAAAATTTCGTTTTGACTTCAAATTTAACCTTGAATAACTTTTGATGGAGTGGATTTAGCCAAAATTTATAAAAGACTTTTTTTGTAAAGCATTTGATTTCCCATAAGAAAATTTATCGTTTTTTTTTCAGGGCACTGATTTTTACATAAATTACAAAATTCCAAAGTTAAAAGATCAAATTGTAAAACTATACCAATTTTTAAGGCATGATTGTAAGAAAACGGTTCATCTGACGGGAAATTCCAATAAAACCTTTTTTGTAGAGCATTCAATTTTCTTTAAAAAATATTTTTAAGTCAATTTTGTTAAACTCAATGATTTGGGAGTTATGAGACAAAAACTCGCTCAGGAAAAAAAAATCTAAAATTGCGACTCAAATTTTCACCATAATTTTTTTTGTCACCCCAAACAATATTTTTGATATACTTTACAAAAAAAAATAGTCGATTTTTTTGGCCCAGTGTTAACTCACATTGACATTGATATTTTTCATGTAGGTGGCATGGTAAGAGCTGGGTTCTGGCAAAGGCGTCTCAGTTTTTTTCACTTCATATTTTTGAGTTAATTTCCCGGAAAGCCGGAACATTCTTTCCGTAGTCCGGGCCTGCCTTTTAATTTCTTTGATTGCTTGCAATGCTGGTTGCAGATGACAATCTTTCAGTTCTTGGTAGAAATTGAACTCCTCCATTATTTCCTTTTGAATGAAAATTAATTAATTAAAAAATCGATATTCCTAAAAAAAAAATTAAATACTTTTTCCTTCTTTCTGCGCAGGCATTCTTTCTGCGCGATTTGCAGTTGCAAAATCCATTTTTTGTTTCTCTCGTTGATGGTTTGAATCAAAAATTTGTCGGGATAGAAACATTTGAATTTTTTCGATAATTCCATTTCCAGTTCTTGCCAGGCCTCCGCTATTTTCAAGTCCAAATAATTATCAGCCACAATCATAGTAATCTAAAAAAAATGCCTCATAAAATATACATAAAGTGTATAACTTACTTGGTCTTCAGTGGACAGTTCTTCATTGTATAACCTATATGTTTCATTTGAGATGGTTGTTATATCATTGTGGTGTTTTTCAATTAGTTGTATTAAAGCGTAAATTTTCGGTCTACAACTACCATGCATGTCTGATATTGAAGGATTTGTTATTTTTCTATCTTCGCAGTTGCAACTGATTTCCAGTTTTTGTTGACTTCCCATTATGGGATAATTCAAGTCTAAATTTGTATTTTATTTTATAAAAAAATGTTTTTGACATTATAAATACATGACGCAAGATTCAGGCTAAAGAGAGCGCGTGACGTCACGATGTTATAACAGATGTGTCAAGAATTACGAATAAATTCAACATCTGTTTCAAGGTTATGTTTAATATTCTTCAAAGTATTTAAATCGTTTGATAATTATAATTGTGCAAATTTTAAAAATAATCCTTCAAACTTTATACTTAAATACGCTGTTTAAGTCTTAAATTTTAAGAATGTCAAATTTATAAGAGTGTAAAAATTTTAAAACGTCAAAAACAAACTATAAAAATTACTTTTTAAAACATTTGTTTCGTTAAATTTTTAATTGTAAGAACCAGAAATGTCAAGATGTCAAAAGCAAATATTTCTTGACAAAAAAATCCCTAAAACCATTTTTTTAACTTGTTTTGACCTACTCAAGAATGTTAAAACATATTTAAGAATGTCAAACTTATTTAAGAGTGTCAAAACCATATTTAAGAATAACAAATTTACTTTAGAACGTAGAAACATTTTTAAAAAAATAAAGCATTTTAAAATGTCAAAAACAAACTATAAAAATGACTTTTTAAAAGATTTGTTTGCATACATTTTTAATTCTAGGAACTAGAAATGTCAATATGTCAAAAGCAAATTGTTATTAACAAAAAAAACTTAAAACCATTTCTTTTTTAACTTGTCTTGACCTACTCAAAAACGTTAAAAACATATTTAAGAATGTCAAACTTAAATAAGAGTGTCAAAATCATATTTAAGATTGACAAATTTACTTAAGAACATCGAAACATTCTATTACAACTTTTTTATAATGTCAAAAACAAACTATAAAAATACATTTTTAAATGTAAAAAAATCAAGAATGTCAAACTACCTTAAGAATGTCAAAAATACAATTCAGAATTTAAAGAATATAAAAAAAATTATGAATGTTAAATTTTGTCAAAATTATATGACAAATTCTCAAGAATATCAACAACAATTTTTGTCAAAAACATTTTTAAAACAATTTTTACCATCTATTTCACCATTGGGTCCAGTTTTCACCCCCAACTTAAGAGATTCCTCCCTGAAAATCTCCATCAATAATGGTAAAAGTTTTTTTCCATGTTTTCTCCAAGTTATTAGGTGAGGTATGCAGGCCCCTGTATCACATAAATCCACAAGGGCTCCCAGAATCACTATTTTTACTGGGAATACCGTTTTCTATAAAATCCCTTTATTAGGATTTTGTACTTATTTTTTTAAGCGACTCACATTTAATATGTCTAGCATCACATACACGAGGCCTGTATTAATGATTTTTTTGATACCATCCCCAAGTTCAATGTTCACCCATATTAAACCCACTGCGCTTATTTGAACCTTGGGGTCGTGAATGTGGTCCCTAGGTAGGGGCTCCAAATACCTCTGCAGGTATTTTAGGCACAAGTCCAAACTGGCAGGTATTATATCGGTGGATTTGTGCAAAATTGTTGAAATAAAATAAAAGGCATGCTCCAAAATGTACATGTCGTCTTGGGTTAGCATTTTTTTGTTTAGTAATTTTTCGCACAGGGCTGGAATTGTTATTTTTAGCACCAATTGTACTTTCCATAAAAAGCAATAAACCAATCAGAGCTCGATTGGTTTATTGCTAAATTTTTATGAAAAGTAGGGTTATGTATACTCATAATAATGTCAATTCTTTTTTTGACAACCTCAGGCAGAATGTGCTTGTAATTATTTCGAGTACAGTCGGACAAGAATCCAAACCAAGCTTTTAAAACTGAACTGTCAGTGTTTTTTTCAATCAAACCTGAAACTCTTTAAAACATACATTTATTATTATTATTTAATAGTATATTATGTATTAAGTTTGATAAACGCCATTTTATATACGAATTTAATTTAAATTAATGATTGTATAGATAAGTTCATAAACGAGGTGCATACTATACTTTTTCTACGAAAAATACTTATTATTATCTTAAAATGATTTAAATCAAAAATGTGTATAGAGCGCCATCTATGAAACAACAGGGGAAACTGTCAAATGTCACATTTTTACATTTTATAAACACAATTATAAAGGTTATAAATCGAAATTTATCTTGAAAATTGATAGTTTTTCACAGTAAAAGTAAAGACAATGTTTTTTGAGCACTTTGCAGTGGAGTCCGTGCCCGAATTTAAGTTATATATAACTATAGTTTACTGCCGGCGAAATTAAAAGGTCAGTACAATGTTCATATAAACTTTTCAAATATTGGCGTTGAGAAACTATTTAATACTTTTGTATTTTTGTTTTGAGATAATAAAACAATTTTCACATTTAGTATTAGTTTACAAGAAAGGCACTTTATTTTAACGATTGTATGACCTTTGACAACTGTCAACTAACTTCAGCCCGTGTCAAAAAACCTGTTGCTAACTTCAGCCCGTGACTAAAGCGCCATAACTTGTCAATGTGATAAAGGGCGTTTTAAAGGTGGGAGTAGAAAAAAGATATTTTCGTACATTTCAGGTCCATTGTTTTCTATGTACTCATCTCTTAATTCTTGATGGTTTATATAAAGTCTCCATATGTTTAATATTATTTCGTTTAAATTTGAATGAATTGTGGGATCCCAGTTTACCTTCTGCTTATGGCTTAAGTTTAGCAGAAGGCATCGTACTAATTTTTCCTCCGCTAAAATCTACAATAAAGTTTTTATTATATACTATATAGCTGCGTTATCTATATGTATGATTTAAAACTACATATAAAGAACCAGTTATAAATGTAATTATTAAAGATGGGATATTTAGGTACTAAAAACTAAAAAGTAGGTAACTAAAAAGGTACTAAAAAAAGCAATTTAGTTTTGTCCTTAAAAGTTATTTTACTTTAGTATCTGATAATAAATATTACTGATAATTTGACAGTGTCAGAGTATCAAGCTACCAAATAAAAAAAAAGAACTGTTTACTCTACCCTTATCCCACTGAAAAAATCGTAGTACAGCAAACTAAACAATAACATTTTTCTGAATTGAAAATCTTCAGCGTTCGGTCTTAATTCATAGCTATGTATAGGATATTCAAAATTGTATGTGTCGCTGGCAATATTCAGTTGTACCAACTCTAAAAAAAATGGATTTAACCATACACCAAGTTTCGAAAAAGTTTTCAAGTTATTTTGACACAAACTGTCATAAAATTTATCTGTCAAGCATTTTTATCAAAGCAACCGTTTTACAATGTGTAATATTTTAGTTCATTAGAAACACAGCGTTGCCAAGTTTTGTATAGTTACCTAGGGCTAGCCCTGAATTGACAAAATCCATTTTGGGAAAAAAGTCGAGTAGTTTCAAAATAATGAACATCACATTGTTTCTGTTGACAGATTGGCGAGGTTGTAAAATAAAATATCTTAAAGCGTATTTCACAGACCTATAAAAAAATTAATGAAATGTGGGAAAATTAAAATATATTTGTTTTGAACAATGCAAAGAATGTAAAAATAATATTGTCTATAGTATGATCTGTCTATAGGCAATTAAATATCACATGGTATGTTAGCTGGGTTGCCTATATAGCATTATTATATTCGACAGATACATAACCCTTATTTTTTGTGATAATGTAAAGTGGGCGTGTTTTTGGGGAGAAATAATTTAAAATAGCAATATTTACCACAAAGTATACTGTTTGGGCGTTTTAATAACATGATGCTCGTTTTTTGACAAATACTTAAAAAATATCCAGGTTACACCAGATATATTCTCGTAATGCTGTATGGTACTATCACCTCTAGGTATGGGAGGTTCCGTAAAAGGAAACCTCTCTTTCCAGGTAGGTTCCAACCTCACCAAAATATTATTCAAGCAGTCCTGCTTCAAAAGCCTGTAACCTAAAAAAAACAAAGTAAAACTGTCAAAAATGTCGGGATCTTACAGCTCTCGTCTGAGATTTCCAGCAAGGAGAGGCAGAATTTCAAGATGGCCGCGAAAATGACGTCGTTCACCAATCCGAGGAGCTCTGCGATTACTTCCGGTAAAATGCTGCTTTCTATGGCGCGCACGCGCGTTGCTATAGAAACGCAATTGTCTGGGAACGAGCTGTCTTTTTGCAGCGTGCTGCACAGAGAGTTGCCTACGATTTCTTGGAGTTTTGGGAGGTTTTTGGTCGACAGAAATGTCAGTAAATACCCTAAAAAAAATATTAAAATGTATACAATTTATGAGAAAAAATACCTAAAAATGAAAAATATTCCTCTAAATCCCTAAAATAATCTATAGCTTCCGAGAATTTGGCTACAGTGGGGGGAACTTTGCACAACTCCAACATTTTTTCCAACATGGCGAAATAGGTCGGTTTTTCTAAATGTTTAACCGATAAAATTTCCAAAACTCTCATCAACGGTGGTAAATCTTTCAGCCACTACATTATCGTTAAGAAAAAAATCGCAAAAAAAATAATTCGGGCCCCAAATTTTGGGCTAAGGATACGTAAGCCGGCCCTGTCGCTTTCATATACTCCTCCAAAATATCGATAACCCTTCCATCGTTTCTCTGCGGTATCGTTGCATCTAAAATCCTCAACGCTTTTCTAATAAGAATATAAGGGCAATGCCTCCAGTCGTGGTCCAATATTTTCTCTGTTTTTGGAGGTTCTACTTGGTGGCAATTCATTTTTGTAATTCGTAATTTGACGTTTGCCGCCTGTACGTTTTTATCGATGTAGACGCAGAGTTGCCAACGTAGGGATTTCCCCCCAGTTTTAGGGATTTTTTTAGACTTTTTGGTACTGAATACCGTGTTATAACCGTTTGAATCATTAGTTTAGTAAAAAAATCAAGAAATGAAACTCTTTTGTATGTACAATAATTATTATTGTTAAAACTAGGGAATTCTAAGTATTTTAAAACAAATTTAGGGTTTTTAAAGCGACCATGTTGCCAGCACTGTGTGTGTTATAACCTCACTTTTAGGTTATTTTGGTAAAATGTCAACTTTTGCTAAAATTGGGGGTATTACGCGGTTATTAGCCAACAGTTCCATCAGTAAAGTTAACAATACGTGTAAATTAAGGTTTGTCTTCATATATTTCTTAATTTTAGTTGGTAATTTTGTAACATTTTAGGAGTTTATCCACAACACCATGTCGTAGAGAATTGATGGAATTTTTCGATGATGAGAAGAACTGGGGCGTCCAAGAAGTCAAAAGTGGTCGATCGTGGAAATCCGATGAACTGCGCTTAAAATCCAACACAGATTTACACAAATTATGGTATGTTTTGTTGAAAGAACGCAATATGCTTCTTACGATGGAAGAAGAGTGTAAAAAGGAAACAAGGTTATTCCCAAGCCCTGAGAGGTTAGATAAGGTTGAAGATAGCATGAAAAACCTTGAGACTGTTGTCAGGGAAAGAAATAAGGCATATCATTTGCTTGAAACGGGCGAAAAGGGTGAAAGACCAAGAAAACTAGAAACAAATGTTTTGGGTCTGCATTACAAATACAAGTAAGTGTTTGTTTATTATTTTAAGAAAAATAGGACGACAATTTTTTTTTTAGAATGAGTGAGCACCCAATCCCAAAACACCTCAACACAAAATGGAAAAAACAATACGAATTCTACAAATACGACAAAGAGGTTGAGATGTTTAGGGAAAAGTTAAACGAAAAGAATTATTTGGCGAAAAAAAAACAACACAGGAGGGAGTTCAATCATGTTATCGGGCTTTTAAACAGGTTCCCCAACATGGACATGGAAGCCTTGAAACAACAATACCCTGAAGTTGATATAGAAAAAGCCAAAAATAGCAGGAAATATGGGGGACATTTTGAACCAAAATAAAGTTTTGTTATAATGATTAGTTATTTTTTATTGTAAATAAATGCCTTAAACTTTATTTATGACGTGTTTTTTTGTTATAACTATAATAATCTTAAGTGAAAGTTCATATGGAAAAAAAATAGTTCTTATAGTTGGGCCTACAATATTCTGAGTACAGCCCTGTCGCCTTTAAAAATCAATGTTGGCCGTACATATGTCAATTGTGGCGCGCGCATGCGCAGTCGCATTGGGGCAAGTGTTTTAATTGACGTTTTTTGCCCAAGTGCATAAAATTATTATGCAGATATTAATTGATAAATAGTGTCGTACAACAAAAATACAATCGGAGATAACAAACGTCAAAAAATAAACCGAGGTGAGTGGATTTGATTGGTGTGAATGAGAGGGTTGAGTCGCAATTGTTTATTTTTGTTTTTCAATGACGTATTGATGTTTCTGAGTCTTCATTGTTGTTGTTTTTTTGTTTTAGCATTATGGAGGAAATTAAGCCGAAAATGTTCGAGGAGCCTCTGAAGAGCAAAGAAAAGCAGGATCAGATGACTTCGAGCACAATTTCGAGTCTCGCAAGTCCGGGGGATTCAGGGGTGCAAATGTTGGATAGTGAAAGTGAGTTGACATCGGTTATGTCTAGTAGTGGTTATGGTTGTGAAATAGAAGACGATAAGAAGAAAGTCATCTACGAAGAGTTCCCAAAGAATAAGGATGTTTTGAAGATTGAAAAGGGGGAAGTAATGACTAAGAGCGACATCGCAAATCAAAATATAACACATGACTACTCGAATATGTCTGTGAGTGTTCCGAATTACTTTGATAAGTTTGATTTATCATCCGGACTCTCACATGACAAAATTAACAACAAAAACGATGAAAATGACGTTTTTGAAATGGATCATCCAATCAAATCAACTGATAAGCCCGAAGATATTATGAATTGTTCTCTAAACAGCTATGAGCTTCTAGACTACACGATGGCAAACCTAACCATTGATAATACTGACCAAATGCATGTCAGTATGTCAGAGGAAGTAAATGAAACCCTAAAAACCGAAATATCGTCTATAAGCCCTGTCCCGGAAGTTCCGGAAAACATTCCCATTGTCTCTCCTGAAGAAAAACCGGTTGAGGAACAAATTGTTTTTCGAAGGCAAAGGAAAAAGAAGAATAAGTCTGATACGCCCAAAAAGAGAGTATCTTTCCACGAGGATATTTTGAATAGCACCAAGATAGATGATATCCACATCAACCATGGGTTTATCACCATTGAGCCCGACGTTTCCCTGAGTTTTTTCCAGAGGGGGTTCATTAAGAAGGCGGATGTTGTTAAAGGTAAGATGTTTGAAAAATAAAATATATTTTGAAAAATCAAATTTAGAAAATGCAGTGTTGCCAAATTGCCCAATATTTCCCAGAAACTAAGATTTTTTATAAAACATTAAATTTTAATGTTGTTTAAAAAATCTTACTTTCTGGGAAATATTAGGCAGTTTGGCAACACTGCATTTCCTAAATTTGATTTTTTTACTATGATTTTTATAAATTTCTAGATTTAAATAAATTAAGTTTTTTGCCCAAAACTTGCATAAAATACCATGTTATATTTAATTTGATACAATGTTGCCAAGTTTGTTTTTTACTAAAAAAATCAAAAACTATTATCCAGAAATAATAATTCTTGAAAATATTTCAAAATTTGTTTAAATTTTTTATTGTTTAAATTATTTTTGTATTTTTAATTTAAATTTTGAAATAAGGTATTTTATTATAAAAAAACATACCCACCTATATATAGGTAATAAATTATTAAAACTAGTTTTTTTAACAAATCTTACAACTATGCATAAAAGTACATTTAAAAAAATTGTTAATTTTTTTAAAATAGCATTTTTGGGGAAAATGGTGCAATTTGGCAGCACTGTAATTTTAAAAAGTTTCGCTATAATTTATTTACCAATTTTTTTATCCTGCTTTTCTGCCATTTTTAAAGATTTTTTTAAATTTTTTACTCATTTTCCCAAAAATGTGCCATCATTTTATTTTTTTTTATTTGGAATTATTTAAAAAAAATCTTTAATAATTAATACAGTTCTACTATTATAATAATTTTTATTATACTATAATTTTCATATTTTTATTATAAAAATCATTAAAATTAAATATTTAGTATCAGTCAAAATAAAACGTTAAATCAATATTCCATGTTCCATTGTTTCTATATTTAAGATTATATTGTCTTTAAAGAATTTTTCTTAATAAATATTTTTTGTAGAATTTAATATTATTTTCATTATTTAATTTTTATATTTTTAATTTAAATTCTTGTAATAAGGTATTTTATAATAAAAAACGTACCTATATATTTGATCAATTATTAAAATTAGTTTTTTTAAGTATATCTATCTCGAGTATATCTTATGTCATTAATTTCAATTTTAAATAGCATTTTTGGGAAAAATGGTGCAATTTTGCAACAGTGTAATTAAAAAAAAATCCTATAATTTACTATTAGGATTTTTTTGTAATCATTTTTTAAAGAATTTCTCAATTTTTTATAAATTTTTTTTAATTCCATAAATATGCCATTATTTTATTTTTTTGATTTGAAATTATTTTTAAAAATCTTTAATTATTATTATAATTCTACTATTATAATAATTTTTATTACTATAATTTTCATATTTTTATTATAAAAATCATTAAAATTAAATATTTAGTGTCAGTCAAAATAAAACGTTCCATTGTTTCTATATTTAAGATTATATTGTCTTTAAAGAATTTTTCTTAATATAAGTATATTTTTTGTAGAATTTAATATTATTTTCATTATTTTTATATTTTTTATTTAAATTCTTGTAATAAGGTATTTTATAATAAAAAACGTCCCTATTTATTTGATCAATTATCAAAATTGGTTTTTTCAAGTATAATATAGATATTATCAGACTATGTCATTAATTTCAATTTTAAAATAGCATTTCTGGGAAAAATGGTGCAATTTTGCAACAGTGTAATTTAAAAAAACCTATAATTTACTTATTATCAGTTTTCCTAAAATATTTAACCCCTTTTTTAAGTTTTAATATACTATTGGTATTTTTTTGTATTAATTTTTTAAAGAATTTCTCAATTTTGTACACATTTTTTTTTAATTCCTAAAAATATGCCAATGTTTATTTTTTTTATTTGGAATTATTTTTAAAAATCTTCTTTAATAATTATTATAAAAATAATATTTAAATATCATTAGAATTTAAATAAATAAATCTTTAAAACGAAATGTAAAAATTAAACATTTAGTCAAATTTAAGATTATACATATAGAATTCTTCTTAATATATTTTTTTAATTTTGTATTTTTTACAACAATTCTAAAACATGCTATTTTTTATAGTAGTAATATCTATATTTTTTCAACTGTTTAAACGGCCACATTTTCTTCATTTCTCTTCTTCTTGAAACCCAGGTCGCTACAGCTGGGCAGCGGAAGGTGACGCCCCCTACTACGAAAAACCGTCGGAAGACCGCGAAATAAAATCCGCCATCTACATGCAAAACAACCGCTACTCCTCCACCTCCTCCTCCTCCACCGGAAGCACCTCCAGCTCCATCGACGAGGAGGAAACCAACTCGGACGAAAACGTCGCCAAAATGCTCGAGAAGAAACCCAAAAGCTCTTGCCTGAAGAAAACCAAGAAGAAGTTCATCGACACGAAGATCGTTCAAGAAGAAACCACCACCACCAAGAAGAAAAGTGAGGATATTAACATTTTTGGGAGTTTGAAGAACATCCTCAATTTTTCAACGTCGGTACCGCTGGCTGAAAGGGGGGTGCCTGAGGGGCAGGAAGATATAACTGTATATTCTTCATCGCAGGATATATCGGGAAGAAGAAAATCCTTCGGGAGTTTGTCGTTGAAAAACTTCGAAACAATTGAAATTAAACCACCACCAATCATCAACAAGGTTACAGAGGCGAAAAATAACCTCAAATTCGCTAAAAGTGAGGGTTTTTACCCCAACTATCCCACCAATCAAAACCTACCGTCGAACATCATAATTTGCGACAGCAATGTCTACGAACACAAAGGAATAAGTTACTCCTACGAATACGACAAGTTCCAAAAGTCCTTCGAGCAACAAAACAAACCGAAAAGTTCCACCATATACCAGACGATTCTGAAAGAGTTCAACTTCTTCAAACGCAAAGCCAAAAACAGCAAACCGGAAGAGGATTTCGAGTTCATAAACTCCAAAGCGGACTCCGTGGAAGAACCGGAAGTCGGCCCTATAAAACCGAAACCAAACAAACACTCCATCAACTCCAAAATGGATTGGTCTGATAACGATACTAACTCAGACTACTCGGAAGCAACTTCCAGACATTTGCACTCCCCCAAAAGAAGAACCCTCAAAAACAATCACTACTCCTTGCAGAACACTTTGTTGGAGGAGGACTTGAGGACTTTGAGGGCGTCCTCCTCAAAATCCTCCCTGATAAACCGCTTCCTAAAAAACGTGACCCAAAAGAAGATGATGGACTTAAAAGCGGAGAAAAAGACTGAAAGGAAGATCATGAGCTTGTATGTGAAGAACTTTAAAGGCAAAATGGAGAAAAACGACGATTTGGATGGGGAAATCGCCCGGGAAATCGTCGACGGCAAAAATAAAACTTTCGGGGAAAATTTCGACGGGAAGTTGGTCTTCCAATTCAAGAAGGAGATATTCCGGAGTTGCTTCGAGAAATTAATAAAGGTAAGGCAACATTTACAGAGAAGTCAACACCCAAAAAATTTTTGTTCTTGTAGGTTTTTGGAGTTAGGAGTGCCTATACTACCAAAGGGGAAAGTCAAATGTTGTCTGTCATTTTGACAGATAAAACCCTGTACATTGCAGGGTTGAGACCCAATAATACTTATTGCAACTATTTTGTTTTGCCCTATACTGAGTTGAATACAATTTTGATTGGTAAGTTTTTTTCTTAATATAAATAATTTTTGTTATTTACAAGTTATTAAATTTTTATTTTTAACTTCAAACTTACTTAGAAATGTTAAATGTTGGGAGTGTTTTATGAAAAAACTAAAAATTTCAACAAAAATATACAATTAAAAATGTTAAAATCACTTGAGAATGTCAAAAACATGTTTAAGAATGTTTTTTGAAAAAAATAAGAATGTCAAGAAAAAAATACAATTTAAACTTAAAAATGTCAAAAACAGAATGTTTTATGAAAAAACAAGACAGAAAACCAATTAAACATATAAAACTTACTTAAGAATGTCAAAAACAAGTTTTAAGGATAAACTCAAAACACAATAAAAACTGAATACTCACTTAAAAATGTCAAAAACACATTTTAAAATGTTTTGTGAAAAATCTAAGAATACCAATAAAAAATACATTTAAAAATTTCAAACTCACTTAAGTATGTCAAAAACATGTTTAAGAATGTTTTATGAAAAAAACTAAAAATGTCAAAAAAATATAATTAAAAATGTCAAACTCACTTAAGATGTCAAAAACATGTTTGATAATTTTTTATGAAAAAAACCAAGAATGTAAAAAAACACCATTAAAATGTAAAACTTACTTAAGAATGTCAAAAACACAATTAAGCATTTAAAAATCATGTAGGTATTAAGAAAAAAACAAAAATTTTAAGACAAAATAATAATAATAATAATAATAATAATAATAATATATTTATTAGCCAGAATTAGCAAAACAGAAAACAGGAAATGGTATAAAATAAATAAATAAATAACATAAAAAAATAAATAAATATGTGAGATTTTATACAATTTTTAAAAGTTGTGATATCACTACATTGTTGTATATCTGGGGATAGTTTATTAAATTCAATTATACCCTTGTACATAGTAAAATTTGACATTTGTACTGTTTTACATGATGTAAATCACATCTATCAAAAAATAAAATAATAAAATAAAATAACACAATAAAAACTCAGAACTTACTTGAAAAAACTAGGAATGTTTAGAAAAAATACAACAGTCACTTAAGAATGTCAAAAAATGTTTAAGAATGTCAAAAATATGTTTAAGAATGTTTTATAAAAAACTAATAATGTCAAAACAAAAACACAATTAAAAATGTAAAACTTACTTAAGAATGTCAAAAACAATAAAAACAACAAACTTACTTAAAAATGTCAAAAACACATTTTAGAATGATTAGTGCAAAAACTAAGAATTTCAAGTAAAAATACAAAAAAAAGTTAAAAACATGTATAACACTGCCCACCCCAAAAAAGAGTATTGCATTTTAGAATGTTTTGTGCAAAAATTAAGAATGTCAAGAAAAAAAAACAATAAAAAAGTCACTTAAGAATGTCAAAAACATATTTAATAATGTTTTATGAAAAAACTATGAATGTCATTGACAAAAACTCAATTAAAAATGTAAAACTTACTTAAGAATGTCAAAAACATGTTTTAAGAAATAAATAAAATCTTTAAGACAAAAACTCAATAAAAACTTCAAACTCACTTAAAATTTTAGAATGTTTTATGGAAAACTAAGAATTTCAATAAAAAATGTCAAACTCACTTTCGAATGTCAAATCATGTTTTATGAAAAAATGTCTAGTCAAAAATACAATTAAAATGTAAAACTTACGTAAGAATTTTAAAATCGCAATAATTATTAAGAATTTCAAAAATCAAGAATTTCAAGACAAAAACACAACAAATACTCAAACTTACTTAAGAATGTCAAAAACACATTTTAAACGGTTTTGATGATTAGTGCAAAAACTAAGAATTTCAAGTAAAAATACAAAAAAAAGTTAAAAACATGTATAACACATTCACTGCCCACCCCAAAAAAGAGTATTGCTTCATTTACCACCTATGTTTTTCTTTATATTTTTTAATTTAAATAACTGCATCTTGTTTCAAATAAATTCTAGTAGGTATAGGTTTTCAATTTTATTTTTTGAAAAAAACAAAAAACGCATCAGGTGCGTTGTGGGCACTGGTTGAGTGATAAACCATGTTCAATACCTATAAACGCGCCCCACGCGTTCTTGTTAATAAAATGGGAAAATCTTGTAAAATAATGTTATTTATTATTAAGAACGCGCCTAGCACGGTGTGGGCATATGGCCGCAGAACTTGTAAACGCGCCACGCGCGTTTTGGGCAGTGAATGTTTTATAAAAAAACTAAGAACTAAAAAATAGAATTAAAAATGTAAAACTCACTTCTAATGTAAAAAACATGTTTTAAGAAATAACTAAGAATTTCAAGACAAAAACACAAAATGCCAAACTTACCTAAGAATGTCGAACACATTTTGGAATTTTTTATAAAAATAAAAGAATGTCAAGAAAAAAATACAACTAAGAATGTCAAAAACATGTTTAATAAAGTTTTATGAAAAAAAAACAAGAATGTCAAGAAAAAAACACAATTAAAAATGTACCTAAAACTTACTTAAGAATGTCAAAAACAATTAAGAATTTCAAAAACATGTTTTAGGAAAAAACAAAATTTTTAAGACAAAAACCCAATAAAAACTCCAAACTTACTTAAAAATGTCGACCACACATTTTAGAATGTTTTGTGCAAAAACTAAGAATGTCAAGAAAAAATACAACGAAAAATGTCAAACTCACTTAAGAATGTCAAAAACATGTTTAAGAATGTTTTATAAATAAACTAAGAACTGTCAAAAACAGAATGTTTTATGAAAAAACAAGACAGAAAAACAATTAAAAATGGAAAACTTACTTAATAATTTCAAAAACACAATTAAGCATTTCAAAAGCAAGAAAAAACTAAGACTGTAAAAAAAAATAACTGAAAACGCCAAACTCACTTAAAATTGTCAAAAACACATTTCATAATGTTTTGTGCAAAAACTAACAATGTCAAGAAGAAAATACTCACTTGAGAATGTCAAAAACTGTTTCACCATTGCCTGCATCAATTTAACAACCAAAACGCGTAGGTCCCAATGCTCAAACGATCCACTTCGCCAACTACGACCGCGACATGCAGTGCGTCGTGACCACGGGCTGCTCGATCCTGACGGGCGAGCTGGTCGGCCAGCTGGAGATGCGCATGCGCAGAGACCCCGACCGACCGCAGCTGCCCGCGGTCAAGCAGCTGTCCATGCGCGACATGGCCAACTTGAGACGCGCCATATGCAAGCAGACCTCGGTGCACAAGGTAAAGTCGCTTTCACATAGATGCGAAATACGAACATTCGCATTTCGAAACTCCTATCACGGTGCTGTTCTGAGAGGTGATTTTTGGACTTTCTGTGAAACCTAATTTTTTTTATACTCTTGTTAATTAGGTCATAACTAAAATTTTAAGAGCAAAATGAAAAAAATTTGACGGTTTGAATTGTTTTAATTGGCTGTTTATTAAAAATATTATGCAATCTTTCAATTATCCAATTAAAACTAGCGATTTAATTTAAATATTTAATATTTGCATAACTAAAAAAAAGGTTTTTACAATTTTTTTTACATATTTTACTGTTTTGTTGCAATAAACGTTCAAACTTTTAATCTAACCTTTGACGTATACATTTATGTTCCCTTAATTAATATATCCTTAAAGGTTGCCATGAAACTTAGATCTATTAAAAATTTATTTGACGTTTGAATTGTCATTTTCAGTATACGTATTCTATAATTTTTGTTTAGTTTTTTTAAGTGTTTTTTATAAACAAAAATGAAAAATTGTAGTAAAAGTTACGAAAAAATTCATGAAATTTAATTAAGGACCGGTTTATTCATCTTTAGTAAAGTTTATCGGGCCGATAACTTTCATGTCTTGGCAATATCTAGTATCCAAAGAAATTATTCGTCAAATAAATGAAAAATGAATAAATCGGCCCTAAAAAAAATGTGGCACCCTTAGAATTATTGTTTAATAAATGTATACTATACATTTAACCTTAAATTAAAACTTAAAACGTGTATTACAACAAAACAGTAAAAGATATAAAAAATGTATAGACCTTTTTTTAGGAAATTAACTAACCTTTAATCTGATTTAAAAAGTTATGATAATATTTAAATAAAATCGCAAGTTTTAATTGGAGAATTTGAAAGTGTGCATACATATTTTTAATAAACATCCAATTAAAACAAAATTAACCGTCAAATTTTTTTTATTTTGCTCTTAAAATTGTAGTTATGACCTAATTAACAAGAATATAAAAAAAAATTTGGTTTCACAGAAAGTCCAAAAATCACCTCTCAGAACAGCACCGTGCTATTTCATATAGATGCGAACCATTGTTTTCTCACTAGGCGATATATTCCATGCTATTTTAGGTACTAAAGTAGTAAAGTTACTTAAAGACTATAAGGTCAAATAAGAAGCATTAATGTACATTGAGAAACTCTTTGTCCATTATAAAAAACAAAAAAAATATTTATTTATTTAAACAGTTCAAATCTTGCAAATTCGCAGGATCTGCCGAAACGTCAAATCAAATGGACCAATGGGAGCATTTTTCGCATTTCGCAATTCGCATTTCGCATCTATATAAAACGAGCTTAAGAAGAAGAAATTAAATTTGGAGAGTGTATTCTTGCGATTTTTTCAGGACGAAGAGTATTTTTACTACAGCATCGTGAATATACAGGAGTTTAACCCGGACGAGCAGGAAATTAACACGCCGATGGGGCCCAGTAAGGAGGGCCCCTTGATGTTTAAAAGTTACGATGGATCGAGATGGGAGACGGCATATTTTATATTAAAGTAAGTACATTAACGTTTAAATACGCTAAAGAAGCATCGATAGTAGCGCCACCACGTGCCGTTATCATCGTAAAAATGTTAAAAATATCGGGGGAAAACCCGTAGCACGATTTATTGTGTTGTTGGGTTTTTTCGAGAAGAAATCCTGGGTTAAGTTTTAGCGGTTTCTCAATAAACAGTGGAAATCCGAATGAAGAAATAAATTGCTTACAGTCCCTGTAAATATAAATTGTATCTATTAGATACACATACACATTTCAGTAATGATTTACGTGAAAATTCTAAACATTTCAATTCAATTAAAATCACAAAACAAATAAGTCGTCTAAATTCAAACAGCATTTATCATTATTAAAAGCATTGATTAAGAAAGTCTTCACTCAACGGTAAAATACCACTATATTATATATAATATTATGTTGTAATATGTTGTTGTGTAATATTATATTAATATTATATTTTGTTGTTTAAAATGCAGGCGTTTTTTTAGAGGACTTAAATATAAAAATATTTGATGTTTGTACAACAATTATTTTTGTTAGATTTCTTAAAAATGTCCAAACTTAAATACAAATTATATTAGGTAAAGTTATCATTAGTTAATTCTGCACCAATAAATGTACTTACCGAATTGGAACCTTTGGCAAAACATGAAAATGCAACGATTTAGTTCTTGAATTTTATTTACAATTTAAAACACAATAATTTACCATGATCCCTTAGATAAAATACACAAACTAACGTAACTATATAAGCATTTAAGCGTTGAGTTTCTTAATCAATGATATAAAGAATAATCAATCGAAATCGATTACTAAAAAAGTTTTTTAATTTTTTCCTTGCAACGTAAAACACAAATACTTGCGCGATTTAGCCGTGCAATTGAACAAAATTTGTCTACTAAGACTTGCTATCGAAGTCCACTAGATGGCGCGTTGTGAAAACCCTATACTTTTTTTCTTTTGGCATTGTTTTTACAGATTTACACTTGGCAGGTATACATTTTTTACACTTAAAAAACTTTAAAATAATAAAAGTACAAAACATTTGAACACTAATAAAACCAACGCCATCTGTGTGCTAGAAGCCAAAACACACTTCCCATTGACATATAAAACTGTAGAATTGAATTGAATTGAATTTTAGGGCTGGGGTGCTTTACATGCTGTCCTCGGCTTCTCAAAGGGTACCAATGAGGGTTTTTCCCCTAATCAACGGTTCTTGTCAGGGGGCAAGGAGGGTTTTCAACGGTCATCGACCCCACACTTTTCAGTTGATTGTGGAAGGCAAAAGTTTGCTTCTGGCCGCCCCGGACGAGTACGTCGCTAGCGAGTGGTTGCAACAGTTGGTACACTCTGCAAGCGGGGTAAGACAATTTTTTGTGTCGTAAAAATCGTTTTTATCTATTTTGCGTTCATAATGACTTCATTATAACACCGCTTTTGGTTCTTTAATGAGGACTTTATTCCACCCAAAATTTTGATTTTATAGGTTGGCTACTGGTAAAATACAATTTTGAATACCTATAGGTTATAATATTTTTATGATTTGTTTTCTAGTACTTACGAGACTTTTCGTGCAATAAATTTTGTTTAACACCAAAGAAAATCCTTTTTTCTTCTTTAACAGCCGCTTATTGTAAATACTTATTGTAAATTAACGACGCCATAGCGAAAGAATGTGATAATGTTTGAAAGGTTAATGACCTTTCAAACTTCAAACTGAGATACCAACTATGTAAAGTAAAATTCGACCAAATTAAATATAAGGTATAAAATTAATTTGTTTTATGAAATGCTTGCAAAATAGATAAAATAGCATAAAGAACTCATGTCATAAGACCTTTTGTCGCACTCGTCCATTACAAAACTCGCTCCTTCGTCGCTCGTTTTATAAATTGTCCGCGTGCGACAAAATGACGTCTTATGACATTAGTTCTGTAATATACTATTTTTCGATACTTAAATTATCCTTAATTCTTATTCAGACGTACAACAGAGAAAAATCCACCACCCAGTCGTGCTCTCTACTTATGACGGGCGATCACATTTTGACGGTGCGCGAGGCTTTTCCGCTGACAATAAACACGCTGCTGCCGCGCGGAGTGGGCGGACACGAGCCGATCAAGGGTGCGCAGGCGCTGTCGTGCGCCGCCATCTGCGATCTCACCTCGTTCCGGCTTCCGTCCGCAGAACAGAGCTGGTGCATACTGGTAAGTCTTTCAGTTTTTGTTAGTCGCGTTTTTAAAATTAGGTACATGTTTTTTATGCAGTAAATTGGTCGAAAAAAGTTTGCTTTGAAGGAATCATAGTAGTTTAAAGTTTAGCACTTATAGTTTAAATATTTTATTCTACAAAAATTGGTTTAAATTTCATTTAATTGTCATTTAAATACATTTTTAATCCAAAAATTACCACTTTAAAATTTGAAACTAACATTTAAATTTATAGTGATAATTTTGTTTTTAAAAATTTATCATTTTAACGACTCTTTACAAATTTAAACCAATAATTTTGTAGAATAAAAAATTAAAACTACAATTTTTAAAAACCAATATTTTAAACTTAAACTTCTAAATTTTCATTTTATATTTAAAATATTTTTGATTCTTAATTGTTTTGAGCTTAAAAAAAATTAACTTTTTATACTATTTTAGTAAAAAATATGTTTTTATTTTAAATGTCTAACATCATTATAAAATAATAAAAAATTTAACTTTATCAATTTAATCTCAATAATTTTATATAATATTTATTTAAGATTTTAAAAATTCTGCCCAAATAAATTATTTTTATTAAAAAATGACAGTTTTTTAGTTGGAAAAATTTTAAACCAATAAAATTTTAAATTAAAAAATTTCGAAATAAACAACTTTCTTAATTACAGTGCAGCGTTAAATAATTTTGTTCGGCGTCGAAAAGCGTTGAAACGCATTTTTGGTTACTGTTGTGAAAAAAATACAATCAAAAATGTCAAACTCACCTAAAAACATGTTTAAAAATGTTTTATGAAAAAACTAAGAATTTCAAGACAAAAACGCAAAATCCACTTCAGAATGTCAGAAACACATTTTAGAATGTTTTATAAAAATACTAAGAATGTAAAAAATTACAATTAAATTGTCAAACTCACTTAGAAATGCCAAAAACATGTTTAAGAATGTTTTATAAAAAAAACTAAGAATTTCAAGTCAAAAATACCAAAAACGCCAAATCCATTTAAGAGCGTCAGAAACACATTTTAGAATGTTTTATAAAAATACTAAGAATGTCAAGAAAATAACAATTAAAAAAACATGAAAAAACTAAGAATTTTAAGACAAAAACGCCAAATCCACTTAAGAATGTCAGAAACACATTTTAGAATGTTTAAAAAAAATACCAAGTGTCAAGAAAATAATATAATTAAAAATTGTCAAACTCTCTTAAGAATGTCAAAAACTGTTAAAATGTTTTATAAAAATACTAAGAATGTCAAGATAGAATACAATTTAAAATGTTAAACTCACTTAAGAACGTCAGAAACACATTTTAGTATGTGAGAAACACATTTTAGAAAAAAATACAACTCACTTTAGAATGTCAAAAAACATGTGAAATCGTGAAAAAAAAAAGTTGATATGAATTTTGTAGGTTTTTCGAGATTAACAACTTTCTCAATTACAGTGCAGCGTTAAACAATTTTTTTCGGGGTCAAAAGGCTATAGAACGCCACCCAATTTTTGAATTTTTCGTCCTAGACCATCGACCCAATGACATAAATTGTAGGGGACAATACCATCTACATTTTTGCCCCCAACATTTTTTTCTAAAACTTACCGTTTTCCAGAAAAATGAAATCCAAAATTTTGTTTAGTTTTCACTGAACTATGACACGTACTGTTTTTTGCAGGAATTCGCCTGCAGGGAGGTACATGAGTGCAGTGGCGATTGGATTTTGTATTTTTCAACTAACGCAGAGCTGGAGAAATTTATATCCACTCTGGAGATGCTGTGGGCGTACAATAATGAAGGGGTAAGTGTACCTTAGAGTATATAAACATGGATATCCCTTGGAGCATACAATATGTGGATGGGACATTTTCAAATTTTGCAATTTGATTTTTGTCGTTTCAGGGCGAGTGTTTTCCCTTAAGCACCATACCGGAAACCGACCCCTTAAGCAAAAGATGCGTAGACGTGTATACATCCTTAATTTCCACGTGGCCATCGGACACTGTACATTTGCAGTTTCTATAATTTAATTTTTTCTTAGTCGAATTTTTATTTATTTTATTAATTTTTATTTCAATAGGGAAATTGTACATTTATTTGTTCGGTATTATTTCTGGCGGGTACAGAACGATTTTTAAGAATTGAATTTTATTTTTTTATTCGATAATACTCAGTTTATTCTAGTCAACTAGGTTTAAGTTGCATCAGCACCTTTTTGGGGGTTTTAAGATTATTTTTATAAAATAAATTTATTTATTTTATTGAATTTATTGTTCGGTGCTGAACGGAGAAATGACATACATAAATTGTGATAGATATTGGATTAATAATTTTTCTATTAGAAATTAAGGCCAAATATCATGCAAAATGTTTTTCACATTATTGTATGTTTATTTAGCCCCCCTTAATAAATCGTACTATACTTTATATCCTAAGCTTCAGTAAAAAATAACTACGTCCAGTAGGTTTTGCGGTGTCGTGTTTTACTGGACATGGTATAGCACATATAGATATTGCACGTGTATAAAATAATATTCTTAGGGACTTCAGTTTAAAATATTGATATTGATTATATTATAACAAATTTTTTTCTGTTAAATTTTGTTTTTTGGATATCTTATAAAAAAAAATTAACAGAAATTTAATTTGTACCTATTATGTGTCATATACATTATTAATATCATACAGAAAAGTATTAATGTTTTTTGTCAATATTGTTGATAAAAAAAATATTAATAATTTTTTACCATTACGTCATTGTCCATTATTATAGAATCATATACCTACCTACTATCTACAGGGTGTTATGTAATTAATGTAATATTACATTACAGTATTTTAATAAATTAATTTATTAAAATACTGATTTGACGGAAAAATAAATAAAAACTCAATAAATTCAAAAGTTGTATGCCCTTAAAGCTCTAATACTCTTCTTTATTTATTTACTCATCCAGCTATTAGCTTAAGCAATGATTAGAAAATTTAGTACCTGATTTAAAAATTCCATAACCACAAAATTAATTTTTTCATCTGTTTTTTCTTTCTGTTACTCAGATAAAATTGGGACAAGTTTACAGGTTAAACTTTAAACATTCAATTTGTCTAAATAAATCCAAAAGCACTTCCCTTAGTTGAGATATTTACAATTTGAGCACATAACCTAAAATTTGAAAGAAATGTGTTAGATTCTGTCATAAACGTTGCCAGATTTTGTTTGAATTTACCTTCATTACAAAAATTAATAAAAACGACAAATTAACAATTTGCATTGTCGAATTTGTCATTTTTGTAATTAAGCTAAATTTAAACAAAATTTGACAACTTTTTTGACAGAATCTGGAAACGCTGGTTGTTACCAACCATAACATAATAAATAAAATTAGGCAACCAGATTAGCCTAAAGTTCCTAGTCCGATCAGTGGCGTTCTTTTTGGTAGGATAAAGTTTATTATAAATTATTTTTGGTCTCTAGAATTTAGAAAGAAAAAGTTTCAGGAACTACTCATATTAATATATTACATTAATTACCTAACACCCTGTAACATGTCTTTCATATTTTTTTGCTACATGCGCCGCTAGCAACGTATTAAATACGATCAAGTATTTTTATCTTTAAAAACTGGATCATGGCCCATGTAGCGAGAATACATATATAAAACACATGGAATTAATGTATATTAAAATAAAATAACTCATGTTTCTTAATTGGCTCAAATATTTTTTATATTACTTAAGATAACAAAATTTTGCAATAAACGCTTTTAAATGTTAAGTTACCAAAAATAATTTGTTTAAATATTGTTTTGTATTATTACACTAGTTTACAAAATCTAAAAAAAATCTGCCCACCATATCCCATTATAATTTGTTTTGTGTTTTGACGTTTTTGAGTATAGCTTGAAATCTAATTGATCGATTTGGTCAAGCAAGCCCTTAAATTGAAGGTATTTGAGCCCTCTAAAACTTTCTTTTACATACTTTTGATATCGGATAAGTATTTTGACGCTAGCGATTTTAATAACTTAAAAAATTCGTTTTTGAAGCAAACATTGAGGTCGAAAATTTACATATCGTCCTGGGAAGGGTTTAAATCACACAGATAAATCCAGTTTGATTTTTTTTTCGTGAAGCTGACATTTTAACAAAAAAAACAAGCTAATGTTGATAAAAATACATGGAAAAATGGCGAAGTTATGAATTTTTTATTGTTTAATATTCAATATATAATTTAATTTCAATATTTAATGTTAAATAATAAAAATCAATGCTCAATATTAAATTTTATATAATTCAATAAAATGAAGAAAAAACGTAAAAAATCTCGAAAAACTGAATTTTGGAAAAATTCATAACTTCGCCATTTGTCCATGGATTTTTATAAACAGCAGCTTATTTTCTTCCTTTTAGTATAATCTATACGTAAAATAAAACAAACTGGAATTATCTTTTCGATTTCTATCTTTCCCAGAAAGGTATGTTAATTTTCAACCTCGTTTTTTGTAAAAAAAGGACTTTTTCAACTTCATAAAATCGCCAGTATCGAACTACTGAGCCGATACCAAAACTATACAAGAGAAAGTTGTAGAGGGCTCAATTACTTTTGATTTAAGTGCTTGTTTGGTCAAATCGATCCATTAGAACTCGAAGTATACTCTAAAACGTCAAAACACCTCAGAAAATTAAAAAAAAACAATTGAAAATTCATATCTCGAAAACGCTTCCATGAAAAAAATGTTAAGTGTGATTTTCGCGTTTAGTGAGAAAATCATAGTGAGACATGGTGGGCAAAATGACTGTAATAATTTTTAGTATTATTATTATTAATATTATTATTGAACCCATGGTGCTTATATTAAATTTGCTTAAATTTATTTATTTATTTATTTGAATAAAAATATCAGTAGCGTTTTATATGTATGTAAAAAATGTAATCAAAATAACTATTGCGCTTAAAATTTTGTTCATTGTTGATTTGTTAATAAAAATGTAGAACCATTAAACAATAAAACTCAAATATTATAAAAATATTTCTTGCGTTTTATTCAACTATTTATGAGCAGGGGACTGTTTATTTACAGGATGATTCAATAATATTGTTAGTTGCTAGTGTTTTTTAAAATAAAAAATGTTTGGGTGGAATTTAGAGCCACTTGGTATATCCCACTTCTGATTTAAACATGGAAACAAGGATTTTTACCATTACCGATGTTTTTAGGAACCTTTTTTAACACTTTGCGTTGTAAAATTTTTTGATGGTATATTAGGAACATTTTAAATTTTTATTGTTATTTTTATGCAAGGAATGCTGACACCCCGCATATTTAGATTTCTTATCTGAACGGTTTTACATAAGATCGCTCTTATCTGCAATTAAGATAACAATAATCATTTTTAAACGCTATTTTGTATTTGTGCTAAAAAAATATGAGCGAATGGCAGAGACCTGCTAGTGTCCCTTTTCCTTCTATATGGAGGAAATTTGAGGGGAAAAATATGGTTGATGGCAAAAAGAGGCAGTACTGGGTTCAGGATTTAACGGACGATCTTCTGGAGCCGGCTATTGACTACATGTGCACTGGTTTTATGGAAGACGAAGCTATTTGCAAATATAATAGTGAGTTACTTTTAATTTTATTTGGAGCGTTTTTTTGCAAAACTTTTTAGAATACATTGAAGACCCCAACGCCATTGAAATTGCTAGGCAATATTGGAAAAACCAAGCACAGCAAAAGTTGTGTCTAATATGCTTGACAAAAAATGATTTGGGACGAACTGAAATCGCAGCAGTTAACATGACATACAGGTCATATGAAAATGAACCTGATGAAGAATCTAAGGTAATTAGTTTAATCGCATCAAGTATCTGAGTCAATCCATATGGAAACGCCCGACCATCTTGGATTTTGCTCAAATTTTATAGAAATATTCGTTAGGGTCCCAAAGGACAAAATCTACCCTTATTTAATTTTTCGCATCTGTCAAATCCGGCCTATTCGAATTAAAACTTTTTAAAAACGTCATTTTTATATTACAGATATTTTAAATTTTAAGAATGAAAATCCAAGATGGTCGAGCAACGAGTTTCGGCGTTTTCCTATGGATTGACTCATCTACTAAATTAATTTAAATGTTTAGATAAAAAATCACAAAATTGACACTTTAACAGAAATGATAAAATATATCTACACTAAAGTGGATGTTTATAAAACACTGAATATTGAAGACCAGTTAACAGCTTGGGGCTTATATGTGGTGCCAAAGTATAGACGAGATGGAGTAGGAGTAGAAATGTTAAAAAGCAGGTAAAAGAATTTTGCAAAAAACTATATATAGTATAGTATACTATATATATATATATATATATATACACAAAAAACTAACTATAGGTACATATTCTAGGGAAGCTTTATGTCGTGCAGTTGGTATCCCAGCCACTTTGACCCTGTTCACTTCACTAACCTCACAGGCTGTGGCCAAAAAGTCCGGCTTCACAGAATTGGTAGACGTAACTCATGACGAATTGGAAAAAGTGAACCCTGATTTCGTACCACCCGGTATACGAGAAGCCGCCAAATCTATGAAGTACATGTATATTGTTTACAACTAATTTTGTGACAAAATAAAACCCAACTGTATCTCTTAATAGTTATTTATGTATTAAGGGCATAATAAGGTTTTTATGGTCCGAGGCGCTATTTCGAGCCCGAGCGCGTGAGCGCGAGGGCTAGAAAAGCGTCGTAGGACCATAAAAACCAGTTATGCCAGCAATGCATACAAAACTTTATGCACGATTAATATATTATTATTTTTAATATATTATTGTTTTTAAAGACGTTTACGTCAAAGAATTTTTGTTATAATTGTCATATTATAATGTCAACTGACATCAGTCAGTTTTAAAGTTTAAAGATGAATGAAATTGAGAAAGCAGTTGAAAAGGCGAAAAATTGCGGCCTGCTGCCGAAAAAATCAAAATCTTTATACGAAAAAACTTACTTCGAATATATCAAATGGTGTAACATTGTTGTTTTTAATTTTTGACGTTTCATTATAGCCCGCTGGGTCATAATAACGCCCGCGGGCTATAAAAAGACGTTTACGTCAAAGAATTTTTGTTATAATTGTCATATTATAATGTCATCGTGCATAAAATATGTTTATTTACCAAAATAAATACAAAAATATTACAAACTAACTAAACTAAAATATATAGGGTGTTAATTAACTTAAGTTGAAAATAATTTTAATAGGATAATAAGTTTATTAGCAAAACTCAAATAACAACATTATTTAATAATACCTAACACAGTCTTAACAAAAAATTATCAATGTTTGCTACTTTTCAAAAACATAAATATTTTCTAAATATCTAAATCATCAGCCTTATTCCTTCTTTTCTTCCTTGTTCTGGATCTTCTTGACGGGTTCCCCAGTTTGCAGCACGGGGATCTCCCTGTACTCCAATTGTTTGTCATCGACTTTCGGAGCGGAAATGCTCAAAACTCCATCGGAGGAAAGCTTGGAGTTGACTTGGGAGATGTCGTAGCCCTTCGGGAGGACATACTTCCTCACGAACTGCCTCGATATGTAGCCGTGCTCGTCCTCCTTCTCCTCGTGTTTTCCCTCCACGCTGACCACATTATCGCCGACCACTTTCACGGTGATCTCTTCCGGTTTGAATTGCTGCACGTCCAGGGAAACATTGAATTTGCTCTCGTCGTATTTGATGGTGGATCCGGTGTCGTGGTGGCTCGCCAGACTTTGCCACGGTCTCATGTACCCAGCAGGACCTCTCAAATGATTTCTAGCGATGGCCAGCGGTTCCAGGAAATCCTCGGGGTCCAAAGAAAGGCCGAAATGCTGGTCTAGCAGCCTGGATGGGCGAATTAGGTACATCGAGTTGTCCATGAGCGGATAAAGAGCCATTTTATTCACTTTGTTTTGTAGAAATATCTAGAGAATCGCGTGGTATTTCGCTCGTTTGCTAAGCGTAGTGTTTTTAGCGCGCTGTCCTGATTTGAACTGTGCGCTTCGAGCGTCGCGGCCGGTTTATATTACGAACTCGGGTTTCTAGATGGCTCTCGCTACAGAAGGTTCTAGAATGAGCGCGAATCGACTGTTTTGAACGCTTTGTTTTTGTTTATTTCGTACAAAATATTTAAGAAATTTGATAAATATCAACGTTTTAGTTTATTTTATATATTTTAAAACGTTCAGTACAAGTTTAATACCATATTTCATAGCATTTTTAATAAATCGTCTACATATTTATAAAAAAATATTACCTTGGTTTTTTAAATAAAACACTCAAATATTTTTAAATGAAAACCAAAAAGTGTACTCTTCCTTTAAAGCAATGTATATGCTTTTTTAATGTTTTTTTAATTTTTGACAAAAAATACCTTTTATTCCTTTCTTTTTTATTTTATTTTATTTTTATTTTTTTATAAGCAGATTTTAAAGAGGTGTCTTATTTATATTAAAGCACCCTGTACTTTGTAGATTTTTTTGGATTTACTTAAAATATTATCCAATAAAATTATAGGTGTGAAAATTTCCATAAATCTGGAAAATTTTCAAAAGTGTTCTGGAAAATTCAATGGAAATTTTCATTTTTTAATAATTGTTTTTTAATATTATTGAATTTCATCCTTTATTATTATCCAACCTAATATTTTAACATATTAAAAATTTCACTAATCGACCTTGTAGCCTAGACATAAAGTGATTTATATAAAAAATATTTTATAATTTTCAGTAAATTTTTGTTGATAAAATTGTAATATATTTATTATTTTTATTATTAGGTTTTCAGGTTGTGCAATACGCATTTTACAACTGGCAACATTGTAATTAATTAATTATTTTACATTATGTTTTAGGGGCCAAAATTACAGCTAATATGAAAGTTATTTAAATTGTTTAAAACCTCAACCTAAAGTTTAAATAAAACTCTTTAGGACCCTTTATTTTTTATATATTTTTTATTAAATATACATGATTTCATTAAAAATTAAAATTTCCAAAATATTCAAAATTTCAGGAAATTTTCTCGTGATCGAATTCTCATGCAATAAATGAAATATTATATATAGTATTTTAAGTTTTAATCATATACAACAATTTTTATATTTTTCATGCAAAAAAACTACAAAAAAATCGACGTCAAAATATGTGTTCCATCATTTTGCAGAATAAATATTATTTAAATCGTAAAAAACGTTTTCCAACACTTATTAATATTTAAACAATCTATAATGTTTACCATAATTATATTTTCAAACCATTTTCTACTTATTTTATAAACATTTAACGTGTTGCACCCGAACAATCGAGAACATTCCACCCTTAGACTTATCGAGAAGGCCGCGCGCGTATATAAACAGCTGAGCGCGCGAACTCGGCATCAGTTCAGGGGTGTGATTTTTAGTACAATTGTACTTTTCTAGTACAAAAAAATAGCTTCTAGTACGTCAGCACCTCTTTGGCAATTCTAGTACAATTTAAAAAATTGCCTTCAATTAAAAAAAAATAAAACGAAAATGACAATTTCCAGCAACAGATTTTTTTTTACTGTTGGTAACGTAGTGAATGTGGCGCAATGTTTCAAACGTCAAGTCTAAAGGTCATTACCCCAATTACAGACTGTCACAGGTTCTGTACACAAAACTAGAAGGTCTAGTTTTTTTTACAATGGTACCAACATAATCAAATGTGTCAAATTCTGAATCAAAAATTCTTTAGCCTGATTTATAGATTGCCTTTCTTCCTTCCTCCCTTAAGATGAACAATACGAAAATCGTAGTGCCATTTATACATTCCCGTACGGAAATCTATAAACCACAACGGTTTTTTATTGTTCATCTTTTACAGGAGGAAGGAAGGAAGGCAATCTATAAATCAGGCTTTACTGTGAGAGGCTGTCCACGTCATCGTTTGTTTCACTTATGTTTGATTAGAATAAGTAATAATTATTGTTAGTGTTAATTATATCTTTGATTGATCAACGGTTATGTTGTGATGTTAATTTTTTGTTTGTTTTTTTAATTGAAAATTTCAATAAATTTAATTTTATGTTTAGTAGTTAAGTACTTTATTACAATTTTACGTATGCAACGGGAAGGGGAAATATGATGTTGCTTAAATTTCGAAATTTTTTAAATTTTCGCGGTAAGTTAGTACAATTTGATGTTATTTAGTACAATTTCACGCTAGATGGCTGCACAATTTGCAAATTGTCAGAAACACCCCTGCATCAGTTCAAATCCGAGCGTCACAGCGAAAGCATCCAAGCAAACCAACAAAGCGACAAACAAATCGTTTCAAATGGCTCTACATCCTTTCATGGACAACTCGATGTACCTAATACGCCCATCCAGGCTGCTAGATCAGCATTTCGGCCTTTCTTTGGACCCTGAGGATTTCCTGGAACCGCTGGCCATCGCTAGAAATCATTTGAGAGGTCCTGCCGGGTACATGAGACCGTGGCAAAGTCTGGCGAGCCACCACGACACCGGATCCACCATCAAATACGACGAGAACAAATTCAATGTTTCCCTGGACGTGCAGCAATTCAAACCGGAAGAGATCACCGTGAAAGTGGTCGGCGATAATGTGGTCAGCGTGGAGGGAAAACACGAGGAGAAGGAGGACGAGCACGGCTACATATCGAGGCAGTTCGTGAGGAAGTATGTCCTCCCGAAGGGCTACGACATCTCCCAAGTCAACTCCAAGCTCTCCTCCGATGGAGTTTTGAGCATTTCCGCGCCGAAAGTCGACGACAAACAATGGGGTAGTTAAATTTTTTCTGACCTATACTTTTTATGGTTTTATTCAAGGCGTTTTGTAATATTAAACATTTCTGTGAAATCAGAATTTCAATTGAGTTTACCGTTTTCGAGATATTTACAAAAAATATAAATTTTTATGACGTCACAAACCCCGTCATGTGACCAACATTCTAAGATTTCTATTGGTTGAAAATTACCCTGTTGTCAAGTTGTCTTGTTAATGATTTCATTCGGTTATGTCAGAAAATACCCGAAGAGGTTATGTACAAATACTGTCACTGTCAGTTGAGTGAAAGAAGAAGAAGAGGAGGTTAAAGAAAATTCTGAAATTAAAAGTTTTATTGATAGGTTTGCACATTGAAACACCGTGTGAAACCTAATAAAATGTAATAAATAGGTACCTAATAACTGTCTAAAGCAGAGTTTAATATATTTCATAGAAAAAAGTGGCAAAATAAAGCTGAAAATGAATGAAATAAATTTACAAAAAATAACAGTAAATGTAAGTTAACAATGGTATTTATGATATTTGTGTATAGTTTTTATAAAACTTGCATCCCTGATGATGAGCATCAAAACCTTTTGTAAGATTAAAAAAATGTATGACAAACTTTTGGAGTGTTTGAAGATACTATGCTCTAGAGTTCATTTTTGTACTTTTCGACAATTCTACAACGTACATGGTAGGTAAAGATAGTGCAGGGTCTACATATAGACATTTTGATTAAAATTATTCAAACAGATGGTCATCAAATTCATTAAGTACCTATCTTCCTTATTACGAGGTATCATATACAATTCTACAACGTACATGGTAGGTAAAGATAGTGCAGGGTCTACATATAGACATTTTGATTAAAATTATTCAAACAGATGGTAATCAAATTCATTAAGTACCTATCTTCCTTATTACGAGGTATCATATTACTGTTTGATATTTTAGAGTCCAAGATATATCTAAAAGAATATAAAGAACTAGGCATTATACTAATGAAATGCATTTACGACAAAATATGATTATAATTATAGGTACAGTACCTAAGGTACTTACTTTATTTGTTTAAAAGCTCCAATGTTCAATGTAACCAACCATTCCACAAGATTCATCTGCTTTGGAGTCCGTTATTAATAAATCACTTATCTAATATCAATTACAAATAACATAGCAATAACATTGATTTTCAATAATCTAAATTTAAAAAAAAACATAACCCGAAAAAAAGAAACGTCAAAAAATCAATTCTTCTTCTTCTTCTTAACTAAAATTTTAGATCAAGTAGTTTTAAAACTAAAATATTATAACGTGGCGCCATCTATCGTAAGAATCTTAAACTAAACACCATAGAAAAAGCTGGCAACGTTGTCAATAGCCTAGTGACGTAATTAGTAGACTTTTTTTTGTAAATATCTCGAAAACGGTAAACTTAATTGAAATTCCGATTTCACAAAGATGTTTAAAATTACAAAACGCCTTGAATAAAACCATAAAAAGTATAGGTCAGAAAAAATTTAACTACCCCATTGGAGCACAGGGAGATCCCCGTGCTGCAAACGGGGGAACCCGTCAAGAAGATCCAGAACAAGGAAGAAAAGAAGGAATAAGGCTGATGATTTAGATATTTAGAAAATATTTATGTTTTTATAAAGTAGCAAACATTGCTATTTTTTTGTTAAGACTGTGTTTAGTATTATTAAATAATTTTGTTATTTGAGTTTTGGTAATAAACGTATTATCCTAATAAAATTATTTTTTACTTAACACCCTATATATTTTAAACTTTAAACTCAGCAAATGTATTTATATCTCTAAAAAGAGAACGATATTTTATATTTTTGAAAGACGTAAACACCATGTATAAGAAACTTTTTTTAATACATGTTTTTTTGTATGAATTGATTAAATATTACTTACAATAATCAATTGAATTGAATGTTACCTTTATGTTGTGTGTGTGTATGGAAAAACCGATATGTAAGTGCACGAATCAAATAAAACAAACATTAATTCAATAAAAATTATTTTAGTACAATGAAAAAATTCATGCAAAAATCTAATACCGCTCTAAATGCCACGCCTAAGTTTAGAAAGTTAAGAAAACAGAGCTATGAGTTCAACTCCCCCACATCTTTATTTTTGTTTAGCCCTGAGAATAAATACAAAAAGTTTGTTTGTGGTTTAAATAAAAGAAGTGGAAGAGTGCAGGGTGTACAAAAAGAGCAACAAAGAAGATGCAAAAGCTTGGAAATGATGTTGTATGATGTCGTGCTGGTCGGCTATAAGGAAGAACAGGAAGAAAATCCGCGTTTTGAAGTTAACGATGATGTTTTTGAAGAATATACTCCACCGGCACCAAATAGTATTACAGAGTGTTATATAGATAAAATACCAGATGAAGTGATAATAAACATCTTCCAAAACCTCACAGTGGCTGACTTAGGACGTTGTGCTAAAGTCTCAAAACAGTTTCGTAGAGTGGTTTGGACGAAGATTTTTTTCAAATACAACTTGATTTTCGATGAGGAGAATCTCGATGTAGATTTAGCAGTCAAACAGATCTCGGAACATTTTAAATGCACACACTACAACCCCTGGCAAGAAATCACCAAATTTTCCGTGAAAGACGGGGCCAGAGTTTCCAACATGACGTTGGAGGTTCTGGCAGGGAAATGCCCCTCATTGAATTGCCTAATCATAAGAGATTGCCCCTTTATCTCCAATCAAGGACTATTCAAAATAATTGCAGGTATGTGACGATGACATGAGAATTTCTAAAAACTGATACTTCTTCTTTTCTTAGGATCAAAAAATCTAGTCCACCTTGACGTTTCGGGATGTAAACTGATCACAGCGGCTTGGGATAAGTATTTCACAAGACATCCACTCTTGAAAGTTTTGGATTTGAATCATTGCACTGATCTGGAAGATAGCGGAGTAAAATGTATCGCCATGAGATTTAAGAATTTGAATAGACTCTCATTGAGGGGGTGCAACAAAATAACAGGTAAATCATACGTTCTTACTGTTTTATCAGTTTTTAGTTTTCAAGGCGCTTTTTTGACAAAAAAGTGAAAATTTTACTTACGTACTTTTATTATGTGTGAATACAGTCAACAATTTGAGTCACACAATACGACACAACATGTTAAGTCAACCTATAGGCACTGTAGTGCCATTTAGACACTGGCGCACAAAAAACTCGACTTGGGTACCATAATATTACATTGTCATCGGGTTTATATGTATATAAATAAACTTTATATGTGTTTACGAAATTTCGGCATGATGGGATATTTAGAAGTGAGTTTAAATTGGATTACAATATTTGATAGTCAGGCAGCATTAAGGCATTTAATCGTTTAATAAATAAAACAGAGACTTCAAATGGTAATTTTATTATTTCCAGACGCAAGTGTGGACTACATATCAAATTTTTGCCGGAAACTGCAACAACTAAGCCTGTCAGATTGCTTGAAAATAACTGATGAAGCAATGTGGACGCTTACCAGGCTAAAAAGCACGCTGGTCTACTTATCGATAGAAAACCTGGTTCAGATCACCGATTACGGGATAAGATGCATCGGGAAAGACCTCAAATTATTGCATTTCAATATGGGTGGCTGTGTGGGGGTCTCGGACTACGGGGTTATATGTTTGGCGAATGGTTGTAGAACCTTGAAAACGCTAAGTTTGTCCAATACGAACCTCGACGATCCAGGACTTTGCATCATAGGTGACAGTTTGGTTAGCCTCAGGTGTTTGAGTGTGGATAATTGTTGGAAAATCACTGATAAAGGGGTTAATTATATGGTTTTTCACAGGAGGAATTTGGTTAAGTTTTCCATCAAGGGATGTAAACTATCAGCGAGTTGTTTTAAGTTTATTAAAAAGTATTGTGCGAATTGTTATGTTGAACATAATAGTGTTGAGTTTGATATTATAAGTGATTTAATGTTTTGATGTTTTTATATTGTTTTTATATTTTTAACTGATTTTAGTCAATATACGTTTTTTATTGGTTTGCTGAATCATTTTTCCAAATGGACCTGATACCATTATCACAGGTGTACAACATTTTCAAACAGAAACCAGACCATATTTTTCAAAGGTTTCCGAATTCGATTTTAAAATTGCTCCATCACACCAGGTTTGATAAACCTGTGTATTTTTTACTAGAATTTACTCGAATTTACTGATATTTTTACTGGATTTAAATAAACTAAACATACATTAGGAACCTGATAAAATTATCTTTATTAAGTAAAAACCATCACAAACTACTAATATTTTTATTGTATGACCTTGAACTTGACAAAAAAGCACTTAAAATTATTTGTAAACAATATACATGTACTTCATAGATTTGGCGGCTTCCCGTATACCGGGTGGTACGAAATCAGGGTTCACTTTTTCCAATTCGTCATGAGTCACGTCTACCAATTCTGTGAAGCCGGACTTTTTAGCCACAGCCTGTGAGGTTAGTGAAGTGAACAGGGTCAAGGATGCAGGAATACCAACTGCACGACATAGATCCTCCCTATAGAAAAATTAGTTAGTTTTTAATGTTTTTGGATCTTAAAATTTCATATAGCAAAATAATCAATCCACACAAATTTTCGATGAATTTCAATCGCAAATAACTTTTTTATTTGATTTCGGATTTAAACAAATATTAAAGAATATTGTAGAGACATTAATGGAGAATCGCTAACATTTTAAAAATTACTAAAAAATACTCGTACGTTTATAATATATAGGTTTAAACAAAAAGATGTTTTTACCATAAGTTAAAGACACTCTGTAGAGTGGCAAAACCGTATATTGTTCTAAATTAAGTTTTAATTATCAAGTCACATCTATTTTTAACACCCAAGCAACACAGAATGGTATATTAAACGTTTAAAACGATCTACTACCATCCGTCACTTCGTCGTATGTGAAACGTATTATAAACTGCAGAATGTCCGCGACTTCAACGTATATATACAGATTTCTATATTCATTTCATTAACGTATTTACATATATGATTTTTTTTATGAAATGGTAAACGTATATTAGCAGTTTACATTTACAGGTTTTACACGTATTCCAAATACGTTTATTAAATGTTATGTATTATATAAATTTATACGTATACCAAATACGTGTATTAAATGTTATTTTTCCTTATTCATTTATACGTATAATGAAAGGGTTATTTTTCTTTTTCGTAACCTTTTAGACAAAAAAAAAGAAGGTAAATTCTCACTTAATTTTATTCGAAAAATACATTTTCGTCTTAAAATTAAGTGAGAATTCACCTTCTTCTTTTTGTCAGAGAGGTTAGGAAACACCCTGTATAAACTATAAAATGTATTAGTCCTTAAGTGACCTAAAATAATTAAAAAGTTTGTTCTTACTGCACGGTACTGAAATAATAACTCGTATACAAAAAACAAAACATATATTCTTTAAATAAACAAATTTGTTGCACAAATGTGACAAGGAAACAAAGTTATAACTTATAATAAAAATAACGTATCTACGGGTTTTACATTTTTTCTCTGTTATGCGGATGCCGGTGTTTGCTTAATTTCAGCCAGTCTTTTATCGCTTGGGATATTACAGAATCGTTCAAATCAAGAGGTTCTCTTCCTGAATATGAAAATTTTACAGCTTCTAAAAAATGGAAAAAGAATATAAATAATTAGTAGGTAGTACTTGCCATTAATAACTCCAGCTATTGTTGTTATACTAAATGGACATAATTATGAATAATTAATGTTAATTATGATAAATTAATTAAGAAATACCTACCACCTAGAAAGATAGGTACCTATACGAATTAACAAAAAAACAGAAGAAAATTTTAGAAATAACTCCAGAATATTAAAAATAAAAAATTGAAAAAGGAAAAAATTAAAAAATATAAAAATATTTTTATTGCGACAATTTTTTTAATTACATATTTTAATATGTATAAAGAATACTTTCTTTTGTATACAAAAGAAAGTATACTTTATACATATTACATAGTATATATACTTTTTTTTGTTAAAAATTTAAAATTAATAAGACAATTAATTATTTAAAAGTTTATTACAAAGACGTTTAAAAAAATATTTTTCTAAATTTACCTTACGAACAAATATTAGTTTACATTGTAAACTAATATTGGTTTTAATTTAATTTTGAAATGCGGTAAATATTTAAAACATAAAAAGATTCTAAATTTTAGAACAATAAAAATTATATGGTAAAAAAATAATAATTATAATTATAATTATCATTGTTTATTTACTACTTATATCATATTTTTATTGTTTTAAAATTTAAATATTATAATTATTTTTAATATTCTAAAACTTAATATTTAAAAAAATAACATAATTAATTAAAAAAAAAAAAGAAAAAAAAGTTTTTATATTTTCCGGCACCCAAATTTTTCGGAAATTTTGAATCTCTAGTATAGAAAACTAAAATTTCCTGCATACGGTCACCCTTTTTAACAGGCAGTATGTAAACGGTATACAGTATACAGTATATATACGTATACGAAACCTTTACTTGACACTAAAAAATCGTTTAATTTATTTGACTTGCCAAATTTTAACATATAAAGATAAAAGTACCTACATGAATGCATTCATGTAAAGTTAAACAAAAGCTCCTAAAAGATAAATTAAAAACTTACCCTCAACTCCTTTTCCAAAAGATAAAAAGAACTAACCCTTAAATTTGTTATCCACGTCTAGTAAGATACTTGCCTTCTTTTTTCTTCTGTAATCGAATAAAACCATGTGTAAAAACAACAATTGAATACAGCAAATCTTTTTTAAAGTATTTAGGCACACTTACCTAGGTAATTATAATTACTTTGCAATGCCTGGAGCCCGGCGTTTTCACTTCACAACAGGCTTTTCTTACAAAATGACGCCACGGGCGGAACCTGTAGCTGTTTGGGTTAAGACGCGACATCATTGGGTAAATTTAATCATGTGACTAAATTTTGCAGTGTTCAATATAGGTTTTGTACACGTATACTGTATACGGTATACAGTATACCGTTTATATACCAGATTGTGTAGTGTGGAAAATAGGTATACTTTATACCATTTAAGTACAAAATTTAAACACGTGTTATATACGTTTTTAAAATTTAGTTTTTTTTAATAATTTCTTAATTACAGCTCAAATTTATCCGATATTCACAAAACAAGTTTTGTAAGGGCCTATCATACTTTTCGAGTCAGAACCATTAAAAAATTAGGCTTTTATTTGACTTCGTGTCAAAAATGGAATATTATATACATATAATATATGTTTCTTATATACGTTAAAAAAAGTAATATATTTTTTGCTATAGTATACGTATATGTTACGATAAATTCATCATTTAACTGAAGTTAAAGTCCTATAATATCCGTATATTATACGTTTCATATAAAAAAGTAATATGAAAAACGTATATTATTTATACCTTTGAAATGTTATACGGTTTTTATACGAACAATACGTTTAATAAACGTATATACTACAGAGCCGTGTTGCTTGGGCAGTTTTATTTTTGGTTCACCTTGATATATTTATTTTTGTGGAAAATATGGATTTAAAAAAAACATTGCAATTTCCAATATTTTACCTGTATGAAGAACTAAGGTTGCTATGGTCCATCCATAGCCTATGGAGGATGACAGTGACAGTTTTGTTGAATCATCCCATACTTGGACATATCATATACAGCTTTCAAAAGCTATCCAATTGTTTTTTGTAAATTAATTTGTTAATTTTGAGGTGTCTTCTTACTTTTAAAAATGTCTCCGACTGATGTTGCCCTTTGTACTTTACTTCTTGTGACGTTTAAAATACTTGCCACGTAATACTGTGACCGTCCATCCTGGATTAAATTAATGGCTCTGGCAACATCAGTCGGAGACATATCCATTTTATAAATTAAGAAGACACCTCAAAATTTAAACATTAATTTGCAAAAAACAATTTGATAGCTTTTGAAAGCGGTGTATGACATGTCCAAGAATGGGATGATTCAACAAAACTGTCACTGTCATTCTCCATAGCCTATGGATGGACCATAGCAACCTTAGTTCTTCATACAGAAAAATATTGGAAATTGCAATGGTTTTAAAAAAAATCCATATTTTCCACAAAAATAAATATATCGAAGTGAACTAAAAACAAAACTGTTAAGAATAGATGTGACTTGTTAAATAAAACTTAATTTAGAACAATATACGGTTTTGCCACTCTACAGAGTGTTTAAACTTATGGTAAAAAAACATCTTTTTGTTTAAAGCTGTATATTATAAAGGTACGTCTATTTTTTAGTAATTTTTTAAAATGTTAGCGATTGTCCATTAATTTATCTACAATTTTCTTTAATATTCGTTTAAATCCGACATCAAATAAAAAAGTTATTTGCGATTGAAATTCGTCGAAAATTTGTGTGGATCGATTATTTTGCCTGTGAGTGTATTATTCTATTAAAAAAAATGTAGAAATATTTTACCTGCTTTTTAAAAGTTGGACTCCTAAACCTTCTCCCCTATATTTTGGCACCACAAATAATCCCAAAGCTGTCAATTGGTGGTCAATATTTAGGGTCTCATATGCCTCAACTATTCCATAGATGTATTTTATTAACTCCAGTAATATCTTCATTTTCTTTGTTTTAACCTAAAGGTAATTAAATTTGTTAATATATTTCATTTAAGATGGTTTTAACAAGATTCAAGGAGCATTTTTGTTAAAATTGTGGGCTTCATAAGAAACACCCTTATTATAAAAATGGTATATCGTACCCAAGATGAATCTTCGGATTCCCCTTTATAAGATCTGTAGGTCATGTTAACACCAGCAATTTCATTTTGTCCAGAGTCATTTTTGGTCAGACAAATTAAACCTAATTTTTGTTCTGATACCTTTTCCCATAGTTTTCTAATTTCTTCGACTACCAATGGGTCTTCAATGAATTCTAAAGAGTAAAAGAATATTTTCAACTTTCTATTGATTTTGATGCGCTGATTAGGGAAATTTTAAACCAAATGGATCAACTATACAGTCAATCAAAAACAACTCCACAATTTCCTACTTACTGTTATATTTGCAGATAGCTTCTTCTGGCAAAAACCCTGTGCACATATAATTGATGGCGGGCTCTAGAAGGTCGTCCGATATATCCTGAATCCAGTACTGCCTCTTTTTTCCGTTCACCTCCTTTTTCCCCTCAAATTTCCTCCATATAGAAGGAAAAGGGACACTGGCGGGCCTCTTCCAATCGCTCATGTTGCACGTGTGTTACTTAAATGACGAACGCTTAAATGATGTCTGATTATTTTTATGTTCGGTTTATTATCTATAATTTTGGACAACCTTGGAGTGCGCATCATACATTTGACCGAAACTTCTCTATTATTTAATTTAATACTACAAAATTTCATCCTAATTTATGAACAATTTTCTGTTATTATAAATTATGTTTGTATTAGTTAACCATATAGTTATTGGACACTAGAATTTATATATGCCGTTGTTATTGTTATTTCGTTTTTTGTAAATATTGTAACGTTTTTTAACTGTTCGTAGTGTGAATAAAAACACGCACTGGTTAATTAACGAACTAAACTATTTATTTAATAACTTAACTACACTTAAAACACTATAAAACTATAAAACTGAACACTTAACTACTAATTATTTATATATCACTACTAGTTTATTTATTTGCACTTATATTTATTTATTTCTTCGCGCGTATCAAATCTCAACTAACTGCCCTGTGCTGCTCCGTTTCTTATATATTTAGCGCCCAAGTCTTCTGGAACATTCCACTCTCGATTATTCGAGCGCTGAGTCACCGGGGATGACTCACCGGCGATGACTAACCGGCGATTAGTCATCACTCCGATATCCAGAGCGGTACTCGCTACAATATCATATAATTCATATATTCCTTTCTCGGATTCCTCATCCCTTTTCTGGATTCTGAAGGTAACTATAGTATACTAATTCCTTGATCTGACTTCTGAAATAATTTGTTGCAAATATCTCTAGTTTGTGAAGCATTTCAATAGCTGGCCATACACAGACGTTATTGCGCGCGGTTTATCGTGTTATCTGCAAAAACATATGGAAAATCATGTACGTGAGTGAGTATCGCCGCGCGAAATGATAGAACGGGAAGGGATTTCAGACGAGCTTTTCTCTGGAGTGTGGCGTGTCCACACGCCACATTCCGCGTCACGGTTTACCTTTGCTTGGCAAAATTTCATGTTGAAAATTTGTACATGATCACATGCAGTTTTAAACGACTCGATAAATGACACTTTTTGCCCACTCACATACGATTTTTCCTTTGAAACTGATATACCACGGGCAATCACTTGCTAAATCATTTGAATACTTTATCAAGTGTATGGAACATGACGATTTTTTTGCCATGCCGTTCTTTCGTGCATACTAACCGCTACATCCCAACACGCCACGATAAACCGCGTGAAATAACGCCTGTGTATGGCCAGCTAATGTTTAGGCCGGAACAGGACGATTTATATATATCTAATATTGTTTCGGGTGGTATGTTAAAAGTATTTTCCGAATTTATTAATTTTGTTGCCATTAGTTTTTTATTTTCTCTATCATGCACTGTATTTAAATCAATGTTATTATAATATCCTTCTCTTTTAGGGATATAAATACATTTATTAAGTTTAAAGTTTAAAATATATAGGGTGTTAAGTAAAAAATAATTTTAATAGGATAATACGTTTATTACCAAAACTCAAATAACAAAATTATTTAATAATACTAAACACAGTCTTAACAAAAAATAGCAATGTTTGCTACTTTATAAAAACATAAATATTTTCTAAATATCTAAATCATCAGCCTTATTCCTTCTTTTCATCCTTGTTCTGGATCTTCTTGACGGGTTCCCCAGTTTGCAGCACGGGGATCTCCCTGTGCTCCAATTGTTTGTCGTCGACTTTCGGCGCGGAAATGCTCAAAACTCCATCGGAGGAGAGCTTGGAGGTGACTTGGGAGATGTCGTAGCCCTTCGGGAGGACATACTTCCTCACGAACTGCCTCGATATGTAGCCGTGCTCGTCCTCCTTCTCCTCGTGTTTTCCCTCCACGCTGACCACATTATCGCCGACCACTTTCACGGTGATCTCTTCCGGTTTGAATTGCTGCACGTCCAGGGAAACATTGAATTTGTTCTCGTCGTATTTGATGGCGGATCCGGTGTCGTGGTGGCTCGCCAGACTTTGCCACGGTCTCATGTACCCAGCAGGACCTCTCAAATGGTTTCTAGCGATGGCCAGCGGTTCCAGGAAATCCTCGGGGTCCAAGGAAAGGCCGAAATGCTGATCTAGCAGCCTGGATGGGCGTAGGAAGTAGATCGAGTTGTCCATGAAAGGATGTAGAGCCATTTCAAACGATTTGTTTGTCGCTTTGTTGATTTGCTTGGATGCTTTCGCTGTGACGCTCGGATTTGAACTGATGCCGAGTTCGCGCGCTCAGCTGTTTATATACGCGCGCGGCCTTCTCGATAAGTCTAAGGGTGGAATGTTCTCGATTCTTCGGGTGCAATACGTTAAATGTTTATAAAATAAATAAAAAATGGTTTAAAAATATAATTATGATAAACATTATAGATTGTTTAAATAATAATAAGTGTTGGAAAATGTTTTTTACGATTTAAATAATATTTATTCTGCAAAATGATGGAACACATATTTTGACGTCGATTTTTTTGTAGTTTTTTGCATTAAAAATATATAAATTGTTAAATCATTAAAACTTAAAATACTATATATATTTCATTTTTTGCATGAGAATTCGATCACGAGAAAATTTCCTGGAATTTTGAATATTTTGGGAATTTTAATTTTTAATGGAACTTTGTAAATTTAATAAAAAGAATATAAAAAATAAAGGGGCCTGAAGAGTTTATTTAAACTTTAAGTTGAGGTTTACAACAATTTAAATAACTTTTGTATTCGCTGTAATTTTGACCCCTAAAACAAAATTAATTAATTACAATGTTGCCAGTTGTAAAATGCGTATTGCACAACCTGAAAACCTAATAATAAAAATAATAAATATATTACAATTTTATCAACAAAAATTTACTGAAAATTATAAAATATTTTTTATATAAATCACTTTATTTCTAGGCTACAAGGTCGATTTGTAAAATTTTTAATATGTTAAAATATTGGGATGGATAATAATAAAGGATGACATTCAATAATATTAAAAAACAATTATTAAAAAATGAAAATTTCCATTGAATTTTCCAGAACACTTTTGAAAAATATCCAGATTTTTGGAAATTTTCACACCTATAATTTTATTGGATGATATTTTAAGTAACTCCAAAAAAATCTACAAAGTACGGGGTGTTTCAATATAAATAAGACACCTCTTTAAAATCTGCGTATAAAAAAATAAAAATGAAATAAAAAAGAAAGGAATAAAAGGTATTTTTGTCAAAAATTAAAAAAACATTAATAAAGCATATACATTGCTTTAAAGGGAGAGTACACTTTTTGGTTTTCAATTAAAAATATTTGAGTGTTTTATTTAAAAAACAATGGTAATATTTTTTAAAAATATGTAGACGATTTATTAAAAATGCTATGAAATAGGGTATTAAACTTGTACTGAACGTTTTAAAATATATAAAATAAACTAAAGCGTTAATATTTATCCAATTCTTAAATATTTTGTACGAAATAAACAAAAACAAAGCGTTCAAAACAGTCGATTCGCGCTCATTCTAGAACCTTCTGTAGCGAGAGCCATCTAGAAACCCGAGTTCGTAATATAAACCCGCCGCGACGTTCGAAGCGCACAGTTCAAATCAGGACAGCGCGCTAAAAACACTACGCTTAGTAAACGAGCGAAATACCACGCGATTCTCTAGATATTTCTACAAAACAAAGTGAATAAAATGGCTCTTTATCCGCTCATGGACAACTCGATGTACCTAATTCGCCCATCCAGGCTGCTAGATCAGCATTTCGGCCTTTCTTTGGACCCCGAGGATTTCCTGGAACCGCTGGCCATCGCCAGAAATCATTTGAGAGGTCCTGCTGGGTACATGAGACCGTGGCAAAGTCTGGCGAGCCACCACGACACCGGATCCACCATCAAATACGACGAGAACAAATTCAATGTTTCCCTGGACGTGCAGCAATTCAAACCGGAAGAGATCACCGTGAAAGTGGTCGGCGATAATGTGGTCAGCGTGGAGGGAAAACACGAGGAGAAGGAGGACGAGCACGGCTACATATCGAGGCAGTTCGTGAGGAAGTATGTCCTCCCGAAGGGCTACGACATCTCCCAAGTCAACTCCAAGCTTTCCTCCGATGGGGTTTTGAGCATTTCCGCGCCGAAAGTCGACGACAAACAATTGGAGCACAGGGAGATCCCCGTGCTGCAAACTGGGGAACCCGTCAAGAAGATCCAGAACAAGGAAGAAAAGAAGGAATAAGGCTGATGATTTAGATATTTAGAAAATATTTATGTTTTTAAAAAGTACCAAACATTGATAATTTTTTGTTAAGACTGTGTTTAGTATTATTAAATAATTTTGTTATTTGAGTTTTGGTAATAAACTTATTATCCTATTAAAATTATTTTTAACTTAACACCCTATATATTTTAGTTTAGTTAGTTTGTAATATTTTTGTATTTATTTTGGTAAATAAACATATTTTTTCTACTCCCACCTTTAAAACGCTCTTTATCGTACATGTTTCCATGACACTAAGTGACCTTTTAAAAACACATTCACAAGTTGTGGCTTTATAACTCTTTAGTCACGGGCTGAAGTTAGCAACAGGTTTTTAGTCACGGACTGAAGTTAGTTTTTTTAAGTTAGTTGACAGTTGTCAAATGTCATAAAATCGTTAAAAGAAATTGCGTTTCTTGTAAAAATAATACTAAATGTGAAAATTATTTTATTATCTCAATACAAAAATACAAAAGCATTAAATAGTTTCTCAACGCCAATATTTGAAAAGTTTATATGAACATTGTACTGACCTTTTAATTTCGCCGGCAGTAAACCATAACTTAAATTCGGGCACGGACTCCACTGTAAAGTGCTCATAAAACATTTTCTTTACTTTCACCGTGAAAAACTGCCAATTTTCAAGAAATACATTTCGATTTATAACCTTTATAATTGTGTTTATTAAATACAAAAATTTGACATTTGACGGTGACACACAGATTCCCCTATTGTTTCATAGATGGCGCTCTATAAAAAATTTTGATTTAAATCATTTTAAGATAATAATAAGTACCTATTTGTCGTAGAAAAAGTATAGTATGCACCTCGTTTATAAACTTTTCTATACACTCATTAATTTAAACACTCGCTCGCAAGCTCGTTTGTGCCTAAATTAAATTCGTGTATAAAATGGCGTTTATCAAACTCGATACATAATATACTATTAAGGGTATTTCGTAAAAAAACACATTATTTAGTTAATTTATTTTTATTACACATTTAGACATTAATATACATAGAAAATATATTTTCCAATAATTTTGAGCATATCTATAAATATTAAAAATTACATTTATAATAAATAACATTAACATTAATTTAACAACATAATGTTCCCAAATTTACATATTTTTTTATTTAAGTAATAATTTTAATGCATTATTGTTAAGTTAGTTTGGGAACACCCTGTATATTTTAAGCATATAATTTTTTCCCTATAATGCAACATTTATTTTATATGTATGTACCTAATTATAATTATAATAAATAATTATATTAACAAATAAATATTCATTTATAAAATATAGTATGTATAATAATATTAATAATAATAATAATTATTAATTTCAGTCGTTTTTGAGAGAGATAATAAAATATTTATAATTTGCAAATATATTTATAATTATTTACAAAATGAAGTTATTTACAAAATTTACAAAAAATAAATAAATAAATAGTGATAAACAATTAATAAAATACATTATATGCATTCACAGTTAAATTTTTGAAAAGTACAAAATTAAAATATGTGAATAAATACAATTTTTGAGATCATAATTATTAGTTTACATTAACATGTGGAGTAAGAAAATTGCCCTTAAGGGATATTTTTACATTTCATATCAAATTTTTTGAATGGTTTTCTGAAAAATAAATAATACACATATACATATATGCTATTCTAAGTAATACACCCTGTATAATAAGATTAAGACTAACAGTATTACTTACTATATTGTCAATTTAAATGAAAAACATTTATTTTAAAACAATTTTAATGGAATGGATAATACTAAAATGTTATAAATGTATATTGTTTGGCACAAACTGGACTTTTTTCTTTGTAGTATTGTAGCACTGTAGCTTTTAAAAACCATTATTTTTTACTGAAAAAAAATAAAAATATTTAATTTTTTACAATTCAATTACAGTGTTGATTTTAATTAGAAAATGTTAATCAAATGTTGATAATAAATCTTCATCATTTTGACTAATATAAGTAATAGCACTATAATTTTACAGCGACATATCAATGGTTTAATTTACGACTTCTCAGTTTGATTATTCCTGTTCGAGTTACAAAATATTATTTATTAACCCAAGTAACAATTGTAAGATCCTTTTGATTTATTTAGGGTTTAAAATAAAACTATATTGGTTTTAAATTAAAATAAAAAAAAATTTGCTCCTAATACTCTATTGATCTTATACTGGTTTTATAATACTCTCGACATTTTTGTTTTTATAGTGGTTTCCATAAATCTTATATCATCCAAATTATAAAACCTACATTTCTTAATTTGGTTACATAAATATCACTCTTATATACCCCTTCATGAGCTTTTTTGGGGGAGTTTATGAAGGTTATCAGTACCTTTTTTAGTAACGCTATAAAAGCCAAGTTTTATAAGTAGAGATAACAAGAATATTATGGAAACCACAAGAATGGCGAAAATATTAATATAATAATAATATAATTTTAATCTAAGGTTTTTTACTTAAAGTGCACAGTAATTTTTAATTCGAAAAAAGCAGGACATCAAAATACCAAAACATAAATATTTTTTATACTATTAAAAAATATATAAAAATATTTTTTTTTAATATACTTTAATAAAATAAATACTTTTGCTTACATTAAAGTAGTGAATTTTTTTACCTTGGTTTGGTCAATTAAGTTGTTTTTGCCCTCTTATACTAGACCTTTCCAGTTAATATTCAGAAAGTAGCAATATATATTCAGAAAGCAGCAATTGATTTTCAGATATTGCAAATGAAATTCAGAAAATAGCAAATGTAATTCAGATATTTCAAATGATATTCAGAAAGTAGCTGATGTAATTCAGATATTGCAAATGATATTCAGACAGTAGCAATTGATATTCAGAAATTACAAATAGTATTCAGACAGTAACAATTGTAATTCAGAATATATCAATTGAAATTCAGAAATTAACAAATGATAACATTTTCATACTTCATTTTACTTATTTTCTAAAATCTCTGTATTTCTTTGTATGTATATTGCTTTGTTTCCATGGAATTGACAATAATAAACAAATTTATCACCATTTAAGTAGGTATATGAGTTCGGTTTTGTACGCCGTGGGCTGCGTATCGCTCGATGAAAAGTGTGAAACATAGCTGACTTTGCGAACCGGGGGGTACAAAATTGGATTCCCGGTGTAGAAATATACCTGTATTTGTTAACAATATCGCAAGCTTTGATCTTTTAGTGAGGTATTTTGTGAATTGTATAAATGATTGAATGGATGTTTCAAGATTGAAATTTCCACATTGTCAAATGGCGGAGGTAGTTTTTTCTGAAGCCGTGATACGTTAAAACAAGCATATGGTCACATGGACTAGATTCCGAGCACCAAGGTTGAAAATACCGAAAATAGAAAGAAAGAAGAAGAAGAAGTAGGTATATTTGTCATAATTGTCAACTTATTGCAAGTAAGGACCGAATTTTGTTCATTTGTACTTTATATAAATTTCATTTACTTAGTTAATAAAGATAACGTGTACTTTCATTCATTATCGATTTACTGTATGCAACCCACTGTTTCTGAAACAATTGCTGCGGCTGAATTACATTTGATTTAATCTGAAAAACATTTGCTATTTTCTGAATTACAATTGCAAGTTTCTGAAAATTAATTGTGCTATCTGAATTACAATTGCTACTTTATTAAAATCAATTGTGTTATCTGAATTACATATGCTACTCTCTTAAAATCAATTGGAATAGCTGAATTACAATTCCTACTATCTGAATATCAACTGGAATAACTGAATTAAAATTCCTACTTTCTGAATATCAACTGGAAAAGGTGTAGTTCAGTTTTATAGGACTATCTAAGTTACTTGAAGTGTTATTATATAATTTTGAGACTCTTATATTATAAAACTTTTGATAGGCAACCATCTAAAAAAAAGCGTTGGTCAAAAGCCAATACTATGCTTAATTTTTGCTTCAATTACTAAAATTTTTTGGTTTATTAAGCACATAAATAATTAATAACTCACAATCTTTATTTAAAAAAATGAAAGACACAATAGTTTAATAAAGCAGGTAACCGCAAACTTTATTAAACTCCTTTATAAACCTACTGGTAACGGTACTAAAGGTTATATAAAATGTTTGTAGAAACAATTATATAACCTAATTATATAACTAGAGTTTACAGTAACCTTATATGACCATTATAAATTTTATAAAAACGTCAGAAAAATTTTCATATATTGATCCATTTGATAAAGATTTTACCGTGCCTATACAAAAATTATTATAAGAATTAGCAATATCCTCTTTATTTTGTAAGGGTCTATTTTCACTGTCAAACATAGTATTTGGGTACCTATTCATTTATTTTATATTTGTATTTGCGACCTTGGAGATTGCTATAAGAGCGTTAGTGTTACTTGGGAACTTTATATGCAGTTAGGGTTGGGACAGTTGAAATTTTCAAATGAAAATTTCAACTTTGAAAGTTTCAAACTTGAAATATTTCATTTAGTTGGAAAAGTGAAATTTTTAAAAATTTCAAATGAAATTTTCAATCCCAAAATTTCAACATTGCCTGTGAAAGTTTCAGAAATTTCATTGAAAGTTTCGCAATTTACTGAAAATTTCGCATAAATTTCACATGCGGCCTCCCCTGGGACCTTAAATAATAATTTACAGATTCCGAATCGACCAATAAGAACGAGTTATCAAGCGTCTGGGCGTTTTTGTTTAGTTCGGTTTGGATTTGAATAGACTATAAGTAATTATTATTACTTATATGCATAAATTAATTTAAATAATTTAATTCAGTTACCAATCTCATTTGTAAATCAAATCAAATTTTTTTAAAAGTCATGATAAATTTAAACTTTTACTTTTGCTATAATTGCATCGGAAAACGGATAAAAAATGCCTTTGGCTCATAAAATTTTAATGAAGTTTCTTCAATTTTCGTAAAATATTTAAAAATAATAATTATTAGCTTACCAAAAAGTGCTATATCTCTTTAAGTAATTTTAAAAATATTTTAAAAGGAAATCTCAAGAAATTTGTAGTAAACATAGGTATTTACTTTTTATATTATTGGAGGTCAGGGGCCCACAGAGTTCTTCAATAAAAATCTTAATAATCCCTTCGATCTGTCTACAGACCAAAGTGATTTATTATTATTTCTCCCCATATTTACCCACTTTGACGTGAGTAAACACTGGCTAAAGAAAAACCGAAATGAAAAAGCTGTCTAAACCCTGAAGCGTTCAATAGATCAAAATACTTTTTTACGCGTTATTTCTTACCGCAGTCCGAGGTCCAAAACTTCCTAAACCACCGAAATGGCCACCTTGTGGCTGTTGTGCAGGGCCGGCTGCAGGCGGATCGTGTGCCGCAGACTCTGCGCAGATCCGGACCGCCGGCTCGAGTGCGTCGTTGTGGTGGTGGTGGTGACGGTGCCGGAGCCGCCCCCGGGCCCGTAGCCCAAGCAGTGGGACCGGGGGCCCCTGGTGCCCGAGAAGCACAGGGCCGCACACCTAGACATCCACCTGAACGGAGGCAGCTTTCTGCGGATGGCCAAGGTTAAAGGTTAGTTTTGGGCATCTGTGGCACCGGAGAACTAAGTCAAGAGTTAGGTCTACAACATACCTAGCAGAGTAGGGCAGTAATCGAATAAAATTGCAATCATGAATATAAATAGTAATTATTTTGGTGATTAATGATTATTTATGTAGTCATTATTCATGAATACTTTACTTGAATAATATTCATTATTTATAATCAAATTTTACGTTCTAATCATGAATAACGTTATTTATGAAAGTATGATTATAATTAATATTCATAATCACAATTAAAGAATAAATTATGTAATTATAATCATTCTGTATAATTACTTTGGTAAATAATCCACAAAACACACATTTTATTGATAAAATTTTAATTTTAACAAAATACCATATTTTTGTAAAAAAATTGAAATATTTTTTATTTTCTGATAGTTAGAAAAAATATTTTAAAAGTTATTTAAAAAACCATGGCTAGCTTACGAAATATACACCCCATCGTGCTTGCAAGAAAAACGCACAATTTTTGATCGAAATTCGACAAAATATTAAACTAAAATGCCAATTAAAAGAAAAAGTCTTAAAGAAATTAAGCTGCAAATAGCATAGTACAAACTCTAAATACGTTATTAACCCAGGATAAGACCATCTCCATCAAGTCACCATTTTTTTAAAACTTTAAAAAATATTATAAAACAAATATTATTACCAAATTATTTCCCATAAATTTTAAGTCAACAAAACTATACCTAACTTATGTAGCAAATAAGGTCAAGATTTAATCTACATCATTCACTCGTTGTTAAATAATTTCGCCGGGATTAATCTTATACAATGACTACAATTATTAATCATTATTCTTTTCCGATAATTGACGATTTCAGTATTTATAACCACTCAAAACGTAAATAATATTCGTTATTCATGTTAGAATGATTTATGATTACTTTGTTGTAATCATTATTAATGATTACATTTCATAAATAATAATCATAATCATAATCATAATCGAATACAATTTGCCCCACTCTGATACCTAGTCAATTTTGAAGGAACTAGATTTTTTTTACAACGGTTTGATTTTTATTCAACTCTTTAAACAGTTTTATTAAAATTAAAAATTACCTTAACAATCGTCAAAGACAAAATATAGTCCCAACAGTAAATACCCAAGTAGCACAACTTAGTTATATAACGTTATATTAACTCCTAATTTTAACCTTTAAAAATGAATATGAAAATATTTTTTCTAAATACATTAATATCTTTCTTTTGCTTACATTAAAGTAGTGATTTTTTTACCATGGTTTCGTCAATTAAGTTGTTTTTGTTATACAATTCGATTAACATTTATTTTATGTAAAAAACAATTATGGCGGAAAGAGTTTATCAACATTGAGCCCTCTTATATTGCTCATGGTAATTTTATATAACCTAAGGTACTAGTTCAGTTTTATAGGACTATCTAAGTTACTTAAAGTGTTATTATATAATTTTGAAACTCTTATATATATTGTAGTAACTGTCGTTACTACAAGTGATGTTATAAAACATTTGCCTGCAGTAATAATGGTTTTAACGCAATAAAATCAATTTGTTTCGCTAAACATTCGATTGAATCCGCTTTTAAAATATTTATGTTAATAATATTATATTCTATGCTAAATATTTTCTTTTTCACCAATTTTTAATTAAAATTATAAGCATTCCACTCGTATGCTTCATTTCTGTTTCAATTACCAAACATTTTTTGTTTATTAAACACATTAATAATTAATAACTCACAAAAAAAATACACAATAGTTTTATAAAAAAGGCAACCGCAAACTTTATAAAACTCCTATAAACCTACTGGTAACGGTTACTAAAGGTTATATAAAATGTTTGTAGAAACAATTATATAACCTAATTATAAACCTAGAGTTTACAGTAACTTTATATAACCATTATAAAGCTAGTAAACTAAATGGCTATTTTATAAAACCTTGCTAATTTATCGTTTTTGTTTATTGGGATTAATCGAATTTAAACCAAAACCAAAAAAGTTATAAATTACCGATAGGTAAATGAAGTAGTTAAATTAAACACAATAAAATAACCTAATGGTTTAAATAAACTATTGGTTATATAACCAATAAGTACACTGAGAGAAAAAAATGGTTTTTATTACCAAATCTGCATTTTTATAACCAAATGCTTTATTCAGTATTTGACTTACAAACGGCTACGTTATTAAAAACAAATGATTAGCTTCAAGACATTTGGTCATATTTACTTAATAATTTGTTTTTGGTTATTAAAACCAAACCAATTAGTCGTAATAAATAAGTTATTTATTTATAAGAATCAAATTTTTATTTAAAAAAAAAAATATATTTATTTATAAAAAACAAATGATCTTTTCTTGTTAACAAATCGTTTTGTTTTAAAAAATAAGTAATATACAGGGTATTTTAGACTTGTGGTGCCAAAAGCTCAGGGGAGATTCCTCTCAAGTAGGTATGAAAAAAAGTTTTTTTGAACATGTGTCCGAAAATGATTCGTTTCCGAGGTACAGGGTGTTTGTTTTTTTTTTAATTGAGTTTTTTATTTATAGCTTAAAAACACTTTTTTATACATTATTATGATTATTTTTGGAACAAAAAAGTATCAAATTTAAACTTTTTTTAAATAGAACACCCTGTATCTCAGTAACGAAGCATTTTCGGACACTTGTTCATAGGAACTAACTTTTTTTCATATTTTGATGAGAGGAATCTCCTCCGAGCTTTTGGCACCACAAGTCTGAAACACCCTGTATTATTAAAACAAAACATGTATTTTTATAATTTAGCGTTTTTATAAAAATTAGGGTTTTCTATATTAAATAACACTCGGCCATTGATAACAATACATTTTATTTTAATAAAAAATAAAAAACATTTTCCTTAAAAAACATGTTTGCAAACAAAAACTTTTTTTTTTGGTAAAGTAAACTAAACATCTTAAACTTAAGTAAACTAAACATCTTAATTTAAAATTCTTAAACTTAAAAAACATAACAAATTAAAATCAAAAATTTATCCATATTTACCTAATTTAGGTATAAACTATACAGCACGTCCGGACGCGTCCACTCCCTTTGCACAAACTAACACAATGGCCGAACTAAAGCATTTACGGCGAATAATCAATGTGTTTTATCCTGCATTTGTTTTTTATAAGCAAGCAACAACTCGATTTATTCATACAAACTCTATTTGAAAATGGTTTGTTATTATTAAACTATATTTGTTTTTTATAACCAAATACAGTGAACCAAATCATTTTTTCAAAATAAACTTAAGTAATTCTGAATATAGTTACTAAGAAGTGCTGATTTGGTATATAGAAGAATTATTTATTATATTTTACCAAATATATTAAAACAAATCATTTTTTAACTATACCCAGACTATTTCTCTCGGTGTAAAAGCATCCTAAAATCGCCATATTCTATCAAAAGGAAATGCCATTAAATTTAATAATTTCTTTTATTCCAAAAATAATTTAATTTAAACAAACCAATAAACACAATATTATTTTATGTTTAAAAGTATTTTAAATCAATTTCAAAAGAAATACAGAAAGAATGGTAAAAACAAATTTTCTTTTTTTTTTAAATTTTGTTTTAAAGCGGAATTAAAATATGAAAGTATTATGTACTACTTCATCAAAAAAAATGTCCCATTGGTTTTTCCCTTAGACCTATCTCTTTAAGATATTAGGCATAACGTAAATTTAACTATAGTTGTTCTACTTGGGGAAACTCTAATTTTTCTAAAATAGCCAGAAAACTAAGAAAATCAACGATAATCTACCAGTACCTAAGCCTAAAAATCATTAAAATACTATTAAAAAAACATAACAAATTACTTATTTTACATCCTTAGGAATCTTTGAAAACAAAAACGATATTTAATTTTTTTTTACTAAAATGTAAAAAAATATTTCAGTTATTACGTGGATTTTTTTCTAATGTTTTTTGACCTGCTAAAATGTAACAGGTAAAAATACAGTAGAAAAAAATAGTGGCACTTTTTATTAGTTTGATGAAAACTATTTATTTATTTTGTATAAGTAAACAATTTCTTCACTCACCTTAGGTTACGACATACGTGAGTGGAGAACAGGCAATAAATGACGGGATTGGCTGCGGAATTCAGGGGGGCCAAGCTCTGGATCAGGGTGGCTATGGCGATGTTCGTTTGAGTTTTCGGTATGTAACCATACACTTGCAGAAGATCGAAAACTATGTATGGACTCCAGCACAATACGAACACTGCAATGGAACAATTTCAATGGATGCAGCTTTAATCAATAAAGTTTTACAAAAAAATATTTATACAGGGTATAAACGTTAATATATACAGGGTGTCTCACCAGCGATGGTACCTTAGACGTTTACGGAGAACGTCTGAGGATATCAATTTGAAATTTTTATAGCAATTATTGTACAATTTAATCTACCTTTTAAAAATATTTTGAATAAAATTCCTCTTCCGGTTTAACCGGAAGCTATATCAACTTTGTTATTTCCAATGGACCACCCTGTAAATTTTTTTATTTTTAAATTCCTTATGAAATTCTTAATGAAATTGCTGTACCATTCCCTATACCTAAACTTAATAGTTTTCGAGTTAATAATTTTTTTCGTAAAATTTTGACAGTTGCACCTCCATTAAAAATTGCTTATAACTTTTTTGATATTCGGTTTGCTGGTATGCTGTAAGCATTTTTGGAATCTTAAAACATTGTTTTAAAGATTCCATGTCTGAAACTTTCATATTTATGATCAAAAACCAGAGAAAAATCGTGTTAAATTTAGTTAACTTCAAACATTAATAACTTGTTTATTTTCAATGGAACGGTATGCATGTTTTTACATAATCAAATAGGAAAATGAATTACATTTCGATTAGTATAACCATTCCCTATACCTAAATAGTAAGGTTTCGGAAATACAAGCAAATTTCTGTAAAAACCCAATATTTTGACATATTTATCTCAGATACCGATGAAATGTAACAACGGAATTTCTCAGGCTCCGCATTTTAAAATGTTTGCAAGTCAATGGTCGCCATTTTGAACATTTATTAAAATAGTATTTTGGTTGTTATTTTTTCCATCACGTTTTTTATAATTTATAATAATTAAATTCTTAAAACTTTGTTTAATTGTTGTTTTCCATTATTTTTAAAATATCTTCCTTAAGAAATATATCAACTGTCAATCAATGACATAACTAATTTGTTGTGACATTTCATAGGTATCTGAGATAAATATGTCAAAATATTGGATTTTTACAGAAATTTGCTTGTATTTCCATCCCGTTATTTTTTGAACACCTCGTATATATAATATTTTTTTAAATTTTAATTAAAGTAGGTTCTCAAAATTATGGCCTTCGACTTCAATGCATTTATTAATTCGCATTTCGTTTTAATATTCTGCTAACACTGCTCTGGGATATTCCCAAATCTCTAGATAATTCTCGTGTGCTTGCATGAGGATTAGCGGCCGTTGCTGCTAATACATTAATTTCATTATTTCCACCTGTGAATGTTGCTCAACGAACTCTTTTTTTCGGTTGAACACTCCCGTTTGTAGTAAACTGCTTGACTGTGCGGTGAAATGAAATCATTTCTAATTTTTCTTCCACTGTTAAATAGTTTCAAGTTAACTGACTCACCCTGTATATTAACAGTCCAGAATTCAGAAACGAATTGGAAGTTGGAAAAAAGTGTTGATTATTTAAATTGGTACAATTTCTGAAGTATAAGAAACATTTTTGGTTATTTTAAAACAACTTGAATCATTTGTAACAAAAACTCTTATTTTCTAAGAGGAAAGTTTTCTTTTCAGTTTCAGTTCGAGGAAAAACTATTGGAAAAAGTGTTTGGGCAATAAAGGGGGAAATATGTATTTTCATTTTGGAGTCGTTTGTCATCCTTCCAGTTCTTGTTTCTCACTGTTTTGTTCGTTGTCCTTGCTTATCAGTTCAGGATAAAAACGTCTGTGGTTGAGAGATATGCTGATTAGATGAGCCATTGTCTAACAACTAGAAATTATTTCTAAAGCACTAGGTACTCTCGAAAAATAAATTAGTCAAAAATGACTAATTGTCATAGCGAAAAAGCAGCCACTAATAATTTTCGTCGATAGCAATTTTTATCCCAAACAAAAGTTAGGTAAAGTAGATATAACATTAATACTGTAAAAACAAGTTCTATGTATAGTCAAATCAAATCAAAATCTCCCGTTTCCAAAGAAAATTGCAAAAACTCTTTAAAAATAGCATTTTTAAATTACTTATACTTTTTTATAACTAATTTATTTTTTACAGGGTTTGTATAATATTTTATGCTCTTTTTAATGGGTCCATTTATAACTTTTTTTACTCATACAAAAAAAGTTTAAAAGTTAGCCTTTTTTAAAAGCTAAAAATAAAAGGTAAACTTTTTAAAAATAAAAATCGCTTCGAGTGTTATATGCTAAAATGAGCTGAATTTTTCATAACTTCTAATAATTTTGAGATAGTATTCACGAAAAATATTTCTGTATAAATTATGAAGTGTCCGAACATTTTTGTGTTAGGGCTTGTATATAAATCATCCTGTTCCGGCCTAAACATTATAAATGCTTCACAAACTTAATGATATTTGCAACAAACTATTTCAGAAGTCAGACCAAGGAATTAGTAGTTACCTTCAGAATCCAGAAAAGGGATGAGGAATCCGAGAAAGAAATATATGAATTATATGATATTTACAAAAACGAAATAAAAAAATGACCTAAAATAGCAATTTTTCTTTAAAAAATATTTAACAATTTATGTTATTTGATGTTAAGTTGTTATGTTTATATAAAAATTGTATGTCCAATAACTATGGTCCATGTGTCCAATTACTATATTTTTTCGCATGTATTTATAAAACTATTATTAAAAATTCAAAGATTCTTATTTTTTAGTAAACGTAAATAAAGTTTAAACAAACTATTCTTTTTATATAATTATAAGAAAAAAACTAAAATCTTTAAAACTACGGCATATATAAATTTTAAATAAATAATTTTCTTCATTGTCCAATAACTATGTGGTTTACAGAAATTTTACATTTTATCCTTTAATCCTTTAATCCCTAACTTTTTAAACCACAATAAAATTTAAATTTTAAATTCAATAGGTACTCATTTTTAGTATTTTAATTTAAAAGGTTTTATAAAATTTTAAAATACGTTAATTAAAATTCTATATATCTTTTAAATCAAAATACTTCAAATTTTTATTTTATTACACAATAATGGTTTTCATTTTTTATTAATTTTTATTTTAAAATATTTTTAGTATTAATTTTTTGATATTAAACACTTTAAACGCTTTTAACAAACAATCATGACGTATAAAAATTGTAATTCTTTGTAAACTTACCAAAAACTATGACAAATGTCATTTTGACAGTTTTAATTTTGGCTCTGGGGATAATTCCTCTTGAGCTGGCCCTTCTCGAGTCATTTTCTTCGACACCAAAATATTGATGTCTTGGAATTCTGTCATGATCATTATCTACAAAATACAATTATCTTAAGTAATATACAATACGAGGTGTGTTCAGAAAATAACAGGAATTGTTAAATTTCGCGGGTTCAGAGGGTCCGGTTGTCATAAAATTTTCTTTATTATGTTGGTATACATGCCCCCGAAGTATGATAAAAACTTTAGCTGTTTTCATTGTTAACTGTGGCAGCCGCTAAGGTTAGACGGGTTTTATGAGCTCGGCGATTTTTCGTTCGTTAAAAGAAATCGATCAAAGAATTTGTATCCAATTTTGCTTAAAAAATTAAATAAATTCTGTGAAATGTTAAAAAAGGCCTATAGTGAGTCTGCTATAAGTAAAACAAGAGTTTACAAGTGGTATAAGAGTTTCCAAGATGGCCGTGAAGACGTTGAAGATGACGAACGCCCCGAACGCACAAGAACATTAACAACCATTAAAAACATGGAAAAAATGGAAGAAATGGTTATAAACCCTCAGAGAAGTCGCTGATGATGTTGGTATATCGATTGTCTCATCCCATGAAATTTTTTCGAATGTTTTGGGTATGAAACGCGTGGCAGCAAAATTTGTTCTAAAATTGTTAAATTTTGAAGAAAATTTTTGGCCAAAAACAATACTGTAATGATGCCCCAGCCTCCATATTCGCCAGACATGCCTCTGTCTAACTTTTTCCAATTCCCAAAAATAAAGAGAACCTTAAAGGGCCGTCGTTTTGCAAGCATAGATGACATTAAAAGCGCATCGCTGAAAGAACTAAAGGCTATCCCAAATATCGAGTTTTAGAAGTGTTTCGAGTATTGGAAGAAGAGCTGACACATGTGCATAATATCCAATGGGACTATTTTGAAGGCGACAACATTAATTTAGACGAATAAATAAATATTTGTTTCAAAAAACGAAAATTCCCGATATTTTCTGAACACTTCTCGTATAATTATAGAGAAACGTTACAAGATACAGTAAAGCTGTGTAGGACACGTTTTTGCGGTTGAAAGCAAAATTTATTTACGAACGCCTGTCTTTGTTTCGTCGTTATGTTTCATTTGAGCGAATTGCGTGACCGTTTGTTGATTCTCCAAAGGGGCTCAGACTAAATTACCATTCCACGTCCACAATAAGGAAAATTTAATTTGGACTATTGTCTACTATAATTATCTCATAGACAGGCCTATTATGGGCCTGCCTGTAAGACCTGACCCAACACGTATCCCAAATTAAAAAATTAGTAAATTTATTCTTAATCTATTTTTTTCGTTCTAAGAACATAAAAAAATAGATTATTAATTAGTCAAAGATGACTAATTTAATAGTTATTAGTAGGGATGGGATATTTAGGTACTAAAAACTGAAAAATAGGTAACTAAAAAGGTACTAAAAAAAGCATTTTAGGTTAAAAAAACAGCATTTTAGGTAAAAAAAAAAAACATTAAAAGTTTAAGTTTCGTTTATAATTTTGTTTAGCCGCATACCCAAACACAGAACATACCCAAAATAAACTATTTCTATGCAATAAACTGTGTTTTACTGAGTGACACTCACTACACAGAAGTTCTATGACAGAACATAAGCTCACTAGTAGTGAGTCACTACAAAGAAGGTAACTGTAAAGAAAGTTACTGTTACAGTCTGTAACCATAAGAAAAAATTCTATACCGTTGAGTTGCACGCCCTGGATAAAATATTGGCGCAAATTTTAAAAAGAACAAAAAAAATAAAATAAGTAAAAATACGTAAAAATAGGTAACAAATATATGAAAATAAACTGACAAATTAAAAAATATGTAACAAAAGTATAAAAAGGTAGTTTAAAGCAAAAACCTCCAAAAAAGGTAAAAAAGGTGAAAAAAGTTAAAAAAAAATAGGTAACAAAAGTATAAAAAAGGTAGTTAAAAGCAAAAACCTCCAAAAAAGGTAAAAAAGGTGAAAACAAGTTAGGTTCATATAAAAGAAAATCTTTTAAAACACATTTTGGCATTATTGGTTTTTAAATAGTTACATCGGTTAAAAAAAGGTAAAATAACTAAAATCCCATCCCTAGTTATTAGTGGCTGCTTTTTCACTTGTACCATGGTTAACCATAGAATACCATGGTATTCCAAAATTTAACAGCCAATTCTTATGTAAAATTGTCCCCTGAATCCGAAAATACCGACAAAAATGATAAAAGTGGAGCATGCAGTTTTTGAGATATATAGTCAATTCCATAATAAATGGAAAATTGACTATATCTCAAAAACGGATTCAGGGAATAATTTTACATAAGAATTGGCTTAATTTTGGGATACCATGGTATCCCATGGTTAACCATGGTAAAAGTGTAAAAGCAGCCACTAATAACTATTAAATTAGTCATTTTTGACTAATTCATTTTTAGAGAGTTCAATTACATTTTTCTGAAATTATCTTTTTCAGTAGGTACATATAAAAACAATTGCCAAAGCCATTTCTAACATAACGAGGCAATAAATTGTTCGCAAGTTCCCAAATAAAATTCTCGTTAACTTTTATGGAATTTTTCTTTTTTTAATGCTACAAATTAAAATAAAAAATAAAAAAAATCCAATTTAACATTAGTAATATTAAGAAATATATAAAATAAAATATAAAATTGCATTGAAAATTTTGGAATTGTGATTTCGCTAATATGCATATTTATACCTTTTGGGCTGATAGTTTGGAAAATATTAATAATTAATATTAAAAGTGGAAAATTTAGTTTTTAATAATGTTTGGATGTTTTATAGTTTTTATTAAAAGACTTTTTAATAGGGTTTTGATAAAATTAAAAAGTTTTTATAAATGAATGTTTATAAACTTTCTCAAAATATTTAATTTCAAGGTCAAATTTCTTCACTTTAATATTGTTTTTTGATATTTGCGTTTGTATTTAACAATAATTTCAAAAATGGTGGATGCGCCGGAATTAAAATTTTAAAATCAATATATCTTATTTTTTACAATGTTTTAAAAGTCTAAAACCTATCCTCCGTGACTGTTACTCTTTCTAGGTTAACCTATATGTTTTCAAATATAAGAGGTAGTAAAAGCATACCTACTAAAAATATCAGTTCACTAAGTAAATTAAACACATCCAAAGCAATCGAATCAAATATAAAATATTATTAAAAATTTGAAGAAATAATTTTTATAACCATTTGTGTAGGTCTTACAAAAATTGATTCTATCCTCCGTGAATCTGTTTTTGCTTTAAATTTTATGCAACGGATGGCGCTTTAATCATTTTAAATAAGCAAAAACCTCTGTTTAAGACATTATAGGTGCATGTGATTCCTGAAGGTCAGTTAGAATTTATATGCAGTAAGAGTGTTGCTGTTTTATAATTCAAAAGTTTAAGTTCATTAATTTGGACATAACCTCAAAAAATAATCAAAAAATGTATCTTAAAAATTTCAACTCTCCATGTACAATACTTTTTTAGCTACTCACTGTGTCTTATCGGGCCATGTCCGACGGGTATCAAAATTTTGCTCTTGGACCAGATCGTCCACACTATGACCGCGTAGCAGGCGCTGATTACCAGGGCCGGCACCAAAAACAACACGAAGGACACCAGGGTCATGTAGACTTTCCATTGCCAGTCCTTCAGGTCTATCCAGCACTGGGGAACTCCTAAAAAATAGTCTAATAACAAACAGTACGAAAAAATATATCAGCATGATAAAGACGATTAAAATTCTGCAAAACGATTCTTTTAAGAGCGCTTGCCGGAAAAAATAAACATGAATAACTGCTCGGCATTCTTAAACACGAGTTCGCACAACATCAAGTAATTATACAGGGGGTGGGAGGGGTCAGGTATTATTTATGATTATAGCGAAGCATGTAATTGAGTATTAGAGGCAGACGGGCTTTTAGAAAAACATTTTAATTCCCTAAATTGCCATTTGAAATTTGCACCTTCACGAACACATAAATAAAAATTCATTTCTGTTAATTAATTAAATTTTTAGGGAAAGATACTGTCATAAATATGCACTATTATTTTATTTTTATTTTATATATACAGGGTGAAACATTTTTTCATATTTGTAATAGATGACGCTTTTTTTCGGTTGAACACTCCCGTTTGTAGTAAACTACTTAGCTGTGGGGTGAAATGAAGTACGTAATCGAATTTTATCCGGAAAACGCTGAGTGTAGATATTAACAGCATCATCAAGATTCCTGCCTGCTTCTCCATAAATCAAAATCATTTCTATTTTTTCTTCCACTGTTAAAAAATCCATTATGAAAAACTGCTTAACGAAAGGAGGTCTTTTTGTTTGCAAATTAATCTTCGAACTAAATTGATTAAATAATGCTAAACTATGTATAAATAGTTTCTTTATACCTCAATAATAATTATTATTTATAATTAATACCATTTTTTTATAAGTACCCCTATTATGATTAAAATAATTAATTGACAAAATAAGGTTTTTTTTTACCTTAAATGAGGTTTTTTTATTAAAAATAGTACAATAATCCTTTAAATTAAAGGATTTAATGCTGGCAGGTAAAAAGTGACCATGGTGCGCAATTGATAATTATCACCGAATGAAATAATGTATAAAACTTAAACCAAAGGAAACTTAAATATTAGTTAAAAATCGTGGGTACTTAAAATATCAGATTTAATTTAATAAGATAATTATTATCAAAAAAGTGATATTTTTAAAGAAAAATTATTGCAGAATCGTATAAGTAGAAAAATCGAACAAAATTGATTTTTTTCCTTATAGCGCCATCTATTACAAATATGAAAAAAAGTTTTAGACAAAATCTACCTATTTTTAGTCGAATGATCCGAATCTGCAATAAAAAATAGGGTGTTCCATTGGAAATTTTAAAGTTACCCCCTGTCCCCCCTATAAGAAGGAGAGTATAAGGACCAATTTTAGTATTAACTGTTTTACTTTAAATGTGACACCTGGTAAGTTTTAACATAATCAAATAGTAAATTAAACAACATTTCCATTAATACTACTATTCCTAAAGTTACGGTATCTATGGTTACCACGTAATCTGTCATTGTTAAAAAATTTTCGGTTGTTGGTTTTTTTAATTGTTACAGTTACGCATTTTTTTGTCATTGAAATATTTCAAAAAATAAATTTTATATTTTAGAAAAATGGACTTAAATGGATTATAAACGCTTTTGAAATTTCAAATCGATATCGAATGTAAAACACCCTGTATATATATATACATACACGTATATAACGTACTTACACTTTCCTTTATTATCAAAATGGCAAGTCGTAAAAAATTGGTCTGTAACATTGTTTAAATAAGTCGTTTCGTCATAAAATTAAATTAGATATTCGTTTATAGAGCAAAAACATATATGGTCAATAAAGAATTTTATATTTATTCGTCGGACAGGAAGGACTATAACTTTATTGCCTCTTATAGAAACATTAATATAATCCACGGTGGGTCAGAAATTTGGTTTCAAGGCAGTTAATATTATGTTATATATATTAAAACGTAAAAGTTTTAGATCAATGCAAAGTTTTACTGGCTGTCAACTTGTAAGCAATTAATTTTCTTGAGAATTCATCAGTAATCCATTTTTCTGTTATAAAAAATGGGTGATCCCATTGGTAGAGAGGCGTCAGGCGGCTGTATGTCGGGGATTTACCACACGTGTACAAATTTTCCATAATATTAATAAAAATGTAGGTATGGGTTAATATATCAACCATTACGCTTGAAAATAAAAAGTAAATCCAGTGTGTATGTATTTATATTATTAATGTTACAAGTATCCGACCTACTGCCGTAAATTATTGATATATAATATAGGTCGGGTATTGACATCCTTTTTATCATATTGGTATTTATTGAGTATTAAGGCTCAAAGAAAAAGGAAGTATAATACTTACCAAAAAATATAAATGTCCCCTTATGGATTCACCGTAATTAAAATCCAACTGAACAAAAATGCCACACTTCCACAACGCGGTATCTCCGGATATGTAGTGCGTAGGTAGATAGGTACCAACCAAACATTTTAAAAGGCATTTCGGTTATTACCAGTTTTTTCAGTCTATTTTGCCACACATTAAAGGGTAATAAACATTCGCATTAAGTTTTTCTACCCTTTTGATTTATTTTAATATTAAATAGTGTGAATGTAGCAATGAATATTGTTCATATTTTTTAAATGTGTTTAATAAAGTTAATAAGCACTAAATGCCTAGTGTATTTTGTAGTGTAACTTTTACACTTACAAATCAACACTAATATTTTTACCCCTACACTAAAAAATTTACACGGGCAAAATTTTTACTGTGTATAGGTATATATTTAACGAGTGTAGTATAGTATAGTAAAGTGACTTTTTGGCCTACCGTGCGTGAAAAAAAACTAATACAATAAAAGGATTTAAAAAAGTGCATCCGGCCGTTCATCATAATGGCGGAAAGTCATAAAACTCTCTGGTGACAATAAATATTGGAATATTTTCGCCGAGCTGGCGAAGACATTTTTTTATTTTGTCGCGAAAAAAAGAAGGCGCTGATGTCAGATTAAAGTTATAAAAATCGCATTGTGTGTGCGAAGTGTGCTGGAAATCTCGAAAGTTGCATCCCATGTTTGATATTTATTAACTAGCAGCTCTATTTCATACTGCAAACGTGACAATATTTTATAAGAATCTTGGTTTTGTCACCAACCAATAAATTTCGAGTCATAATCGATTTTTATTTTCTTCATGGAAATGTTTATTTATACAGGGTGTTCTCTTGAAAACAAATACAAAATCTCTTGAATGTTTCTTCTTTCAACTAAGTGCAAAGTGTTTTTGTTCAAAAGCTACACAGTAAAAAATTTTGCCTGGGTAAATTTTTTAGTGTAGGCGTAAAAATATTAGAGTTGATTTGTAAGTATAAAAGTTACACTACAAAATACACTAGGTAGCATTTAGTGCTTATTAACTTTATTAAACACATTTATTATTAAAATAAATAAAAAGGGTAGAAAAACTTAATGCGAGTGTTTATTACCCCTTAATGTGTTAAATAGTGACAAAATGTACACTACAGTGCATGCCAATTTCCTTGTCTGTTTTGATGTTACTAAGAGCTCTTTTTTCTTTACACTACTAGTGCACATTGTATCACAATTAAAGTTAAATTACACCAATAGTGGCAAAATAGACTGAAAAAACTGGTAATAACCGAAATGCGTTTTAAAATGTTTGGTTGGTACCTATCTAACTACGCAGTGCATATCCGGAGATACCACGTTGTGGAAGTGTGGCATTTTTGTTCAGTTAGATTTTAATTACGGTGAATCCATAAGAGGACATTCTTATTTTTTGGTAAGTATTATACTTCCTTTTTCTTTAAGCCTTAATACTCAATAAATACCAATATGTTAAAAGGATGTCCATACCCGACCTATATTATATATCAATAATTTAGGGCAGTAGGTCGGGTACTTGTAACATTAATAATATAAATACATACACACTTGATTTACTTTTTATTTTTAAGCATAATGGTTGTTATATTAACCTATTCCTACATTTTTATTAATATTATGGAAAATTTGTACACGTGTGGTAAATCCCCGGCATACAGCCGCCAGACGCCTCTCTACCAATGGGATCACCCATTTTTTATAACAGAAAAATGGATTACTGATGAATTCTCAAGAAAATTTATTGCTTACAAGTTGACAGCCAGTAAAACTTTGCATTGATCTAAAACTTTTACGTTTTAATATATATAACATAATATTAACTGCCTTGAAACCAAATTTCTGACCCACCGTGGATTATATTAATGTTTCTATAAGAGGCAATAAAGTTATAGTCCTTCCTGTCCGACGAATAAATATAAAATTATTATAACAGAAAAATGGATTACTGATGAATTCTCAAGATAATTCATTTCTTACAAATTGACAGCCAGTAAAACATTGCATTAATCTAAAACTTTTACGTTTTAAGGAACCATTTTGCTTAAGCCTGCGCGACTTAAATATAAAATTATATTTTAAAAGGCACCGATTTTGATAATTGTCATAGATTTTTGTTCCAAATAAATGTTTCTGTTTATTTACGTTTTGGTTTTATTCACTACCACCAATAGGTTTTACTCAAATAATAGTGTTAATTTACACTAGAAGTTTGCACTAAAAGAGTAAAGGTACCTTTCTAAAATTAGAACTTTTCCAAAGTAGTGTTAATTTACACTGAACAAAAACGGTTTATTTATTTAGAAGAAAATATTTTTGGTTCTTGTACCAAGAAATCGCTTGCTCTTGATTTAAACTAATATTGTAGTATCCTTAAACGAATAGATTAAATTATGTAAATGACGTTTTATAATTAACTGGTATTTTCGGGCACCCTGTATAAGTAATTAATTATAATAAAATATAAATATCTCTGGAGACTGGTTTCGTAAATTTGATTGTAATTTTCAAATGAATTTCCAGAATTTATTCGTACAGGAAGGCGCGCGTCATCAACACAAACTTCCTGGAATTGTAAGGATGCTTCTGAAGGATAATTTAATAAATTAATTTGATGATTTCAATGCCTTCGTTATCAAACTATCTAGAACGTTCTAAAGTTAAATAAGACAATAATTGAATGAAATGGCACTGTAGATTTTGTAATTTGAAAACATTGAATACATTGGAAAAACTTGATAACTCACCATCTATAAATCTTTCTTCAAAAAGGTAGACAGCTGGTAGGGCGAAAATTACACTCAAAGCCCAAGCTAGTATAACCAATAACCTTGCTCTCTTCCCTGAAAAAAAAATAAAAAAATATAAGGCACAACATGTTTATTTATTTATAAGTACATCGCCTTACGGCCATTCCAAGCCCATGGACAGGACACATCAGAAACATGTCTAAATATATTCTTGTTACTTCCTTAAGTTTACTTATTTTTTCTACGAGTATTTATGAGAAGTATTAGCCAAATTTGGCTAATACTTCTCATAAATACTCGTAGAAAAAATAAGTAAACTTAAGGAAGTAACAAGAATATATTTAGACATGTTTCTGATGTGTCCTGTCCATGGGCTTGGAATGGCCGCTTATGGACATTTTTGGTTTAGTTATTACAAAAGATCCAGGTTTTTTTTTAACTTGTCCACCCAATTTTAATGTATTTTTTCAAAAGCACGTTTGTAGAAAAACATAATAAATATTCAAAACATCAGTACCTTGGCGTGTCACAACTCCTGAATCAAATATTTGAGTGATTTTATTTTAAAATATATTCAATTTATCTTAAATTTTTCAATTTTACTACAAACTATAAAACATTAAATAATGTATTTTTCATATTTTATCATAGATTCAAATAATAGCAATTTTTAAAAAAATGATAATCTTTGTACTCACTTTTACCCGTCTATGTCCAATGTTAAAATTAAAAATTCCTGCGAAATATTAAAGTTTAAACGTCAAGTCCTCGTTTTAACTCAAGTGTTGGTAAAAAATTACCACAGAGCCTGCCCTTTGCACGACAGTCATCTTGAAATCAATGCAAGCGGCGAAGTTGTGGTGAATGCACGTATAGTTCCAGTCAAAATTTCAGTACTGTGGTGAGTAGTTATTTTCTTGCGTATATATATTTCATTGTAATTTATATAAGGCTATATGTGATTTGTTGAAAAAAAGCATCCACTAATAAAAAATATCAGTAAAATACTTAATTCCGAATTATAATGTCAAATTTCTCATCAGTACCGTGTCGTCAGTTACATGTTCGATGTTTCGGTTATCTTCAACTTCAATTTAAATTTTGCTTGCGCAGAACTTGTTTATTTAATGTCATTATAAACTCATATAAATTTGGTGTGCATCCCAAATCTAATAATTGAGATATCAGTATACCCAAAATCCACCAGCCGCCACTGATGTGCGGAATTATTTGATTTTAAGATATTTAATGTATAATATGCTCAAAGTTGCAAAAAATCTTATATTTTCCAATAAATTATGTATTTAATTAGTACCCTGGTATACTCGTCACTTCCCTTGCATTCAAATTTAGAAAACACAGATATTTCGGAAACTGTTTGAAAAAGTGACTGGCCCGGTCTGGAATAGGTAATATATTTATTATATTATCTATGTTCTCATAACAAAATACTGTTTAATTTTCTTGGAAAACTATATAAAAAAATAAGGTGAAAAGTTGCCCAACTTTTGTAGAATCACCCATATCTCAAAAACTGTTCTACTTTTTTAACTTTTGACGACATTTTCGGATTCAAGGGACGATTTTACATAGAAATTTACTGCTAGATATTTGGAATACAAATTGAAATTGACGAGAATTATTAGTGTCTGCTTTTTCGCTATGAGAATTAGTCATTTTTGACTAATTTATTTTTAGAGAATTGGTAAATAGTTGATTATTATTTGCTGGTAAAATTATCAGGAGAATGGTATTCTAAGACCGAGAAAAAAATATAAGGATTTTTTCTTTGTCTATGGTCATCATTTATCCGACTTGACAAAAATATGTCCTGTTTCCGCATTTTAGTCATTTGTTTTGTTCTTAGAAGGAGCGTGCCAGAGAAATTAAGAGGAGGAAATTGCACAAAATTTATTTTATTATTGTACCGCTGTAGACCACAATTTAATTAAATTTAAACTTTAAGGCTACCACGTTTCCTGATATTGGGTTATATACCTACGAATTTAGTTTCAAAGTTCATTAATAGAGTGATGTAATTAATAATCGGTTCAGCAAAAACAAATGAGAGGGTTCCTTTGAAAATGCAATTCATTGGAAATATTCAGATTTTCATCATTTTACCCTACTTGCTCAGTAAGCAATTTGTACAGCAATACTTGGAGTGAATAAAAGCTGCAAATAAGTTCTTGGAACCAGAACGCGAACAATGATGATAATGACGGAAGGAATTCCTTATTTTTGTGTCGGGAATAATTGAATTTTTCATTGCGTCGTTTTGAGGAAGAATGTGTCACAGTTGCGTCCGTTTGGTGCACCCGATGGCTTCAATTTAGAGATGGGCGAGCGTTTTGTCCGCTGGAATTAAATCATATCGAAAATTTTTAAGTTGAATTATGATCCACGTATTGTAAGCTCTAAGGTTGTTCATGTTTTATATACTCTAAGGTAGTAAACCTAATAGGGAAACCATATAGTTATTGGACACTTAAGGAATATCATTTATTTATAATTTATACAGGGTGTCCCAAAAGTCAACGATATCCTTTGGAGGACTGATAGACCAACTCATGACTAAGCAGAAAATCAAAATATGACCTTGGTAAAAAATCATTAGTTTTTGAGATAAAGTCATTTTTATGAATTTTGTAAAACTTGACACCTTAGATCAGTTTTTCGAGAGCCACAGCTACAAAATCTACTATTAATTTAATTTTGAATTGTAATTAATAGCAGTCCTATTCAGGGTTACGCAAAATAAAATATAATCTAAGAACATAGAATGTTATAGTTGTGGCACTTAAAAATCTGATTTTATGAGTCAAATAGGTCAGCTCATGATTAATCAGAAAATCAAAACATGACCTTAGTAAAAAATCATTAGTTTTTAAGATATTGGCATTTTTATGAATTTTGTGAAATTTGACACATAAAATCAGATTTTTAAGTGCCACAACTATGTTCTTAGATTATATTTTATTTATTTTATTTTTTTAATAATAATTAGTCCTTCAAAGGATATCGTTGATTTTTGGGACACCCTGTATATGCCGTTGTTTTAAAGATTTTAGTTTTTTTCTTATAAATATATAAAAAGGATAGATTGTTTGTTTACATCAAATAACATAAATTGTTAAATATTTTTTAAAGATAAATTGCTTTTTAGTTAATTTTTTTTTATTTCGTTTTTGCAAATATCATATAATTCATATATTTCTTTCTCGGATTCCTCATCCCCTTTCTGGATTCTGAAGGTAACTACTAATTCGTTGTTCTGACTTCTGAAATAGTTTGTTGCAAATATCATTAAGTGTGGTATCTCTAGTTTGTGAAGCATTTATAATGTTTAGGCCGGAACAGGATGATTTATATATATCTAATATTTTTTCGGGTGGTATGTTAAAAGTATTTTCCGAATTTATTAATTTTGTTGCCATTAGTTATGTTCTCTATCATGCACTGTATTTAAATCACTGTTATTCTGCAAGATGTCCTGTGACGAAGAAATCACTATATTACTTACTCTCTAAAAATGAATTGGTCAAAATGTCATAGCGAAAAAGCAGCCACTAATAATTCTCGTCAACAGCAATTTGTATCCAGGACATTTAGCAGTCAATTCCTATAAAATATTATTCGCTGAATGTCTTCAAAAGTTATAAACGTAGAACAGTTTTTGAAATGTATTCAATTTTACATATAATATGGAATTGACTATATCTCAAAAACTTCTTAACTTTTATAGTATTTGACTGTCTTTTCGGATTCAGAAGAATTGGCTGGTAAATACCCGGGATATAAATAGAGTATGATATTGGACTTATGTCCAATAATAGAAATTAACATGTTTTACCAATAAGTAATTGGACACTGGCCATTTTACTGTTTGTTTTCAGAATTAAAATTAAAACGCATTAAAGTGACAATGTTTAAACCATGAGGAACACATTTATACCACATACTGATCTGTACACTTTTTAGAAATATTTTTTATTGTGATTTAAACACAGCCCTGCTCTTAACAAAAAAACAAAAATCTTACCTCCAAAGTAACGTGCGAACTTTTTTGTCCTATATTGGACCCAAAATAAAGTAGTTCTATATTATTACCGACTGAGATAGTTATAATTGTATACAGCGTCATCTAATGATTTGACTTTAAAGTAACTATTTATAGAACAAGAAAAAATTGGAGGAAAGATTTCGTTCAAAGAAAGAGCCCCATCTCTACGTTCACGACCTATACTGTACATTGTACATTTAGGTCCTTTTCTTGCGGTGAGCGCTGGAATTATTTAAATTCGGGATTTAAACCTTGATTAAAACTACGAACAATTTGCCGCTCGTTCAACGTTCGGGATTTTCCAGATTACTCGTGAATTAGACAACTTGACAAAACCGTACCAAATAAAAAGACACCTGGCCACTTCAGCTTTAAATTAGGTAACCAAAGAATTTGTATAAGCTAAAGAAGTATCGGGTTTTCTTTTCGACAAATTGCACTTAAAAAACTTTTTTAGTACTCGATTTCGATTGATTATTCCTTATATCATTGATTAAGAAACTCAACGCTTAAATGCTTAAATAGTTACGTTAGTGTGTGCATTTTATCTTATCAGATCCATGGATCATGGTGAATTATTGTAAATAAAATTCAAGAACTAAATCGTTGCATTTTCATGTTTTGCCAAAGGATCCAATTCGGTAAGTACATTTGTTGGTGCAGAATTAACTAATGATAACTTTACCTAATATGATTTATATTTAAGTTTGGACATTTTTAAGAAATTAGTAAAAAATAATTTTTGCACAAACATAACCTTAAAATCAACCATTTTTATGTTTGAGTTCTCTAAAAAACGCCGACAACTGCATTTTAAACAACAAAATATACCTACGAATTCATGGCAACATAATATAATGGTATTTCACCGTTGAGTGGAGACTTTCTTAATCAACGCTTTTAATTATGCTAAATGCTGTTTAAATTTAGACGACTTATTTGTTTGACGATTATTAATGAACTGAAATGTTTACACTTTTCACGTTAATCACTACTAAAATAAGTATTTATTGTATCAAATAGGCACAAT